CGACTGGCCCTCCATCCAACTCCCCACTGACCTCAAACGCTTATAACAGTCGTCAACTGACCCTCAGCCCGTCTTCTATGTGCACAATATTCTCTCAGCACCTTACGCACTGAAATGAATTTACATTTACAAAAACCTAACCTATATTACAACTGAAAACCGGAAATTATAACAATAAACCAACTATTTACATTATTCGAACACTCTTACCGGCTAGAACTGCATACACACGTTGCAATAGTCCGCCTTACAAGTTATATGGCTACCCGTTAAATTCGGTGCTATATCTCACCGAAATATATTCACCACTCTGACAAAACCGGTCCCTTTATATACTCGTAACAAAACAACCTCAATAGTAAGGAAACCCGTTAAAACCAAAATTAAAACAGTATATACAAAAAAAAATCAACTGCGTCACAAAAACAAAAAAATTCTTGAGGTTTATATTCATCATATAATTTTTTATATTTATTCGTAGTCATTCGACATAAAACAAGACCTGGTTGATGCCATTGATACACATATACAATGTGTACAAAGCAGACGTTTTAATTACTTGTACATGTATACGTACAAAATACAAATTACATAAGCTTTTAAACTCATACATGTAATCTGGATTTTCAAAAATGTTAAATATGCACATGAATTATCTTTTAAAAAGTGGATCTTGTATCAAATATTCTCCTTGAATGTTATTTTCATTTTATAATTATACAGTCATGTTCTTTTTATAATGACTATAGATTGGGTAAAAATGTGTTATTACAAGAAATTTAGTCTTTGGAAAATAATTAAAATTTTATGCAAACGAATTCGAAATGTAAAGAGAATTTGTTATCTCCATAAAGAACATGATTTATTTGCATTTTTCAAGAGTGATAAAACACGTTCTATGTTCTTTCTATTTATTATAATATCCATTCCCACTTTCTTATTTGTGACATTGTACACAGATGTATTTAGTAATCCACTATGTTTTTAAAATTCTGATGTGTCATTATGGTCCAACGATTTGAAACTTTCATAAATACATAGATTCAAATGTTGCGACTCCAATCAATTCACGAACCAGATCCGCCACTAATCATATGTTTTACCGCTGCCAGGATCATTTGAGTAGTTTTGTTATTTCATTTGGACAAATTTTAAGTAACAAAACACAAAACCGCATGTACATAAAGCACATAGAGTATATATAGTTTCCCTCTATCTGGTCCTTTTTATTAAAAGTAAAAACAATTATCAAGTGATCGCCATTACGAATGAGGGTAACGCTTACCCTTAGGAACGTCTTGTTTTTAATTGAGTAGTTTATGACTGAAGATATGCAATTTCATGGAAGGAATTCAGTAAAGGAGAGAGGCCTCAAACTATCCATTCTGTGAGAGAATCTCACAGAATGGACAGTTTGAGACCTTTCTCCTACTTAAAACATGATTTCCTTTGTTCTGAAAATGAAATTAAAAAAATACAAAACTAGTATCAGATATGACAGGTAGCACACATACAATGACAAGTTCATTGTTTACAGAATGGACTGTCATAGGTAAGCTAGGGATGCAGAGCAATTTGTTGAATGGCCATTGTGTTTCCAGATGCCCATAACAAAAGGTCTTTGTCTTAAGAATGGACAGATACAGGTGGATTTTGGGGGATACTAGTACATATACAAGTATGCCATGCTTCAAAATCAGTTTATAGTTTGCGTTATAAAGGCATACATGTTTTCCTCCGATGGAGAGAGTATATGACAGAATCAAAATCTAATAAACCAAAATATGCATAAACTTGGTGATATTTGGATCTGGAAACAGAAAAGTAAGAGTAAAAGAAATATTAGCCAAACTTTGACCCAAAAGTGAACTTCTCCGACAGATACAGATAATCAAATTCGAATCAAACCTGGAAATGTTTTATTTGAATTCTATTTTTGAGGATATATTAACTGCAACAGTGTACTGGTGAAATGCATATTGTGTTCTAAATGTTGGGTTAGCCATGAGCCAATCTTCGACCTGAAAATGTTTTTTTCAAAAAAAATCTGGAAATGTCTCATTTTTAATTATTTTCTACGGAAATATTAACTGCAGCAGTGAAGTGTTCATGGAGCAAACTGTTTTCTTGGTGGAGGATTTAATATTAGACGTACTTCTATCTTAAAATGAATTCTCCTCGAGGGAATGATTTTTCTGAAAAGTCAAATGTGAAATTGTGTCATTTGAATTCAAGTTTTGTGAAAATTGAGTTTTGAGTATTGAAATAATGTACATTATTCATGGATTTATAAGGGTAAAATCAAGTGGATCCTGTGCAGACATTGTGTTCTGGATTAACTTAGATCTCCGCGTTCTTTCTGTTATTTACATGTAAATTAAAGAGTATTTTACTATTTGTTTTTGTTTCCCTCTTGAACACATTCCAAAGTTTACCTGTAACTCTCCATTCTGTTTGTTTTAACTGTCCATTCTTTTTGGAAAAAACTGTCCATTCTTAAAAAGAATGGACAGTTTTTCGAAAAGAATGGACACTTACAGGTAGCTTAATGGATTGTTTGAGGAGTTAGCTCAACATTAAGCTATAGAATGGACAACACAAACAAAAGGTTTACGTCACAATAATGTTTTAATAACAGTGTAGGCTACAGATATCCAACCAAAATTGATATCCGCGTATTTTATAAGTAAAGATACGTGTACATCTATAATCAGAAATAAAATGTTTTTTATGGTTGACTTTAAAAACATACTGTGTATAATATATTATCTAAGGTCAATTAATCCCCACTTTTTAATCTTTTTGAAAAAAAAATATATCCAGCCAACTGAATAATTTCCTATTCCTAAATGAAAACAAAATCTGCCCAAATGAATTCATAACTAGTACAAATGAAAAGTACCAAAATAAATTCTACAATTTAATCATTAAATTACTTATTATAATTAGCAATAATTCTGCCATCATTTTCATGAAGAATCCACTTTATTAAGCGTTTTATTATGCATGCGTTAATTTTATTTTATATAAGTACTTTCCGTTAAAGTTGTATCTATACATTTGTACTGTTCACGGTAGCTCAGTCGGTAGAGCGCTCGCTCCGTGATCGGGAGGTCGTGAGTTCGAATCTCGGCCGCGACAGACCTAAGTCGATAAAAAATAGGTAGCAACTGTTCCTTCGCCATGCGCTCGGCACTCAGAAGTGAAAGTTGCGGTTCCTTCGGATGAGACCTTAAAAACCGAGGCCCCGTGTCACGGCAGGCGTTGGCACGATAAAGATCCCTCACTGCTCAATGGCCCTGAGTGCCGAGTAAAGGTCAAAATTTGAAGCCCTTCACCGGTATATGGTGACGTCTCTATATGAGTGAAAAATTCTCGAATGGGACGTAAAACAATATACAATCAATCAATCAATCTATACATTTGTAAGTTAGAGAGAATTTTCATAGGCCATAGAGTGTTTATTTAAAAAAAAAAAAACTAAATAATTCTATCATTTTTTTAAAATCAAGATCATAGTCAGCCGTACTGTTTATCGTTATAGGAATTTAGAGTTTGCTGTGTCTTTGAATATTACTTTCAGTTCGGAATCGAGTGCATCATATGCAATGGTACTTTTTCCCCGCATTATAACACAAATATATGCGATTCCTTTCTTGTCACAGTTTCATGTCCGGAATCATATAATACCTCCATATTTTGGCTAGGATCTCGGTCAATATAAGAAAACATAATATCTCCAAACAACTTTTAAATTTTTTCACACAAATTTGTTCACAAGAAAACACTTCATTCGTTCGATTGGCATTAGCTAGAAATCGGATCGCCGTTTTCTCTCGATTACACTGTCTCAGCATTCATGAAGAGATAAAGAGTACAGAAAACCAAGAAAACAATGAATATTCCATTTGCATAATAATGATATGCGCAGCTGTATGCGCAGTAAAATTGTTTGTGTAATTTTTAGTTTCCTTTGCTCGTGCAATTTTTGATTTTACATTTATGCATTTTATAACCCTTAATCGTGTAAAAAATTTCGGATTCTTGTATTTTTCGTTATGTTTGTGTTAAAGGTGCTTGGATACAGATTTGAAATTAATATTTTCTCAAATTTCCTGTATAATTTCATGACTTATATGTTGCTATAGCATTTCATACTAATATAAAATAAAAATCTTCTTTCATCTCGAAGTTATTGAAACTTCAAATTTCTGGACGCGTTTGATTGACACATCCTTGCACTTTCACAAATTCTAATTTTATTCTTAATACTTAAGAAAAGTGGCAATTTTGTTGTGTATTAATGAAAAATATTGAAACTATAATCCAAAAAATTCAGAGTAGAAATGTTCGAAAGCAAAACCCACTCACAGTATTGTCAGTCCGTGCTCAGTGGTGTGTGCAGACTTTAACAATTGAACACACCCGGTGAATCGTAAACATTAACAATAACAGAGCTCGTGCCCCGTTTACAAAAACAGTTTACGTTTCACGGGTGTATTCAATTTGTTAAACTCTGTACACAACACTGAGCACGGGTTGACGATATTAGTGAGAGGGTTTGCTTTCGCACATTTCTACTCTGAATTTTCTGAATTATAGATGTAATGTTTTTAATACACAACAAAATCGCTTCTTTTCTTAAATATTAAGGATAAAGATAAAATTTGTGAAAGTGCAATGACGTGTTAATCAAACGCGTCTAGGAATTCGTAGTTCCAATAATTTCTAGATAAAAAAAGTTTTTAATTATATTTTCGTGTGAAATGCTATTGCAATATATAAGTCGTGATATTATACAGAAAATTTGAGAAAATATTAACTTCAAATCTGTGTCTAAGCACCTTTAAAATCTTTCAAAGTATGTGCAATTTTTACCGATACGTGCATTTTTATTTTACTCTGTATATTTTTCAGCAATTTCGTGGTTGTGCAGAAAGTAATTTTGATGCAATCGGCGTGCCATAGTAGACATCTGAAAATATTAAGTTTCATCAAAGATGGCGCATTTTAAAGACCACGGAATTAATTTTCCTTTGTTTTCGATGGCTACATTTATGTTAATTGCTATGCACATATCCCTCGATTATTCTGTAAGTATGGACATTATAATTACCATTTGAATAGATTAAATAAAACAGTAAAGCATAATATGTTTTATTTTTAGAAGCACTTCAAATATGAACTGCACATACAGATTCTTAAACAGGTTGATTTGTTATCTTTGGTTGAAAATTACGTCTGAATTCACATTAGCTAACACAGATATAGGGCCATGCAAAACTTTTTTTTCCTATCTAGACTAGATAACGATACATGTACATAAGAAGTGAATTTTTTCATATTCAAGTTTATTTTTACCTCTAAGCTAGAAATAAGAAAGTAATATCTAAGGAATGTGTCTGATTTAAGGGAATCTGGTGTGATAGCCGAAACTGCAACACACAATATTGCGGCGAAGTCGCTCATTCGAATATGCTCAAATCTAGAATATATTCAGATCTATCATTGTAAATGTCAGCATCTTCAATTACATCAACTGCAAACCATGGACACAGTTTTTTTTTTTTTACTCTGTGTATATCTTTTGCAAGAATGTTTTACAATCGCTATAATAGAATATATTTTTTTAGTATGAGAATTTTAAGAAATTAATTATTTCTATATTTTTTCTTGTAAAATAAGGAGTAGAGGCAATACCTCAAAATTTGGTTAAGTTGTTTCTTGTGACAAACAAAAAGCAATATTTCCTAAGTGCTTCATTTTCAAAAGAAGTGTTTTATTTCAAAGAATGAAGTTATATTAGCTTGCAAGAAAAATTCACCATGAAGTATATCATAAATAATTTTGAAACATAAAGGTATCGAGAAACTTTCAAAAAAAATTCGTGTCACAAACTGGCTGAATGAATAGAAAATTGTATCTTTGTTGGAAAAATATAATCTTAGACAATATACTTCATCATTTTTTATCACAGAAGTAAAATATTTTTAAAATTCTGTATTAATAAGCTGTGTTTGTCAAACTTAGTTTAAAGTTTCTCAAATGCAAATCAAACTCATAGGTCAAGACGTGTAAAAAATGTAGTTTCCAATGAAAAGTCTTGTCACAAGGAATCTACTTGTGAAAAAATGAAAGCCCTTGCACCAACCATTCAAAAATCTTTGAAAGGATTTATGACAAGGAATATAGGCGTAAATTATGAAAGCCCTAGCACCAACGGTTCAAAAGTTTTTTTTTCAAAAGTGGTTAAACGCCAAGGACAGAGTCAAAAGGTAAATAATGCTTGTACCCAAATCAAGGACTTGTCAAAAGTAATACTCCAAGGTCAGAATTGTTTGAGCCCAAAGGAATTCCTTATCACAAGGAATACACAGCCCTAGCATTAACCATTTAAAAGCTATGGCCAAGATTAAAGTTTTTCAAAAGTAGGACAAAATCAAAAGATCCAAAATGTTGGTACCGAAGAAAAGATCTTGTCAAATGGAATTAATTTGTGAAATATGAATACCCTAGCACTAACCGTTCAAAAGCATAAAGTTTGGTAAAATTTTGCAAAAGTGGGTCAAACTCCAAGTTCAAGGTCAAGAGGTGAAATATATTAGTACATAAAGAAAGGTCTTGTCATATGCAATATTCATGTGAAATATGAAAGCCCTATCTCCAGTTACTCAATGGGCAAATCAAATCATCCATTACGCGGGCATAAAATAAACAATTACCAGAAAAGTGCTTATGATATAAAAATCCGTGAGATCTCACTGTCAAGAAAAGTAAAGTAATTACGTTACAAAACTCTATTGCCCTGGAATCCTTTAACCTTTGATACTTTCCTTGTTTAAATTGAAATATATTTTGTTAAAAAATATTATATTTTGTACCAATAATATGTATGGGGGCTGTTCGAAAATTATTGAGACAAATCCTTTTACTCCACAAAGGACAGAGATAAATTCATAAAAAAATCGTCAACGTTTTTTAAAGAACACAGAAAACAAATGTACAAAATTTCTAATTTATAGGATAATTAAATAAGTTCCGGTGAAATTATAAACAAGCATATGTCTATTGACCTGGAGCAGCATCGCTACGTCATTTTAACGTCAGGTCAGCCGATATATTCTCATTGTGAAATGATCAGGAAGCGATCAATCTACTTTCTATGTCATTACATATAACATTTCAAAAATCTAACTGTCTCTTATAATTCTTAATCGATTCTTTAAAAAATTTAAAAAATAAAACGTGTGCTGTTGCTACCCCAGTGTAAAATATACACAAAGTGTCAAATACAGGTTGACTTAGCATCATGCAGTACCGAGTTATGCAATGCGTATTTAGTCCGTATTAATTGATGGTCGTCCGAAGCTTTTGTTTTTACTCTGGTTGAATTATTTGTAAGAAAATAATATATACCAATGAAAAAATAAACCCTTAGATATGTTTTATTGCATTGTTATTGTTTTAGCAGGTCGTTTAGTCTGGACAAGAGTTCTCAATACCGCTACACAAAATTTTAGGTATGATCGCTGCTCCGCCTTGACGTCAAAATCCGTTTTGTCGTCGTTATCAGATTGCTATACCGCGCGTAAATTTTTCAATGATCTCCGTATTTCTGATCGAAATTCTAACAAACTTGCACAAAATGAAGTCAAAGTTAAATTGAAAAATTATATACATAATTTGAATTATTTTCGTACTTACTATGGGTCCACTGGGAGTTTTAACGTTGGTGTTATATATTTTCAATATCCGATTTCGTGACTGCGCCGGGTACCCTTACCATTGAAACATTAATATATCATTGAAAAGATGAAATAAAATATTTTTAAAGCATTTCTTGTTTTTAGTGCTTCTTAGAGTTTGTCAAACGTATATGCAAATTTTCACCGAAAAACGTTCATTAGAAAGAAGAATATACACAATGTCTCAATAATTTCCGAACAGCCCTCGTATTTTCCGTCTTCTACAAATGCACAAAATTAGAAATTCTAGTATAGTTTATAGTATATCAAAATCCATTTTCTTGTGACCTACGTTATTATATCATACAGCGTCTATATGGAATGCAAAGCAGTGAATCAAAACTATCAATGAAGCCATATAATTTTTTGAGGGCCAAATAAGTAATATTTTCATGTAGGAAGAGGGCGTAATAAGTTTTTAAAACTTGTGCCCAATCCTTTTGTAATTAGAAACTACAATAAAATATGTTCAAACCAAGTAATATTTTTGTGAAATACGTTATAGTAAATTACGTTACATTTTATTCATATTGTATCCAGGGTCGAGTTTCTTTAATTACCCGACGCCACGAGCGTCAGGCAGTACATGTATAAGGATCAATTTGTTCCATGGTCCGAAACTAAGAGATCATACTTACTGAGCTAGATTTTGTGCAAGCTGATATAGATCGGAATTTATTAACAGCTTGCAGAAGAAAGAATCATATTACTGAAGCAAAATATTGATGTGTTTACTTCCTTCATATTTTTACATGCACCTGTTTATTCTTTGCTATACCCTATAGGACATGTCCGTTTAACAGTTTTTCTACGTTTCTAAACTATTGAATTTGTCTATTTGTCTTCTACGAAAGGGTTGAGACAATCAAATGTCACGAGTAAATTATCTTTGCGCCTTTTTCTTGGTTTGTTCTATTGAAAGGTGATAACTCCCATGGAAATAAATAAAGTTTGTTCTTTAACCTCATTCTTTAGGTTCAGATTTTTTAACTACGAATTTTATATCTCTTTTTTAATAACATCATAACATAACATACGACTTCTCTATATGAGTGAAAAATTCTCGAATGGGATGTTAAACAATATACAATCAATCGATCAATCTTTAGTCTTCAGATATATATATTTAAGATTTTTTTTAATAGACTCCATATCAACAAGGGAAATTGTGTGCAGTTTTACTTTTTAATGATAATCTTTGGTCAACATTTGGTTAACTGGATTGATACATTTTGCCCTGCATCTAACATTGTGGAAATTTCACATCCATATATGTCCTTACTTCTTATAAGGCCCTAAGTACGCGGGGAGGGGGGGGGGTCTGCCCCCCATTTTTTCTGAGAATAGTCTTTTTAATATAGTTTTACTGTGTAAATTGTCATTTTGAAGCTGATCCCCCCACCCACCATTTAAAATATCTTTAATACATTGTCATATATGCTATCCATATGCATGTACATTCCACTTGTATTCCTGTTATTTGAGATACAATAAATATCTTTACGTAAATGTTCACTTTGTAATAAGTTTCCATTCTTCTGATGAGTCGCCAAAAAGGTAAGATAAAAAAATTCATGATGTTTTGTATAAAGTCCAAAAAATGTAAGGTAATGAAATATTACGATCCCCCCACCCCAACTTCAAAAAAGGGACGGAAACATTTATTTCTTATCATGCTTATATGTTCTATAGATATAAATTGCTTAGTCAGGCAAGCTTTTTGAAAAGCTATTACTTGTATTTGATATAATTTTTCATATTTTTTTCATCCAGAGTTGACATGTAGAAATCTATACAGAAGATTTTCTTTTCATTATTGGTTATGAAATATAGTGAACAGTTTTTCAAAGTTATTAGCAAAGCTTAACTGAATTTAGGCGAATAACTCATATCTTTTTCCCCCTTCAAAGTTCTTTTTTTCTCTATCATATCTATATTACCCAATGAGGTTTTTTTCCTTTCATAACTTTATTATCTAATGCTTTCTCTAATATCAACATTTATACATATTTATAAAGTGACATTTATTTGATACAATTATGGACGAGTTTAACTCATTTTATAGGTAATTAAAGTTTTCCCGTTTTTTGTTAACTTATATTAATGTTTAAGTATGCAAATATATTAAAAGGTGGAAACCTGTATATTTGTGTCCTCATTTAAGATATAAAACTATATTAGTGAGTGGAATTTACTGCAGTTATATTTCTTTGAACTGTTCAAAGTTAGTGGGTAGAGACACCTTATTACATCTACTTTTTCCAAAAATAATTCCTGTTATTACGACAATTTGGCAAGAAATTATGATTTCGAGAAGATTAAGCAAACACTTTGAAGATGAATGGAAAAAAACACTAATGTGCTTTTCGCAGAAGGTCCTTCCTCCTTAATCACCTTAGATGTTTTTCAGGTGTTATACACTTAATTGTATCATTACTTTACCAAAGAGGTATTATTTTCAAACATATATCGGGATATAGATATCAGTACGTCAGGTGATCAAATCCCATGAAGCCCAAGGGCTCGATGGTAAATCTGATCACGTACAAACCCGTATCTATATTCCGATAGATACGGATACAAATCTGTACCTATATTCCGATAAATATTTTAAAATAATACCTTATTACTTATGTTTGCATTTGTAATTGACTTATAACAGTTGTAATCTTAGACCAATGTTTTATTTTTTAAAATCTCGAACATATCAACTTAATTCGTTGGATAAATTAATTTGAACTGTATGAGATTGTTTAGAGAGTATTACATTGTGTATATTTCCCTTATAAATAAAATTAATTTGTTCTAGGAAAATTTAAATGTTGTCGGTCCCAAAATCCAAACTGTTCGCCTTAGGCCGTGAACAATTTAGTCGCATGCAAAAGTTCGGTTCGAGGGTTCGACAAAACGAATTCTTCCCGTACACTTTGTAAATGTTTTGTCATATCCTTTACAAAAATATCCAAAGCCAACGAATGTGCAGTTGTTAAAGCGTGTAGGCTGAGTCGGATGATTTTGCCAAAGCTGATCAGGAATATGGAATGCAAATTAATTTGATGCAAAAAAGTCATACCACTTTTACATCCCATCAACTGTTCCAACCATATGGGCTTGTCTTCTGGATTGTCAACTGTAAAATAAATTAATAAAATTTTGAATCTACTTTAAATACAATTGAAAAGTTGTTACAATAAAGATTCTGACACTTTCAGACAAGAAATAACATGTTTTAAAAAAAAAGTACCACACCTATATACATAAACTGTCTGAAAGTGTCAGAATCTTTATTGTAACAACTTTTTAAGTATATTTAAAGAAGATTCAAAATTTTATCAATTCATTTTATATTTGACAATACAGAAGACAAGCCCCTATGGTTCCAACATCTCTCCGAGCACTCTAACATATATTTTCGACCGCTCATTTAAAAAATTAGAATTGTTATACTCTTTTGAAAAAAAAGTTTTATATAGGAATCGATTTTTAAAGGCGTAACAATTAGGATCATTGAATCTTCTATAGTACTTCCATTATTAAACACACCTTATTTCATAGAATGTCATACAGAACCCTGTCCACAGAGTCACGAATTGTCCACAAAATGACACAGAATGGAAAAAGGCTTCTAGAAGACTAAACTGTACTGATGACGACGCTAAATCAGTTAACAGATACCACTGTCTACCGAATAGTGAATTGAGTACTTTGTTGGAATTCTGTTACAGTCAGACAAGGACTCTGGTAGAAGAAGGTATCTCTAATCTGTTTAAAATCATAAATCGTTATAAAAGGCTATGTAGACACAGAGAGGGTTTCAGATAAGTGGATTTTAAGAAAATAGTCTTATTTTTAAGAACAGACAAATTAATATTCTGATACTGATGGAAATTTTCCAGTTTATCATGTGCTGTCGATTTCTGAATTACATGTATTTTATGGATATTTTCTTTTTGTTAAGTTCATGTTATTTGTAATAATAATCTACACTAAAATATCATTTAAAGTCATATATGGCGTATTTTTTATAATTCAGACTAACTAAAATTAAAAAAGATCCTTCTATTTGTTTTATTACTTTATATAAAGATAGGGCTTTCCTGCAAATTACACAATTTAAATCAATCACGTTTCAAAGATATTAGAAATCTAAAACAATAACCGATTTATTTACCGACTTTTCATTTAAATAACAGACACAGTTTTAGGTTAATTTAACTATGGAAACATGAGGCTATTTAAGTTCAAAATCGATGAAAATTTTAGTTTGAACGTAAATAACATATATCATGTTTATATAAACTCAGTTTCGTATTTTTATTTTTTAACTCAGGTACGCCATATATAGCTTTAATAATGATAAAAGAAAAAAAGTATCTAAAATGTTGATCTTTAGGAAATTGCATGCAGCTTGTGTCATCAATTCACATACTGAATAACTACCGGTGTGATCAATTCGATACTGGATGTCCAGATATACCATATTTCAGTGACAAGACTTACAATTGTAAGTACTAGAGTTTTTTTTTTCAATTTTTATTTTATAAATTATTTCGACTTAATAGTTTTATCTTTAGTGATTTTTTTTATCTCCAACTGGAACTGTAAATTAACTTATTTCACCTCATTTCATCGTTAAGACTATACTTAGCAGTAACTATACAATTATTTGTGCTTTGTAAACTTTTGAAAGTTGAACCCCCTTTTTTAATTCACAGATATAGAATGTCTATTCAATATTTCTTCCTTAGGATTATGATTGGTTTTTCAGATCTAGAATGTGTGGAGATTGACCCGGAAAACCATTGTTATTTGGCAGAGCCATCGTGCAAAACAACTACGAGGTAAGGAGCTAGAGATACAACTTTAGATAGATTTGTGAGTAAGATCAATATAATGTATTACAATCACTTAACCAGAGAAAATGTCTCTATACAGATTAATTACCAAATACAATGTATTAGAAACCATACAATTGCGTACAAAAGCAAAAGCAAATAGTTTACCTGCACTGCGGTAAAAATCGGTCAATATATACTGTCACTGTCGAACACCAACGAATGCAAATAAGATTTAGCTGATCCCACCCACAGTGCATGTGACCTAAGTGGTCCAATATCTCATCGACAATCTCACTGTGCGGTCAAACATCGATTTTTTATGACCGCGCAGTAAAACATTGGAAATGTTAGACTTTTTTAGTATAGATTTATATCGGAACTAATTTTTAAAGGTATAACAAAATCTATAGCTAGTTTATAGGTATATAGGTAGTTTAGCTATAGTCAACTCAACATTTTTAAGTTGAAGTCATAGCGATAACATTAACAAACATATTATAATCTTTTTCAGCAAATACAGTTCTCGTTACACAATTAGTTCGTCATATGAGGAAACATCGTCAAAGTCATCGACTGCAAAGAAGGAAGATGAAGAGGAAAAAGTCTCAATAATCGCCCCAATCATCTTGACCATTTTACTGTTGATAGCAATTTTTGTGGGAATATTTTGTTGGAAACTTAGGGTGAAATAAGCAGTTTCCCGTCATGGGAAACCACATGGAAACCTCAAGTTTAAAACATGTTTCCCAGTGGTTTCCGCAGAGGATGCCAGGTTATTCCATCAAGTTTCTGTGGCACGGAAACTACTACGCTCCAATTCCATTAGGTATCCCGAACCAAGGAAACCTGAAGTTCCCCGAGCCTCCATGTAGTTTCCCTAATGGGAAACCTGAAGATTCCACTGCTTTCCAAAATTAGGAAACTATATGTGGAATAGGAGCGTAGTGGTTTCCATGGAATGGAAACTCGATGGAATCCTCAGGTTTCCCAGTAACGGAAACCAGAGGAAACCTCGTGATTCCCGAAGTTTCCATGACTCAGGAAACTACATGGAATTGGAGCGTAGCGGTTTCCGTGTAATGGAAACTTGGTGGAATCATCTGGTGTCTCATAAAAAGAAATTACAGGGAAACTTCAAGATTCCCTTATTTTTCTGAGACGGGAAGCAATGTGTAGTTGTGGTGTAATAGTTTCCATACCATGGAAACTACAGGGTAGGTTGAGCATTTCAATTTTGAGAAATGATTGACAAGCATTTGGAAGCTCAAGGATCCCTGCATTTTCCATGGTGAATCTTTCTTGTCTAGAATGTGAAAAGAGAACAGCAGGTTTAAATCAAATTATATATTATTAATTTCCTTGGTAAAAGGTGTTTTCTTTTCAAAATCTATTAAGAAAATGTATAAAGAGGAAAAAGCATTATAAAATCATATGTTAATAATTCATTTGATGTGCAAAAACATTATTTTAAAATGATACCAAAATAAATAAAATCATATATCATGGTAAACAATGAAGTAGTCTTTCACATCTAAGTCCATTCATAAACTTCATTAAATACTCAGTACTTCTTTCAACATCAGCTTCCCTTGTATTTTCTTCACATCATCTGCCATCTGCAATATATTTTCATAAAAAAATTATTATTTGATGTAAGAATTGTATGCTTGAACATTATTTAGAAATCTGACAAGAGCACTCAATGTCCTTTAATGTACCAATATCAGTGATTAGTTTCAGTCTTTAAATTTAATGATCATGAAATCATAATAATGCAGGTATGATTGAGAATATGACCATCTCATACAACACTGCTTTTAGTTGAGTCAACTGGGGAGAAATGTGCTCCGGACAAAGATATTACAAATCTTTTTTTTCTTATTAATTGATATTTGACCAAGAAAATTGGTTAAAGATCACTACATACCCTTCATCCCATGGAACAAGCCAGATCATACCAAGGGAGAAAAATTATAGTCTGAACAAGGACTTTAGATAAAGATGTATAGGGTATTTTGATACTGAACTTTGATCTAGATAAATGAGCTAAGGTAACTTTTTACCCTCCGTCCACAGGCACTCTATGAGTTAAATTTGAGTGAGATTGGGCTAGAAAATATACTCAGGACAAGTGATATCAAATGGACAGACAGATCATCTCATGGCATCTGCAGAACAGGACCCTAAAAAACAATGCATATATATGTAAAGCTATATCCGTACAAGTCAATATGAATTCATCATATGTTGCATTGCATACACATGCTTTAATCATGTTTAATACCTTACGAATAATTTCATATTGCATGTACAATCAGTTTACATACAAATAATCTAAATTTCATCAAAAACGACCAACATAACAGCCATTCAAGATTTAGCTAATCAACATTCAGTACAAGTTCAAGTCGGTCCTACTAAACAGAGAACCCTAGAGGACTCTAGAGAACCCTACAGAACTCAAGGTTTATTTGGTCAATTCAAATAAATTTTATGCATAATTGAGTTTATTTTTACTTTATTAATCATATTCTATCTATAAAATCAATAACAAGAATTTTTAATAATGTTTTCCCTCGAAAAAAGTTCAAAACGTAACAACATAGACTAGTGTAATATTTTATGTCATCCCGATCCCAACTGAATTTCAAATATGTTGTTAATTGAAATAATAATTTTACCACATAATTTTACAATTCTTTTTCATTGAGATTTGCAGTCTGTGTATACACAGTAAACATAAATTCAGACATCCATATCATTTCAGACAAATTTTAACAATTTTAATACAATATAACAAATATACTGTAATATTTGTGTACTTTGTCTTTTGCAATTTTTCATCACATATAGCGGGAATAATTGGAACTTTCGTGGGATTAATTTTTTTTCTAATTAAAATAAATGAATAAAACCGATTATTTTCATCATTTTTCTTAAATCAAAATGTAAAGAAGAAAAATAAATAAATGTGTTTATATTTTGAATATTAGCATGATTGGTAAGTTTGGTTTATTTCCATGCCAGGCCAGGCCGCTCATACATGATGCATACGTGGTATAAACACATAATGCTTTCAGTAAAACTCTACCAGCTGTTCTTTGACGTTACATATTTAAAAAAAAATAAAATAAAACCCTTTACCTAATAATTAGGTATGGGGTTTATATATATATATATATATATATATATATATATATATATATATATATATATATATATATATATATATATATATATATATATATATCAAAGAAAATATGGAACGTCAAGTGCCTGTGTTCTTTTCCTTTAGAATTTGATCTACCTTATCTCCCCTTTCTCTAAATGAATGAATAGGAATGATTTGAACATGTAACGATATTTTGTATACATGTACACATGTTAAATACATGTACATGTTGTTTTTCTTATTCATTTCATGTATTTCCTTCTCTGCTAAACATATACTGGATGTGTAGGAATACCCTAAATTATTACCTTTCTCTTACATGTAACATTTTGTATTTATTTATATAACTTTGTTGCAAATAACCTGAAATAATAATCATACATTGATGTTTAAAAAGGACAACATTGAATATTTCAGATTCTGATTCAAAACGACTACCCGTAACAGTTTTTACTGACATGTGCATGTTTTTGAGCCTTCGTAATTCTGTAAACGAATTTAAAATAAAATACCTTATGTTTTTATTTTAAAAAAAATATAGAAAGAAAGAAAAACACGAGGTACGTGGTCAACACACAGCAGTTCCTATTGTCAAGTAAGAGTTATCTCCTTTAATACTGCAAACTCTCGTATCAAATGCTAAATGAATCAAATAAAAAAATATTTTTTGAATTAATTTTTGGTCAAATGTTAACCAAATACTTTATAAAAGTAATGTATCAAATATTGTAATAAGAAATTAGGGAGACAATACCGCGGGCGGTTAGATTTTCTCTGCAGGCGTGCTCTACGAAATATGCAAACTATAAAACGAATAAAAACTCCAAACTGTGCTTTTTAAATTATTTATGTTTAGTAAAACATCAACAACATGGTCTGTAAAAGTAATATATCTAACAAATACAAATTAATTCGATAAATAACACGGCAGGCGTTATAGATTTTCTCGACAGGCTTATTTTCCCCTGGCAGACGTCGGCAGGCGTATTTTAGTATATTACCCTATGGTGCCATAGGGCTAGCTATATCTACAAAGTCTACTATGATGTCTTAGCATTTTGAAATTATCATTGCTCAAGAAGGCTGAACACTTACTTGGATCAACTTCTGGTAAAGATTTTTGACTGTCCTCATCATGCTCAATATTTTGGGATTCGGGTACAATATCTGTTGAGGTTTCAGGAACGGGAACTGAATCCTTTAGGATTTTGTCCTCACCACTCTCTATACTAGTGGTTAATACGGTGTCTGCTTTCACAGATTTGTCAATTGAACATGATTTTATTTCTTGTACCACATTCGAAGACAACTTTTTGCCTGAATTGCGGCGTGGACTTCTTCTTTTGCTTTCTTCTTGAAGAGCCACAGTCGCCGGTGTCAGACTGAGACAGGCTGTTTTTCTTTCAGTGTCTTTGCAAGCTTTAGAAGACAGATACAATAAATGGACAGTTAAAGATACAACCGCATACAGATGGAAACCAATTCTGAGATGTTACAAAATAATAATGGGAAATATACCTATAATGACAGATTCTTTTTCATCTAGTTTAAATACATGTGTATGTGTTTCGATTCCCTTTGTTGGTGATGTTTTAGATCTTTTTCTCCTTTCAGCTTTTTTACAAGAGTTGTCTTTCCTGCTTCAGCACACCCAATCACCATTCCCCTTCCATTAAAGACACAGATACTTCCAGTTTTCATACTATTTACAAATCGTTTTATATTCTGTGAACTCCAAAATAGGATCTCCCTCGGTACATTCACTAAAACAAAATTGATATGCTTAATTATTTGTACAATCTTTGCATCCTAATTGCATTTAACATCTTTTGGACATTTTTCTGACTTAAATTACATGTACACTGAAATTTTTCTTTTTAAGTAAACTAATTTTATTTCTTTACACTTTCAACACACATCTCCTTGCGGTGTCAGGAAATAATCGTGTATCGTTTGGCAAAGGTCGAAAAAAGTCAATCCCTCGGCTGTCGATTTCACTAGTAATGGCATCTGAAAAATATTTAGGGAATTTTTTTTTTTCAAATTTATTTTTTTAAATAAGTTAAAAAGAATCTTATTTTTTCTGAGTTTCTTTTTCTCATTAAACTTCCATCCATTTAAGGTTAATGTTTTACTTAAATCAGATATATGATGCAAATTAAAAAATAAAAAAAAATTATCATCATGTTAAAATTGATATTTTACGACTTTCTTGCAGAATTTACAAAAATAAATTTAAAAATGCTCTGCACTCATTGCTAGTAGATAATGGCTTAAAATCGGTTGCTGAGTTTATGATAAACGTCAACCTACATACACTAAAATATTGTAGTAAATACTATATTTTGTTCAGGATTCTGAAAAAAAAACCTAGAAGAATACCGTCAAGATCCAGGTCCAACAGAGCAGTACCTTCGGCACATTTTTCTACTTTATCTGCATGAAATAAATTTGCTTGAAAACCAAATCAAAACTACAACGCTTGCCCGAGTCATTTTTCTATATGGATAAATGAACTCTATTATCATAACCTCAATCGATGGACTGTTTATGTTTTCAAGAATGAAAATACGGCTTTATATATTGATAACTGAATATCACATCGGTAAATTACATCTTGTTGTTGGCTTTTGTTGCAAAGGTAAATGTTTGAATGCATATTTCACTTAACTAATTATTTATATTGTGAATGTTGCCTTTCATTTGAGCAAATGTAAGGTTTCTTTTACTCAATGTTGGCCAATGGAAGTTTAGTTGAAATTAGTTTTGTGGTTCTTAAAGGAAACATACAACTCGGTAAAGTAAGTTGATCAAAAGCCAGACAAACATCCATCAGAAAAGCTTGCTTGAACCTCTTGCTTAGAAAGCGTAAGAAAATACAAGAGGCCTTCAGCAGAAATGTTGGAAGAAATTTCGGATGTTTTGGAACCACCTGCTAAACGCGCGAAAGTTTAAATGGGGGTGTCCGAATCCACAGAGAGGATGTGTTCTAAATCTGCCTGCACTGGTGTTGCTGCATATTACAATTATGTGCTTGACTTTAAATTTTGACAGTACAATGCAGAATTCCTGTGTAATCAATCAAATGTGGATTTTTGGTAAAAATTTGTGAGGTACACAGAAATTAAAGAAATGTGAAATTATATTATGTAAAAATCAAAGTTTGAAAATGTTTTTTAGCATATGTGAAGTACACAATATATATAAGACAATACATGTATAAAGAAAAAATTGCAAAAATGTGAATTTATAAAATGATTTAATTTGTTTTCAGAATAAATTGTATCCATTTATTTTGAAGTCTTTTTAGTGCAGTTGTTCAAGTTGTTTGTGTAAAACGACATCATTCATTCAGCAGGTATGTCCTGTCAAACTATGACTGAAAATTAACATTATTCATTCAGCAACCAAGGTCTGAAATTTACACTGATCATTCTTTCAGTTAAGGGCTTGACACTAAGGCTTGATGCCAAAAAGTGGGCGTGACTAAAAACAACTGTGATTCTTCTGGCAAATACACCACAGCAACATCAAAGTAAAATTTGAATTTACCATCAGGTCAGTCCTATGGTACAATTATTATATATCAATCCATGCATCAAATTTTTGTTTGTTTAATGCACGAGGGGTGATCAAAAAGTTCGCGAACTATCCCTTTATTTACAAAACCACAATTCAGATCAAAATGAAATTTGGCATACATATAGTCATACACATATTCTATAAATAGCAGGTGTTATTAATGTTTTGTTCCGTGTTTGTGACGTCACAATGTGAAAATGACGTCAATATGTATGTGACTTGTGACACAGGCACTTGGGGTATGGAACCCCCCCCCCCTTTTTCCATTTTTTTTTCTTTTTAAATCTGGGGTCGAGTCACCTTTTTCCTATTTTTATATTCTAATATGCACTTTATATTATCAATAATGTAACTCTTTTGTCTCTATATGCTGTTTTTAAATAAACCGTTTTCGACTGATACATAAAAAGAAAGAAGGCTTGCAACTCTTTTCTCATCGTCTGCCTCACCTCACTTAAACTTCGCCTGAGTATTTATCGAAAGAATAAGAAAACTTGGAATATGCATACATCAATAAATTGATTATACATTCTTCTTCCTTTTCATATTTCCATTCAATTTTTATGTGCCCCCGATTTGTAAATATTTCGATTAAATCACCCGCATCTAGGGTAAATTTTGTTGATGTGCACCAGATGGGACGGAAGTGCACTAACGGTAACTCTATAAATGTTCTGCATTAAAAAAAAAATCCAGGCTTTACAATAACAATATTGTGAAATTCGGTTGTCTAGGTCGTCTGTTAAAAGTTAATATTCATCCATTAGAATTTGCTAGTTAAAGTTATCTTGTTATTCACAGAACTTACCGTTACATGTTATATGAAGAGAAAATTCGGGATTTATTCCTTCTCGCATTTAATTAAAAGTAAATTTCCAAATTTCTCGGCATTAGATGATGAACAAAAACTTTTTTGGTTACTCAATACTGAAGACAAAGAAACACTTAATTCTGTGGGCAAATTCATAAATGATAACATGTTGTAGTAGTCATACAGTTTTATATATAGTATTCCCTTTAACTGAAATAGTACAATATTGTTGAAATGAGTAATGTCATTTACAAGTTGTTATACTATCCATTGGCATATCTTTTCTTTATTATTGTAATGATTTCATACTTGTCTGTTATGGGCTCTAAATTAGAAAATAAATGTTCTGTTCTGTTCTGTTCCGAATGACATTACACGTAATGATGATACCCGAAAATACCGGGCACTTCCGTCCCAGCTGGTGCACATCAACAAAATTTACCCTAGATGCAGGTGATTTAATCGAAATATTTACAAATCGGGGGCACATAAAAATTAAATGGAAATATGGAAAGGAAGAAGAATGTATAACGAATTTATTGATGTATGCATATTACATGTTTCCTTATTCTTTCGATAAATAATCAGGCGAAGTTTAAGCGAGGTGAGGCAGACGATGAGAAAAGAGTTGCAAGCCTTCTCTCTTTTTATGTATCAGTCGAAAACGATATATTTAAAAACAGCTTATAGAGACAAAAGAGTTACATTATTGATAACATACAGTGCATATTAGAATACAAAAATAGGAAAAAGGTGACTCGACCCCAGATTTAAAAAGAAAAAAAAATGGAAAGGGGCGGGGGGTCCATACCCCAAGTGCCTGTGACTTGTGACAAAAAATGGTTGACTCAGTAGTACTCGAGCAACGAACGGCTGTAAAGTTTAATTTATATCTTGGAAATTCCTTTGCAGTAGAATATGATAATTTGTGCAAAGTTTATGGAGACAAAAGACTTACCAGAAGTTCAATCATTAATTGGATCGATTGTTTTAGTAAAGGCAGGGAGATGGTTAAAAATTATGTTTGTTCTGTTGCCCAGCGAAAGCAAGCCGGGGAAAAGATGTGTCCTTAGTTGAGCAATTTGTTATGAAAGATCGCCAAGTTACAATTAGAAAAATAGTTGAATATCTTAACAATAATATAGTTATTAAATCCCTAAAATATCGTTTACTTTAGACTTTAAACATTTGAGATATGATAAAAAGAGGTCGCCCATACTTTATCCACATTGGATAAACGACGCTTCCGAGGCAGAGAACTCGGGTTTTGATGATCACCATGCTAATTCTGGGAAGGGATATCTTTATCCACCCACCCTATGATCGAGATTTGGCCATTTCTGACAGATGGACTGTTCTTGTTATAAAAAATAACTTGCATGTTAAGAAATATAAGACTCGGAAAAATCTTTTAGCTTCTGTGAACAGAACGCCACGGAGCATGCCACGTGACCGCCTGGATCACGTGAATTGCGCATGGGCAGAAAAATGGCAGATGTGCATTATAATCGGAGAGGACTACTTTAAAAAATAATGAGCACAGACACCTCATTTTATTTCTTTTAAGGAAGTAATTCAATTAGTTCGCGAACTTTTTGATCACCCCTCGTATCATTAATACAGAAGCATCCTCGGGTAGTGTAGATTCAATTTTGTTTAAATTATGACCTCCTGGAGTATGGTGGATCCACAAAGTTTTACATAGGAATGTATCGGGGAAAATCTTTAGAAATCTTCTTAAGTATAGCAAAGCCATGATTAGTAATATCAATATGGAAGCAAGTTTGTTCAAATCATCACCCCCCCCATCTCCGGGGGGGGGGGGTTAGAGTGGGACCATTTATATATTGAAACTTTTTAGTACTGAACTGATCATTGCTTATCTCTGTCTAACGTGTTCAGATGAGCGATGTGGCCCATGGGCCTCTTTTTTCATTTTATTTTTATAGAAGATTAATTCGATGCTTCTGTCTATAGTACAAATGCCCAATGTCACAACAAATTATAGCATAAATAAAGACAAATGACACATTTTATAAGGAATAAGAACACTGTGAATTTTTTTTAAGTGTACTTCAGATACTTAAAATTGAAACTTGTTAAACTTGTAGATATGTCATTGCTACAGGTTGTTTACGGATATTTTTTTCTTATAATTCATATTTTTTCCGATTATTTAAAGTAGTACAAAATTTTCCATTTTTAATTCACACATTTACAGAGGCCACGCTCTTAACAGTATTTTCTTCCTGTTCGTAAAAAATATGCGTGTATATCATGGCGACTGTCATTATTTTTTATCTGTGTTGCAAGACAGATTACAAGAAGCCATGGATATGGTAAGGAAGCATTTATTTTAAACATCATATCTATACATTATGGTGTCAGTACAGTAGTATAAAATCATGGTATCATAAAAAATCTTTGAATATAAATTCTTCATTTGTTGATCTGTTTCTTAAATGGCTACAAATATAGGTCAGTCAAAACTATTAGCTCTTTTGTTACACTTAGATATGAATTCTAGTCGAAATTAATGATAAATTTGAAGTCTTGTGAGTTGTGAATTGTGAAATCTTCATGTTAGGAAACAGTTAACCATAAACACTATTTGTATCACTTCTTAAGAACGAATCTCCGTCTTATCATTATTGGGATGGCAGGACCTCAGTTCCTAGGTTCAAAACTGCTAGAAAAGGCTGAAAATATCCGTTTTTATCCTTCTATAGTAAAACATAAAATATTTTTAAATATTTACATTTCTAATTGTTTTCTCTGTAATAATTCATTGAAAGTTAGGTGAGCTGATTTCCTGATAATTACATCTGAATGTAAATTTCGCCAAGTGAAAGGTCAGGAGCCTAATATGTATGTCAATCTTGACCGGCTGACTTTTTGTCTGTAGTCAGTGGGCGGAAACTATTGAAATTAGCAATGGGGTGCCTCGTGTATTTTAAATCTATTAGACAGCGGTGCAGTGGCTAGAGCGTTTGCTCAAGAGTCGCGATGTAAAGTGTTCGCCCGTTATGCAAATTATCCCACTTTTCCAACTATCGTTGATGCCCTGGCATACCCAACAAACTAGAAAGTTATTCCTTAAATAAGTATATTCAATTTATTGCTATTATTTTTTTTATTGTTTATATTGAAAATTTATTGCATTGATTTAAACAGCATCTACAGGAATTGCATATTTTAAAAAAACGGAATCTTTTATTTAACCTTTACAGCGTCTCATGCAATACAAAATAGTTATGATAAATAAAAATGACGATGTAGATTTGTAATTAGAATTTTTTGTAAATCTGCTCACGAGTTAGATATATACATCAGAAACTCAAAGTGAAATGTATATATGGATATACATGTGTTATTTTGTACTTCAAAATTTGTTTTCGTGGATCAACAAATGAAAAAATATATTCACAGACTTTTTTAACAGAAAACATTGCACTAAACAAACCAGCAGAACAAAGTTCCACCTTTTACACCACTATTCTGAATACATCAGTCGCTGAGGCAGTAGACAGGAACACGGACCATACATGTGTTTATTTTGTTGTTCAAAATTTTTCAAAGATTGTTTTTGTGGATCAACAAATGAGAAGATATAATCATAGACTTTTTTAAACAGAAAACATTGCGCTAAACAGACCGGCAGAACAAAGTTCTACATTTTATAGTACTAACATAAATACATCTGCTGCTGAGGCAGTAGACGGGAACACGGACCAAAGATTAGATGGAAATAGTTGTGCAAGAACATATCTAAATAAAGTTGTTTGGTGGAGAGTTGATCTTCGAAGTGTCCAAAGCATATACAGCATAAAGGTGTTTTATCACAATGATAGTGATGAGCATGGTCTGTATAATTCTAAGCAGTTTTAGAAACGAACGAAATACATCTGTATTATTTCTTTTGTTTTTATGCAATCAGTGAATATCTGGTTTTGAAAAAAAGAAGAAAAATCTTTCCATTATCATTTATCTTCAGCTTTTTATTAAAAGAAAAGTATCTTTATCAAAGCTTCTTCCAATGTTGTATATGAATGAAGTTTTAATCTATTTGAAAAGTTAAATCACACCAAGCAACCCACGCCGGTTTCTCGCTGTATATTTCCAACACAACTGAACCCAAAGATGGATTTCTTTGTTACAAGAACAGCGATACGCTACCTTCACTCCTCTCAGAACATGTGTGTATCCTACGATGGCCGATAACGGCCGCCACATCACAACTTAACTTACTGCCTTGTGTACATGTAAAATTGAACAATTTAGCACAGACATAATACACAAAAACCTTTGTTGGTAAATGTACATGTACAAATTGACAAATTCTACTATGTACAAAATGCACAGAAACCTTTGTTGCTTTTTGTGCAGAGAAATTGTCAAATTGACGAAAATGACACTTTCTAACAAAGAACCTTCTGATTGACATATTTATGTTGATTCTGAACTTTGATAAGATAATTGAAATCATGTGCAATTCCAAGCCGTAAACTTTCCACAAGATAAAACGCACATATGAAACGATGAATTTTTTAAGAGGACATGAATTCTTCAAAACCCAAGGCTAAAGAAGAATAAAGAAGAATGGACTCTTCTGTCGGTGTGTAATATATTATTCAGTACTTTTTGAGCCTTTTTCATGTTTTTGTAAAACATTGTTATTTATCTCTTCATAAAGAAATATGAATAATATTTTCTTTTCTGTTTGCTAAAACATTAATTTACTTTTTCACCTAGACGCTTTGCTTGTAAAATATGCTCAGAAGAATATGACGTATTCTGAAATTTCTCGTATTTTGAAAAAGGAGCACTCAATTACGCTTAGGTAATTATATCTTTAATCTTTCAATACATTTATTGAAATGGTGTTTCTTCGGGTGTTTAAAAAATGCATATCATAAGTTATAGTTTTCATAACATTCTTTATAGCTCCAACGCTATATGCAAACGCCTCATTCGCTTAAACTATCCTCGAAGAAGAGGACAGACAAACTGTACTGACGCAGATTTAAGAGCACATATTCAGGTAAATTAGAGACTTGAATCTTCTGAGTACCAGGTAGATGTATGCACATATTTCTTAAAATGCAGTTTATGTTCTTAGAACACATATGTCACACATTTCCTATTTCAGGAACTTCTGACAACTGTACCTAATACAGTCGGATACAGATACATGACAGACATTCTCAAACATAAGGGTATTCCAGTTAGAAGGTATACATGTACATGTATACTGGTTCCTTATGCTCCGTTCACAAGGAGAATTTAATTTGCAGTAGATTAAGTAAAATAAATGTTAATTAAACTACCTTTATCAGACCACCGATATGTAGCATGTAACTTAATTCTGCCGATACGCACACGTCAAAATTTAATTCAAATTAGCCTCGCGTAGCGTTAACACGGAGAAAATGCGAAGTAATTTATTAAGGTGCAGTAAACTAATTCGAATTACTGGTAAATTAATTCGCATGACAATCTCCGTGTGAACGCGGTTCAAATTCAATATGCAGTAACTTATGTTTAATTCGAATTCTCCCTGTGAGCAGGTCATTAAATACATACATGTTATACACATGTGTTTGATCTATAGTCATATACATTTTCTTAGACATTTTTTTTCAGGGATAAAGTCATGCAAATATTAAGAGATCTGGATCCTGTTGGTGTTCGTTTTCGTAGACGTCGCCGTATTATGAGGAAAGTTTACTACTCGTGTGGACCTAACTTTATTTGGCATGTGGACGGGTAGGATATGTACATTCAATTTTACACTCAATTAATTGAATATCGTTTCATGTATTCTTTTCCTTAAATTTGCCGTAATATATTCTCTTTTTTATTTTAGATACGACAAGCTAAAACCGTATGGATTCCCAATACATGGATGTATAGATGGGTGAGCTGTTTTTATGTAATCATGTAAATTTTATGCACACACAACGCAAAGAAAGAGCATCTTCGGATATCTACAAGTGACGTATAAAATAAAATATAAATAATCATGCACTGATTACCGACATGTACGTAGCTTATTGTAGCAAAGAACAGTAATTTAAAATTAAAGAGAATGTGAACTAAAAATATATAATTATATGTATGTGTATTATCATAAGTACTGCTTTTTAAAGGTTTAATTTACTAGGGATGTGATATTGATCTTTATCATATACTGAGTAGTAAATACACCGATTCTGCACTGTGCGATACGGGTGACGTCACAATACCCCTTATCAAGGACCGGTCCGAAAATCCATATCACGTATCGGACCGGCGGGCAAAAATTCATATCAAACCGGAAGTAACGTTTGTTTAAAGTTTAAAAGTCAATTAACTTGATTTTATTTAAATACACATGTAAAAGAATTCTTTACTAATATCTGTGGACTTAATTTGTTTTCAAAGACCTAAAATTTGCTTTATTAAATTTTAAAGAAAAAAGTTCACCCTCGGACCCCATATCAGCCCTCGGGCCTTCGGCCCTCGGGCTGTTATGGGGACACTCGGGCTGATATGACATATGATATGGATTTTAGTATGTAATATTCCCTATGTATCAGCCCGTAGATCCATATCAGCCCTGCAGGGCTGTTACGGCTATTGTGACGTCAGGTATATCGTATATGCAATGAGCCTGTTTATTATACCTCATTATAATTATTTTTTACAACGCATTATCTGATTGGTTCTAGATTATCACATGACAGGGACATAAAACTTCATATTTCCCTGTCGTCGGCATTCACCTAGTGCATTTTCCCGCAATAGTTATCGTTCGTTGAACGAAAACTACTGAGAGTAGTAGACAAATCTGGTTCATGGCACAAAATTGCTGACTGTTTTTTGTGTCCATGGGATTCAGTATCTTCACATTAAAATTGAAAGTGATTTTGAGAGAAGTGCCGAATTTGAAAGTTTATGTTTGCTTGTTCGGTATAATAAACAATTTATTGCATGCATACTTCCCACAGTTATTCTAGGAAGATATTGTGGCTTGTAGTTGGGCCATCCAATAACAACCCAGCGATTGTTGGTCAACATTTCCTGAATTGTGTGAGAAGATTGCAAGGTAAAATTTCTGTTGGTGGACAAGAGATAATTGAGGAATTGACAATGCGGGAGGGGGGGGGGGGAGGTCCAGGAATTAGGGTAAGCTGGGATGTGTGAAAATGGGTTTGGAGCCGCCTTAAGGCCCCAGCAGACCTGTCTCCCCGGTAGCTATTAATATTCTATGTACTCTCACACAACTAATATTAAAAGCATTTTGTTTTTAGATTTAAACAATACATGTACAATGCGATCTTTGTGCATAATTATGTGATAAATTTTACGATTCCAAGATTGCAGAAAAATGCATACAATACATACGGTAGTAATTTAATTTGGATTCTGTCCCTTGTAATTCTAGTTGGTAAAATAGCGTACGTATACTTTTAATTAGGTTGTCCTACTATTCTTCAAAGTGATCCAGGCACAGAAAATATAATAATGGGAGCTTTGCAATGTCTCTTTCGACATGAAGGAAAAGATATGTTCACTGGTATTGACAGTTATAGGGTCGTTCGGTCCCTTTTCAATCAGGTAAGATACATGTATTGACAAACTCTCTATCACCCCCCTTTCTCCCCCTCTCTCTGTTTTTCTCTGTCGGAGTCATTTAATCTTTTGTTTCAACAGAGGATAGAATGTTGGTGGAGCATGATGCGAAGACATCAAATGGAATGGTGGATACATTTTTTTAAGGACCTAGAAGTTTTTGGTGCCTTTCAAAGGGGGAATCTGCATCACATGTAGGTTATTGTTCACTTTTTAGATCCCAACATACATTTATGTGTTTGTTTTTAAATACAAAATAGATTTTATGTGAAGGTCTTTCATTGTAGATATGCAATACGGTTTTCATTCATGCCACTTTTACAACATGAATTGAACAACTTAGTGGAACAGTGGAACAACCATTCTATTTCATACAATAGGCATGCAGCTTGCCCCCATGGGAAACCAACAGTACTTTATTTGCTACCTGAAGAGAAAGGTATAAAAATTTCAGAAATTTCAGAAATCTGATTTTGCTTTATGTAGGTTATGCTTAAAATTTCACTCGAAAGCTTACAATTTAGCTACATTTAACATGCCAAGAAAAGGTACGCATTCTAGTTTTAGAGCGAACTCAATAAAAGCGGAATTAGCGTTAATCGGTGATTTTTCCCCAGGGAGATGTGTGCGAGGCAATTAATGTCAGCAGTTTTGAGGGAAGGATCTTAAGTTTTACTGGTTTGAAATTAAAGCTAGAATACTTATTATTTAGAAGCCTTTGCACCTTTTTTTCCCGTTTTTTTTTTTTTTTTTTTTTTTTTTGTTTTGTTTTTTGTTTTTTGTTTTTTTTGAGGGGGGGGGGTGCGATTTTCCATGCAAATCATATGCGGTTAAAAAAGTAAAAAAAGAAGAAAAAGAAAGTGAAATAAATTGTAGTGAACTAATTAATTGTTTGGTAAAAATTAGACGCCTTTCAAATTTTTCAGTGTTTATATATCAAAATATTTTTTTCCTATTATAAATTAAGATCGGGCACGATGAACTTGGTTGTTGTGGAAGTATCGCGCCTTATTAAGGTATCATACCGGTAATTGACCAATGAAAATGAACTTAGTCAATTGTAGTTCCATACCTATAAAATTATTATTTTTTCCTTTTGAATTTTTTTTTTATTTCCTTCCAGTCTATTTTTACAATTTTGGTACCTATGTCTAGTGCATTTTACATATTTTGTAAATAAATAAAGGTTTTTGACAGGAACTATTTTTTTCAGGGCATAGGAGGCTACTTCCTGGGGTAGAAGTTTATTTTTCTTTTACTAAGAAAACGGAAAACTTAGGATCCACCCCCTCAAATCTGCTGCCGTTAATTGTCTCGCCAGCGTTAGGGGAATATGGGTGATTTGCATCAATTACACTTTTATTGACTCCATCGCTGTGGAAAAATGGACGGGATTTCTTGGCATGTTTACATTATATAGACTTCTTTACACCTTAACTATTGTTGTTCAATTTGGAAGGATGTCTCATAATTTATTTTTCTTTTTTCAGGATTCCTTAACTGTCTTCAGTCAGTGAATGAAGAAGATATAGAGTTTGCAGGCACACAGTGCAAAGTTCCATCCAGAAGTGGATCACATGACTTTGATGAACAAGCCTCTTTGATTTTTATTCAAAGAGGTTGGCATGATGCATCTAATTGGAGAGAGGCACTAGCACAGTATTTTGTTCTACGTGATTACTGATTACATGTACCTTACAAGTGACGATACTACAACATGTATGAACGGCTTTGTAAGCATTCAATGTATTATTGAAAGATAGCTAGGAACAACCTATTTTTGTGTTTCTTGATTATCTCCCTATGTAAGGGAGCTTGGTCCTTCATTTTTACAATTTTAAGTCACCTTTAACCAAGGATGCTTTGTACCAAGTTTGATTAAAATTGGCCCAGTGGTTCCTGATAAGAAGTTGGAAAATGTGAAAAAGTTTACAGACGGACGGACAACGGGTGATCAGAAAATCTCACTTGAGCTTTCAGTTACAAATTCACTGGGACAATGTTAAACTGTTTGATTTGTGGAGATTATTACTTCTAAATCTAAATATTAAATGTTACGGCCGAATATAAAAATTCTGGTCCAGTCTAGACAAAATAATAATTTACTAACTGAAGAACTATTTTGTTAAAGAATGTTTGACAATGTATGACTTGAGGAAAATTGAATTTTTATATTCAGGTGAGCTAATGATAAACATGATTATATTTACAGTGCATTCTATGATTTTATTTATAGTTTGAAGATGTGGTTTAATATAAATTCTAATTAAATTCCACTCCTCGGTTAACATTAAATTGACCAACTGTAAAATTCGTTTCAATAAAAATATTATCCCCAACTCTCTATCTTGAGCGATATTTCCCATTGATCCCCCACTTCTTTGAACTGGTGACAATTACTTCTGTCTAGCAAATTGTCTTTTAATTTAATCTGATGTGACTTCCCAACAGGACACAATTGGTTGCGGGGTTGTATTACACCACTACATTATCGGGGCGTATGTCCACTGGATTTGTCACATAAAAATATATGTAGTATTCAAAGGATATCATGTTTATTTTCACAACGGAAGAGAGATTTTTGTGTTTATTAAAGTAATAGTAAAAGTTCTCAAACCGTATTTTATTCCAAAACTAAAAAATGAGTTCATGCTCATCTTTGTGCCTTCTGTTCTTCCAAAACAAATACAGCTATACTGTTAGTCGTGTTTAACCTTACTTTAATCAAGTTTAATTATTTACATTTGCAAATATTTTTCTTAGATGAACCTATTGAAGAGAAAATATGTTCAATTCTGTATGAACTTATTAGGGGGTCAGAGGTCATGGCGTGACCGAATCACACAGCGAGACGATATCTTGTCTACATATTTCTGTCACAGTGACACTGTTTCGGAACTTCTGAGCCGTTAAAGCGATGAAAAAGATAAAATTATTGAAACATATATATTTTTTTTCGTTCAACAAATGATCATTATATCTTTCTTCGGTGTGAAGAATGTTTAAATTAGCCTAAAATCACGCTTACCTTTTTAACCCGAAATTCCTTTGAAGGTATGTAAACTGAAGACGATACCACCGCTTTTGACTTCATATATAAAGAACTCATACAATAATAGTAAGATTATTCTCAGTAGCGATCATTGTTTTTTTCATTACGAACAGTTATTTCCTGAACTGGACGGCTTAACATCCATGTAAATATTCAAATGTTGGAGCGAGGCGAACTCTCAAGACCAAACAGCTTCTAGGTCATTGCGCGTCACAACATAGCAATACGGCGGGCCGTTTGTGTAATAAATGCAGTTCTACTCAGAACATTCGTCTCAAATGTAAATAAAAGTAATAAACAACAATGTTAAAAAGTTCACTGGGAAATGAACTTGGTTGGTACGTGATCAAATCTTCTGAGAAGCCCTTCGGGCTTCACAGGATTTGATCACGTGACCAACCAAGTTCATTTCCCAGAGAACTTTTTAACATTGTTGTTTATTTCTTAATTACCTTTGACCTCGAAGATCATATAAACAGTTGTATTTACATGTACAACGCTGTATAAACTGACTGGCTGTCGAAAGCACAATAAGCATGCAAGTCATCTGTAATTAGGTGTTATGAGTAATACAAGTAAAGAAATCAGTTTCTGTACAAAACGTAGAATGTGAGGAACAATCAATTTCACAGTTCAAATACACATGATGCGCCAATGAAATCGTATACTACAAAACAGGTCTACACACAGGAATTAAGAAAAAATGTTTTAAAAACATCCACAGGGGCTTGCTCCCCATGTGGGAAATACTCGGAATGCAATGACAGTAAAACGGTGTTACTATGCAAGTCTCTTGTTAAGTATTCAAAATCTGTTCTACGTATGTCCGAAGTGAGCATTCAAGAAGGCATCGTCGGAAACCCACGGTCGGTCTCGCTTCTCTTACTTAGAGGTAAGAGAAGCGAGACCGACCGTGGGTTTCCGACGATGTCAAGAAGGCCAGATCCAGAAAATCCGGATTAAGCGCGGCGGTGCCAGAGGGCAGTATAATGCGGTTGATACAAGTCTGGGCCGTTGGAAATGGCCCAGCATCATCAACGAAGGTTAGGGATGGTGTAATGGCAAATCCCAGTGGAGGAATATTTTCAACACAGGTGATAAAATTCAGGACATTTCCTAGTGAAATGTTGTCTCCTCTTCTTCCAGCTGAAAATATTTTTATAAATGGGTTTTTAAAGGGCATCTTTAATTATCATGTCAACTAAATGCAGGCACTAAATTCTCATGTTTCTGTGTTACTAAAATAATCAAGCAGTTTGCAACAGGTGTCTGTTTATGACTAAGTTGTGCATGCGCACATGTGTGATTTTGGGTTGCTAAATCGTCTGACGTGAGTGCTTATGTTTCTGTAAGTATTATATAAAGGACAATACATGTATTTTATAAATTTTAAGTATATACATATTAGTATATAAATTTGGTATTTTTCTTTGCGCGTGAGGAAGGGTAAGGGTTTATGAGAGGTGTGTGTGTTTCTCACCTACCGTAAACATCCCTGAGGTATTTAACAAATTCGTTGTACGTTTTCTCCTCTTTAGCTCGGCGAGACGATCCCTCACATGAGAAATTTACTGTCAACAGGTGTAACAATTTGTTGACGGTCAGTGTTGTTGTTGCTGTCGGATGGAAGAGAAATCTAACTGTGCCTGTTCCCTGCATTAACTGAAAGAATTAATCAGTTACTTGTATGTATTATTTATCAAAGACAGCATTTACCTACACTACGCAGTTCAAAACACATATTTGGGAACATGTAACGTTTTCATAAACCTATATGGTGCACCAGCGGCAGATGGCCACAAACCTCAGAGTCGAATAATATTACTGTATCCTTGTAAGCAATGATAAATACATGCAAAAATTACAACATCTAAATCGTTCGTTAGCCCCCCCCCCCCCCCCTACACCGTTAATTAAAATGATTTTTATAAACGATTATTCAATAATAATGAATAAATAAATATTACTGAAATATGCCGATGAATTATAATTTTGAAATTACTAAAAAGCACTTTATGGGACAAAATTAGGATTGCATTAAAGTACTTACTGTGAAGAAGAACCAAACATAGTGAAACGTGTTATTCGAGTTCAGGCAAAAGTTGCAACAAATCTAGGTCTTAAAAATTACATGTACTATGTGTGCCGCTTTCTCAGAAAAAAATGCATATAAACACCATGGATTGGCATAATAAAACATTTGATAAGATATGGGTAGCACGTAGACTTAGTCTGACACATTGGACAAACGGCGCATTTGGCGCACGCTGATTTGATTAATGAAGTCCCATCTATGCTTAACTTGTATTCAAAAATATAGACAGACAATGTTTGAGTTATTTTACCTTCTCTCAAATACCAAAATATCAAATTTTGTATTTCTTTCTAGTAGTTTGAAATTAAATTATTAACATTTTATATAAGAGACAAGATGGTTCTACATATGAAATGTGTACCGATATTCGTTGTTGGGCGCATATATATATATATATATATATATATATATATATATATATATATATATATATATATATATATATATATATGGGTCATTCTCAAATTTTGTCCAGATTCCATCAACAGAATTTAGAGAAAATAAATTCTGAGAACTAAATATTTTAAAGTTTTATGTTAGTAATGAAACATCAGAGGTGCGTAAATAATGTTGAAACACTAAGAATTCTATCAACGTTTATTATAAAATCTATTATAAGTACATGCATTCAACAATAAATGTCCATGGTGTTACTTACTTAGAAGTCGCAATAAAATAATAATTTACAAAAATTTAAGGTTTCTAGAATCATAATCTAAACATCCTAATAAAAAATATTCTATCAAAACAAATTGAGGGTTCTTAAGAGAGAAATTTCAGATGACAAAAAGCTGAAAGTTGTTAAAATTATAAAATTTGATTATTCTAACAAATATACCTTAAGCATATGTCATTTTACCTCAGCATGAACTACTGGCTTGCGGATATACTTTGTATTAGAAGACAACAGGATTGTGTAGCAAGTTTTGATAAAATTGTGGAAAGATTTAGAGTATAAATTTAGGAAAAATGGTTTAGTAACACCAAGGATATTTTCATAACACAAAGGACATAAAAGTAACACAAAAGACATTTTGTTCAAACCTTAAGAAGAAATAATAAATTTGTTCCCCTTCCCCCGCAAAAAGCACAACAATGGCATTATCTTATAGATGTTAATGAAAGTATATTGTTTTAAGAAAAATATTTCTTGGGATTTCATTTCTTTTTACATTTGGAGTCTGACAAGTAACACCAATGATTAAAAAGTAACAACATAGACATACTTGTCTAATTATAAAGATACGTGAACATCAACAAAATATAAAAATAAGTTATGCATGAATAATGAAGGATTACTATCATAGGACCTAGAATCACTGATCAGTACATGTACAAGTATTTGTATATCCAAAAAGAAGTTGTAACACCAAAGACAAAAGATAACACAAAGGACATCTCATTTTGTTTGTTGTTTTACATACAGCCTCCTTCCACACTGGGCTATCTATTTGATACTTTCTTCCTACAGGATGTGGAGGACGAATTATAACCAAAACATCACCTATGTTGTACTAATATTCATCTTTTACAGTTTTTGGTCGTATTTAGTTTTTTATTTTCATTACTGCTTTGATCACACATGTATGTATTCTGAAGTTCAGATGTCTCTGTGTTTCAGCATTTTTATCTAAGTTTCTTTTCCGGGGTCTCAGTTTTTCAGTATTTTTATTCGAATTTTTCTCCATTCTGGAACTCTGGTTGCTCTGGTTTCTCTTAATATGAACTCTTTTGTCCACTAAAACCCTGACTATCTGCCTTTCCTATTCATAAATTAATATTATTTGATTTTATGTTATAGGTGTTGATCAGCTGTATGTATACTCACCAGAATAAAAAGAATATACCTTTGCCCAATGCCTATTTGTTGTTTGATATAAATTTCAAGATATGCTGGGTTCAAAAGATAGAGATCCATATAAAGTACTGCCTCTACTGTAATGTCCACTCTTACTTCAGCTGCTCTAACTTCATTTCCAAAAGCTTTAATATACTTCTGTAGTGCAAGGTTTACAAACAATTTTCAACCTTTATGGGGAAAATTAATCAGACAAATCTGCATGAAGAGTATTTTTTCATCTACATTCAAACATAAATTCATGATTGGTGACTGATGCATTGTTCCTCGGAAAGATAATCTTTTGATATCGCTTTTGATATAGTGAAGAAAAATCCGAAACTATTTCATTGTCGGACATACACATTCCAAAAAAGTCAAATTTTCTATATCTGACGTTACTTTGAAGGTTCCTTGGATCTAGATTTCACTTGTCTGGCCCTCTTTTTTTACAACTTTTGAAATGTTTCGTCCTTCCAATATTTTCATCGAGAGAACATGACATAGAATCAACAGGCTTCAGAGTAAAAACATGTCATCTGTCATAAAATCGTGGTTTCTTACTTCACATTCCCTTGTGTTCTTAACCTTCCCTGGAGTTACCACTTTAATCATATCATTTTTAAGGCCTTCATTATTTTAATGTAACTTAAATTGTACCATCTCTCCACAATTATTTTCTTTTATACATTGAACACAATTACGACTTCATATGTGATATTTTTATTTCATTTTTCTGTCTTAAATGCTTGCCGTGTCCCTTGAGTAACTGAATTTGTCTATAATGTTACCACAGCTAAGTATTACAAGGTTAAAAGGGCGTAAAGATGTATTTCATAAGACATTTTGATATTTCATTTTACTCGAAATAAATAAAGACTCTCTACTCTACTGCTGAAACAAGTGTAAATACAAGAGTATATTTATAATGTAAATGTTTCATCATTTTGACGTCCATGGAGTTACCAAATTTGTCCTTTGTGTTACTTGTATCGATTACTGAATTAATTTGTAGCATGTATGAAACATTATATGTAAAACATATGATCAGATGATACAAATATTATTGATATATTATTTTTGATAAACTTTACACATTATATTTTATTTTCAAAATGTAAATTTCAAAGTTAGTTTAAATAAGTCATTGGTGTTACCCAATTTTGTCCCGTGCATTACCAAGACTGCACAATAATCGAATTGTCAAATTGTAAAAAGCAATTAGGAAATAATTTGGTATTTAAGTCAATTACACTACAAGTCAGTATTTAAAAATAGGAGGGAGATAAAACAGATGAATCGAAATTGCATTCTTTTTAATTAAATTCTGTATAGATTGTCCATAGAGTAATTAAAAACGTCCTTGGAGTAACTTTTCCTACAGTAACAAAATGGACAGTAACGCCAGGGAATTACTACATCAAAAGTTACAAGTATAAAAGCTATAGCTGACTTAAAAAGGTAGAGCACAGCTCCTACATCATGTGTATTTCACTACAAAGTCACTCAATGCATCACAAACATTATAGATTAATTTATCCTCACATTATTTAAGTAACTCCAAGGACTTAAAAATAAATTACTCTTTCAATCAAACTCAACTGAAACTAGATATTGTGTCTACGGGGTGAAACACACGTATTTTGTGTCTTTTTATATTTTGGCGGGTTGAAGATGTTTAGAAGGCAGCTGATGCTGAAGAGTTCCTTCAGGAAAAATGACTGTTACAGATAACTTTTATGTCTTGGTTACTCCAAGGACACGGCGAAAATCACAAAGTTTTTTTTAACGTTTATTGTTTAAAAAATTATATTCTTACTTTTTTCAGTCACCTTTTAGCATGTTTTTAAACAATGTTAAGTATTTACAATACATTAAAGGTATTTTATACTCCCAAATTATATTTACTGTCTCAATAAGGAGGGTTGAAAATACACCCTCGGCGAAATCACAAGCAATTTTCTTTAATTTAACTCATGTTGAAGGATTTTTTTCAGTGTTTATATCAATTTTTAATCCTACTTATATTTGTCCTCCCAATTTTAGACCATTATTAAGTTCATGAGCACAAAAAAGTTGTTATTTTATTAAAATATTTATCAGAAAACTTGTTTCACTGAAATCTGGACATTTTTTGAGAATGACCCATATACAAGATGCAAGTACATATAGAATTAAATACGCAACTCACTTGAAATAGCCCAGTCCTTCTTAAACCCTTGATGAATTGTTTTTTTTTTCAGTCGTTTCACTTGCGTTGAGGAGGGAATGAAGATATGGCGCGAGCGGGCCACCCTGAATGGCACTTAAACCTACAATGCATATCACGTAACATCATGTTACCACACAAAATGTAAAAATATCAAGAATTTGTGTAAAAGATTAAGAAATGAGATGAAATTAAGAAACCCCTACCCAAGAGGAGTCCAGCGTAAAAGAAATGCTGGCGTGCCAGCCTTTCATCACATGGAACGAAATTTATCTCTTCATCCAACATTCTCTCTTTTATTTCCCGGACAACAATGGTGAAGAACTCCCGCCTGGGCTCTCCAAAATCTTCTGCCTGCTCGCCATGAAATGTAACTTTCAGTGGGAAGCGTATATTCTCGGCTGCACTTAGTTCTACGAAAGCATCTTCCAATATTGCCAGCCGGCTTATGAATATGCTCGTAGTATTTCCCTCAATCATTACGGATTCATCCGTGACATCGAGCTCTCTGCCTTGGATGAAGATTTTTTGATAATACTTCAAAATCTCAATGGGTTCTGAAGTCTGTACCCTTCTGAAAATGAATGAAATGAAACTAAACAACTTTCAACACAATAATACTTATTCAATACATTTAAAAGTTTGATTTTACTCACTGTAATGTTTTTTCCGCTAGTGCTGACGCTACTGTACATTCGTCACTCTCTGCTGTCGCGGGAATTGGCTGATTCAGCGTTTCCTCATCAGATACAGGTACATCCATTCTATCACCACCCAGACTAAAAAAAATCTTTTTAAATATTTATCATGTTATGCACATGTAAAATTACTGTATCTGTTTATAATTTTTTTAACATTACCTTAGGACATAACTTAGAACAGAAAACACGAGCCCCATGATCTGTGTTAAGTATCGAAATGAATGGGAATGTTTTAATTGTTAGACCCCTATTTTATTTAGGTGATATACCGTCTGTGTAAAGGTTCCACGTCCACTTCAATTTGGTGACCTTCACTATTTTCTGGCATCAAATCCATTAATCTCTCTGCACCTTCAAATTGTTTCCCATTTTCTCTTGATTTTAGTTTTATAGGCTTCAAATTTAATTTACCCTCCGCAAAGTTGACAAGATGCTGACAATACAGAACACGATGCATTAAATTTATGTATACATGCATATGTTCATAGATGGATGAGTTAAAATGAATAAAACAATACACTTACTTCAATAGAAGAATTATTTGGAAAATTCTCGGAGAAAGTTTCTCCTCGGAAGTAAAAAACCACTTCGACTGTCAGTTGTAAAGTGTCATTACCCTGGCTGCTGACAGGGGTGGAACTAACAGGAGTGGAACTATAAAGAGTGGGTAACTTGAGTCTGTCACCACTACATAGGGTTGGTTCATACGGTAATCATCGAAATACACCTATATATACACTATCTTCTATGACCATGAGATTGTGTGAAATATCAAAATTGTTGACAGGTTAAATGAATATCACTACAGGAGTGAAGTTCACACTTACCTTTACGACACAGATAAAGTCTGAGCCGATCAAATCGTTTGTGGGGATCTATACTGTTCCTATACCCCAGCAGTGAAAAGTCTTCTTGTGACCCAGGTAATTTGTCAACCAAGGTTCCGTCTGGATACACAAGAACGAAATTGTTGGGGCTTTTATGTTTTTCCCTAAATGTGCGATTCTGTGCTACAAACTTCTCGAATGCAGCATCCCTTATTTCTTTTGAAACATTGCTGGTTTTAGGAAATGGGCCAACTGACACTAACCCGCCACACCCCGAGAGGCTTAAGGATGTGATTTTAAGAAATACTCCGTTTTTGAAATGGCCATTACCAACATAAACCTGAAAGAAAGAAAGTTGTATATCTGCAGTCTATTAAAGAGGGAAATATTTACATAATTAATACATGAATTTATGTCATGAAATCTGTTGTTATCTGGTTAATTACAAACCGTAGTGAATCCATTTTGTTCTTTTTTTTTTCTTTGAATTTTTCTCAGATCCTAGCGGGTTTTGTTCTGGTGTACTTTTCGCTGCTATTTGCTTTCTGTATGACTCGAATATACCAAATCGTGAGTTTTGACCTAAAATGTAAAACGATTAAATGCCTGAATTATTTATACTGTTTTCAAAGTTATAATTCCATCGACGTGGTAAAAAAAAATGAAATGCAATGTTGAAAATGCCGATCTTCACTTTTTCTTAACAAAACTACATTTTATACATTTTTTAAATATCATTTTCCGTTTGTGATGTGTTCAAAATTCCTTTACGTATTTTGTATATTTTTTTCACAAATCGGCATGCGCACCGGGTAAATGAATTGGCGAACACTTCATTTATAATATGCCTCACGTGCTACTCACAATTACATATTTTTACTCCACTAGAATTATTTCCACTGCAATGAAAATGAAAACATTGTCCAATGCTATTTTTATCTCAATAAAGTTAATTTTACTCCAGTAAAAATCATTTACTCCTCTACAGAAGTAAATATACTTTGGGGTATGTGTAAAACGAGAAACAATGGAATGAAATTCAGCATTAAAAAATGTCAACAAAGGGGGCAGCTTGTGCTCGTGACTTCATTTTGTTAGACGGCAGATGCAAAATGGAATGAAAACATCTAACATAGGTCGGATTTATCAGCGACCCGCACAACTATCTCACACAGAAAAACTCTATAATTTAAATAGAATTTACAGATACGTTTACCTGAAAGAAATGCTTACTCAATTTCTTGCTTATAATAATAATAAATTTATCATCAAAAGATATCTTCATTGATAAACTAATTGAATGTAAATATTTCCACTGGGATACTATATAACGGTCCAAATTTCTATGTTAGATCTCTGTCAAAAAAGAACCAACTATTACAGCTTTTTACTACTGTATCATAATGTCGAAAACAATCTGTGAATTAGTAATTCTGGTAATATTACAAATGAAATGTAATGTCAATGTCATAATAGCTTTCCCTTTCTCTCTCTCTCTCTCTCTCTCTCTCTCTCTCTCTCTATATATATATATATATAGTGTGTGTGTGTGTCAGATCACTGATAAATCTGACCTAAGTTAGATGTTTTAATTTCACTCAGCATCTTTTGTCTATAACAAAATTAAATCAAGGCAAAATCTGCCCCGTGGCTGACATTTTCAGGTCACTGGTTATTTATTTTTTTTTTTTTTTATCGATTCTTGTTTCTAGTTTCGTGTGTTACAGTTCTAACTCACAAATTATTTTACTCCAATTAAAGTATTATTACTAATTACTAAAGTAAAATATAATTTTAGTCATATCTACTCACAATTACAAATTTTCACTTTAAGATTCTTATTCTGTCTATATATTTGAAACAAAAGATAATTCAGAGAAATATTGCGTCGCTATCATTACCTTTTTTAGAGACGTGCCAGTATTTTGGTAATTTGCGTTTCATTTTCGGAGTTTCTGCATCAACTTATTCTTAGTATTTATTTTAATTCGAATTAAACTCTCTGTTTAAATAGAGCATTTATTAATTGTACCTTAGATAGTGTTTCATTTTTACTGCAGTAAACAGTTTTTGGTGGACAAATATAATTGTGAGTAAGCATGGTCAACGTACCAAACATGCACGTGCGCATATTCAATATATACAAATACTCACCGGTTACAAGGTTTACAACAAGATAAATACGACCAGGAACTTGCCAGCCTCCATCTGGCTCAACAAAAACGTTTTCTCTACAGAGTATATGATGTTGTCGATCATCGTCTTCATTTTGATATCGCAAGGATGATGCATTGGGAAAAGCACTACCTATAAAATTCATAATTTTGATAAGATTTTCTTTAAAATTAAACTAATCATATCTAAAAAGATATCAAACAAGAGGCCCATGGGCCACATCGCTCACCTGAGTAACTTTGGCCATGCTGTTCTTTACCAGATTTCCCCCCTTTTAATATACCTATTGTGGCCCCGCCCTACCCCCGGGGGTCATGATTTGAACAGTTTATAATCTACACTACCCCAGGATGCTTCCATATAGTTTCAGCTTTTCTGGCCCAGTGGTTCTTGAGAAGAAGATTTTTAAGATTTTTCCTATATATTTCAATGTAAAACTTGGATTCCCTACTGTGGTCCCGCCCTACCCCCGGGGGTCATGATTTGAACAATTTATAATCTACACTACCCCAGGATGCTTCCATATAGTTTCAGCTTTTCTGGCCCAGTGGTTCTTGAGAAGAAGATTTTTTAAGATTTTTCCTATATATTTCAATGTAAAACTTGGATTCCCTATTGTGGCCCCGCCCTACCCCCGGGGGTCATGATTTGAACAATTTATAATCTACACTACTCCAGGATGCTTCAATATAAGTTTCAGTATTTCTGGCCCAGTGGTTCTTGAGAAGAAGATTTTTTAAGATTTTTCCTTTATATTTCATGTAAAACTTGGATTCCCTATTGTGGCCCCGCCCTACCCCCGGGGTCATGATTTGAACAATTTATAATCTACACTACCCCAGGATGCTTCAACATAAGTTTCAGCTTTTCTGGCCCATTGGTTCTTGAGAAGAAGATTTTTAAAGATTTTTCTTATATATTTCAATGTAAAACTTGGATTCCCTATTGTGGCCCCGCCCTACCCCCGGGGGTCATGATTTGAACAGCTTATAATCTACACTACCCCAGGATGCTTCCATATAGTTTCAGCTTTTCTGGCCCAGTGGTTCTTGAGAAGAAGATTTTTAAAGATTTTTCCTATATATTTCAATGTAAAACTTGGATTCCCTATTGTGGCCCCGCCCTACCCCGGGGGGTCATGATTTGAACAATTTAGAATCTACACTACTCCAGGATGCTTCCATATAAGTTTCAGTATTTTTGGCCCAGTGGTTCTTGAGAAGAAGATTTTTAAAGATTTTTCCTTTATATTTCAATGTAAAACTTGGATTCCCTATTGTGGCCCCGCCCTACCCCCGGGGGTCATGATTTGAACAATTTAGATTCTACACTACCCCAGGATGCTTCAATATAAGTTTCAGCTTTTCTGGAACATTGGTTCTCGAGAAGAAGATTTTAAAAGATTTTTCCTATATATTTCAATGTAAAACTTGGATTCCCTATTGTGGCCCCGCCCTACCCCGGGGGGTCATGATTTGAACAATTTATAATCTACACTACCCCAGGATGCTTCCATATAAGTTTCAGCTTTTCTGGCCCAGTGGTTCTTGAGAAGAAGATTTTTTAAGATTTTTCCTTTATATTTCAATGTAAAACTTGGATTCCCTATTGTGGCCCCGCCCTACCCCCGGGGGTCATGATTTGAACAATTTATAATCTACACTACCCCAGGATGCTTCCATATAAGTTTCAGCTTTTCTGGCCCAGTGGTTCTTGAGAAGAAGATTTTTAAAGATTTTTCTTATGTATTTCAATGTAAAACTTGGATTCCCTATTGTGGCCCCGCCCTACCCCCGGGGGTCATGATTTTAACAATTTAGATTCTACACTATCCCAGGATGCTTCCACATAAGTTTCAGCTTTTCTGGCCCAGTGGTTCTTGAGAAGAAGATTTTTTAATGACCCCACCCTATTTTTGTCTTTTCTTGATTATCTCCCCTTGTAAGGGGACTTGGCCCTTTATTTTAACAATTTACACTCCCCTTCACCCAAGGATACTTTGTACCAAGTTTGGTTAAAATTGGCCCAGTGGTTCTTGAGAAGAAGTTTAAAATGTGAAAAGTTTACAGACGGACGGACAGACGGACAGACGGACGGACGACGGACAACGGGTGATCAGAAAAGCTCACTTGAGCTTTCAGCTCAGGTGAGCTAAAAACAATACACGGTAAACATACGCAAATCATGGAGCGTCAGAGAACTGTCACAAGGTACAGGAAAATATATAACAGTGCCAGCTTCATCATCTAAGTTTCGAATTGGTATATGTGACCTGCAGTATGATAAATACTCCAGGGTAATATACAATATTAAACAATAGCTTAATTCTTTAAAAAAATATTTTTAAAAAACATATTGGCATCAGATTAATTTTTATAGATTTAAATTTTTCTTTAATCAATGACGAATAGTTTCTTTGAAGACTTGTTTCAATTTGTACATTCCGATGTAAACAATATTTTCGTATTTTTGTTATTTAGAATTTCACATAATATTTAACTCGATATTTTTACTTACATTTGGAATGATTCCTTCGTTCAGCATCTATCAGGATTGTGTGGGAATTGCGCTTGGAAAGTTTACGGCTTGGAATTGCACATGATTTCAATTATCTTATCAAAGTTCAAAATCAACATAAATATGTCAATCAGAAGGTTCTTTGTTAGAAAGTGTCATTTTCGTCAATTTGACAATTTCTCTGCACAAAAAGCAACAAAGGTTTCTGTGCATTTTGTACATAGTAGAATTTGTCAATTTGTACATGTACATTTACCAACAAAGGTTTTTGTGTATTATGTCTGTGCTAAATTGTTCAATTTTACATGTACACAAGGCAGTAAGTTAAGTTGTGATGTGGCGGCCGTTATCGGCCATCGTATGTATCCAACATGGACGGTACGTAACATATTATAAGGAAAGAGGTGATGGAGTAATTGTTCCCCAAGGATCAAGACCAACAGAAACAATAGCAGATCTTTGTGAAGTACAGATCTATGGTGAATAGATTAATCTTTATATTTGTCAATGTAGAATCATTGATCTGAACGTCAATCAAGAAATGAACTATTTTGTTTTCTTGTAAATGTAAGCAAACCACTGTATGACTTAAATTTCTCTTCACATGACATAAGGTTATAATGAACCTGGGGTATATGGAGAAAAGTGCAACATACCATGTCCAGTCAACTGTCAGGAAGGGAATTGTCATATAGTGACCGGAAGTTGTCTAGGTTGTATTGATGGATGGGAAGGACACCGTTGTAGCCAGTATACAAAAGTCCGAAGTACATTTGATAAAATATACATCCTTATATATTAATATATATATTATATATATATATATTTATTTAATATGAGGTCACATAAGATAAAAGCTCCTTTCTAGTTATAGTACAACAATAATAAATTGCAACATTTTCTTTTAAATCAGGAAAATTAAACAATACAAATGACGAGCACCGTAAAATCCATTCAAAACCAATTTGAAAACTAAAGTATCATTAAAGGAAAGTTAATCTAGATCTGTCTTAGACTATATCATTCTTGAAGTGAAATAAGCGTCTTGCAAAGTCTTCACATGTACGTAACTTCATGGTCTTAATTTTAGCAACCATTTTTCAAACCATTAATTTTTCAATATCCATTATTTGTAAATGATACAGCGAATAACATTTCAAAATGTTGTATTTGGGTTTTTTTTTCAGATATAAGTTGTCATAGACCTTATGTAAGTGAAATGTTAAATATAACAAATTTCAAAGAAGAGTACCGTTACGATGAGGAGATACACTTTCATTGCGAGTCCGGCTTCCGCCTTCGCGGAATCACCAGTGCCGTGTGCGGCGATACCAACAGATTTAATATTACAGTACTTCCTACTTGCGTAGGTATGAGTGTTTGTTATTCATGTGATAATTTTACAAGTTATTCTTTATAAATGTAAATGGTCTACAATGAATGTTATTCAACACTGTATGGAAAACAAAATGATTGAAACCATAGGGGCTTGTCTTCCGAATTGTTAAATGTAAATAAATTAATAAAATTTTAAACTACTTTAAATACACTTAAAAGTTGTTAAAATAAAGATTCTGACACTTTCTGTCAAGAAAAATCACGTTTAAAACAGACGCACCACACTTATATACATAAAACTAGACGCACCACACCTGTGTACATAAATTTTTATGTATATAAGTGTGGTGCGTCAGTTTTAACAACTTTTAAGTTTATTTAAAGTAGATTCAAACTTTTATTAATTTATTTTTCATTTAACAATCCGGAAAACAGGCCCCTATTTTGAATACTACAAAATTAATTATTATAATCGTGATCATAGATGTAGTAACGTTACATAGATTAAAACAAGTTGTTGTTGTTGTTGTTGTTGTTTTGTTTTTGTTTGTTTTTTTTTTTTTTTTTTTTTTTTTTTTTTTTACACTTTTAGAAGACACAGCTGCACCTAGACTTTGTTCTGTATCCAGTGCCACGATTGGAGTGTTTGTAGGAAGCAGCTTCGCTTTCGTGCTCATTCTTTTTATTTTAATAACATTCCTTAAAAGGTATTAAAACACAATTGCCATTCCCTTATTTTAAAAAAATATTTGTTTTCAATCGTGTATGATTTTTTTTCTATATGATTTATTTTTTAGAGAACTCACCAATATACACATCTCGATTACAAACTTATTTAGCTCCATACCTGTTTTATAATAAATCCGCAGGCACGTGGTATCCAAACATAATCTTTTATTATAGAAAATGTTCATTGAAAGACTGGACCCCCGCCCCCTCTTTTTGTTGTATTATAATTAAATCACGTTAATATGGCAAAGTATTAATAAAATTTTGTTGTGAAAGGAAGTTGAAATCTCCCCCTTCCTCTATGATATAGGATTTTCGAGTTTGGACATCCCCCCCCCCTTTTATTTTCATTGTCAAAGTTTTTTTCAGGTAATTTGTTAATTTTTCCTGGCTGCGTAGCCCTTAAAAACAAAACTAAACTGCAAGTACGTATTTAAATTTTACATTTAAATAAGTATCTTGTGTTGTCTCTGCAGGAGAAAATCCCCTACAAAAGAAACCAATTACGAAAAGACAAATATACCTGTTCTAGAACAACATCATTACACAGACATAAACCCACAAAGGGAATCAACACAGGAAAACAAACCATATAGTAACATGAATTTTTGACATAAGTAAGTAAGTAATTTGCATATTTTATAATTATAACACTATTTTTTCTGTAATGCACAATTTTTGCCCTAAAAAGAGACAAACAAATTTTAAGGTCAATTTTATGTACAATAAAAGGAAAATCAATTACATGATCTAACTTTAAAGCGGAAAGAAAATTAACTGTATGCATATAACGATATATACAATGTAGTTTGAAGGATTTTCTTCAAATATCTGGAAATGAAAGGGGTATTTACAATTCACAATGTAATATACTTTTATAAAAATTATGAAAAAGGAAACAATTCACATGATGACATGAATATAAAGAAACAAGATGTGTTTGTGAAACACTGATATCCCCTTATGACAGCTTGTGGCGAAGGTTAAAGTTTCTCAAATGCAAGTCAAAATCCAGGCCAAAAGATAAAAAATGTTGGTACCCAAAGAAAGGTCTTGTCTCGAGGAATATACCTGTGAAATTTGAAACCCTAGCTGCAACTGTTCAAAAGTTATGGCAAAGGTTAAAGTTTTTTGAAAGTAAGTAAAACGTCAAGGTCAAAGTTGTTGGTATCCAAAGGAAGGTCTTGTCACAAGGATAACATATGTGAAGTAAGAAAGCCCTAGCACCAACGGTTCAAAAGTTATGGCCAAGGTTAAAGTTTTTCGAAAGTAGGTCAAACTTCTTTGTCAAGGTCAAAGGGTCAAAGTGGTTGGTATTCAAAGGAAGGTGATGTCACAAGGATTACATATGTCAAGTATAGGGGCCCTAGCATCAACCATTCAAAAGTTATGGCCAAGGTTAAAGTTTTACAAAAATAGGTCAAACTCCTAGGTCAAGGTCAAAAGGTCAAAGTGGTTGGTATCCAAAAAAAGGTCTTGTCACAAGGATTACATGTGTGAAGTATGAAAGCCCTAGCTCCAACCATTCAAAAGTTACATGTATGGCCAAGGTTAAAATTTTTCAAAAGTAGGTCAAACTCTAAGGTCAAGTCAAAGGGGTTGATATCCAGAGGAAGGTCTTGTCACAAGGAATACACATGTGAAGTTTGAAACCCCAAGCACCAACTGTTCAAAAGTTATGGCCAAGGTTATAGTTTTTTCAAAAGTAGGTCAAACTCCTAGGTCAAGGTCAAAAGGTCAAAGTTGTTGGTATCCAAAGGAAGGCCTTGTCACAAAGAATACACTTGTGAAGTTTGAAACCCCAAGCACCAACTGTTCAGAAGTTATGGCCAAGGTTAAAGTCTCATAAAATTTTGCAAAAGTGGGTCAAACTCCAAGGTCAAAAGGTCAAATATGATGGTACCCAAAGAAAGGTCTTGTCACAAGAAATACACATGTGAAATATGAAAGTCATAGCTCCAACCAATCAAAAGTTATGGGCAAGGTTAAATATGACAACAGACAGACAAACAGATAAACAGACAAACAGACAGACAGGACAAAAACAATATACCCCCGGGATATTTCGATCCGGGGCATAAAAAACATATATATGTATGATCATTGTGTTATCAATGATTTTATGTTATTATAATTGGGGAAGGTTAGAGAACGAAGTTATCTGGTTGACGATTCTATTCCATCGTTAAGATAAAAGTGGTTCGCCAGCACTACTCGGAGAAGGATATATCAATAAATTTGGTTTGAACTTAGGAATAATATACAGTTTGGCTCGTGTTCTGAGACGAGTAAGGACACGTGCCTTCTTGATATGAACATTAATGTCGTTTTATATAACATGTATAATTAATGAGACATTTTATGAAATTAAAATTTTGTGTCATCAATGTCTTCATTGATTAAATTCATTTTTGTATATTAAACAATGTTTGAAAAGTAGATTATCTGATTGTCTCTGATTCTGTCATATTTTTATTATATATTTTTATATATATATTATCCTTAGAATTTCATTGCTATAAACTGTTTTCTTGTATCTTTAAAATCTTATTAAAATTCATAATGAAACGAGGGATTTAGATACTGTACTTGAAACTGTAGAACTTTGCCCTTAAAACAATAGTACTGACAACAGACGTTTAATTTGAAGTTTCTTATCTTCGTTTTCAAATTTCCAAGTTCCAAAATAAAATTTGAATAAAATCACACAATTTGCAAATTTTGAGTATTAAGATATTCTCGTATTTACTATTACTAAGACACTGATCAATTCCCTGTCGAGCTCTTTGTAGCTCATAACTGAGGTTAAACGTTTTTAAATAAAAATGGAGAATATTTGTTCACTTGATAGTACGCAAACTAAGTTAAATTGAAGAATTTTTGCTTTTTTTTTTTTTACTAACAATTAAAGTCCTTATTAGAGCGCTCGCTCCGTGATCGGAAGGTCTGTGTTTAAATCACGCCGCGACTGATCTACGTCGATAAAAAATAGGTAGCGACTGTTCCGTCGCTAAGTGCTCGGCTCTTTGAAGTGAAAGCTGCGGATCCTTCAGATGAGACCTTAGAAACTGAGGCCCCATGTCACGGCAGGCGTTGGCACGTTAAAGAACCCTCACTTCTCAATGGCCCTGAGTGCCGAGTAAATTTAAGGTCTTTTGAAGCCTTTCAAAGAGCAATTACAGGGGTGTCTTTTTTGGCATCTTAGTAAATAAGTCCCCTTTTCCAGCAGTCTGATTAAACCCTTAAAACCAGCCCCCTTCTCCTTTCACTCTAGTGAAAAGAAAAGGGGCTGGTTTTAATAAGACTGCTTTTCCAGTCAAGTGAACGTGGCGTGTACTTCTATCAGATCCTAGAAATAAAATATGAGTGGACAAAATATGTAATCTAGATGTCTGCCTTGTTTCTACTGGAATAATGTGTGGTTCCGCTGTCCTATTCTCCTTTCCGATTCCCTATTTAAGTGGGGACACCGTTTTCCATTTTTATGATTTCTCCTGCTTGTTGAATGTACATTGGATTTGCAGGTACTGGACAGTTGAGTCTCTTATATATGTCATCTACCTGTTTCTTTTCTTTATTTAAAATCGATAGTCCTTCTTGTCATTTACTAGTCTCTCACTCTCAATTTTCTTTATATCCCAGAAAACCTTCAGTGACTTCAATGAGATCTTTCTTGAGTTTTACTTCCTCTTTTTGTTCAGTCTCTTTGATTAGTCATTTTGTACATTCTTTGGCTTCAGTATTCAAAATCTTCTTAGCTGGTATTCTTGCCCATGCCTGTGCACTCCCCCTGGGCCTTATGCTTTACTGGAACTGAACATATTCCTTTTCTCCCCTTTATCTGAGTGCATTAAGCGATTGAAGGGCAATATGAAAACCGTCGATCCTTCTGTCTTCCATAATTCAGAAGTGAAAATGAATTAGATAGTTTACACGATCATTTTGTGCTGGCCCCAGCTTACAAAGCAGGTAACAACACGGTCTATGTTTGTAAGCTCATTATTTTAATTGTATTTTAGAGGAACTAGGATTTAATTATGCGAGTGGTAATCCAACTTACACCTATAGCTCCGTTTCTAAGGAGAAAATTCTTCAAAATAATATGTCAGTTTTAAATATTTTTTAATATTCCCAACAATTACAATGAATTTGAACTACCATGCCTATACTGGATCCCTAAACTTCAAAAAAAATCCTTACAGACAAAGATATATAGCAGGTTCCAGTAAATGTCCTACCAAGCCTCCTTCTTTACTCCTCACTAAAATATTAACAGCAGTGAAGGAGAAACTTCAGGAGTACTGTACAATAATACGATATATTCAATAAGTGCTGTAAATCAGATGTTGATACTTAAAAACTCCAAGGAACTTTTAGAAAATCTGATTTCTCAAAATTTTACCAAAATCAATAACATCAAAACGTACGACTTTTTAACACTTTATAAAACCATTCCTCATGATAAATTAAAGTCCAGGCTTTTTGACATCATAGACAGCTGCTTTTTCAATAAAAATGGAACTCGTAAATTTACTTTCATTGTCATTGGTCATTTGCAAAATTATTTTGTTTTAAAAACATTATGATTGGTACACACAAGTACTCTGAAAAAGATGCTTGAGTTTCTGATTGACAATATCTATGTAGTTTTTTGGAGATCAAGTCTTCGAATAATCTGTCGGAATTTCCATGGGTACCAATTGCGCCCTGTTATTAGCAGACCTATATTCTTGTATTCATATGAAGCAGAATTTATTCAAAGGAAACACTTGTGACCTTCAACTCTACATTTAGATATATCGACGACGTATCATCAATTAACAGTAGTTACTTCTATTCATATATTCATCTATTCATAGATATATCCCAGTGAACTTGAAATAAAAGATACCACAGAGTCTAACGCATGATGGATTTTCCCTGTATCATTCATATTTGGATATTTTACAAGAAAAAGACGTTAATGGTAACCTAACAACAAAACTTTATGATAAACGTGCATGATGATTTCAACTTTCTATCGTCAACTTCCCTTGCTTATGTAGCAATACACCCTTATCACCTACATATGGGGTTTATGTCACCCAGTTGATTCGATACACAAGAGCATGCTCTACGTACGAACGATTTCTAAAACGAGGCAAGCTATTCACAAACAAGTTGATGAAACAAGAATATCTATAGTAACGTTTAAAGCCTTTATTTAGCAAGTTCTATGGTCGATACGACATTGCCAGCAAATACAATCTATCATTAAGTCGAATGCCGACTGACGTTTTTCACACTAATACTAATTGTTATTTACACCCTGAATCGTCTACGGATTTTTCCGTTTTTCCCGATCATGACAATGAGCACACGGCGGATGTGATCGTTCGACAGAGGATGCTTACTCCTCCATGGCACCTGATCCCATCTCTGATGCTTTTAGAGGTCCCTGTTTGCTCTGTCCCCGATTTGTATTGTTTCAATGGAATTTTGAGCTTGAACACTGTTCGTTATCACCATATTTCATTCCTTCCGAGAATCATTTTTGTGTCGCAGTATATCTTGTTCACAAGGGGTTTTTTTATTTGGCAAGTTGAAAGATATACGTTCTATCTTCCTTGTTACTAATTCGCATCAAGTAATCTTTAACTTGAAAGTCCTTCAGACATCCTGCATGTGTCATACTGTCATAAAAAAAATTGCTCAAGTCCAGTTTGTTTTAGCTTTAACTCGAATGATACTGCTTACTGGATGATTGTTGGAATATACGCAGGAAAAGAGGGTGCATTGGAGGGGTATTCACCTTTCTCCAGGCTCTCATCACCACTTTCAAATCTCTAGCTTTTCCTTCCTTTTTTCCTCCTTTCCCTACTACTTCCACCAGTACCAACTTCTCACCCCCTCCTGCATCCCTGTTCTTACACACCTTCCCCTGTTTCCCACTTCCCTCCTACATCTCCTTTCAGTTTAAATCAGTATGAACTTGTCATTACAGACCCTGATTCTCAAAATAGTTTGGCGAATCATTGTCTTTTTATTTAATTGAAGCCTTTATTAGTATAGTATTGATTCTAAAGTCGTGCGTATGAATTATATCGTCAGTATCATCTCCTTTCCAAAACGTGAAAAATCTATTTCGTGGTGGTGGTAGGGGTGGGGGGTTGGGGTGGCTTCCTATGCGTCAAATCTTCATATCTATGACTTTTCATACCAACTTAACACGGATCCGCGTTTTCTAGGGGGGGGGGGGGATCCAAGGTCACTTTTAGTTGGTTAGTACATGCATTAAACAACTCTACATATTCCAAGGGGAATCACTTTATCAATCTCATATGTTGAATTTTACATAAGTTAAACGTACGGTGATATCTAAGAGTCATTTATCCATTTCCATGAGTATTTGAAAATCTGGTGATGTTTTTAGCCTGATTTCAATTGATAAAATTTTCTACCCCCTTATGAAAGGAATTGTAAATAAGAGCAATTAACTTTTTGTCACTGGTTTTTAAAATCAGTACTTAGTCTTAATGAACTTTTCTTTGTATTCAAACAAGTTTCAATGTCCAAATTGCCATTTATATTGATTTAAATGGATGGAAAATGTAGGCGGGAATCGAGAGTTAGCTTGCGTAGTTCTTACAATAACAAAATTTGGCGGATATAGGAATTTTCAAACTGCAAAGGTGAGGAAGGAGGAAATCGGAAGAAGGAGTATTTCCTCCTAAAAACAAAACATTTAATTTCTGCACTTCCTTGCAGGCAAATAATTTGGTAGCTTTTTATGAGGCGGGAAAAAGGGTGGGTGGGTTCACATACGACAAAAGAGCAAACTTTTAAAAGGGTCTTGAGTAACATTTGTTGGTATTACTATATGTATACGTATTTATACTAGAAATATTACTGAAAATTATAATAACATAACTTTTGCCTAGTGTAAAATATCTAACAATATCTTTCGGTGTTTCTTTTTACCCTAGGAAAAGTACCTCTATTTGGGAATTTTTATATGTGTCTTATGTAAATCGTTTTAATGGCTAATGTTAGATCTGTAAAAATATTCGTGGGGGTGGGGTGGGGAGGTTTCCCACTAAAGAACGAGGGCGCTTTTGATTGGCATTCGGCAGGAACCTGGGCGCACTTGAAAAGTGAAAATTACATTGATCTGTCACATGGAATTTTAGCATTCTTTTGATGTATCGGGTTCCTGTGAAATAGGAAAGGGAAATATTTTCCCGATATGATATTTTGATTTGCTAAAAAAGAACTTGAAAGTTGGCTAGATGAGTCATTTGGTACAAAATGTTACATTTTTAAACACGTTTTTCTAAAGATTTGCTATCTCTGGGTCATCTCTCCATGATTTTGAAACGTTATTTGTGTGCATTTTAATTCAAAGAAACTAACAAACATTTGTAAAAAATGGAGAGAAGACCCAGAAACGATAAAAAATGAACTTTTTCCAAAAAAAATTCCAATGTTTAAATGCGGTGCTTCATTGTCGCTTTAAAAACCTTGAAGTGTGTGTAGCGGTGATGGCTCAGTTGTATGCGTTACCCGTCCAGTGCAATAAAAAAGAAATATTTTTGGTTCGATCCTCGCATGGAGCGTAACTATTTTTTTTTTTTTTTTTTTTTTTTTTTTTTTTTTTGTACAAACAATCAATTCTTTTGTCAGTTTAATTTTATGAACTGATTTATTTTCAAATAGATAAATTCTGGTTCTGTTGCACCGAAAGCGAAAGCAATTCTTCCAACCTACTGATACTTTAATATATACAAGTATGTACTTGTAATTGGATTTAACTATACCCTATATGTGTTTATTAGTCCCCTACCGGTGAAACCGGAGGGGACTATAGGTTTCCTCTGAGTCTGTCCGTCCGTCTGTCTGTCCCTCTGTCTGTCTGTCTGTCCCTCTGTCTGTCTGTCTGTCCCTCTGTCTGTCTGTCAGTCTGTCCCACTTGGTTTTCCGCACTTTTTTCTTAAACGCTTGCAGATATTGAGCTGATTTTTGGTATGTGAGTGTATCTTGATGAGTTACAGATCAAGTTTGCATTTCGTTCCGCTTCATTGATTTTTGCCGGAATTACGGCCTTTTCAATTTTTAAGGGTTTTCCGCAATTTTCTTCTAAACGCTTGTAGATATTGAGCTGATTTTTGACATGTGGCTCTACCTTGATTAGTTATAGATCAAGTTTGCATTTCGTCCCGCTTCATTAATTTTTGACGGAAATATGGCATTTTCAATTCTTAACGGGAACCAGATTACACTTGCCGGTAGGGGACTAGTATTGCTAATGCAATACTCTCAGAATGCTTGTTAGTCCCCTACCGGTGAAACCGGAGGGGACTATAGGTTTCCTCTGAGTCTGTCCGTCCGTCTGTCCGTCCGTCTGTCTGTCTGTCTGTCTGTCCGTCTGTCTGTCTAGCTGTCCCTCTGTCTGTCTGTCAGTCTGTCCCACTTGGTTTTCCGCACTTTTTTCCTAAACGCTTGCAGATATTGAGCTGATTTTTGGTATGTGAGTGTATCTTGATGAATTACAGATCAAGTTTGCATTTCGTTCCGCTTCATTGATTTTTGCCGGAATTACGGCCTTTTCAATTTTTAAGGGTTTTCCGCAATTTTCTTCTAAAAGCTTGTAGATATTGAGCTGATTTTTGGTATGTAGCTTTACCTTGATTAGTTATAGATCAGGTTTGCATTTCGTCCCGCTTTATTAATTTTTGACGGAATTATAGCATTTTCAATTCTTAACGGGAACCAGATTACACTTGCCGGTAGGGGACTAGTATTGCTAATGCAATACTCTCAGAATGCTTGTTATTTATGTGAAGCGTTACTAAGTTTTAGATGTAGTAATTATTAAGATAAGCGGACTGATATATTAAATTTGGCAAACTATTTCAAACTGAACGTAACATTTTCCCATGTGCGTAACTTTGTAATGTATGTCCAGCTGTGGTCAACCGACCAAATTGTAGACATTTAAACTAAAAATGTTTCGTACGCCTTATTCCTGCAGATCACACGCCAAACACGCCCATCTTCTTTCCAACAATACATACACTATACAGTAGTGCTCCCTCAATAAAGACGCCTGTGACTTTTTTTATTTCTTGTCAAGGGAATTGTGTTGGGTCGTACGTAAGCCCAGTAGGATCAATCTATGAAGAAAAAATTTTAAAAGGCGTTATAACGCCTTTCAAAAAGGCGTAATAACGCGAAAAAAGGCGTAATTACGCCTTTTCATAAGGCGTTATTATGCCTTTCAAAAAGGCGTTATTATAATACTCTTTTATTTTCAATACATGACTAAGTTAGCCCACCTCGGGGGCTGAAATCTTACCCTCTGGTCTTGAATTTCACAATTAAATATAGGGCTAATTTCTGAAAAAAATAATTTAAGCATATTGTAATTAGATTTCCAGGAAAAAAGATTTTTAAATGTGTAATATATTTTAATGCTAAACCAACTTAGTCCTTCTCTGATGCCAGACACCTCTACGAGGGGTCATGGATTTCACAAATTTGGTTGAAGGCTTATTGCTCATTTTACCCATGCAAATAGTTTGCCTGCTTTTTTCCAAGAGGACAGAAAAATGTTTTCAAATTTGACGTGTTTTAATTCTTAATACATGGCCAGCAAAGCCCCAAGCTGCATCTGAATATATATCCTGGATTTTCACAAGCAGAGCGTTGACTTCTCTTAATACGCATGCAAACAGTTGTCTGCGAGATGTGCAGGAATATAGAAAATACTTTTAAATCTTGAATGAATAAAGATTCAGTCTTTCATATATTTATTAATAAAATAACGCCTTCCCATTTTTGGATATAATGCTTTTTCAAACAGGCCGGTAGTACGAGTTCGAGTGGGGGGGGGGGGGGCTCCCTCACCCCACTTTTTGGGAGAATAGTCTTGCTATAGTTTAAATATAAAAATTCATTTATTGGCTGCCTGGTTCCTGAACATTTTGTTGCAGTATGGTTAAATTCTGACAAATTATTGCATTTAAAAAAACTTTTACGGAAAAGTTAGAAAAAGACACCCTCCCCCTTCGAGTTGAGGCAGTTAAGGTTTTTTTCGGGGGGTGGGGGGTGTTGTTTTGTTTCTTGTTTTTAGTTTGCTTGTCAATTTTTTTGGAGACTGCCCCCCCCCCCTTTCAAAAGCACGGACCTGTCAAAGGCATAATAATGGCTCTTCAAAAGGCATAGTAACACCTTTGGAAAAGGCGCAAAAACGCCTTTTGAAAAGGCGTAAAAACGCTTTTTGAAAAGGCGTAATAAAGCCTTTTGGAAAGGCGTATTAACGCCTTTTCGGAAAGGTGTTAAAACGGCTTTTAAAATTTTTTTCTCCATAGATTGATTCTAATAGGCTTTCGTAGGGTTGTGCCCCCCCCCCCCCGCACTGAAATTGCTTTTCCTTGCCTGAGATCAGCTGTTTTTACATAAAGTAAAAGGCCTTTATGATTAGTTATTAGTATTTCTGATATAAATGCATATACCAACAAATATTACCCAAGATCCTACTAAAAGTTTGCCCCCCCCCCTTTTGACATATATATTTAAGCCTTTAATATCCCCCGTCAAAAATCTATTGAATTATTTGTCTGCAAGGAAATGTGGGAATTAGATGTTTTGTATTTAAGCCTTCATTTTCCTATTTATTCTTTCCTTGCCTTCCCTATTTAAAAATTAAAAAATTTTGTAATTAAGGTTCATAAACCCTCTGCTCACTCATCAAAAATGTTTCTTTAACTCTTATGATTTTCCAAAAGAAATGTATTTTTTAAGTAAAATACAAACGATTATAGCATAGCTTGGGGGGGCAAAATTGGACAAAAAAGACACCTCAACATGTTCAACTCGACAAGATTATAAAGGAATAGACATTTATAACATTAAGAGTTATCTCTCTTATCAGAGTATCGATGAACCTTAATATTATTGTTATCTATCATAGGGTTTATTCAATTAAGCATGGGTATTAAAGATATTAAAGAACAAAACAGGCAATATCATCTATGAGCAGTGGCAGTTGGCAGTAAACAGTGAGCAGTTGGCAGTAAGCAGTGAGCAGTTGGCAGTAAGCAGGGAGCAGTTGGCAGTAAGCAGTTGGCTGTCGTATATTGAATTCCATATATAATGGCTTGCAATTGTAAGAATTTAATTATTATTGTAATGCAATGTCATTAAAAAAAAAATTAAAAAGGGAACTGCAGCGTTAATGAAGAGTGCGAATAATAGTTGTACGAGTTACTATTGAGTACAATTCTGCGGACGCCATCTTGCTCGTTTGGCTCACGTTTTGAATTTCTTTTGACCGTTGACGGTTTCACATTGAGTACTTTGTAACAACTAGCTTCTATCCAACCAAAAACAAAAATGTCGGAAAAAATAACAACAAGGGTGATACAAGTCACCAACATCGCGCCAAATGCCACCAAAGACCAGATGAAGACGTTGTTTGGATATTTGGGGCGCATAGATGAATGTAAAATGTATCCATCAAACGAGTAAGTCAAAGATCAATTATTTCTTTAAAGGGTCTTTTTAGATAATCTTATGTAAATTTAACGTTCAACTTGTGATTCAACTTGATGATATAAACTTTAATGTATTACAGAGCAAGACTCCCCTCTGCCTGGGCGTTAATATGTTAAAATGATTTTTATTGACTGCTAAATGAATTATGTCTGTCTTCAGTCAGGGGTGAGACTGAAATCCGTCATTTCTGAAAAATGATGGATAATCGTCATGTTTACTAACTACGTATTTTCGTCATTTTTGTCAATATGACTTACTATTGTCATATTTTCTTTTTCAACTTCATTCTTCTATCCTGGTTACGTAAAAGCAAAATTTGAATTCACCGCTGAAACAAGAGTGTTTACGCAAGTTTCATTTCATCCGGGTCACTAATTACTGCCGACCACGTGCGTTAGAACATCAACATGGAAGGTGAAAGTTATTATTTAGCGGTAAAATGTCGAATTTTGGTAGAACTAATTCGCCATTTTTAGATGTCTTTTACCCCTATAAAAACTAATAGTACACCATCTGGAAGAATACGTACTTGAAGCGAAAAGTCTCAACAAAAAGTTAAAGCCATAAAAAAGTAGTGCGCCCCATAAAACAAGTGAGATATTTCGGTGCACCCTGACCCTCCATTTTGAAAAAAGACGGAATATCATCAATTTCGTCTTCTTTCCTATTTAATGCAATTAAATTGACAAATAACTCTTCCACTCTTTTTTTTGCTTGGGAAATTTGTACTGTCAACATAACTAGTATTGTAGTCAACTGTATTAGAGAAATGAAGTTTGTTTACGATGTTTTTTGTCCTTTTTTCGGTTGGTGGATCTAACATTTTTCAAAGAGAGGTAACTCAGTATTCTAGAAACACTCTAAATTTTTATGACTGTTTTTCATCATTTTCTTAAAAATGATGAGTTTAAGTCATAATAAAAATTTTATTTTATGACTAAAAATCGTCATTTTAAAAATGACGGATTTCAGTCTCACCCCTGACTGATCTTTCCAATGTGTTTCTTTTAATTAGATTACCGGAGGGGGATACTTCCACCAAAGTCTGCTATGTGAAGTATGATGACTCTGTAAGCAGTGGGATTGCTCTTCATTTAACAAATACTGTTTTCATTGATCGAGCCCTGATCATCGTTCCGGTTATGGATGGTAAGGATAATTTTTAAATCGTAAATCAGTAAGTGAAAAAATGTGAAGATTTACTAGATGAGTGTATTAAGGCCTAAAAAAGAATTGTGTGTTTCGGGTAACCCGACCTAACCTATAAAAATGTACCGATCCTAACATTTTTTTGATGTCCGTATTTATTCCATTAAAATTCCTATTATTTTTATGTAAAATCCATTTTTATCAGAATATTTTTTTTCTCGTTCCTTAGAAACGTCTTTAAAATGCTTAGGCTTTCATTGAACATTAACAATATTAAAGTCAACATGCAAGCGTTTTTATGACGGGTCCGACAGCATGGAATGGGAAATCTTTTCGATAATTTTGACACTGATATTTCTATAATTTAAAAGTTTTGTGACATAGCTGAAATGGTATTGGTTTGTTACCTTTTGATTATGTGTTCGACCCACGTGGTTTTGTACCTGAGTTGCGCATGTATAAGCCAATGTGTATACAAGCATACAGGTGAACGTTTGAACCAACATACACATGTGTGTACAAACACACAGGTGTGTAGGAAACATACTGGTGTACGGTAGCTGTCAGTAGAGAGTATATGGTTTAATAGATGTACGTGTCAATTAGATTGATTCTGTCATACAAACAGCACAAATAATGAATATATTTTCTATCAAAGTATCTTTCAAAAAGATTTTTGATGAATTTGTGTTTATAGAATATTTTAGATGTTTTTTTTTCATAAAACAAAGCCTGTTTGAATGTTTTGGAAAGATGTAAACAATAACTAGAAAATTAACATTAACACAATTATAGCCTTCTTTGAATATCGAAAACCTTCACTGGTAAAAAATATTATTGCTTCAAAATTACAATAATGAATTGTATAAATAAAGATGATATTGTTCTGAATTCAAACTGCATACGAAATGTAAATATAATATTTCTGACCAAGTTTCAGACTATTGTGATTATATGTTTACTTACAAATCTTGCATTTTCACGAGTATCTTACTTGTGGTATTGTACATCTTTTATTTGGAACTTCATGACAGATATGATTAATATTCTTTCATAGCACAATATACTTTAATATTATTTAAATATAATCATACTGAAATAACTGTATATGCCCCCTGAGGGCCCGTGATTGGTGAATAAACATATAGATATATATAACAAGCATTCTGAGAGTATTGCATTAGCAATACTAGTCCCCTACCGGCAAGTGTAATCTGGTTCCCGTTAAGAATTGAAAATGCCATAATTCCGTCAAAAATTAATGAAGCGAGACGAAATGCAAACTTGATCTATAACTAATCAAGGTAAAACCACATAACAAAAATCAGCTCAATATCTACAAGCGTTTAGAAGAAAATTGCGGAAAACCCGTAAAAATTGAAAAGGCCGTAATTCCGGCAAAAATCAATGAAGCGGAACGAAATGCAAACTTGATCTGTAACTCATCAAGATACACTCACATACCAAAAATCAGCTCAATATCTGCAACCATTTAGGAAAAAAGTGCGGACAACCAAGTGGGACAGACTGACAGACAGACAGAGGGACAGACAGACAGACAGAGGGACAGACAGACAGACAGACAGACAGATGGACGGACAGACTCAGAGGAAACCTATAGTCCCCTCCGGTTTCACCGGTAGGGGACTAATAATTAAAACCATCCTAATCAGTTAATGATTAAGAATACGGATTTGTGTAAAATGAAAGTTTTCTCTTGCAGAAGAGATTTGATAACAGAATTTTAAAGTATCCATTAACTGTCATCGTTTCGATTCAGAACGAAACCACTGGATCGTACCCACAACTTGACAAGGGTAGAACTCATATTTGGAACATAACCACTCGCATTTACTGAAATGAAGAGAAAATGGAATAAAATGATATGAAACTCTGTAAAATTTAGTTGTCTGATGTTTTTCAAACATGTTGGAGTTAAATATAATATAAAATTATATTCTCATTACATTTCAGTGGTCATAAATAAAAAAAAATCCAAAAAAAAAAAATTCCCTACCTACCTACCCTAATTTTTTCATCAGTGTTACCTGAAACACACAATTTTTATGACGTCGAGCTCTTGGAGCTCGAACGTCATCTAGCAAGCGCCCAGTTGAAATCGCGACCGGATATGTACGCGACCGAATGTGTCAGTCGATGCATCCGCAATAGAAAATAGCAATAGCTATAAACCTATTACTTTGAAAACGCTCAAAATAAATAATAGCTTGAAAATAAAATTGCATCAATTATATCTGCAATTCTATTGCAAAACAACAATATTATGCTTTATTCTCACACAAGAAAAACGTGATGGTTGTTGCGGATGAATTTCTACAGAAAGGGTGCGTTGAATGACATGAATAACATTTCGGAACGATAACCGTGTAATGTAAACAACACAACAGGAGGTAAAATAATTACAAAATTACATAAACACGAATACTACAAGACAAAAAAAAGGATTGAATTTCTAAATCTTAGCTTCACTTATACAGTCTTCTAACCAACTCTATCCTAAAAACCAATGATTTTGACCAGTATTGCTGTATTTCTCCATTTCCTTCATTTCCCAGTATACCGTATACCACGCCCGATCATAACTCGATCGGAATTGTAACGGAACAGAGTCTTGGTTGTAGTTTAGATGCAAACACGAATACAATGCTTTGACATTGGCAATTAGAAAAAAATATTATATAAATTCATGAAATCCTTCATAGTTCTTCAACTGACTGAAAAGAATTTAGCATGAACATGTTCAACGGTGTCTGGTCAATTCGAACCCTGCTCCATTCGGACCATGACATAAGGCCCCAGACTGTGTAATTGTGATATTTTGTTTAAAACTATTTTTTTTTATTATGTCTCCTGAGTCACTCACTTGACTTATTGCTATCTTCAAATTCAAAATGATCTTTTGAAATTGTTTTTCTTCTTCGACGTCATTGAAGCCTTTCAGGCTTTTGATTTTTTTTTAGGCCTAAAATGTATATCTGCATTTTTTTTTTAATTGCTACTTGTGTTGACCAATACAATAAAGGAAATGAAGTACAAAAAGGAAATATTTAAAAATTTACTTAAAACTTTAAAAAAAATCACCAAGGCCAAAGTTTTTAATTTTTTTGGTTTACGATTTTCTGTCTCAAAAAAATGCATTGGGTGGTCGAAAAATAAAAATAAAAATAATTTAGGATTCAACAATTTCATTTTTAAATACCTGCAATGTTTATTTTAATAAAAATAGTACACGTCAATAGTACTTTTAAGTTTTATTGTCTAGATCACATAACTCTTTTTATTTAATTTTGATTTATTTCTAACTTTAGACTGAATGTCATTTTCATTTACATATAGTTCTGATTTTTGTTTGTCAATCAGTGCTTGGTTCATGATGTTCAACTTCTTTTTGTGCTCTTCAGTGATATGTGATGTACGTGTTATAAACCTCGGTATCCCCACAAACAAAAAACCAGGATCCAAATTTAAGTAAAATTTAGATTGAAGAAAAATACAATTTAATTGTTTAACAATATCAAAAGTAATTGATGTTGAAATAAAGGTTATAATAATTTGATCATGCAGCTATCAAATTTAATGTTCAACCTGCGGCACAAAAGCCTAATAATTTCTCAATCAAGTCCTTCTTTAATTTTTTGTTATGTACCTGCACAGTAGGCAATGCTCATTATTTACTTAGTAATTCAAAGGGCTTTGATCTCAATTGAGTATGAAATTTGCAAAAATTTGTATATTGAATTTACTTCTATAAATTAACAAATGTTTTATACACATTTGAATTTATCAAGTGAAATACCGGTCAGCGTTACTTCAACTAAGATGTATCTCTCAACACTAAATTGGCCTAACTATTATCCATGGATTTTGGGACTATTTTGGGAAACACCATTTTTGGGGAATTGGGAATAAATTATCGGCTATTTGATGAAATTGGAAAAAATTTTAAAATGTTACTTTAATCCTGTATTCAGGGGTAATCCATTTAACATTTCAGCATGAACTCTAATTTGGGCAACCAAACGACAATTAAATATGATCCATCTTCATCATACAAGATCAATTATGAATAATAGACTAATAAAAGTAAATTGGACTTCAATGAGTGTAAAGCATTTATACAACTTAGTGTAGTACATGTGTGTATGAGATTTCAATTTAGGTCATATAGTATCTGTTTCTGGAGATTATAAACCTCCTGCAAAAAATTATACTAAGTACACATTTTCTAAAATCCTCTTTTAATATGTATTAATGCATTGAAAATATATTTTTCTATCTGAAATAATGCCTAAAGTCCTTACCATTCACTCACAGATCAATTGAGTAGGTGGAAATAACTTAATAAATCTATATAATTACACAATATCTTCTTTTTTTAGAAAAACGGAGGAAATTCGGATTAAAAGTTGGCGATGTTTTTACAGTGTTTTTAAACATGTGTTATGACTGTAGCTTTGCTAAATGAGTTAAATAGATGAAAATTACAGACAGTCTGACAATTTTACTTTGTGTTTTTTTCAAGATAATTAAAAATAAAAGCATTGTTCACCAATTGGCAAAGAATACTGCCAAATTGGGAAAAACTGAACTCATTTTCAATTGGAAATGGGGCCGTATTTCGGCCCCTGAGAAAGCACTGATAAATCCCTGTTATCTATAGGTATAACCGTGTCTGCTAGGTCGATCAGGGTTGGGCATAAACTCTCCAATATTACGGTATGAATTTAGCCAATTGAGACATTGCAATTGGAGAAAGGGATCATGCATCCAAGATTTCATTCACTTTTCCATGCAGAAAAAGTTCTTTAAGTGTGCGTCATTGCTTTCAGTGACGAATTACCTTGTTACATGACAGAACCGCCATTTTTGGTTTGCACATGTGTTTATTTACGGTCACCTAAATGTTTGTAAAGGTCTCATATATTTATAAGCGCTTATTCGACTAAGATGCATTCTAAAATTTAAAACCCACCAGTTCAGCTGAGAAAAATCCGAAAAAATATGTCGGAAAAAGACATTATTTTTATTTTCATGATTGGTGAAAATTAGGGTCGGCGGAATCGTAAACCAAATGAAAAAAAAACTTTGGCCCAAGTAAAGATTAACTACAGAGATTTCATTCAATGAACTGGAATTTATAAGGGAAACAGTTGTAGCAGTGAAAAAATACCATTATTGCTGTAACATGAAATTCTCAGTGAAACTAATTTCAATACCATAAGAGCATTTTTGTTGCAGGTAAGATTCCAGATGAAACCACAGCCTTGCAGATTGCACCTTCAGCTATAGCAGGCATGATTCCTGGGACACCTAGCTGGCCTAGCAATGTAATCAGTCAGGTATGGTACAATAAATATTACAGTGAAAAGGTCATCAAAACCAGTTTATATTAAAGTGGTTCATTAATAGTAACTCAAGGTATATTTCACAAAGTTATTAAAAAACTATATGTATATAAAGCAAAATATCTCTTACAACCTGTAGAGGATCATAGATTGAATAAATTTGTTTTACAACAGTGCTATTGATGATGCTTTATAATTGATAGGAATAAAGAAAAAGGATGAGTTTGACCTTTTATTATTACATTTGTTTTATAACTCATGTTATTTTGAATCTGTATATTACAGATGACAGGAACTGGACTGACACAAATGATTACAACCCATGACCCCAAACTGACTGCCCTGGGTCTTGCTCAGTATCCGCCATTGCCAGGGAACACTGACCCAGCTAAAATAGAGGAAATCAGACGGACTGTTTATGTGGGGAATTTGGCCAAAAATGTTAGTCATAGTACCACATAAATTAATTCAATATTTTTATTTCTGTCATTTTTATATTCTTTAGCTGTTGTGAGAAGTGTTTTTACAGTGTATTAGTATATTTGATTATATTAATGTTTATATTAAACAGGTGACAACAGAACAGTTGCTGAGCTTTTTCTCTCAAGTTGGGGAGGTGAAGTATGTCAGAATGGCAGGGGGTGAGTCACAACCCACAAGAAATGCACTCGTTGAATTTACAGACCAGCGCTCAATCTCAACTGCTCTGACTTATAATGGAGTTATGTTCCAGGGCTTGCCAATCAGGTATCGGATTTTGGGGTGGAAGACAGGTTTTTTTTTTATGCCCCCGGATCGAAAGATCCTGGGGGTAGATTGTTTTTGTCCTGTCTGTCTGTTTGTCTGTTGTCAACTTTAACCTTGCTAATAACTTTTGATTGGTTGGAGCTATGACTTTCATATTTCACATGTGTATTCCTTGTGACAAGACCTTTCTTTGGGTACCATCATATTTGACCTTTTGACCTTGACCTTGGAGTTTGACCCACTTTTGCAAATTTTTATGAGACTTTAACCTTGGCCATAACTTCTGAACAGTTGGTGCTTGGGGTTTCAAACTTCACATGTGTATTCTTTGTGAAGGCCTTCCTAAATGGATACCAACAACTTTGACCTCTTAACCTTGGAGTTTGACCTACTTTTGAAAAACTTGAACCTTGGCCAGAACTTTTGAACAGTTGGTGCTTGGGGTTTCAAACTTCACATGTGTATTCCTTGTGACAAGACCTTCCTTTGGATACCAACCACTTTGACCTTTTGACCTTGACCTAGGAGTTTGACCTACTTTTGAAGAACTTTAACCTTGGCCATAACTTTTGAATGGTTGATGCTAGGGCTTTCATACTTCACATATTTAATCCTTGTGACATCACCTTCCTTTGGATAGCAACCACTTTGACCCTTTGACCTTGACCTAGGAGTTTGACCTACTTTCGAAAAACTTGAACCTTGGCCATAACTTTTGAATGGTTGGTGCTAGGGCTTAAATACTTCACATATGTAATCCTTGTGACAAGACCTTCCTTTGGATATCAACAACTTTGATCTTGACGTTTTACTTACTTTTAAAAAACTTTAACCTTTGCCATAACTTTTGAACAGTTGCAGCTAGGGCTTTCAAATTTCACAGGTATATTCCTTGAGACAAGACCTCTCTTTGGGTACCAACATTTTTTATCTTTTGGACTGGATTTTGACTTGCATTTGAGAAACTCACCATAAGCTGCCATATGGGGGCATCAGTGTTTCACAAACACATCTTGTTTCTCTTTAGAATCCAGATTAAACTTGTAAGAAAAAAGAATAAATTTTAAAAATAGATAGTTAAGTTACAAAGCTATACATAATAAGTAAAAAGGGAAAGATATAATAGATTTAAATCTGGTAATCTGTGATTGTTTTATGTGTCGTGCTTGCGTTTACATGTACTTTATGAATTTCTTGTTTAAGTGTGACCCATGCCACAGCATGCATCATTAAGCCAATCTCAAAGACACAGGAGGCAGCTCAGAGAGAGATTGAAGAGGCCATGAAAAAAGTGAAGGAAGCCCAGTCTCTTATCACAGCTGCTGTGGATGAACCACGTAAGAAATTATGTTAATGACATTTGTGAACTAAAAAAAGCATTAGTATTTAATCTCTGTGGTACATACTGTGTTTGTGTAATTGGAACACATTTTACTCCAGGTGACTCTTGATGGTTCAAACTCCGATCTCTTGAAGTGAACCTCCAGTCCTGTTTTTTTTTTCTCTATATAACTAAGCAAATTTACTCTTGATCTCTCGAACTTCAGATCTGTTGAAGTTCTCCATCTCTCAAACCAAGACCTGGTTCTCGTTACACACATTTCATTGTTTTTTACTCTCTATCTCTCGATGTTTTGATTGGGAATGTATACTCACCAATCAAGTGTAAAATTAATGCAGCTTAGATTTACCTGGATAACAGTGAACGCCTGTTGCTGGCATGGACGTGTTAATTTGGTGTTTACATAGATGACACTACACCTGTAAGTCATCCGAGTGTTGATATAATTAATTGGTTAATTGGTAAATTATAAACAAATCGCTTCACATCTTATTTGGACTTGACAGCAATATGATAATTTCAAGAAAATAAATTAGAGAAGTGTCAATATTTTTCCATAGATGAACTTTTCTTATAGTCTACACAATCCCAGTATGGCAAACATTGCACAAGTCCTATCTCAAGAATTGAATATCGATTATGAGCAATCTGGTGAAGGACCCGGTCAAGCTCGGGGGATAGCCACATTGACAAATGCTCTTCAGGCTTCATGTAATCATGAAATGAGAACAAATAAATATTGAAACTTAAAGACATCATTTTATTTATTCAAAATACGATCATTGTTGTTGAAATCAAGTGAATTACCTGTAAAATATGAATGAAAACGTGCAATTACATTATCAACATATACATGTACTTCTGGTATCTATAATAGTAGAACAATGATGATCGGAACTGAAAATTACGGATTTTATTCACTTTCTATCTCTCATACCCCTCGATCCCTCAAACTTTTCATACGGTCCCTTGAATTTCAAGAGATCGAGAGTCACCTGTTATTTAATTCATAGCCTTTATGCAAGTACCTTGATGATTTTTAAGCGCTAAGCGCAGCGCAAAGCACTTTCTGTCATCTTAAATCTATTTCCGTTCGCGATCCAGCGCCACTAAGCAAGTTAGATAACTCCACTGGGTTTTCTAAAAATATGCAACTGGAAATCCCCGACTCTCTTTTGGTTATTTTAGTGTAAAACTGCATTACGTACAGTTCTAATAATAGGAGTCAATTAGTAAGGTAAAGAGTATGCATGTACATTGTACGAAAATCCACTGTTAGTAGATAGGGGCGGTTCTTATCTCTATACATTGTAGTTCATTTAAAATCGTGTCGGCACATACCACTTGTGTACCAGGTAGCTAACAATTGCTGCATCTATGGCGCAGATACCTTAAAAACGGTTAATTATATGTCATGTACATATAATTTAGTGATTGAATAAGTACATATTTTTAAAACTCAGATGGGATTTTAATAAGTATTTAAAACTCAACTGGAATTAAGTTATTTAGTAGAAAATTTCGCATAAAATTGATTTACAATGTACCTACATATGTACGTTCTATATAGTTTATATCCATATTAACTAATATTTCTTCTAGACCCTTATTTCAGACAATGTAACTAAAAACAAGTCTTCCTATTATCACCCTTGCACCATGCAGAGAGCTATCAATTAAGTTGATTTTCGCATCTCAGTGTCAATTAGTAACAGACTGGAATGCATTCATGAACTGTCTTTACTTGTGTTGTATTCTATACTTGTAATATGGGTATAAAAATATGATGTAAATAATTCCCAAAGAAAGGCAGTTTGCGGCTCTACGTACACGTAGGGAACGTGGAGGCTGTGTTTTCAACGAATCCACTTAGATAGGAAAACTAATTTCTCGGAAATATTGATGACAAATATTGTGCAATCGTGTGTGCAGTGCGCAAGATCTGGCGGAAAATGCTAAAACCTTAATCAGACATTCTTAGCAATGGACAGGAATAGCGCTGATGAAATGTTAAGCATACTTGTGTTAGGAACCTAGGAAGAAATAGTTTAGGTAAAGGTGTGCGTGTGTTGCTGATTTGTCTGCTAAGCGACTTAATTATAGGACTAAGTAAAAGCAGAATAAAACAATGTTGCATACCTTCATAAAGATTTATTCATACTTGAGATTAATATAATGTCTTTTCTTTCTTGGGCTGTTGAATTATTTATCATGGAATTAGCAGAAAAATTACGGGTCAATTATTTTCAGTACTAGTATTCCTTTTTAACACACAAGTGCTGTGGATATTTTTTCCCTCTCAACATGTTTTGCATGGTAGTCAATTTCATATATAAACAAGTAAAGATTGGTGTAAAGTATCAAATATCCGTAAAAAAAAAATACTGAAGCATTTTAAGTATTTCAACAAGAGTCCAAAAATTACTTTTGGGGTTTTAATGACATAGTTTTATTCCGAAGAAGAAAAGTATAAAAATTTTATTTTAAAAAAGTAAAATTTACAAGTCAGATACATATATTGTAGATCAACAGAAAAGACTAATTTTTTTATGCAAATACATTATAAATCATGTACATGTATATGAAAATCAGATGTAAAGGATAGCTTTGAATGTGTTATCATCAAACGAAGAAGACAAATATAATATCCTTAAAATCAAAATGTATATTTACCAATTATCTCTGACAAAATGACGTAAACTCTATGGGTGCTCATTTAATAGATTTTTTCACATGATGATGCCGATATGCTGCACAGCACAATGAATGTGAAGTGTAAAAATTGTATAATGCACAGCTGTAGCACATTCAAAACAAAATGAAATATATAGTCTAAGTTTTATTTATCATTAATAAATACCGGACGCTCGTAGCGATTGTGTAAATATCTTACACACTCCATTAATGTATTTCTTGTAAAATCCTATCTATAGATTCGTAAATGTAAAAATCGCTCATGAATATGAAAAAAAAAGAGATATATACTAAAAAACAATTAAGTGAGAATACTAGTATTCGATAGTTTTTAGATCTTTAATTCATAACTTTAATAAAATATGATATCAATAAGGAAATATTTTATTTCTAACATTTTTATTTTTTATTTATTTATTTATTTTTTTTTTTTGGAGCACTTTCTAAAATTAATTCACAATCACAAACAGCCATCTTCAATTTGAAACACTCGTGAACACGGAATGAATTATTAAAAATTATCACCAGAACATTTTAGCTATCAGTGTTGCACATTAATGAGAGGAATATCAGCGACATTTTCAAGTGTTCAAAATTATTTAAAAATATACATTTTCCAACAAATGTATAACTACATTTATAGTCTAAATTTGGTTGGAAAACTCGTCGACCACCCCCCACCCCCCTCCAATGAATTGCGATTTATACGCAAACCTACCTCTTATAGACTCCTATAAGGTGATGGAGAACAAAAATATTTTTACATGTTCTTTTTTTTTTCCTTTCTTTCTTTTTTTTTTAGGTTTGAGAAATACATTACTGTTTGGACTAAATATCTGTTATTTAATTTTCATATATTGTTTTTTTTAAAAGAAACGGAGAATCTGGAACCTTCAAATGTTTCCCAGTCTGTTTTGAAAAGGCGGATATAAGTTTTATTTTAAATTAAGTGAATATGTATCGAAGAACTGTGCTCACCCCAGTGCAGTTGCACTGTCAACATAATACTTCTTCCAATACAACAGGCAATTTAAATTCAAAATAATTCTGATGAATTTCAAACATTGCTTAGCGCTTCCCAGCACTTTCAGTACTTTGATTTTTTTTTTTTCAGAAGAGTGTTTTTGTTTTAACAGGGCTTAATATCTATTGCATGCAGGTCCTGGAAAAGCACCCCATCTCATTTATACTTGATTTTTTTTTCCAAATTGACATTTGACATAATAATTCTTAAATGACAAGCATATTGAATTTTTCAGTGCTTTTTATTAGATATCTACATTTTTAATTGTTCAAAGATGACAAGCTTACAATCTGTTCATATATTACAGTAAAACATTTATATACTATAATAAGTTCATAAATATGTCAAAATTTTGCCTTTTCCCAATTTAAAATTACCATTTGAAAGGATACTGCCTGGCTCTGGGGCATAAACCTTAGATGTGCTCACTTGTAATGTCCATCTTGCTTATCCACAATGTTTTTTTTTTGTTTTTTTTTTTTTTTTGTAAAAGTGAGACTGAGATCAAAAAGTGAGCTCGTCTAAGTTTTGTGGCCCTGGAGCCAGAACACTATACCAAAAAGGGTCAATTAAGCCTTTTTTTTTTTAAATAATAATATTTTGTTCTTATGTCTTTGATGTTTTATTCTAGATGATAGAAGTCGTTCAAGGTCTCGCTCTAAAAATAGAAGAAGGTCCAGATCAAGATCAAGGAAGAGAAGTCGATCAAGAAAGAGGTCAAGATCAAGGAAAAGGTCAAGGTCGAGAAAAGGGTCCAGGTCAAGAAGATCAAGATCAAGGAGAAGGTCAAGGTCCCGCAGAAGGTCAACCTCAAGGTCAAGAAGACGAAGATCTAGGTGAGAGTCCTATGTATTTGTGTATTAGTTGATATGAACCAAAAATTGGATTTAACTGTGATAAAGAGGACATATTTTTTTTACTTATTTATTCAAATAAAAAATAGATTTCATTTCATTTTTTTAACTATACCTGTATTTCAGATCACCCAGACCATCCAGATCAAGAAAGTCTCGTTCGAGATCCCGAGGGCGAGGTCGTCGTTCACAGTCAAGATCCAGGTAGATACTGCAAAATAATTTATTTCACGATGAAAAAGCATAATTAATAACATTGTATTCCTGCCAAAGTTGTGAAATCTTAAATGTAAAGTATGTTTGTAAGTGAGACTTGAATTATAGCAGGTTTCATGTTGAGGATCTAACAAACAGTTAAATATGTAGCTACTTGAAGCAGTAAGAAGGGGCTGAAAAGTGAAACAAACAAGGGAATCTTAATTTTCATTTTTTTTCTTTTTTTTTTCAAATGGACGTGTTTATATGTGGGTCAGAAAAAGGTCAAAACTATCAAAGTAAATGACTGTTGTAATGTGTATGGTGTGTAAAAATGTTTTGAAATACTCTCTTTATTTACTATAAAGTGATCAGAAAGTTGGCAGGAAGACCTTATCGGGTTTGAGGTAATTATAGAATGTGTAACAACGGTAGAATTGTTGTTCAGCTTAAAGATTCTGCCCAAAACTCAACATTTGCAGTACTACATGTATGTTCTAACAACTGTATAAGATTTTCTTTTCTTTTTTTTTTTTACATAAATATATGATTGTAATACTTGTAGTATTTTTTTTTATTTTCTTAGACTTAAAAACCAAGAACTGTTGAGCTTCTGAACTTGGCCCACTGTGACTTGGTTTCCACATTGCTTGTTATGCTATGAATTTTAATACATGTACCTCAATTTCATATGTGCTTTTCATTCAGTATTTTTCATGAAAGAATTTCTTCTTCAATGTTAAAAAATTAATTAAGATAAGGGTAATTAAGGACTTAGTAGGATTTGCAGTTGCTGTGAAGTAATCACTCTGTATATCCATCTACAAGATATCTGTTCCTTCTTTTGCCATGGTTCTTCTTTTATAATGCTGAAATTTGGTAGCAGGTGCTTTAGATATATTTTAATGCTTTGTAAACCAGGTAACTCTGATAGGGTAGGTTTCTTTGTAAGATTGAATGGGCAAAAAATTTCCCCATTACAAACTTGGTCAGTAAGTGTTCTAACTCTTAGTGAGTTCCTATAATTATCTTGCCTGTTTGCACAGTCCTCACAGTAAGGTAAATAAGACTGTCAAATGTTACAATCAGGTCAATTAATACCTCAGCAATTGATGTTTGTTCATAAGAATACCTAGTGAGGTTGTATTCTCTTAATGCTGGCTTTTTATATAGTGCATGTTTCAGTTTGATTGCTGTAAACATTTTATTGAATTATAATTCAAATAACTGCAAATGAAATGTGTGTAAAATTATATTTTTTACAGATAGTTGGAAAATACAATGAGTAAATTCGTTGATAGCTTTAAATTTGTTAATCACTATATTTGTTCCACATCAGCATTTTTTTCTCCTTTTTTTTAATATTGCTATATTTTCACTATTGAGTTATCACATTCCCTAGCCTCATCCTTATTTTGATCCAACAGCAGGGCCCTGGCTGACTATAAAGTTTTCAATTTTAAGTTAAATTGTTGTTGCATTTACAATGAACAGTGTATCTGTACCTAGTCAAAATGAAACCAAAAATTCCTTGATTGACAAGCTAAATCCGATTCAGGATATCATTTTTTTATCCTCATTAAGTGAATTGAACACAGCATCATTAATATTTGACATTTTTCATCTTTATATTTCAAATCAGAAGCCCAAAGGAAGGGGCAAATGGCTTCCCCAAAAGGTAAAAAGTTATCACAAATGCAATGTGCTTTTTTTTTCTTTTTTTTTTTCATTTCAAGTTCTTTATCAAATTAAAAATAATTGAATGACTTTGGATGTATGAGATAAACAATGGTAAACAACATGAGATTTCATAATTAGCACTGCAATTTTTGCTTTGAAACTATAATGGTGTCAAAAAACTTCATAAACTTTTCCCTGAAACCTCTTGCATGAGGGCAAATGTTGATCATCACTGATCTAATGTTGGCTTTGTTTCCACTTGAAGGGGGCCGCTGAAGGGCCAAACCATCTTTCCTATCAGGTAAATTAAGGGAATGAATAAACAACAAATATCCTTTTTAATATGCAACATGTTGGGTTATTTTTTCTCTCTCTCTAATTCATTTAACTTTTCCCACATCAACTTAAATTATACATGTATTTTGGGGAGGTCAACATTACCTCTACATAGCGAAAAATTTCAACTCATTACTGCTACATTTCTTTGAAATTACCACTACATTTGATCAATAAGATTATTGCCAATTACAACTCATTACTGCTACATATCGAATCAGCCAGCTATGGCAGGGAATATAAGTTCTATTCATTATAATTCATATAAAAGATTTCCAGACAGCAGTACATCAAGCAAATGGCCTTCAAAGCTCTAGGGGTGAAACGATACACCTCCTTCACTGTTCGATACGTATTGTATAATTTTGTCTTGGTATGGTTATTTTCGATACGATACATTTAGATAGAAGGAAACAAATTCAACCTTGTATTATGCTTTCTTTTACTAAATCTAGTCACTTTAATTTACGAATTTTTATTTGCAAATTGACTAGAAAAAAATTGATAAGAAATTTTTGACTGTCAAAAATTATTTTACAAACTATCATGCAGTCATCAAAAATTTACCTTTTCTATACATTTTTATACTGAATAACGTGTTTTACCTTATGCCAAACCCGACTGAATAACGATCCCGACCGAAAAATGAACGGAACCGAAAATTAGAGATTTTGCACCGTGTATCAAACCGAGAAAAAATACCGCGGTGAATTGATACTGCGGTGAACCGTTTCACTCCTACAAAGCTCTACCAATTATGTAAAGACTGAGTGTTTTAACAATGAACAATGCTTGGTTTTAACACTTTCTAAAATGTTTTATTAAAATCTAAATAGATTTTAAATAAAAATTGAAAACAAATCATTTTGCTCAAAGTCTTACTTTCACTTCCCCGTGGTGAGCAGGGGAAACAGGTCTTATGTATGTACATGTATATGTTGCACTTTAAATTAATCAATCTGGACATGCATCAAAAGAGGCAATGTAGCAGTAATGTTCTCTTTTAAATGTAGCAGTAATCTAATGTTTTTGTAGCAGTAATGAGTATGTAGCAGTAATGATTTGACTTGGTTGATGTGGCTGTGTTAATATAAAAACGAATGTATTCTCTTTTTAAGTGTAAATGTAAGATCCTATTTATCTTTATAAAGTTAGAGTTAAGTGTATGAATGAGGGATATTTGTTGGCCAAGGATTTATATGTTGTCCTTTTAAGACTGCTGAGAAATAGGCATCATATTCTGAGACATAAGCATGATCAGTATTGGTATTTGTGATGTAAGAAGACGGATCAACAGCAGCTTTTGTGTAACAATTTATACAACGTACAAAATCACCTGTGTCTTCTATACATTTACTCACATTCATATACAAGGCATGCAGAGCTTATCATGTTTTATGATACTTACAGTAATATGATGCATATTTTGTACAGATTTCGTAGAAGGGTTTTTTTCTTTTTTAGCAACTTTCTGTCGTATTGCATGTTTAAGACTAAACTTTACATTGCTAATTAAGTTGTATGTTTGCTTTTAGGAGGAGGTCTAGAACCCCGCCCAGGGCCTATAGTAGAAGATCGCGATCCAGGTAATGTTAAAACATATCAAATTAAATCTTTTTGTTTTTAGTCTTTTAGATAATATTTGGGCAAATTAATTGTTCTTGACATGGAAGAAAAAAGGTTATACAGAATGCATTTACTGAGCATAATCAAGGACCAGTAATTTTTCTGAGTTCTTCATAAAGAAGCTATGTACACCACTGAATGATTATATTTCAAGGAGATTCAATTTTCTTTTTCATTTTACAATCTCAATCAATTTAATGCCATATAGTGCATGTCCTTCAAAGGGAAGTTCACCCAGGAATCTATGTCCCAACATATTTGAATTTTTAACAATACATGAGAACTGGGCCTAACATATTAAAGGTTTGAGTGAATTGATTATAATATATAATGAATGGTTAAGCTTTCTAAGAATTGAGCTTCCATTAAAAGATTAATATCTTAGTTATTATACCCAGACCATGGGAAAAAGACCAACCAGTTCCACCCATTGTCTGTCAATTCAACTAACCAAAAACTTCCTTGGGGTGGGGGGTCAGCAGTGATTGGCCAAATCATCTTTTTAAAGAGGGCTTTCAGCATTGGTCTGATAAAATAATTTTAGTTTCCTCTTTTGTATTACAGAAGTAGAAAGAGAAGCCGGACTCCAAAGCGCCGTTCACCGGAGGTACGGAAAAAATCTCGCTCCAAGTCCTTATCCCCACCTAGACTGGAGAGAGAGGATTCTAACCCAGCTGGGGAGGAGTCTGAGAGAATGGGCCCAGAATCCAGGTGAGTTATCACCCAGATGTGTGGGGAAAAGTGACTTGTATATTCTAAATGGGGTATTTACAAAAGAAAGGGACTGTCATTTTAGCTCTTAAGGTAGTATACTCAGAGTATATATGTTTTATTTGTCATTCTGAATTTTTCTCTTTGCCACAGAGAAGCTTAATGTTTTCATTGGGTTAGAAAGCTTATGATTGCTTTCCAGAGAGAGAGGGATGTATCAGTTTTGCTCTTCTAAAAAATTGGGATGTGTGAATTTTTTTTTAGCTGCTGATGTGTATAAAAATAAAGTGAAATCAGTGTTATTGAGTGAAAATGAATGAATTAATGATACATAATTAATGATTGCATTAGAAGAAGGGACATTGCAGTTCCTATGGTTGATTTTTCTTCTATCATAATTTAAAATTGACTAAAACAAAATTCTACATATCAATAGAGCATTAAAAAATTGTTTGAAGTTGACTCATTAAGTTCACCACTATAGATTTGTCTTTATTCTGTTATCAAGTAGTCAAATTATACAATGTAGGTAACTTAAAAATTGTCAACATCACCTTATTTTTAAAACTTGAATAAATTTTTAATTTTTTTTTTATTATTATTATTTTTTAGTAAACCAGCATGCAGATCGTAATATTCAAAACTGAAAATTGTTATATCTTTCCAAATTATGAACAGTAAATTATTAATATTTCTCATTAATACATATAACATATGTATATTTAAACACTTCTTCAAGTGAGATTCTAACGTCTTTATTATGGGGAAAAAATTGTACAAATGTGTAGGTAAATCTATTGAATTTTTGAGGTTTTAAGTGCAATCATACATACATGTATAATCCATACTGGGTTGCTGGCCTATTATAACTGGCTGTTCTCTGTTTGGTAGTCCACCCTCCATCTGTGAGAAAGCAGGTGCAGACAGGTAACTTGTGACTGCTAGATCTCCTAGCGTGCAGCTCTCTGTAGAAATCTGTGCTTGCTGTGTTTCTGTCTTATTTACACCTCTGTTTTCTATGCCTGATACAACCATTCTAACACTCTTAATAATTGTGGAAGAATTCTCTAGCTTTGAAAAAGTCAACTTTTCATAGACTTTGAATGCATATGTCTCCCTTTGCAACACACTGTAAAATAGGACTGTCGATGGTGAATTGTATATGCCCCAGGTAGTTTTATCGATTCAGAGTTCAGAATACTTTCAAATGCATTTTACAATCAGATATTTATACTTTTATGAGAAAAATAATTTTACAAATTTTACAAATTTATTTATGAAGAATAAAATCATTGACATCATTGCCAGCTGCATATTTAAAGAATAGGACTTGATTTGTAGGAAGTTCCTCTCAAAGCTGCCCTATATCACAAACCCATGTGAATTTTCTAGCTACATTACCCATAGAGTTGAATATAAGTAGTAGATTGTACTATTTTTAATATCTCACCACTACAATTGACATGGTTTTTCCATGATGTACAAAAATTTCTCCACAGAAAGTCAGTGTCTATTTAAGTTCCTGTTGTTTAAATGAATAAATATATAATGTTTTTTCTTAACCAATTTTGTTCTTTTATTTTATTTTAATGTATTGACACTTAAATTCTCATTATTTATGACAGTCCTATTGTAACATACATTGTATATCTACCTACTTAGTTTTATGACCTATACTGTATTTCATACTTGGCATGTCTCAACATAACTGTTAGTTCTCTTCATTTTTCCATAAATTTTTAATATATATATTGCTATATTTATAGAAAATAAATACTTATTGCTTGATATTTTTTTTTTTTTTTGAAAAAGTGTCACTGTTAGTGTCACTGTTAGTTTCTTTTAGCGGACATATGTACTATCATATTCAGAACAGTATTGCTTGATTTTTGAAGTGATTTACATGTAGATAGAATAAAAAGTTCTCTTTACAATCATGCATTTTAAATAATCCAGCTCAAGATTATTCCAGGCATACTCTCTACGATAGATCACTTATTGTTTACATTTACCGAATCTTACGTTATAGTACACTTCTATCGTGTTATGAATGCTAAATATCAGTTGTTATTGTTGCTACCAGTAGATACATGTTGGAAAAAGATTTTTAAAACTGTTTGATTTGTAGCAAAAAAGCCAGCTGAAAAGTATGAAATTAAACTTCAGAAAAGAATAAGTGATCTTATTTTAGTATTTGAAGTTCACTAATACAACAATACTAACACATCTATGTACTATGCTATATGTCACGAGTGTTGGCGTTACTCCTTTCAGCATAAATGCTGAAAGCAGTGAAACAATAAGTTTAATATGGCACTTGTCATTTGGTCAGTAAGTTTGATTTTTTATTTAAATAGTGTCACTGATGCCCCCGAAGATTCGTCCAAACCTGAGAAAAGGTAATCAAGCACTGTCCTGCATTAAAAAATGCCAGTCTCTTCAAGGATTGCAAATTTCAACAATGTTGTTGTTGCTTGTGACCTTTATTTCAAATTTTTAAAAAGTAGTTGAGCAATTTGTTTTTTTCTTAAACCATTAGTTTTTTTTTTCCTTTTTTGAATAAAAGAAAGATTTTAAAGGCTGTATGAAATTTATTTAATGTAGATGAAAGTTGTAAGATGAACTTTGTAGAAAATGTAGATAAAACTGCTAGTTTTACATGTGATTTTTACTTAATGCTTAAAGACTATTAATCCTATATTTAAGTTGACTAAGCTTCAATAATTGCATGAATGTTTTATTATCTCTTTTTTTCATAGTTCATTCCTCTAAAACTGATAGTAAATATTCATAAAATGTAATATTGTTTTCAGGTCCTCCAGTGAAGGAAGGAGTCAATCTAGAAGCCCAGAGAGATCAGAGAGCCCAAGACGCAAGACATCTGTAAGTCCAAAGCCCAGGTCACCAAGTCCAAAGAAAAGTCCATTACGTCGTGTATCTAGAAGTCCACGAAGGCGGTCAAAGAGTCCAAGACGTAGGTCTAAGAGTCCAAGACGTAGGTCAAAGAGTCCAAGGCGAAGATCAAAGAGCCCAAGGCGAAGGTCAAAGAGTCCAAGACGTCGCTCTAGATCTCCTAAGCGTAGATCACGAAGTCCAAAACGTTATTCCAAAAGTCCAAGTAGAAGAAGTGGTCGCAGAAAGTCCCGCAGCAGGAGCAAAGGGTAAAGTTATCATGCAATCATTACTTGACCAAATTAGAGATGACCTAATGAGACTTATGTGGTATAATGGGTATTATAAATAAAAGTGCACAATGTACATTGAAAACATGTATATCCCTTACCTTCATTTGAGCTGATTGAATGGAGTAAAAAAAAATTGAAAGTGTAAAAATTAGAATGTTACATTTGAGGAACCAAATCTCAAATACTTGTACCAGTATCTAAGCCGTAGAAATTAACCCATTATTCCTTCTTAGGGTAGATTCAAAGCAGTGCATGATTGAAAAATTGCACAAAGGAACTAAGAAATTGTAAAACATTAACACTATCTTCAAATGACCTTGATTCTGGGTTTAGACACTTGTCCAATTATAAGCAATATTTGTGTCAAAATGAGCCATTTCTCATTTTAAAAAAATGAGAGCCAGGCAATAAATTCTAATCCCAGTGACATTTTTCCAAATGATCTTGGTTCAGGGTAATACACTTTGGTCGTAAGTAGATTTTGTTTCAGAGCTTTTTTAGCTCACCTGAGCTGAAAGCTCAAGTGAGCTTTTCTGATCACCCGTTGTCGGTCGTTCGTCCGTCTGTAAACTTTTCACATTTTCAACTTCTTCTCAAGAACCACTAGGCCAGTTTTAACCAAACTTGGTACAAAGTATCCTTGAGTGAAGGGGAGTGTAAATTGTTAAAATTAGGGATGTCAATTTTGTCAATAATTCATATTCGAATATTCAATGAAAGTATTCGAATATATTCGAATATTCGATAAAATAAATAAAATCTGTTTTATTTTAAATATGCATCATCCTACTCTCATGAAAGGTTTAGCGTAGGTATACTTATATTGGAAGTAAAATTGTATGAAGACTTTTGTAGGTGTACAATAAGAAATTCCATTTGATATTTGTCAATGTTTGAAATAAATATATGATTTAAATGTAGAAAAGTATAATTTTAACAAATGAAACGTGTATTTATAGTAGTTCCAACTGAGGAACCAGTCGTCTTACAAAAGGCAAGATAGTCGTAACCGTATACTGTTCAGATTTCAATACGTGTAATAAATTACAATTATCTGCCTGATAAGAGATATAATTATAATCTTGATACAATGAAAACAAATATTTCCATAGACAATTTTCCTAGATAATTAACTAATTTCCCGATAATGAATATAAAATTCAGGATTATGTACAACCCGAGATAATCAAGTAATTTACACATTTATTCTGAAATTAAGCTCTTTACAATATTAACAGAGATTAATTCTATCGGACATTCATTCAATGATCAATTAATTTTATTTTGATAAGTATACTCTTCACGCCTTTTAGACATTCTTAGATTTCATTTTTTGTCCTTGATTCTAGATCCGATCATATCTAACTAATAAAAACTATGAAAGTACGTTTTGTATTATACATAAAGCATTATTGTACAATTCTTTAACACCTTACTCAAAACAAAATACATGTTATTTAGTATATTTATAAGCTAAGAAAGTAGTGAAAGAAATCAGGCGATCGAAATTTATCGCTAGTAAATTAAACAGAGATAATTTCAGCACTGATCTAATCAAAATTTATTAATCACAGTACTTCTTTTTATGAAATCTGAAAAACACCGAATATTCGAATCTTAAATTCATATTTGAATATCAACTCATCGAACGAATATTTGAACATTCGAATATTTGTTGCCATCCCTAGTTAAAATAAAGGGCCAAGTCCCCTTACAAGGGGAGATAATCAAGAGAAGACAAAAATAGGGTTGGGTCATAAAAATCTTCTTCTCAAGAACCACTGGGCCAGAAAAGCTGAAACTTACGTGGAAGCATCCTAGGGTAGTGTAGATTATAAATTGTTCAAATCATGACCCCCGGGGGTAGGGTGGGGCCACAGTAGGGAATCCAAGTTTTACATTGAAATATATAAGAAAAATCTTTTCAAATCTTCTTCTCAAGAACCACTGGGCCAGAAAAGCTGAAACTTATATGGAAGCGTCTTGGGGTAGTGTAGATTATAAATTGTTCAAATCGTGACCCCTGGGGGTAGGGCGGGGCCACAATAGGGAATCCAAGTTTTACATTGAAATATATAAGAAAAATCTTTTCAAATCTTCTTCTCAAGAACCACTGGGCCAGAAAAGCTGAAACTTAAGTGGAAGCATCCATTGTTCAAATCATGACCCCCGGGGGTAGGGCGGGACACTATAGGGAATCCAAGTTTTACATTGAAATATATAAGAAAAATCTTTAAAAATCTTCTTTTCAAGAACCACTGGACCAGAAAAGCTGAAACTTATTTGGAAGCATCCTGAGGTAGTGTAGATTCTAAATTGTTCAAATCATGACCCCAGGGGGTAGGGCGGGGCCACAATAGGTATATTAAAAGGGGGGAATCTGGTAAAGAACAGCATGGCCAAAGTTACTCAGGTGAGCGATGTGGCCCATGGGCCTCTTGTTTTTTTTTTTTAATTTTTTCCATTACAAAGTTATTGAGTGAACAAATTTTACATTCCTGGTCTTTTTGACATTTTACTTTGTTCTCGTGACTTTGGATCAAGGTCAAGACACACCTTTGTTCGTGAGCTACATTTGCACTAAACATGAGTCTATAAAATGATGAACTTGAAATAGATTTTAGACTTTAATTTCTTTGACATTGATTTTGTCTTAATGACATAAGTTCAAGGTCATGACAAATCTTTTGATTGTAACATACATGAGATGTTAAGCTTTATTTAAAGTTATTGATAAACTAAACATGTTTAATCCATGTGACCTTATTCAAATGAGTTTATTTCAAGGTTATGGTACACTCTATGGTCCATGCTATTTATGTGCCAAATTTCAGCCTCAACTACTGGTATATATATCTTTATTACAAATTTAGTCTGGGCCTAAATAATTCTCCTTCAGTGTGTATGGCTTTCACTTTGTATAAATGATCTTGGGTCAAGATTATGGCATCTTTAGTTATGAGCTACCAGTACCATTTAACAAAATTTAAGTATCCAGTATCCATGTGTCCATGTTGTTAGTCACTCAAAAGTTGTGAGAAGGATTAAAATTCTAAACAAAGATGGACATATAGATAAAAAAAAAAGTATCCCTCTCCTCTTCCAATCTTAAAAAGCAGGTTCCTCTTTGTAAAATTCAAGTTATTTTTCCATTACCTAAATTAAAGTCAATACAAGATATCTGTTACAGAGGAATTTGAGCCGATTGATTGCTTAGACTGTTTTATTTTATGAAAATTGAGATACATCATTAACAGATCATTTATTAATTTTTTTAGACGTAAAGCTAGCAAGCGATCCAGACACAGCCGGAGTCGATCCAGAAGGCGCTCTAGGTCCAGGAGCGGGTCTCGTCACAGGTATTGGTCTGGTTACTAGTATTGTCACTTGGACTTAACATAAAGATTTTGGGGTTTCTTTTCAATAAGAATTGATGGCAGTCTTATATATGCTTATTTAAGCAGTATGAAGAAATAGTTTTAAAAGAAGCCTGGCAAAATGATATACAAAATAAAAATTGCAATTTGAACCAAAAGAAAAAATATTCCGTTGCTAAACAACAATTTTGATTGTTTGCTAATATCTTTATATACTCTTTCATATCTTTAACTGTTAGAGTTAAAATTATTTAAAGTTTCCAATCAACTAAAATGTTTATATAAATAATTTCATGTTAGCAAATCTCTTTCAGATCAAAGAAAGAGAAACGCAGAGACAGGAGCCGTGACCGGGATGAGAAAAAGAAGAAGCACAGAGACAGAGAGGAGAAATCATCCAAGGAGACAAAAGTGGTCCGCAATTACGATGAAGAAGAAAAACAGATTGAGGAGGATTACAGCAGTGAAGATGACGATGATGACCGCCCATCTGCTCTTCCTCGTCCAGCAGATGATACTAACTTACAGAGTGTGGACATGGACATGAGTGATTAAATAAAGTGGCACAGTGGCGTACCTAATGCAATCAAAGTGTGGAAATGTTGCTAGCAAATGACTGGGTTTATATCCTTCATAGTCTAGACTTACCCAAAATGCTTGTCTCAGAAATGGTACCTGTAACTTGACTCTTTATGTGCAGTCATTTATAGATGTGAAGATGTTCTGTGTAATATCTTGATCAATTAATGTTGAAAGCTTATAGCTATAAGAAGGAATATAGTTATTTTATATGTGTATGTTGTTATGGCTTTCATATCTGAAAATTGGTCAATATGTTCATATATGTACATTCTTTGTTTTTGATTATTTGTTTATACATATGGAAATGTGTAAAACAAAGTGGAATTTAATCAATAAATACTTGTATGTATTGACATCATATTAGCTAGTGTTGTTTGCTTGCCATAAAGTAACTTCATTTAGGGATGGAGTTATAAGTGCCTTTGTGCCCTTGCAATATCAGTTTTTACCCACTCATGCCAAAGGCTCAAGTAACCTTTTTCTGTTCAAAAATTGTGCATCATCCATGTGTGGTTTATGTCCATAAACTTCCACAGTGCCAATTCATAAGAACTTTGTACAGTAGTTGAAGGGGATTGAAGTTTGTTGGTGGACCAAACTCCACAAGAACCACTTGGCCACTAAACTAATGTGAAAGCTTCCTTTTTTAGTGTAGATTCAAGTTTATTCAAATCTTTTTCCCTTGGTAAGGATGGAGTTAACTAGTGGGTCAAATTTTATATGCACGTATATAGGAAAATATTTTTTAAAAATCTCGAGAAAAGCAGAGTCACAATTACTCTTTAGTATGGTATGTTATGAGGTACATTACCATTGTCACTTTTGGGAGGGAGCATTTTGTCTTTATTTACAGTTTAATCCCCTTCATCCACAGATACTCTACAACAAGCTCGATTGAAATTGGCCCAGTGATTCTGGAAAAGAAGTCAAAAAAAATATATTATACAAAAATATTTTTAAAAAAAATAACAGATGGACAAACCTTGATCAGGAAAGCTCATTTGAGCCTTGGGCTTGGTACTACAACATGCCGAGATGTAAAATTATCGCCCCTCTACAAGTCATATTAACCTCCACAATCATGTTTTGTAGATGGTACAGAATCAACGCAATGTACATCAACTTACGATCTAATATTGAGCTGATGACTGGGATGCAACATAGTCATTTGGAAAGGTTAATGATCATCAAAAGTAAAAAGTTTGTTAACAACCAAAAATAAGCTTTTTCCTTTTTTTTTGGGGGGGGGGGGGGGGGGGGGATGTGTTAATTGTGGCTGATTCGCCTCTTCAATTTCCTTCAAAACAAAGAACTACCATACAATAATTACTTTACAGGTGTATTATTATAAAGCACCATTTTAGAAAAATAATAGATGTATTTGTGTTATGCAAAAAATACAGAAGACTGAATGCATTTTTTGGTACAGTAATTACATATACATGTACAGTGTATTTTAAAGCACTTGCAAGGAGTTACATTATCAAGCAAAATAATCCATACTTGGCTTGATTACTATACCAGACAAGATTTATACATCAGTCACACTAATAACACAATGTTATAAATAAAAAGTGAACAATTAACAAGTAACCAGTTCTCACACACACCATTCAATCTTACAGTAATTTCTCTCTGTCGCAGATCCCCAACTGATTTCCTGCATATAAATAGTTCATTAATATTTACCCAATCTCCTAAAATTTCCTTGATTCAATATTGTCACCCCAAAAAATCATTAATATGCATCTTTGTTATTGTCTTTAGATGGGAAGCAGAAAGTATGCAGAAAGTCGATAAATTCTTGAGTGAAGCCTTGATCCACACTTAACTTTTGTATCATAATGATTATAATAAAATAGTTTAAGTTAAGAATAAGTTACAACAAGATTCTGGTTTCCTTTGAAGAGACTCTACCCCTGGTATGAAGCTTTGCCACTTGAATTAAACCTGATCTCAAGGAACCAGGGACTCATGTTACAAAAGACCTGTGGCCCTTTTCACAAAACATCTTAGGACTAAGATGAAAATTTGACATCCCTGTGATTTTTGGTTTTATAAGTATATATATTTTTTAAATATTATTTTACAATGTAATCTAATGTCATAGATATATAAGGTTAGATACTTGTTGAGGAATGGAAAAATTTTTGTCTTAGTCATGATTTTTTGTGAAAAGGGCCATTGAAACATAAGCTGATTGTAAAATCTTGCCAAATTAATGAATCTGTTAAAAATTGCTTGCATAAAATTATCTTTCTACAATCTTTTATAAAAAAAAAAGTTTAAAAACATCAAGGAGTTACATTATTAAAACCATTTTCCATATTAAAAAGAAAATTATTCACAAAATTACATTTTGGTCTTAGTAATGAGTTTATTTATAAAGCTCAGAATCTTGCTCACTCCCTCAATGATACACTTTAGCTATATAACATGGACATCTTGTTCTATTTCTTTGTTTCCATAGCCTTTACATTCAGTGTCTTTGCCAAGTCAACCTGTAATTGTAAAGGAGAATACTTAACAAATCTCTTTTTAAGGTTAATTAATATGGTACTGTAATAGTGATAGTTTTATATTGTTTTAATTATTACGAAATTCAAATGTATAATTTATTGATTATACATTTATGAATATGCCACAACTCATTTTAAACTCTCAAATACATGTTTTGATCTGTGTGTCAATCAATATATTGACCAAGACAAATAATTTTAAAAAATCAAATATTATTCATTAATTAAATTATTAATATTATTCAATAAAATAATTTATCAAATAAAATTAATAAATAAAACAAACTGAAATAATTTAAAAATAAAAAATCAGCGAAAACTTTAGATCCACCCCTTGGACTATTCCTACACCTGTAATTTTAATAAGCTTCCCGAGTAGAATTCAACATTCTTTAATTCTATTGGTCAAGAGTTTTACCTCTGAATTCTCGACATCAGACATTATTCAGATTGATTTCAGACTGAGAAGACATATGATTTACAACTTTAAATTTGACCTGGCTACCTGCTGCTAATATGTAAGTAACTTATTTACTTCTTATTAACAAAATATTTTTAAAAATCTGATTTATCTGAAATTAATTAACTAATGAAAATATTGAGTGTGCAAGAGTTGAGAGTGAATGTTATTATTTTATTACTGTAGTGTACATACAATGATAAAGTGCCAGTGATATAATTACATACAAAGTACCAGGCACTCTGCTCCATAAACAGGTACATTTCATATTTTCACAAATGTACTTTTCATTTTTATATATTCTGAATTAATAAGTGGACTCAGAATTCACTTAAAGATTATAATAAATAATGTAAAACAATTCAATATATGTTTCAAGAGAATATATATTGATTGTACAAGTATAAATATAGATTTTTATAAAATGCTGTGAAAAGGGGAATAACTCTTTCAAATGAAGGTATTTTAATTTTATGAGTATAATATATGTTAAAAGAACATTGTCATCCTGTTTTGAAATTGAACTAATATTAATTATAGGTATTTTTACAGAGTGATTTATAATTGTTCTACCTGATTATCATTATTACTTACAACTGGGAAAATAAACCATCAACGAACCCGCAGGTGTCATAATTCTTATTGTATATTAGTACCGTCTACAAGACCCCTGTTACTGTACCAGATTATTTGAGAAATTCCTTTAAATAGATTTCACTAAGATGACACGATATAAAATACCTGGATATTTTTTTATTAATCTTCATTACCGTACTGACATGTGCATGTATTACCTCATAGACTCAGATTCTGTGGTTTTTATCATCAACAAGAATGTGCAAGTATCTGTGAAATGTAAATCTCAGTAGTGATTTAAAAAAAAACAAACAAATGCTGAATTCCCAGTCCAACCATATATTTTTCTTGATTCACTCCTCCTTTCCTACTACATTGTGTGTGTGTGTGTGCTTGGGGGGGGGGGGGGGGGGGGCTTTTTCAAGTTATTTGTAAATTAGCAATTCCTGGCAAGGTGAACTTGTGTGCCTGACATTGGACTGTTTAGTAAATGAGTAATGTAGTAGTTTGGGCTATATGGACTGTGCATGGATATCTGCCCTGGGTAACTCTTTGGTTGGAGCACCTGACTAGTGACTAAGGGTCCTGGGTTCAATTTGCGGTCCAACCACATATATTCTTTTATCATTCCTCTTTATCTACTCCATGAGCTAAAATATTACATTTTACTTTAATTTCTCAATTAAAATATGACACATCTTGAACATTTTAGGATAGACTTAATTGTGCATAAATGGATCTGAAATATTCTAGGGTCAGACTTCTTTTTAGAGTCTGAAAATGAAGTAATTAATACATTTTTGAGGGACCCTTCCACTACTTTACTTTGTTGGAAAAATTAGTGCAACAATTTATCACAATTCAGATTGCAAGTAGGATTTCCTTCATCCCCTTATTGTCCCCCATATTCTGAAACCTAAGCTCATACTGAATTTGATTATGTTGGTAGGGTATCCCCCTCCTTTTATTGTTCCTTGTATTCTGGGACCTTACCGCATATTGAATCTGATTAGGATGGTAAGGGATTCCCCCTCTGTCATCACACATTTTCATGTGAATTCTTTCAGGGTCACCAGCCACTAAAACATCTTTGTCTTTTTCTGCCTACAATGTAGAGTATATTTGCATCTTCAATCTACATGTACATCATATTAAATACATGTATATATAATTATGTTTATAAATATATTGTATAATAAATAACTTCTCTATAGGAAACATTATGATTTCCCACAAATTATAAAAATGCTTAATTTCCTGTGAATAACATTTTATATCCCTCCATGTTTGAATAAGGCCTACTTTGTATTGTCATCAAATATCATTCACAGATACATTTTAGTGAGAACATTAACTGTGTCAGTATTTTTCTGTCCTTTATCTTCCCAATGGCCATGACATCAGCTCAGAGCATTTCAAGAAAACCTAAATTTTGTCACCTTTTTAGTTATCTTCAAAAGATCCAACAGACCAATATCAACCAAACTTACCACAAAGCATCCTTGAAAAAGGGGGTTTAATTTTCTTTAAATTCTTCAAATAAATGACCAAGCCCTGTTTTTTTTTTGGGGGGGGGGGGCAATTAAGAAATAGTAAAAATTGGGTGGGGTAATTTTTTAAAAAATTCTTCTCAAGAACTTCTGGGTCAGAAAAGATCAAACTTATGTAGAAGCTTCTTTACTTAGTATAGATTCAAGTTTGTTCAAATCATGCCCCTAGGGGTAAGGTGTGGCCACAACAGGGGATCAAAGTTTTACTTGGGAATATATGGGAAAATATTTTAAAATCTTTTCTCAAGAACAAGAGGACCATGAATTTTTCATGTGAATAAAGATGGAATTATTTTTTTAAAATCATCTGATGAAAAACAGGAGGGTCCAGTGGACTCTGATGAACATTTTTAGCTAATGGGTCTCTCGTTATTCTATTGATTCACAATACAAATGTAGTCCAATAAGAGGAATTTAATACCATATCATTTGGACATATTTCTGGTCACATGTATGCGTCATTTACTGTGGATGAAGACTTACGGGTTCCAGATTACGGCATATGCCCATCAGATCAGACATTCTCTCCTCAAATCCAGGCATGAAAGAATTAGGTTCTATGGCAATAAAACACTGACCCTGTGGAAAGTAACAATGTACATTTTAAAGTTTTCTAATAACTTGAAGTTTATCAATTACATGTACATCTTCAATTTAGAGAATATATCTTTGTAACAATATGTTAAACTATCAAAGTATTTCTGATCTTTTATTTACATTTGATGATAGAGAATGTAAAATTGTACCAGATTCGCAACTGTTGTGGTATTTTTCCACCTTCTGATGTTTGGTCCGTAAGCTGATCCACTTAAAATCCCGCAAAATATCTCCACCAGGAAGCCAAGCCCTGAGCCTTTGTATCCACCTTAAACATTATAACACACATCATAAGTAGACTTATTTTCAATTTTCAAATCAGTTTTATTTTATTATTATTAAAAATTGATTAATTATGCCAATTATCAAAAATGTCATACTTGTCTCTTCTGCCCCACCCAGTGGCATTTGGCCCCCACCATTTAACACTTCTGTTGGATTATTTGTCATCTAAAGAACATAAAACAAGGGCACCACAATTCAAAGTATCCCCTCAGCCAAATTTTGAAAGGGGAGATAAGTTTACATCAAATAGAATATATTGCAGCGAGACTGTGTAAAGTATTACATAAAATATTGTCTGCTAATAACTAATGATGATCATGTTGAGGACTGTGTTAATGTATATTCTACCTTTCCATGAGCATCTACACCCCAACTGTCTGAAATAGGTATTTGTTTTCTCTCATGCAACTCTATCTGTAAAATTGATCAAGTGTGAAGCTAGATCAATGTGTTTTAAAATGAAAAAAGCATACAATAACCATTCAGTAACCAAAATTAAATTACATCTGAAGCTTTTCAAAAGACATTTGAACTGTAAAGAATCAGTACTACTGTAAAATATCAGTGTAAATTTGCAAAGTCTTGAAATTAGATTCAGATAAAGTTCATTTATTTCATATATATATATATATATATATATATATATGGAGAGAGAGAGAGAGACTTACTTTGCCTAATGCAGCTGTTGAGGTAGCCATATCCAGAACAAAACTGTCACTGTGGAGACCTTGGGCAGCTAAACTTATTGGGTTGGTCCCTAGAATTGGCTATATTAATGACAGAACACTTTCAGTTTTATACATCAGAAATTAATAATTTTACCCCTTCACAAAAATTCAATATTGTATGTTCTGAACAAAGAATTATAAATCTTTTATATAAAGTTGGTTATGCATGTATTGATGCCTTAAAGATAAAAGATTGATTACACATGCAATGTATTTAGTTTCTGGATATTTATTTTTTTTATTTATTTATTTCATAGGAACAAAAAGCACTTTTTTGTGATCTGCTTCATCCGATCACAGTTGATTCCATATGAGACCTACGGCAAATGTAACTGCGCACATTACACAACAGAAAACAGGAACTTTTTTGCTTTAACTAAAGGATTCCTTGTTGTTTCATATTATTTAAATTGATTAAAAAAAAAATTTAAAACATTTTCTTTGTGATATTGCAATGATTAGTAAAAATGCAGAGTGATATTGAAAAAAACATTGGCAAAATAAATATTTGTTCAGTGATGTTTGGATCAGTAAGCTATAAAGGAAATATTTGTTATCAAAGTCCACAACTTGGAATACAAGGAATTTTTAACCACATTGCTACTCTAATCTATACATGTACATCCTGAGACAAGGTGAACAGGTAAATGTATATGGAAGTAGAGATGGTAAATCCCAAACCATCCCTAACTAAAACAATTAAAGGTCAATGTCATATGTCAGAGGTCAGATGGACTTTGCAACTGGTTTTGAGATGCATAAAATACTTCTTTTATTTATTTTCTATATGCATTACCTTTTTTGCTCGAGTTGGCACTACTAATGGCGACGTGTTGGTAAAGGACATCCCCTTTAATGATTAAATATGACTGCTTTAATTTAAAAAAAAAAAAGAAGAATTTTTACTCCATTCAAAACCTTATGTTATTTGTTAAATATTAATTATTTCATTTTAATATTTATTTAAGAACAGCAACATTAGCCCAAAAATCTTGCAATTAAAATCCATATATTGTCTACTCTTTATTTACGTAGCTCTCATCTGAGAAATACCAGAAATTGAGTGTGTAAGTTATTTTCTCTCAAACAAGAGTGATCTGTAATTGTCATACCAGAAGTCCTTTGTCACTTGCTCTTATTGCATAATGACCCGCAATACCATAATGGTTAGAACCTGTAATGTGGAAAATAGATATAGAAATCCGCAAAACAAATAATCACTTAATTGATGCATGCAATCTTTTCATCATTAATTCTCTAGTTCAATGGATAAAAGAAATAAAACAAATTTAAAAAAATTAAGCAATTCTAAAGATCACATTTTAGCAGTTTATGAAACTATTTAGAATATTTTTAAGTAAATTGTCTTTTACAGTAGTGTACATGTTAATTATGACCCAGATTGATCAACAACACATATCAAATGTCAAGTCATTGCATGTCCAGCTCACAATTTTGTGGAAACCATTTCACTTTAGTCCATGTGAAAAAAAAAAATAACAAGGATAACTTGTATGCGAATAAATTATTGTTATTAAACTTTTCTTTATTAACATATGCTGTGTCAAATTTCCACTGTTTGTGATAGCAAACTTTAATAGTGTAAATTAATTATTACCAAGTAGAAAAAGTACATCTATACAGAGTATTTATTGAAATCAGAAAGAAAGAAAAGTTTAGTTATTTTAATACAAAAAAAGTGTTTATATTATTACTGAATTGCAACAGACATTTTAAGTTTCTGATTGATACATTTATTTACTAGGTTTTCTTAACTTGAATGAATATACAGTTGAACTTCGGTATTTTGAACACTGATATCTCGAATACCATAGATATGTCGAAGTGATTTGGAAGTCCCAACTGCTTATTCTTTAAGTATTTTACCCCCGATACCTCGAATCCTCGGATATCTCCAAGTTTTTTCTTGGTCCCATCGAGTTCCAGATAACGAGGTTTGACTGTATTTTAGATTGTAGCATTTGGTGGATAATAATAATTAAGGCCACCAGGTATATACCACAACAAACTTTTTGTTAATTAAATACTAACCTTTGGCCACAACCCATCCAACTCCAGATTGCTTAGCTTTAGTTATGGCTATGTCCATACAGAAATTGCCGACCACTGGACCAAGGACATTTTGTCCATCTATAAAGGCAGTGGCTGGGCCTTCCTTGAGAATGACTGGCTCTTTGTCAGAGACTGTTATGCCAGTCTGTATGTCTTTTACATACATATCTATAATTAATTAATATATTTAAAAATGCAAAAATAACCAAAGTTTACAGTATGATTCCTTGAAAAAAAAAGCAATTTTTTAACTTCAAAATGTGACTTTTCCCAGATTATTTACATTTTAAACTTGTGGCGAAGGCCTGTCAGGCAGATTTTTCTAAGACTATTTTTGATAACTACTTTAAACTGTTAAACAGTTATTAACCAATTAACAGGTGAAATAAATATGCAAATAAATAACCTGTAGAGACAGAGAAATCAATACATCTATAATTTATATAGTCCGAGATATATCACCTAATCGATTAAGACCATGGCTGTAGTGCCCCCTGTAGTCTGCTTGTACCAGAACTTCGGCTAAGCTCTCGGCATGACCAGGCTTAGTGCCAACACATGTCATGCAATCCTTGGCAAATCGTTTTACTTCACAGTTACTGACAACATCCCAATTTTTCGATGAGAAGTGTCGGAATAAATAAAACTGTACTTTACTTCTACACCTATGAGGTAAATGTTTGCAAAATAATTGCATTTTTTAAGCTAGTTTCACTTTCAGAATTCCCAGCTGATAGTCAATGTATTCTTTGACAGATTTTCGCTTTACGATCTGTCGTTGTTTCAATCACACAAAAGATTAAGATTTTTTCTGTTCGATCTTTCTCGAGATTTACCATCTGTAGAGTTATAATAATATTAGAGGTATTCCGCACTATACACAGTAGTTAGGCAAAGACGAAGTAAATCTGGTAAATTTTTCATTTTTTTTTCCATTCATTTTCACAGCATAAAGAATAAATGGGAGTTGTTCAATATATTTGAATATTCAGTTTCTCCCTTTTTGTTTATTTTATTGTAATGCATAAGGTCTTTTCGTAGTAAATTGTAGAAAAATTAAAATTTGCATCTTACATCAATTTCAGATGTATATTGAGCACCTGATTTAAGGATACTCAGAAATGGCGAATAATGGAGAGCATTACATTTCTAAAAGGTAAATGTATAAAGAAGTGTGTTCGTAGAGTAATGGGGAAGGTGAAAATTTATGGCTGTACCAGGACCAGAACGCCTGCATTACTAGTCAGGTGCTGTAACCACTGAGCTATTCAGACCGATATCTTAATCTCAGCGAGATTCGTCGAGAATAAAAATTTTGGACAGATGTCTCTTACGTAAGAAACAAAAGTTTTATAGTGATAGGGAGTTAAAAGGATGTCCAAAGCAAAAAGTTGAAGCGGTCAAGGAATTCATTTCAGCCTGTATTGATCAAAACAAGCAAGATTTCCCCGAGTCACTTTTTGTGACGCTAGTCTGAGATTCGAAAGAGACATTTGTCCAAAATTTTAGTCTAGACAAATCTCACTGAGATTATGATATCTAAGATCCATATAGCCCAAATCACTACATTCCTCCCTCCTCTTTGCCCTCAAAACACACAATTAATACCAGATTCCTTTACCACTTATGAGGACTTAATTAATTTCACCTGCAAGTCCAGGGTAGTCCATATGGCACCAAATGTAATGGAAAAATAGAGAATTTATTGCTGAGCTAGGAATCAAACCTGGGACCCTTGGCTTGCATTACTAATCAGGTGCTCTAAACAATGAGCTATCCCGGCTTTGATAACCATGCAGTCTAGCCATAATTTTTTTACCATAAAAACAATGGACATTATTGATCAGCTTCAGAGTATTTTTATACAGATTTTATGGTAAAGTTTGTATTGAGATGCATGATACAAATATAATACTAGATTTTATTTAGCCCATGCTAATAGAAGGACTTTCCTCCATGGTATTTGAATTGATGTTTATGATGAACAGGGGTTGTGAATTTTGAAGAGGATTCCTAATTCCATAAAAATTCCCATCCCTCCTCTAAGACAGTTGCATTGAAACATGGATCATTAATTTTATTTATCAAGCAAAAACAATTTGTTTAATTTTACCTTGATACCTCTTTCAGCTACAATCCACAGTTTATGAACAATCTGAAGCAATTACTAGACACACAGCTGTTTTGTGACATCAGTATCCAAGTCTCAACAGAAACATTCCAGGCTCATCAAGTAGTTCTGGCTGCTGGCGGACAGTACTTCAGAGCCATGTTCTCTAGTGCAATGTATGATGTGGAAAACAAGTGTATCACTCTCCATGACATATCCCCCTCCACATTTCAATCACTGTTGACATTTATCTATACAGGTATTGAAAGTTATTTATTTACAATATGTTATGTACAGTGTACATGTACTTTTTGCACTTTTTTATTATACCCCTGCAGACAAAGTTTTCGGGGGGGTTGGATGGGGGGTGAGGGGTTATATATGCATCATACTGTGCATTTGTCTGTCTGTCCTTCAATCATGTCTGGGCCATACTTTTTTATGTACTTTGTAATTTATATCTGTTTTATAACTTTCTAATAGAGAAATATTGGAAGGTCATACCTAAAAAAAAATATTGCTTATGACCTAAAAGTATTCATAACCTTGATTCAAGGTCATTTAGTTAATTTTTGAAGAATGTTTATATCTGTCCTGACCATATCTTTTAGTGAAGAACATTTGAAGCCTTAATATAAAGATTGCTTATGACCAAAGGGTATGTACATGTAATAATCTTGACTCAAGGTTATTCCAGGGAGTTAACAGTCACTGGCAAAAAAGTTATAATTCGTGTCCTGTCCATAACTCTCTAATGGAGGCTATTTAGAAGTTGGTACTTGATACAATGATTGCTTATGATCTAAGGATGTGTCATGATCTAACCCAAGGTCATTCTTGGAAGTTAAGGACACAGTAAGAAAGGGTATAAAATTTGTGTCCAGTTCATAGCTCTCTAACAGGTAAATATTTGAAGCTGTCAGATCTTCAGTTGAAGATTACTTGTCAGCTGAGGGTATGTCATAACCTTGACCCAAGGTAATTCTGGAAACTTATTATTGATATTAGTTTGGGTCTGTATGTCCATCCGATGATCTCTCTGTCATTTTGTCTGAGTGTAACACTTTTGTTTTGGGATGATATCTTGAAAAGCCTTTGAAGTTTTGCTATGAAATTTTATATCACAATTAATTCCGTATATTCAAAAGAAGACCCCCATTGATTTTAAAGTCAAAAAGTCAAAGGTGAAGGTCTGAAATAAATTTAAACATGATTACATTCTGTCTGTGTGTTACTCTTTTGTTTTCAGATGATGTCTCAAAATGTCTTTGAGCTATTGCAATGAAATTTTATTTCACAACTTCCTATGACCTAAAGATGACTCCTATTAATTTTGAGTTCAAAAGGTCAAGGTCAGATATTCAAACATTGCAAATATATGGTTTTCAGATAATAACTAGTTTTCTTTGAGCTTTTTCAGTGAAATTTTATATCTTAACTCCCAATGACTTAGAGAAGACCCTTATTGATATTTAGGTCAAAAGGTCAAGTTCAGAAATTTTAAAAAACAAAATGGTTTCCAGATGAGGCCAAAAAAATAATAGTCTTGTTTCCTGCTACCAGCCTGAAAAAAATAGGGTAGGTAGGTAGGAAAATTATTTTATTTTATTTTTTTCTGACAGCATTTTTTGGATATGAACTAATACAAGATAAAATTCAACATGTCACAAGTCATTATTGTCTTTTAAAATTAAATTTCATGTCTTCTTATGCAAAACTCAAGTGGTATTTTATGAAAGTTCACATTTAAAACAAGAATTTCATGAAATGCTTGTTTTGTGTTAACACGAAAACTGATTACGGTGACAGAACAATGAAATTTTTGGAATTCCCGATTTTTTTTCTTCCAAAACTTAAAAAAAACTTTAGGGTCGGGTGCAAAAAAATAGGGTAGGTCGGGTAGCAGGAAACAAGACTATTATTTTTTTTGGCCTGATAACTTTAGTTGTCCTTGAGCTTATATCTCCCACTGATTTAAAGATAACACATTTTTTTTTAGGTCAAAAGGTCAAGGTGAAAAATTCATATCTTGCATAAAATGATTTTCCGTTGTTAACATGTTTTTTTTTTTTTTTTTTTTTTTGGTTGAGATTTATACCTTTCATCAATATGACTTATAGAAGACCCAAATTGGTTTGAATTTTACAGAGACAAATATGTCCTTTGTTGAACCTTGCTGTTTTAAATAAGTTTTGTGATTTTTTAGGTGAGATTGACATTACCTGGGATAACTGCCAGGATGTTTTAGCAGCAGCAGACATGTTTGGAATTACATGTATAGTTAGTGAATGCACCAAGTTCTTACAAAAACATCTAGACAGCCAAAATTGTGTTGGTAAGTGAAGTCTCTAATTTTATCAGTAAGTTAAACAAACTACTGAGTATTTTTTTTACTGAGACCGTATGGTAATGATGTGGGGCAATAAATAGACCACTTCTGATTTTGATACAATGAAAAACAAGGCCTGTATTTTTATAAATAGATCATAGGAATGGTATGCAGTTTTTCCCTAATAACCCAGAAGTAAAAGGTGATGGTCAAAATCTGTCTTGGTGAAAATAATTAGGATGACAAAAATGTAGCATAAAAATCTTTTAACCCATATCAGAGTAGTGGCCCCTGAAATATCACATTCTGATTTTTTCAGTGTTAGCATGAAAATTATCCGAGATATATGATGACTGCAATAACAAAATTGAATGGCATTTTCATAAATATTTAATCCTGAATGTTGAAATTATAGCCCCTGAAACACAGATTATTTTGTTGTTTGTGTAGTTTGGGGTTATTTATTTGATGAAATAAAATGAGATATATGAAAAGTGCAAGAAGAAAAGGAAATACTAAACCAGGTAAATTCTTTATGTTTAGAAAGTTTTATGAATATATGATCATCCATTTTGGAATTATTGCCCCTGAACTGTCAATGGTTTGGGAGGTTTGGTCCTTTCTTATTAAAGTTTGTAATTTGTTACAGCCATTCAGTCTTCTAGGAGCCCTCTGTTGTCTTTCCTCACATCTTTACACCATGACACTTATACAAGATCTTTCTATTCCTTTTCTGCCACTCCATTTTATATTCATCTATATAATTTCCATCTTTTTTTCTTAAGCCATTTACTAAATAGCCAGTGAGTAACTCGTTTCATATTTCTTTCAGGTATATACCAGTTTGCTGATATTCATTCCTGCTCAGAGCTGAAAACTGATGCTGAAAAATTTATCCACAAGAATTTTGTATCTACGTCTCAGGAAGAGGAGTATTTAGAGCTTAGTGAAAATCTTGTCATGGAGCTTCTAGAGAGTGAACAATTGTGCGTGCCTTCTGAAACAGAGGTCCTCCAGGCAGCCTTAAGGTGGCTTCTACATGATCCACAAAACAGGAAGTTATCTGTGTTCAATATCCTTAACAATGTTAGGTTCCCCATCATATCAGAAGCTGAATTTGAGGAAACCATGGAGGACTGCTATGATTTAAGTATCAAGATAGCTGTGAAAAAATTTGCACAAGACTTGATGAATGATAGGAAGTTGTGTAATAAATTAAATCTTAGGCTTGTAAAACCACATCTAGTGCAGCCAAGAAAGTCTGCAAGAAAAAGCATATATGTGATCGGTGGATACTTCCACGCAAAAGGTGGAAGGTGGAGTGACATTCATACATTGGAAACTGTGGAAAAATTTGATACTTTTTCTCATGAGTGGGAAACCATTCCAAGTTTACAGTACCCCAGAAACCACATTGGGTCTACAGTCATTAATGGACAGATTTATGTTGTGGGTGGCGAGAATGAGTCCCTCATTTATGACCTGGTAGAGTGTTATGACCCTATCAGTAAAAAGTGGTCCACAGCCCCTCCCCTCACCCAACCACGCTGCGGGCATGGCTTAGCTTCTCTAGGAGACTGTCTTTATGCCTTTGGGGGATGGGTGGGGACTGAGCTGGGAGGCACAGTAGAGAAGTTTGACCCCACAACAAATGAGTGGGTCATAGTGTGCAAGATGCCAACCCTGAGATTTGAAACAGCTGTTACTGAGTTGGATGGTGAGTGTTAATGTAGATTTAATATACTGATGCATGCCTTAGAAAGGTCAATGACAGTTAATAGATAAACTTCCTTTGTTTAGAAATAATGTTTTAATTGAAATAGGAAAAAAATCACTGTAGAGAAAAAAATGAATTCTGATTTTTGTAAACGAAATACATATACAGTTGAATTTTGGTATCTTGAACACCAATATTTCAAATACCATGGATATGTCGAGGTAGTTTGGAAGTCCCAACCACTTATTGTTAAAGTATTCTACCCTTGATACCTCAAATCCTTGGATATATATCGAAGTTTTTTTCTCAGTCCCATTGAGTTCGAGATAACAAGCTTTGGCTGTATACATCTTTGAACTGTCAGTTCACTGTACCGTATTTCAGGCCTAATTTACATTATTGGTGGAATGGATAAAGACTATGGATTTGGGTCAGAACTGACAATAGTGGAAAGTTTTAACCCAGTGACCAAGGAATGGGAGGAGTTGCCTCCCTTGAACACACCCCGTGCCAATGCCAGTGTGGCCACACTTAATGGCTACATTTATGTGATGGGGGGATTCAACACCAGGGATGGGGACCTAGCATCCGTGGAGAGGTACTCACCAGAAGAGGTAAGTAAAAAGGAAAACATTTTCTTCTTAATTTGTTTATTCAGTATTTCTTGAAAGATTTTAGTATTTAAATTTATGTCAGCGATTTGAAAAAGTTAATAAAAAGATGATGATGAATTTATCTTGTTTGGGGCTTAAATCTAATAGTATATTCAGTTTTGATAAAATGTAAAGGCCAAATAAAAAAATATGTGTGGTTCCGGTTACCCGACCGTCCCTATTTTATACCCCCGACCCTAAACTTTTTTTTTGACAATTTTCAAATTTCCGGAATTTTCCCTGATTTCCCTCATTGGCTCCGGTATTAGTTTTAGTTTCAGCAATGGTGGCCTTCTTTGACAACATCGTTTCAACACACAGTACAAGTGTTTTGTCAGTTACAAATGTCACCACTTGAAAGAAAGCAATAGTATTATCTCACCAATATCACCAATAGTTAATTCAAGAAACATTCAATGATATTTTTGACTTTTATTTTATTTAAATTAAAAAAAAAAAAAAAAAAAAAAAAAAAAAACTACCTACCTACCCTAATTTGTTTGGAGGTGTAACCGGAACCACACATATTTTTTCATTTGGCCAAATTACAAAAGGATTCAGTGATAATTTCCTACTAATATTAGGTATAAATGAGTGATGGTTCATTTACAAATTAAATAATCACACAGCATTTTAATCCAAGATCAATCCAAGATAAAAATGTCATTGTTCACAGAATGTGTGGGAGGCGGTGCCAGACATGAATCAGAAGAGAACGGCGCCATGTTCGGTCAGCGTGAATGGACTGTTGTATGTGATGGGAGGTCGTCAGTTCTTTGTCAGACTGGACATGTTTAGCTGTAACGAGACTATCAACAGTATGGAATGTTTTGACCCTATCTTAAACTGTTGGCATGAACTACCAGCCATGCCTACACCTAGGTGTGAAGCAGGTGCTGTGGTGTTATAGTGTTCAATTACAGAACACAGACAGTTTTTTTTCCTACAACTGTAGAACACAGTAAATTTTTACTTGTGAAGTTTTTGCTTCACTAGAGGAAAAATGCAGTGTACAGAAGTTGTTCCTTTTGCCAATATGAAGATGTTTTGAAGGTGCTGTGATTCTGACGATATTTACAAAATTTATGTATATTAATTATTGAAATATTCTATTACTGGGTAATAATTTATCTCCACAACTTCCTACATGAACATTCAAGTTTAATTAAAGGTTATTTCCAATGCTTAACCAGGGTGCATTATAAAAATAGTTTTCAAGAGTACACAATAAATTGGCACATACTACCTAAATTTCAAATATCAAAGTGAAACATTATTATACTGGATACTTAAATTTAGTGTGAAGTTTAGTGTTCTGGATATGTTTGATTAAAGACTTTTGTGGTTGTTGAAAAAAAACAAACTTCAGAATTTTTGTAGTGTATATATATGCTTTTTGCATTTGATATATACTTCTGGTATCAGTGATTAGATTTAAAAAAAGAAAGAAAAAGTTTAAATTATCCAGAATAGCATTGCTTTACAACAGTAACTTGTATCTTGTAATGAAACCATGTCTACATTGCACTTAGTGCCATTCTTAGGAAAAACTGCAACACGTGCCATCTACCCTATATAAGCAAATCTTTACTGGTCAAATCCTCTTACAGAAATCTTTGCAGACTTAGAAGTCTGTCTATCCAACTTTATTTGACCCCATAATATAGAATTTGAGGTTCACCAGCAGTAAATCTAAGGAAATCTCCACACTTTCCAGATGGTACTAGTCAGTTGCATGTTGTTTTAGATGTTCTTTAAAAACTATGGTTTGAGAGTGATATTCTGAGTGAGTTGATGATTTTAATATGTATTTATTGTGAAAGTTTATAATTTCTATTAAATGACTCTATATGAATGCTTGAAATTTTATTATCATTTTACTGTGAATCACTATTTATTTGTGAGAACTTTGTTTTGTGTTACATGTATAATGATGTATTATGCAAGACTGTCTGTCTTGTTATGTTTAATCATAATAAAATATTGTTTAAATTAAGACTGTCTACCTGTGAAAATTTCATAATCGTGTATAATTCTACTATTAAAGATTACACAGAGCAATAATCAAAATTTGTGAAAATTTTGTTTCCCTTATAACTACCAAACAACAATAAGGTGTCACAAAATTTAGTGATCTACAGTAATAGACAAAAGGATAATGGGTCGCAATGCTGACATGGATAACAATACAATCTCTGCTGATTTGTGGTCAGAGATTTGCTATGCAAATTCTTTAGAAATAAAAAGATATTTTTTTTAATAAAAAAAATTTTGGTTATTAAAGTGGATTTTACAAAATTACAGTGATTTTTGAAAAAAAAAATTATTACAATATTAATTCCATTATATAATTATTATATGTATTTGCATAATATTGCATGTTGAAAAATTAAAGCAAGTAGCTAACATTGCTCAAATCTTAGGATGTTTTTAACAAGAGTCTACTTAAAACGTTTCTCCATTTTTTTAGAAGTAAAATATTTGTTTCCACTCTAATATGAGTCAAATAATATATGTATCCATATGCATATTATACTATTTGAATGAACTAATATCCAGAATAATGAGGCTCAATACAGAAACAAATGAACTGAAATTTGACCTTCAGTGGATTGAATGGTGACTGATTGACATATAAATGATCACTGACAGGTATTTTTCCATTGGCATTCAGTAGCATTTCAGTTAACATTATGTTGACGAAATTGCAGAGATATTTTAGTGAAAATTCCGTCATATTTCAGTTGCCATTCTGTGGATTTTAAGTAAAAACATTTCAGTTACCATTCAGTTGACTGAATGGTAAAACATTTCAGCGACCAGTTAAATTTCAGTGATCATTCAGTCATTTTTCAGTGATAAGTCATTTTAAGTAACCATTGAGTCACCTTTCATGACTTATCTACAGCATAAGTAGGAAAAAGTAACTGAATCCTTTATAAAATACATGTACATTGACTAACTGACATATGTTGGAATGGTCACTGACAAGGTACTTTTCCATTTAGCATTTCATTTACTGAATGGCAGAAACATTTCTGGAGCCATTCGGTCATATTTTAGTGATAATTCAACTATATCTTAGTAATCAATCACTCATTGTTAAGTGACAATTAAATGAACTTATGGTCACCATTCAGTAATCTTTTTCATGAAAATTCAGTCAACTTTAAGGAACAATTTAATTAACTTTCAAGGATAATTCAATTAACTGTCAGTCCCCATTCAGTTAACTTTCAGTAATAAATTATTCATCATTTAATGTTGATGCAGTATTCAAAAAATTATAACATATTCTTTCACTAATTCATTTCATCAATTGGCACTATTTACTGCTCATTGATAAATATTTCAGCTTTTTGTTTATTTGTTTTTAATAGACAATGAATCAGTTGTGTTTTTTTTTAACTAACAACTAGATGTTGTTGCTAGCAATCATTTTCCCAGATAGTTAATGCTTATTGTAATAAAACAAATTAATGTCATAATATTCTTACATTAAGTTGTTGTGGAATTGTGCAGGAAATTCAAAAAATCTGTTCTGTACTTGCGTTATGTTTGAAGACAACAAAATATGCAGGCATTTTTTTCTTTCTAATTATTGATGATATAAGATGCTGTGATGTTGGGTTTAATATCATAGAGTCGTAGGATGTTCATACCAGCATGGTACTTAACTTCACTGCATGGAAAAATGTATCCTGCTAAAAATACTAAAGATTTGTTTACCAACAATAAAAAGGCAGCCCATTTTCACAGTAGGGTGTACAAAATTGCGTGCGTTTGTACATGCATCTTTTTTCCCTCTCAAAATATGTCACCGAAGTTTCGAGTACTTTCAAGGACTGTTTAAAAAGCTCAAATTCTCCTGTAAGTGGCATACTTTGTTTTCAAAATAGAAAGCATTAGGTTGGTTTCATAAAATTTCATCAATGACAAGAAAATTGTTGTTTACTCATGACTCATTCTCAAGAAAGCATTGCCTTCTCAAATCTAAATGAAAGACATAACATAATGATAAGGTTTGTATGTCTATTTTGTTCATTTGAATTATAAATAGGACACGTAATAGAGGGATTAAAATATTAATTCCTACTTTGACTTGACCTGAAAACGAACATTTAATCTAAAGGTACGTCTGACAAATTTACAAATGCTTGTTAATTGCCAAAACCTATTACTGTGGAATTACGGGGATATTGTAATATTTGACAGTTTAATTGTTGAGATTTCATCTGTAAGAAAACACACATACAGAAATGGAAATTATGTTTTACTTGTCAAGCTTGTTGCATCACTCACGTAAAGACAACCTTTGGACCCTTCTTGTACGATGATGCAAGGTCTCCAAGACATCACGTGGGGATACCGGTATAATTTGAGGAACGAAATTTGATTGGTGTATTTTGCCACACCTCCAACTTTTTATTTTTGTCTATCTTTTTGTAAAAATAGCAAATATTTGCTTTTTGTTGTTATTAAATGTCCATCTAACCCAAGTTGTGCCTAGCGGAAGGGAAGAAAATGGCAACGCAAGTTGTCTACGTTTTCAGTTTTCTTGGCCTTATTTTGCTGACTTTTATGCCTTGCAGCAATTCATTGTTTTTCTCAGAATTACTTGGAATAAAAAGTATTGCAACAGAAAGACACAATGAAACGACGAAAGAGTCAACATCTTTGACTACCAAACAAAACGTTAACGTAACGTCTGATGATATTGATTCAGTAGGAAATGTTAACGAAACAGTTATACTGGAAAGTTATTCAAATAAAACAAATACTAGTGTAGAGACAATAGCAGAAAACCTTGAAGAAACTGGATTACCAATATCGCCAGAAGAAGAACGCAAAGCAGAAGAAAAGATGCACCTCGAATTTATTAAGAGACAGTTAATGGCAAAACTGCGACTTTCCTCCCCTCCTATAGCTAATGGCCAGGCCCCAGTCCTGCCGCTAGTAGAGCTAGGGAGGGGGTATCTACAAACTCAACACGACCAGGGGAAAAACAAGTACAAGGCCCATCACTTTTACGCCAAAACCTTGCAACTCTACGTCATGGGCAAAGACGGTAAGGACATATTTGTTTCTACTTTTTTTCAAACTCAGATTTTTTTTTTTTTTTTTTTTTTTTTTTTTTTTTTTTGATAATTAAAAAAGTCTAGTTTGCAAGCGGAAGTGCTTAAAGAATCTCTCCAGCGGGTTCCGTTTATCATTAGATTTACTAATCTATAAATGGATCTTTTTTGATATGGGGTCAAAAAATTGGGTCACAAATTTTGGACTCCATAAATCTGCTAGTCGTACCATTCGCGTCTTGGACTCCAAGTAGATCTAATATTATTTTGAAAGGATATCTCGGATTTGATAAGTTTTCGTAATGCTTTAGATTGATTCTGTCAGCTCCGTCAATCACAGGAATATATTCGCGCTCTTTGTATATATATATATTAGCTTGTTAAGATAAACCAGACCGTTTATTATTTGATGGTCATTTACTACTTACACAATTATCACAAACGAAAATGTTCGATTCTTCATGGATGAACAAAAACATATAAGTACTTTTATGTTACAGTGACGAGTTTCTCCAATCGTAAGCATTTATTTTTTTCTAAATCACACTATGACGTCCTTTTTTCAATTTTCCTAAACCGATCTCTTTTAACATAATATCACAAAGTGGGGTCGGATATAACTACTATTATTTCAAACACTCTCACATTTTTGGTGTCTAACCTTCACAGTTGGCCCATGGTCATGCAGTCTGTAATCGAATTGTTCGTTGAATGTTTAATAATGCCTCAGTGTGTCTACATATAAGTAGTCCATGGGTTACACCGTGCTAACCCAACTGCACAGCCTCTGATGTTATACGGTTTCTGCCTCTTTGTGTATATCAAAGGAATATTGAAAAACAAAACAAAAACAAATTAAAACCAGAAGTCTCTGACGAGACTGTGGCTCTACTGTGTTTTACTTATAAGTACTCAGTAGCACATGGACTTGAAACTATGTCAATAGCAAAAAATAAAATATAAAATATTGATCATTGGTTTAGTCTTTATTGTGTCAAGCGCAATTTCAATTTGACAAGAACTGTAGTAGGAGCCTAAAGAATTTCACAGAAATTTCTATTTTTAGTAGCTATGGCAACACTGTTAAAATCAAAAACCGATAAAAAGGATAATGCATCATAGTAAAGTCTACTTGTATACAAAGTTTAATTGAAATCTGGCCACAACTGGAGGAGGAGGAGGGCTTTTAATGATTTTTTTTCTGAAATTTCTATTTTTAGTAACCGTGGCAGCATCATTCACCAAAATCAAAAACTGATATACAGAGTAATGGGTCTGTGTATAGTCTACTTGCTTAAGAAGGTTTATGGAACCAGGTCGAACCTGGTTCTAAAAGTTCTAATTTTAGTAACCATGGCAATACCGTTCATAAAAATCAGAAACTGATACAAAAGAATCACGTATCTTAATGTAGTGTACTCATGTACACAGTTATATTGAAGCAGACTAAAAATGTTAGAGGGTTAGGTTTTGAAAGAATTTCATAGAAATTCCTATTTTTAGTAAGCATGGCAACCCCGTTCAAAGAATCATAAACCGATATATAGAATTATGTATCTTAGTGTAGTCTTTTTGTTTACCAAGTTATACTGAAATAAAAAAAATTGTCGAGGAATATTTTGCAAAATTGTTTACAGACAGCTAGACGGACGAACGACGGACACCTTACCACCATACAAGTTCTTCTGGTCTCTGACCAGGCTTCGGGATCATGAAATAGACCTAGACTTAAGTCAAAATTTTAAGCATCTATAAAATGTTTATTACTTGTGAACTGAAACTCTTAATTTGCTTATAACATTAGTCTATTGATGCAAAATTCAAAAATCATTTGAATTTTGGACTGCTTGATTTTTGAAATATTTAAGCGCAATATATATTTTTGACTTAAGCTTAAAATGCTTCATGATCCTGGGGCCAGTAGAGCTAAAAACTTACAAACACATTTTTGATATCTAAATTCAATTTTTGAGAAAGTTTATTTTTTTCAATACCAAATTATATAGAGATGCACGTCGTTGATTTCTATAAATATTTTATTCTAATGTCTTTACATTGCTTTAGAATAATATGCCTTTATTTGAACTTCTCATTGCCTTGAAATATAATGACTTTTCTTTCAGAAACAGAACACTGCAGTTATCGTAAATCCGCGGGCTGCTACTATTTTGACGTGAACGGAAAAGTATCCGCCAACGATGTTGTTGATGCAGAACTTTGGATATATAAACTTTTCTATCACAGAGACCCTTTTATACAAACATTTGTTGTCTCAGAACTTGGTAGATCTAACAGAGCGGAGAGAAAGGTTCGTCCGCGTAATATTATAAAACGGTTTGAGACCAAAATCAAACACGGGTGGCTGAAAATTGATGTCACAGAAACCGTTGTTCGATGGTTGCAAAAACCTAGAAGAAATGATGGCATTTCTATATTGTGTAAAGGATGTCAACGGAAGAACCACAAGACAATATTCAGTTCTAAATATGACTCCATGCCATTTTTGGCCATAAAGACCAGAAAAGGCACCCGAGAGCGACGCGTAAGGCGCTCGGCGCCTGTGCAATGTTCGATTGGATATGACGGTTGCTGTCTGATGCCCATGGAGATCAATTTTGACGTTATCGGATGGACTGGAATTGTGGCCCCCAAAAAGTTACACTATGCTTACTGCAGAGGCTCGTGTAATGGTATGTATTGTTTCTGCTCAGGTTACAAATGCCACCTCTTTTGATATATCAATAATAAATTGAGTTTATTATCAATAAAATGCAAAGAGAGCAATTGTATCACTCTTTAATATCCCTCTTGAGCACATGAAGTAGTGAAATCAGTGGTGGGAATAAAATATAACTGCGCTAAACTAAGGTGGACCACATGATCAGTAATGGTTTGTTTATTGGAATAGGTTTATATTAACTCTGTTTTTAATTTTCACTGTCGTTCCTTGTTAATTCCAGATGAAATAGATGCTCACAGTGAACACAGTCGAATGATACAAAGTTACAGGCACTCTGACGTCGCTACACCAAAAGAAAGGCGGGAAATGACGCCATGTTGTTCCCCAATTTCGTTTTCTTCCCAGTCTATGCTAATAACAGTCAATTCAACTGTGATTCATCATAATGTTCCAAACATTATACCTACAGCGTGTGGGTGTTTGTGAAAACGAAAATTGCTGGGAATTTTTAATTACATAGCAAAAACAATATAGGGCAGTGTTTGAGCAACTATCAATGCAATTAACTTATATAATTAAAGAGATTTCCTGAATTTTCTTTATTTGTTACTGAAATTTCTATGCGAGTTGCAATTTTGTTCAATTAAATCATCCGGTGAATAAGAATTTGTTGCCAGTACACAAGCATGCCCTTATATACATATTTATACGCTGTCGTACTGAACACACCTGGTTATGTACAAACGGCAGGAACTTCTTTCATACTGTTTAGACATTCTAGTACATATTCTTAGACTGGATTTTTAAAGACGTAAAAATGCACAAAATTATTTTGCACGCGCATTTAATGAATTTTAAATTAAACTCTACAAAAAGGACTTCGCAAGGCAATTTAATAGCATCAAATTACAATTTTCCATTTTTCTGGACGTAAATTATGAAAACTTTACGATGCTGTCAAATAATAACCTTTCTATGTATTGTTAAACAACATAAAAGACACACAAATAAATTTTTAAAAATATTTTATTAATATCCACTAACAGTGTTTCTAAAAATATATATCGTATATGAAACAAGATATCAATATGAAAGAAAGAGCCAGCTTTCATATACATGAATATAATTGACGTCACAATCTATGAAACGGAAAATATTAATTGCGATGTTAATATGCTAGCCTACTTCGGGGAATGTGTTTTCAAAGAAAGAACTTAGACCTTGAGATTTTTAACCCAATAATAAGAACATAAGCACCGATTTAAATATCGGTTAGAAGGCGTCAAGTACTTTACTTAGAAAAAAAGAATTACAAAAGCAACGTTTAACACGTTAGTACGATTCCCTTGCTGCCAATAATGAACTCTACAATGGTTGTATGTGGACGGAAAAAATCACGGAATCCGAAAGGATGTTGAACCGAAATCGGCGTTTCGTTCAAGGTCTTGATGCCATGTCAAAAATAAATAGGTTCTGATTAGTTCAGCAAAAATAATATTCTCAGAATTTTCTTTCCATGTAGCAATAAAAACATGCTGTTTCACGTGGTTTTAACTTCGTTGTACTGAGGAAATGGGGGTCAGGAATGGGGATATGTCTGATTGCTGTAGAAAGAGATATAAATCTGTTCTAAAAGTACTCCGTAGAAAGGATCATTCAGCAAATATTTTTTGCTTCGTGGATCATTTTTTTTTTTGACTTATTATTACGAAGCTGTTTTCTTTGCTGCTTCTTTTTGGGCGGTAAGGTCCTCTAATTCCTCGATCATTGCCGAAGCCTGCAACAAAAAATAAATATTTTTTTTAAATGCTATAAAAGAATATTGTCCATGAAAACAAACGTACAAGTCAAGATCGTGCTTAATAAATAGGAAGAATTTGTGAAAGATGACCCCCTAGTTAAACCCAAATAAGCTGGCTAAACTGGTAAGTCTGTAAAAAATGTTTTACAGGTAATCAAAGTTCTGATTGCTTAATCCAATATATAAATTGTAAGCACTACCATAACACAAAAACTGTGTCAGACTAATACTAGTATCACGGGTGTACACATAAGTGAAACGAATAAGCGAATTTCGTGTGTCTATAAACCTTGGAATCTCACGCACGGAGGGGGGATGGGAGTAGACAAGTCACTATCCTAAGTCAATTTTCTACAGATACATATGGCTCTCAACATATTACGAGAAGTCCTCTGTTTCGGGGGGGGGGGGGGGGGGCAAGATCACTTTTTCATTAATTTACTTAAAAGTTCAATAACTCTGAAAAATCCGTCAGAAAATGGAATCTTCAGAAACATGGCCCTCCTTCCCATATTACGAGAAGTATGTGTTTCCTTAGGTGTGTTCCAAGGTCTTTTTTTTGGTAATTCACACAGAAATTCAATCTCTGAAAATCCCGGGGGAGGGGAGTCCGGACCCGACCCCCCTCCTTTAGATCGCGCATGACTCTCTCTCTCTCAGCAAGCACTGTAGTCTGTCCTAGATCTCTGTTTATAACACTTGGATTTTCGTGTAAAGCTTTAAGTCAATTTTCAATTACTAAACTGTTTTATACTCTAAACATGTTTAGTTAAGGCACATCTACACACATAACCCCCCCCCCCCCCCCCCGGGTATTTTTATTTATTTTTTTTGGGGGGGGGGGGGGTAAAAACTTTATAATGGCTGTTCCTGTTTCTAAGTTTTATGTATTGAAAATTAACTTATAAAATGGACAGAAGTCATCGCATTTCCAAAAGCAATTTGTCCAAAGAAAATAAGCAATGTGTCATTCAGGTAATGCATTATTGCTGATGACATTAAATGCATGTGTCAATATATGCTGTTAACATCAAATTGTCTCTGCCAGCAATAAATGCGGGAGGATAATGCTTCTGGACCCCTCCCACTTTTTTTTTTTAGAAAAAAAGTGTCAAAAAGTAAAAGATGAATAAACAAGTACCACATTTAAAAATATATGTTAACTTCCAACAATATCAGCTGTCTGCTATGGAAATAAATTATTTTTCACTCCCAAGACTTTAAGATTATGATTAAGTGTGTAGTACAACCAAGTCACTGATTTTGCAAGGAAAATATTGGATTAAGGAAGTATGAGCTCCTCAGATCAAAGTATTTAAATATTAAGTATCTGATTAAAATTTGGACCATGTTCTGAGAGAAAATTTGTAAACAAATATAAATATTAATCCACTACTGTAATTAAGTCACATAAAGCAGATCAACTCACAAGGAACACTGTTGTCTGCCTATCTGTAGGTCCAACCTATAATTTTTTCCTTTGATATCACACATATTTGCTTGTCTTCAGGACCACTGGAAAATTCCAGGAGCATGTTTTACAAACGAACTTACAACTAAGACCAAAACTTTAGTTGATTGTAAAATTTTGCAAAATTAACTTTCTTTTTTAAAATTCCTAAAATAAAAATAACTTTCTAAATTCTTTTTAAGAAGATGAAAACCTTATTCAAATTAATGTAAAATAGAAAGTAATAAGCAGAATTAAGTTTTGGTCTTAGTCCTAAGTTCTTTTGTAAAATGGGCCCCAGGGCTACTGAGAGTAAATTGCTAACAAACTGTCCAGGAGCTCTTACCCAGACATAGAAAGTGGCCGCGCCTGCTGACACATCCCTGACCTCCTCAAGGTCAAACTCTTCTAACAGTGACTTAGCCCTCTTTGCTGGGTTTAGTGGAATGTTTTCTGGCTTGCATTCTATACAGCGTCTCTTCAAGCTTTCCTTTCCTGTCTTTCCAACCAAGGCTTGAACAGCTTTCCAAATCTACATTTTTAATCATTCAAGTCAATGAATAAAATGCCATTCTTTAGATAAGTACAATTTATTTTTAGTAAACTTAATGATTCATTGTCTCTTTCTCATTATGTATCTAAATATCTGCCAATTATTGTAACAAGAAACCATGAAGGAAAGGATTTTCAAAGACTCATGTTTTTTTTATAAGCATGAAGAATGATTTACAATTACAACAATATTAGCCATTCTTCAGGAAATATCAATTTCACAACCTTCACTTCCCAAAAAAGTAAAGAAGTTCAAAATTTAAAACCTGTACATTATCAAAATTTCAGCAAAAGAACAGTTAAAAATTTCACAGTTAATAGCGGCCCTAAAATTGTAACCTTTGTTTCTTTTTCCTGGTGGCCAAGCAATAAAAATGTTGCTGTCATGATCTTATGAACCATGGGTGGAGGATTCTGATAACTTCTGATCTCAGCCACAGTTGCTTGCTTCAGCTCCAGGATCTCGTGACGGATTCGCTCCAGTCGTTTAAGCCGTGTAAACAGTTTGTTAGCCTCTCCCAGCTCCTTGGCCAGGGGTATTTCCAAGCCATGTTTCTTCACAGCATTGATAGCCTTCTCTAATTCTTCTAATTCTCGTTTTGTCATTGCACGATGTAAGTCTAAAAATCAGTTAAAAATTAGTTTTTTCTTTATTCTTTTCCTATTATAGTATCCATACAAATATTTACTTTGAAAGAAAATGTAACATATCAGATAATTAGAGCAAAGTGATAACTTAAATATGTCTTTTTCTTACAGATTGCACTCAGATTAAATGATATTATAAACATATATTATATCATAATGATATACATATATATGTGTATAATAAAGGAACATAGAAATTACTTGGTATCCAAACATTTTATGGAAAAAAGTGAATTGGTGTAATATAACTTTAGCATTTTTAAATAATCTTATTTTACATATATTTTATTTTGTGTACTGACACAAAGTTTTAATTTCGTGTTCTGGAATTCAAATTCCATGCATGTTATACCAATGGTATACAGTAAACATACTTATTTTAGCGTTAATCAAATTTTAGCACCTTTTGCACTGCTTCTTGTCCGCTAATTTATGTACATGCGAATAAATGATTAAAACTTGTTAAAACTCTAGTGTGCTAATTTATGACTGCACTAATCAGTTGAAGAGGACAATTTTTGAGAGTGCTTACTGTATGCGTACATAAATTGGCGTATTCAAAATTCAGTGCAATCACAGAGTATCGAGTTGTTGGCATATTCATGAATTAGTGCTACACACTAACGCGCCATATATTGTATTAATAAATGATCTATAAGCGGTGCTCATGAGTTAGCGCATTGTTGTCCATGCCAAAGCAGCTAAAATATGAAGCCCACTTTTTTAAATACACATACAGTATTTCTGTATGTTTTACAGTACCAGGGTTGTCCATAAAATTCATAGACATTGAAATGCGATAATTTTCTTAATAATGACCACACTGCCAAATGTGTATGATATTATTTTGATGTAGACCAAGAAATAGTAAATTTTTAAAAAATAAAAGCAATATACATTATTTTACAAAAGTTTTAGGTGTATATAAATTGCATATGCAAGGTGCACGGCCCAATCTGATGTTAAAGCTTATTTCAAAATAACATCAAAAATATGGGTTTTGAATTTTTATCACATTTTCATAGACACACGCTATATTTTTTTTTTGTTATTATGCTACACTGTAAAGTGTGTGTGATAATATTTACATACTGACCAAAATTAAGTAAATTTTTAAAATTCAAAATTAAATTCGATAATTTACAAGCGTCATCAGTATAAACACTTCGTATACACAGGCTGCATAGTCAAGTCTGATGTTGCGCTAGATATATAACAATGTCATGAATAGGGACATCCTATTTTCATCAAATAAGAGTATTTTTCCACTTCTTGAAGGGTCTCTCAAATTTTACACAACGTTGAAAAATCGTATATACATGTACCAATTTCAAATCAATGAACTAAATATATTCCAATACTTCCAGTTGATTGAATAATCAGTTTGTCTCTGACTACATTTCAACCACATTAAAACATCATTTTACGATTGGACCCTGAACCTTTGGATGGCTGACGTTGATTTTTCTGTCCATTTTTTAAACTTTTCTTGTGTTTTTTTCTTAATATTTTCACTAAATGTCCATTAAGCGATACTACAGTTATCAGAAAATAATGACAACCGCTTTATTTGAGACACATTTAATTTTTATTAAGTTTCTGCTTGTTTTATGAAGAAAATAATCATTTTAATCAGAAAACTTGATTTCAAATTTTATGACATATAAATTTTAACCCTGGGCCGTGCCCACTATCTGCGACCTTTAAAGACTGTGATTATTATAAAAATATTAAGTTCAAATATCCAAAACCAAACTATCCTGACTTGGATACTCATAACAAATATTTTTTAATATGATAAGCATATCTAGCACCATTCGGTTCAACAAAAACAACATTGTCCACGAACTTCACGGACAACCCTCCTATAATGACAATTTCCAGATTTGCTAATATGATGCAAATTTTACCAAACAGCACTTAAAATGACATAAAATCCTGAAGTGAAGAAATTCAAGTAAAGAACAACATCTAATGATTGAAGGCACAAACCGTCTCTGACAAGGAGTTCCTTCAGAATTTTCTCTGCTTTCTTGAGGTCCATGTCTGTATCTTCCAGCTTTTCCTTCTTGAACTCAGTGATGTTGTAGTCCAGCTGGTAGCGGTCCCGACTTTTTATTGCCACTTTCAAATTATACCTCAGTTTTCTGTGCCTTTCATCTAATTTGGAAATGTATATCAATTTATTACAGGTGAAATACAATAAGAAACAAATCCAAATGTAAATTTCATATCTGCAACTTTCTGATTCAAACTGAGGAATTCAATCATTCAAGTCCTAAGTAATGCATATATTCAATATTTTACACATGCATGCTTTACAGTAAGAGTTACATGTATCCATGGTTACAGGCAATTCTTGTCTGTATGTACATATACCCACTGTTACACAACTGAATCTCAGCATAACATCTTTAGTCTAGGAATAAAACTCCTGTTTCTCCTTAAGTTACCTAAAAATATCCATTTTGTAACTGTGTGTGAAACCTTTTGAAATACTGGTATCTTTCTTACTGTTTATAGAAACTTTTAGACTACTTATGGCAATTCCATATATGGTTATATAACTTTTTACATTACTTGTAACCATCCTGTAACTTTTTCTGTAAACTTTTGGATACTATTACATATTGGTAGTTTGTAGCTGTTTCCGTTACCTTATAAACTACTAAAAGTTGTCATTGCTTCTGTAATCTTATAAACCTACATGTACTAATAGTTGTAACTGTTTCCGTAACTTTCTGGACCTCTAGCTTTATGTAACCTTCTGAACTATAACTATTACATAAAAATTTTCATGAACAATCAATATAATGAAATATATGTACTCATATCCATTTTGTAACTGTTTTGAAACCTGTAGATCATTTTATTAAAAGCTATCCTGTAACTGTTTTGTAATCTTTTGACCTACATGTGCTTGATCTGTAACTGTTTCTGAGACTGATGACCACTCCGTAACACTGTTTATACTATTCTGGTGGACCACTGTAACTGATCTTGTAACTGTCTATGTAACCTCTTCTGTGACACTGTAGTAATCTGATGGACCACTGTAACTTACCTTGTAACTGTCTACCTAATCTCTTCTGTAACACCATAGTAATCTGGTGGACCACTGTAACTGACCTTGTAACTGTCTATGTAACCTCTTCTGTAACACCATAGTAATCTGATGGACCACTGTAACTGCCCTTGTAACGGTCTACCTAACCTCTTCTGTAACACTTTAGTAATCTGATGGACCACTGTAACTGACCTTGTAACTGTCTACCTAACCTCTTCTGTAACACTGTAGTAATCTGATGGACCACTGTAATTGACCTTGTTACGGTCTACCTATCCTCTTCTGTAACACTGTGGTAATCTGATGAACCACTGTAACTGATCTTGTAACTGTCTATGTAACCTCTTTTGTAACACTGTAGTAATCTGATGGACCACTGTAATTGACCTTGTTACGGTCTACCTAACCTCTTCTGTAACACTGTAGTAATCTGATGGACCACTGTAACTTACCTTGTAACTGTCTACCTAACCTCTTCTGTATCAATGTAGTAATCTGAAGGACCATGGTAACTGACCTTGTAGCTGTTTACGTAACCTCTTCTGCTCCTCATCAGAACCTCCCTTCTTCTTCAGTTTATCCAGCTCTTCCTTTGTCTTCTTCTCTTTCTCCTCAGCTTCCTGTAAATAATAAAGGGGAAATCACTCTCTTCTACTATAATGATTGATGACTATACAGCAGAATTAACTAGATGTCAAAAAGGTAGAGGGAACTATATCAAAGAAAGTTTTATGACTCTTTGTTGAAATATTTTTTTAAAAATCCACTTGATTGATTTAAGTTGTCTTAAGTTTCAAATCATGCAATAAATAATCAATAGTGCACGAGATTAGACCTTAGCAAATTTTTCCACATCTTTATACAACTCTTCTTCCTCTCTTTTCCTTAGCTCCTCTTCTTCTCTCTGTTTTTTCTCCAACTCCCTCAATCTTTCCAGTTCCTACAAAACATCAGAAGAAGAGTGAGCTTCAAACATTCCACAAATCTTTGATACAAATGTATGTCCATTCAGCATAACATTACCTGAAATCCTTGTAACAAATCTTATAAATGACACTGATATAAATTTCAGACTATAGAAGACAAACAATCTTCATCCTTCAGACTTATGATCTCCACTTCTTTCACAAATTATTGTCACTTATTATTTTTTATATACAGTACTCATCCCTTATTTAATGAACCTGTATCATCATAACCTTGGCAGAAGCCACAATAAATTTCAGATGCTATAATCATAATAAATAAAGGGCAACAAATTATTTCTTAAGTCAGGCAGGATCAGGAAAGTTCATGCCAAGAGTTACCTCCTCTTCCTCCCTCCTTCTTCTCTCTTCTTCCTCTTGTCTCTGTCTCTCTGTGTAATACACAAAGCATTGTTAAAGGGGGATAACTGCATCAAGAGAAGTTGACATGTAACATTCAAGTCATAATCATTTGGTAAAATGGATTTTCAGAAATACATGCACTTACTTTCATATGTTTTATGTTATTACTTGTATCAATAACACTGTAATCATTAATTGTATTCAGCTAATTCTTACAACTACTGGGATATAAATACATGTAGGGAAACATATTCTAGCAAAATAACTGAGGAATGTCTGATTAAAATTTGTGTGGAAAGATATCATTTAAGGTTGTCTTTTTATGATTTCCAGTATGAAATTCACAACCAAGTATAATTGCCAAAAGTTTACAGGAAAAATATTTTTAAATGTGGATTTTTTTCCTTCAAAGTCTGGAAAGTAAATTCATAGAGTGAAAACTAAAGAAATTTCAGATGTGGATACAGACAGAGAGATACATTAAGTTTAAATTCAGTTACATATATATATTTCCTTGTTACATATAATCTGTATAAGAAATCAGATAAATGATCATGCAGTGTCCTATACTTAACCTCTGGTTTTGTCATAAAGTGCTGTATCAACACAGAATAAAAGTAAAAGTTACTTATTTTATATACAAGTAATTTTGATTGTGTTTTAACATGCAATAAAACTATACTGTTCTACACTAGAAAACTTGCTGAAAAATCACATTCAAGTGCACATGACACAAAACCTTTGCTAAAACAAATAAATGATGCTGATGACTTTATACCAAACAAAGCATCCTAAAAAAAATAATGCATTTAAATAATCATAAATGCTGGCATGCTAGGTTTCAATCCTCCAATAACCAACACATCAATCAAATTTTGCACTGATTGACCTCGATGACGAATCATCTCCTCATCTTCCTTGGTTTCCTCTCCCTCCTTCTCTTCCTCCCCCTCAATTTGTTCTGTGTGGATTTTTCTTTCTACCTCCTCAATTTGTTCTGTGCAGATTTTTCTTTCTAATTTATTTTTAGTTTACAGGATTATTAGTATTATTATTTTTATTATTTACAGATATCCAACTTATTTTAAAAATTACATATAACCAGTTGGGATCTAGAATTTTGCTTTAAATCCAACTGCCAAAAAAATGAATTTCCTTCGTTTTCTTGAACCGCTTACAATCACTTAGCCATTAAATCATGCAAAGCTGCAAAAAGGAGAATTTTATAAACAACTAGAACACAACTGACACAGTGAGAGGACTCTCATAGCAAAGTGACACCTGTACTTGAAAAAGGTAATGCTTAGATTAAAATACAGTGAAAAGGTGACACTGAAAAATTCCTCATACATTGTGTTTAAACATATTTTATTGACAATATTTCAATTTGGGATTGGATACAAGTTCTAATAACTTAAGTAGTCCTCCCCTATATGTATTCAATAAACATGTACCAGTACTAATATTTTAGACATTTGCATACATACAGTCAGACAGACAAAGCTTTATGATACCAAAATTTATATCTGCCTCTCTCTTGTTTCAAAGCATTTCTGTACAATTTTTTTTATAAGTTCCAATGAAAACTGCTTATCACATCCCAACAAAAGTGTTGACAGACACACAGACACACAATACAGACCCTCATTTAAGGAGTTTCTTCATAAAAAGTTATTTTCTAAAGGTTTTACTTGAATCAAAATGGGAGAAATCAATCATTATATAAAAGATTAAATTAATTAGCAGTTGCATAGTCCAAGTTACCACACAATTGTTCACAAATCAAAAGGCATTACAGCTCTAGACCCCTGATAATGATAATATCAGTTTGTTAGAAATGCTTATTTTTAGTTTTGTTATACAGAGATAATTACACACCTTCATCTTCAAGTTGTCTTTTTCTTCGCAATTCTTCTTCTTTCTTTTGTCCCTGAGAACAAAAAAATATATATAATAGCAGCTGCAAGAAATTTCATAGTTTTAATTTATTGCGATAAAAATATATTAAATTGTAATAAGTGCAGACCTCTTCTAGCTTTCTCCGTTCCTCATCTCTCTTTTTCTTTAACCTTGCCACTTCTTCTTCTGCTAACCTCTCTCTTCTTAATCGATCTAAAAATAATAAAATATATTTTTTCTGTAACTTTAATATAATAGCACTTGCACTTTTTGTAAGATGGGAAGGGGTCCACAATCATAATTATATTTGATGAAAATGTCCATTTACAGTAAAACCTCGTTATCTCGAACCCAATGGGACTGAGAAAATACTTCAAGATATCCAAGGATTCGAGATATCCAGGGTAAAATACTTAAGGAATAAGCAATTGGGACTTCCAAATCACTTCAACATAACCATGGTATTCGAGATTTCAGTGTTCGAGATACCGAAGTCGACTGTATATCATTAATATAAAACAGAAGATAAATCTGTGTTAATCACCCTCTCTTTCCTGTTCCTCTTCCATTTTCTCTGTCTGCAGATCCAGGCGATTCGGAATACTGCACAACATAACTTCAATCTCAGCAAATGCAACAGAACTGCCAGGGATTGGACGACCCTTCACAAACTCCTCCCACTTCTTCCTGGAGAAATGGCGGCCATGGACAGTTTGAACAAACCATCTAAAACACACATGTATAAATTATGTTGCATGGCATGTATCAGTATAGAAAAAAAGGAAGGTTACATAATTAACATTTCATCTATTCTCAACATATATAGGAGTGATCCAATCGTTATTTTTCAATCAGATACACAAAGATTGTTCAAATATAAATAGATTTACTTCTATGTACTAAATGAATTTACCGAGCTTCATCCTGTGAAATGGTGTCTTTGTGATGTACATCTATCATGGAGAATTCCCATCTGAAGTCCTGAATCAGGAAGTAGCGGCGGTCCATTTCCTGTAATAGAGCATAAAGCTCTGAGGGTTCACAGTAACTGCGATGGACACACACATACTTCATTGACTCCATAACCTGCAATACAGGTACAAATATTACCGGGTACTCTAAATTAAAGATTTATGAAGAACAGTTCTATCTTAATAAAAAGGAACATTTGTTAAATTATAGGTATGAAGAAAATTAATAACAATAATAATAATAATATAGTTCTCTATCAGTTTTGCAGCTATACATTTAATTTGATAGGATTCAGCATCTCAGGTCACAGATTTATTTTATTCCAATGTTAGAAAAAATACTAACTTGTGGTAAACTAATACCCCCCATACGTAGATCTCCGTGCAGTATCTGCATCTGTATCGGAGACAAGTTCCCTTTTCCATCTGTATCATAGTTGTTGAAAATGGTCTCCAACACCACTCTCTCATCAAGAAGACCTCCCATCATAAAAAATCCTATAAAAATTAAATTATTTCCATTCCATTATCATACATAATGGTAAACTTATGAGCATTCAGCAAGGTTGATGGATTTCTGTGTATATTGCAAAATTAAATAAATGGTGTACCTTAACATTGTTATCAAAATATAGTAACCAGGTCCAGCACAAATCTCTTGATTTGCTATATAGCTCGAATTAGCTATTTGGTCATAATTTTTTCTGAAACATGCAATTTTTTTTTTCAGCATGTTAAATAAAGTTGCACTATGGTGCAGTGAAAGTTTTCAACTCTGAACTTTTCTGAAAACAATGCATGAAAAACAGTGGCAGATCCAGAAGTTCGTTTGAGGAGTGGGTGGGTTGAGGCCCGAAGGGAGGAGGGTATGGGGTGTCTGGTCCATCGCATTTTTCTCCTCTCCTGTTACAATTGGTGCCTTGCCATGCCCTGGAAGCGATAGGTAAAAGACCTGCCAGTGAAGAGCCTGAGTTGGTATCTTCGGGGAACAAAGACCTTTAAGGAGGGAGGAATGTGGCAGTCAGATGGATTCGATAGAAATGGCCAGATAGCTCAGTTGCTAGAGCACCTGACTGGAGATTCAGGGGGCTCTGGTTTGAGTCCTGGTCTGGTCCGTCACCTTTTTCTCCTCTCCCATTACAATTTAAAGAAGTTTTTATTTATTACATTGTTAACTTCCATCTACACATGGAACACTATTCAATGCATTTTTTTGTGGGGGTGGGGGGATATGTTTGATTCCCAGTCTAGCCATGCATTTTCTCTTTTCCTGTTACATAATATGGTGCCATTGACCACCTGGCTTTGCAAGTGAAAGTCCTGTCAGGGGCAAATAAGAACTTGGGTTGTGTCTTTGAGGGCGAAGACAATTTAAGGAGGAGGGATGAAATAGTTTAACCTGTGGATACATGTATCAATCTGGGTAGCTCAGTAGGTAGAGCACCTCAGTGGCGGATTCAGGGGGGTTTGGGGGGGTTCGGGAAAACCCCCCCGCCCGATCAAAAAAATTTTTTTTACAAGTGTCATTTTAACAATATATTGCATAAATGCGACTCTACCCAAGCCCATTATTTTACACAAAGAGGTGAAATATACAGCCACCATGCGAAATCCCTTTCCGCTTGAGCGCACACAATACACAGGTAATCAACAGTACGTACTGTACATGCAGAGATCATGATAGTCCGTGCAGCTAGTGATGACGCAACGTCATACACTAACAACCAAAACTGCATAGTTATTACGGTTTTGTTTTGGTATCGCTAAAGTAATATTGTTTCGAGAATTTTCTTCTTTCTTCGATAAATTGATTATTACTTTATTGAACTACGTGAATAAACTGTGATTATTATTTAATAGGAAAAAAAATTAATTAATACATCAGGGACGCATACTAGTTGTTTACGTTGTGACCTGTACCAAAAAGCACATTGAAAGTATTCCTTTTGTAGATGGAAGTTACAATGCAATTTTAAAAAGCAAAAGATTTGCATCTTTTTTAAAATTACAGTTGAATGATGTTGAATAAAACCCAACTAAGGTTACAACTTCGTATAATGAATTGTGGTAAAACTGATATGTATAAAGTAGAGGTCCTGTCAAAACAAAAATTGGCCACTTTTTTATTCATTGTTTTTCAAGACTTTTTTTCAAACATTGGGCAGGTAAGTGGGTTAAAAAAAAGTAGAATTAAAGAGTGCATTTATGTTAGAAATTATAATTACCCAATCCCCCCCCCCCCCACATGAATAAGCAATAATTCCAATTATTTCCAAAAGTAATTTATATTTATTCTTCAATATGAAATATCATTATTTGTTTATATTGCAAATTACCCTGGTATATGAACAGTATAGTCAAGTAGTTGAAAAGAGTAATTAGGGTTTCTACACAGAATTCGAATTTTCTTAGTATCATGCGGTTGTATTTTGGTAGACAAAGCTTCACATGCGACAGTGTGTTGGATGTGCATTTTAAAATGAAGAATTGGATATTATATAGCAAATGGGGATATTTCTAATTTTATCAGATTTTACATTTAATTTTTTCTCTAGAAAAGTCTCATTTTTCAAGTTAACATGGCAGTTAAAAATAATCCCAAAATTTTAATTTTTTGTTCAATTTCTTGAAAATTTGGGTAGGTCGGTCTTGAAAAACAACTAGAAAAAAGTGGCCAAAAACTAACTAATTCAATCTAAAATGCTGGAAAATACACCATTTGGAGCCATTTTTAAAGAAAATTTCTCGGGGGAGGCCCCCCAAACCCCCACCTATGGGAGGGGGACACCCCCTCCCATGCCCTCCCCCTTCGGCCCTACGGGCCTCAAAACCCCCCCACATGGACTTCTGGATCCGCCACTGCACCTGACTAGTGATGCAGAATCCCAAGGTTCGATTCCCGGTCCAGCCATTTTCTCCTTTCCTGTTACATATTTACCAAAACAACAGAAATACATCTTTTGCTTAAAAGTGTTCTAAAGCGGCAATGTTTGGACGATGTTTGATTTGGATTGCTTTTTAAATAGTCCATAGTACAACTATGAGTAGTCAAATACTTGCAACTTCTATTTCTTATTTTTTAAAAAAATATATATGGTATTGAAATGGCTTTATCAAGCATTACACTGTTAACGGAAACAAAAACCATTCAATCCATTATTCAGTGTGAAAGTCAATAAAATCAGTAACTCATTTAAATAGATCAAATAACAGTTTACTTTAAATTTTCAAACTACTTGATTTGATTCTTTTTCCAATATATATGTAAATTTAACTCACCTTACAATCAAAACATTCGTTCGAGGTTCTCAGGTAGCCATTTGTAAACAATCTTTATTCCGAACGCCATAAGGAAGATAAATTTTGATTCGACTATGATTCATGATCAACCAATCAAATGACTTGTTCTATTACTCGCTTCCTGATAGCACACTTCCAACATGTCAGCTGGAAATTGTGGGTGGTGGATATATCATCATATGATAAGAAAATAATGACTGATGAGAGGCTTACTGACCATCCAAATCAACAGACGACATGAATTCAGACGTAGAAAACCAGATCAGATTGAACAACTCATGGCAAAAACTACCAGCAGCCATCAAACAAGTAATTACTGACTATAGGATATCCTCTTACAGTCTTCGGGAGATTACCCACGTTTATAGTATCAGGAGAAAGAGTTAATTTAATTCGTTTATAAGATGATCATCTAACATACTATAGTTTATCTCAGATTTTGTTTGTCTTGTCACTGGTGCTTGTCAAGAAAGTGCTTAATCAAACCAGAAGTCATGCATTGCATTGTAAAATAAGAGGTGTTGTATTTTATGATAAAATTTGTTTCTTTTCATTTATTTCTTATGAAACATTTTCTTATTTGCAGATTCTTGGTAATTCACAGAGAGAATATGACAAAGCTATTGTTCAATTTAGCATTAAGAATCAGTTGCGCTATAAAGGCAATTTAGTTCGAACAGTGAGGAAGGATGAGAGGCGATACTATGAAGACTTGATGCATTACAGTCAGGAGCATCTGATGCTGTACCCCTACCACCTGTCTGATGTCATTGTCAAGGGGTTAAGGGTCACTCCGTTCACCTACTACATCAATATGATGTCTGACATCATGACTCAGGAGAAGAGCTATGATTCTCTGCCAAATTTCACTGCTGCAGACTGTAAGTTCTAACTTTTTTCTGAAGTGAAAAAGTTTTCTTGTACCTCGTGAACTATTTCTGGGCACTTACAGGTTATTAAGATTTCAGATAGCGCAATGAAGAGCTAACATAGGCAGGAAACATTAACCAAGTATTGAGGAAGTTATTGTCAATTTAAAAATTTTTAAAAAAAAAAGCATAATGCTGGCATGTATATGAGGTTCAGGTGAATTTCTAGATCTGTTAAAAAAAAAATTTTGCAATGTTTAATAACTTTATAAAATTACTTTGTTGATCATTAATAATATTACATGTATTTGAATTGAATGTGCTTAACTGCAAACAATTTTTAAAATGAAATTATGTATTTGATATTGATTTTACTTTATTTTAGGCTTAAGACTTTTAGGAATTGGTCGTAATCAGTACATTGATTTAATGAACCAATGTAGATCCTCAAAGGTAAGATATATTTATAACTGTAAAATTTATATATACCTCCTATAGGGATACAAAATATTACAAAAAAAAATTCTTGAGTTATTTACTTATCAAAATTTTTCAGCCAGTACATTCATATTTTTAATTTATTTCAAATTTCATCCAAGCTTTTTCTTATCTTTTTAGTCATGTCAGTTATATCATGTGTTGTTTTTATTGTATATGTATGATAATATTAGAGTTATATGATAAAATAATTCTTCAAAAAGTAACTACTAGTAGAATTTTTGGTACACAAGTAATAACAGACAATAAGTATTTTTTTTTATTTCCAGAAATTTTTTCGGCGAAAGCCTCCGAAAGACCTCTTACCAGCCCAACCAGTAGAAACAGTGACCTTTGAGCACTGGTGGCTAGTGAATGTAGGCTACATCACAGAAGAAGATGTCAAGGTCATTAGATTTTAAACTTCCAATATTAATGCTCATTTAGTGCTTTTTTCCCAGCTTAATTCAATTCTGTTTTTGCCTACAGTAAATCCTTTTGAACATTGAAGCACACTAAAAAAATATTCTATGAAAAATCTTTCACAATTTTCTGTTCCTTACAGTTTTGGTTTGATTTTATTAAAACTTGGGATAAGTTTAGAAAACTTCAAGATATTATTCTGTAAAGGCTAAACTAAACAGAAGTATTAGTCCAACTGCAGCTTTGCACTCACTTTTTAAGTACAATCCTGTAGAACTACAGTCTCATCAGAGACTTCTGGATTAAAGACATTTTTTCCCCATAGAGATTGCATATGTGGTATTGGTACTTTATATTAATTTTATGTTTTTATACATGTATAATTTTCTTAAATCTTTTAGATTCTTGAAATTTGTTATTGTGAAATGATGAGAATGAGTTAGTACATCATTGTTAGTACATGAAGGTGCTTAAGAAAAAGTATATCTAAAATTTAAGCTTACTTTTAAATTACTCCCTTTATTTCTTTTTAAAGATGTGCTCTGTATCAGAGAAGAATGTGATAGATTCTATAATAGACAGTGAGGAGAGCTGCCAGCTCGCCGGGGAGATGGACTACAAGATTATACAAAGTTAGTTCTTGTGCTCTTATTTTATTTACACTACCACATAGGAGTGAAACGGTTCACCGCGGTATCGATTCACCGCGGTATTTTTTCTCGGTTTGATACACGGTGCAAAATCTCTCATTTTCGGTTCGGTTCATTTTTCGGTCGGGATAGTTATTCAGTCGGGTTTGGCATAAGGTAAAACACGTTACTCGGTATAAATAAGTATAGAAAACGTAAATTTTTGATGACTGATAGCTTGTAAAATAATTTTTGACAGTCAAATAATTTTAATCAATTTCTTCTAGTCAATTTGCAAATAAAATTCGTAAAATATGTGACTAGATTTAGAAAAAGAAAGCACAAAACAACGTTGAATTTGTTTCCTTCTATCAAAATGTATCGTATCGAAAATAACCGAACCGAGACATGATTATACAATACGTATCGAACCGTGAAGGAGGTGTATCGTTTCACCCCTACTACCACAACCAATAAAATTATTTTACAAATTATGAAAGATATATGTACATGTTGATAACTGTTTCTTTTAATCTGTGTTCATAACAAGGGATTTTTCCAGTAAAGCAAAGGTTTCTATATATGTAGAAATGTAAAAGTTGTATAAACTGTGCATTGTACTATACATGTATTGTTCTTACTTTAATGATAGTTTCATAATTGGAGGTTTTTTCTTTCAATAAAAGTGAATTCTTTTTTTACAGGTCTCTATAGAAAGGGGTTAATCTACCTTAATGTTCCTATAAAGGATGATGATTGTATAATAGGTAGGTTCACTTTACAAAGTATAGCAGAAGTGTGCAATTTTCATAAATTAGAATTTGTGTATGATATAAAAACTTGGAAAACTTAAAGAGGTTTTCACATCTGTAAATAGATTATCAAGAACCTGTGTGTAATGAGCATTATTTGTTAACAGTGCCGCCTCTGGAGGGATTCGTTATGAATCGTGTCCTTGGTGACTACCTGGAAACTTTGCTGTATAAGATATTTGTCTCAATTGATGAACACACAGCGGTATCGGAGGTAAGAATACACAGAGGATGAAGATTGTATAATAATGTCATTGCTTAAAAACCCAATTTTTTACCGTATGGTTACCTGAGGAGGGGGAGTGGTCTTGGCAGTACTTGTGTTATTTACCTGGAGACCCCCAATACTCAAAGTGTCAAAATCCCTATACACGTTGCATTACACAGGAAGTCTGTCTTTGGTAATCAGAGTCAACATTACGCGTTTCGTGTCTAATTTTGAGCAAAAAAAAAACAAACTTTAATATAAATTTATTAAATAAGTATGAATATTGAAATTAAAAAATTCCATTTATCAAAGGATCAGTGCACTTAAGCTATAAGAGTTGGGTCCCGGTGCTTTGCCAGAAATAAATTTCCGAAATTTATAAACTTTTTTAATCAGAATTATTAAACAATATTTCAAGAGCAGGGTTTGATATATTATATCACATGGAAATGTTAAATAACGCCGAACGACACTGGTTTTTGCGACGGAGGTCTAGCAGTTTTGTCACATTTCCATTGTTATTCATATGCATACCGGTTTTCAATGACATTGTTTACATCGAGCCACAACTTGTCCATTCGTCTCATTTGCACAGAATGTGAATTTTGATCTAAACTTATACATATCCAAAGGGCAATGTTGGACAATATGCGGCTCATATGTAATTTTTTGAAAAATTCTCCAAACTACGATCGAGTTAGCTACTAAATTAACAGGTCACCGAGTGTCAACCTATTTTGACCCGTTTGATATTATAATCACTTTACTCACGTGACATTCCACTGTTCGATATGCTTTCATTGTGTCTGTCAATCGGCTTCAGGACAGTACACACGGATATGTACATTTGTATTTAAGTACAAAATCTTACAATGTATAGCCTTTTAATACAGTAAATCATAAGATTTGTCGAATCTTATAAAATGGTATTAAGAACAGGACAATGCTCTATTTCTTAATGCAAGTCTTAACTTACCTTTCATTTTTAAACCAATCAAAAGTATTCACATTAGGGTCATCCTATTTTTATCATAACAAAAAAGCACATTGTAAATAATGGTCGACTTTAGCAGTAAAAATATGTTTTATATTAAGGAGATCAAAAGGAGTAACCACATGTAATTATAAACGTTGCTCAAATGCTGCATTATCTATTCTAAAGAAGTTTTTATAACTTATGGAGTTTTCTCTTTGCACCTCATCTAGCGATGCATTATGTGCACCAACTATATGTACGAGTGTTCCGCCGCTATTTCCTATATGATGGTCTTTTCAGTTTTAATGCAGTGCATAATACGTAATGATAACAGATACTGCTAACAGAACCTCGTTTTCCATTATTGAGAGAGAGATAGAGAGAGAGAAAGAAAAAAATATTGCGAGGGAAACACATAGAAATACCTAAAGTCTCTTAACAATCTTATATGACATGTATAAGCGTGTGTACAGGAAAGTATTATAATACAAATATAATACATGTACTTGCATTATATTACAAATTTCACTGTGTGTACTGGCCTCAACAACTTCAAAATATCAAAGAATTTTATTAGGGTCTTAAAGTAACTTGTCTTCTTTCACTAAATTGTGTTTTTTGCTTGGTATTTTGGACGAAATTCTTGTATTGCCAGTGCAGATCAGGTGCACGATTTGTAGGTAGCTGTGCTAGCTCATGTCGCCTTTCGTATTATGGTCTGCAGGCATCTACAGACACATCCCTAAACACTAGTATCATACCTTACAATATTTGGATTGCCGAAATGAAACTGATATTGAAGACATAAGTGAGTGATTATCGACATAGTAACGTTGTAGAATTTTTGTTGACCATGGTTTTTAGTATCAAAATTAATATACTTGTTCCGTCAAAAAAATGTTAAATTACAAATTAAATTAACCTAGCAAATCAAATTTTTAGTTAAAATTTTATATTTCTTTTCCGAATGTTATTTATCTATACATGCATATAATAAAATATGTATCACCGTGAGTACTACATACATGTATACTTTAATTGTTTCACTACCCATGTTTGTATTACTATACGTACCACATGTACAGCGAATAACGATTAAATGTAGTGTGACATCGAAGTCATGTAAATGTGAATCTATCCTAAAACATACATTCATTCTTTGAATTGAAAAACATTCAGCATATAAAACGAAAAATGATAAAGCTAAAGTTAAAAAAAAAAGGGGGGCATTTTTTTTTTTATACATATATATACCAAAACTTATGATTGAGCTGATTCAGTGCTAGGTAGCAAACATATGGATACGAATCATGAAAATGATCAATATGTATGGCCATGAATCATTTAATATTTGTGTGAATCATGAAACTACACAATCTCTCTCTCCATTTAAATTCATACTGTGGAATCAATCTTAAAATAATGTGCAAATGTTTACATTCCACTTCCATGCGATTTAAATATCTCCACCCATTTGCGAGTACCTTAAATTCGAAAGTGGTCAAGTTCAAATTTCCGTAATTTAAGGCTTATACATGTTCTTTTCAATGACGTTGTGTGGAATTATAGAAATATGTTAAACAAAAAATTCAAAGTATAAATATCAAACGCATATGTATGCACAACAATCATAGATTAATATAGCAATATAGTCTAATTCAAGGCTTAAAATGGGTGGTTAAAAAGGTTCCAAATGACACTCTAAAGTGCACTCATTCTTTATCCGGCATGTGGATTTTTACCACAATCGGAATGTATTTATTTTTTCTTCCGGTGCCAACAATGTTGTCCAAAATATTCAGCATTTCCGAAGGTCCATGTTCACAGATTTGTATTGTTTGTAAGACTTTAATAAAGATCGATCACTATTCGTATATATATATATATGCAAAGATAAAGCATGTGATAAAGGAATCTTTCGTAATTCATGCCGTTAACACTAAATATTTTTCTTATACATTCTATTTTATTTTGTCATGATTTTAATTGGCGGGCTTCGCATTGAGTTTCTGTGACCAAAATGCAGGGACGACAGGGGCATTACGGTGATTACTAAAATCTAAGCAAAGGTTAAAGGGGGTCGGAAGAATTATTGGTCTTAGCTGCTACGGGAACTCTGTTCCTCTCCGGATCCAAGTCCCAGGCAGTAATTGAAAAAGATCGAGTCGCTAGTTTTTCTTCATAAAAGAGTTACATTTATTTTGGACATGGACATCATATCGCTTTTAAATAGTACCAAACAGCAGTGGAGATTGAAAAAAATAATATCATGAATTCAAGGTTTAATTATCTATTCTTAATTATATCAATAAAATGACCAACCGATATAACAGCGACTTGATATTTTTTAAACCCGAGTGTATATACAAAGCGACTTTTCACGCGGTACATGAAAGTGTTTGACGTGTGACCAGGCGATCATTTTCAAAACCTGCAAATTCAGATTATTAGGTAGCACGGGTAGCTGGCCTGTCAATCAAATCAGTAGCTATTGTTTTTCGATGATGGACAGGCGGTATATTATTGATCTTGAATTAGGTAGATTTTGGGGGCGTTAACGTAAAATTGGGTGTTTAAGAGGATCAGTACCTTGATATCATATACAGTGTAAGAGCCAAAAACGAGGAGACCATGCCTGTTACTTTATTGTCGTGATCTTATTCATTGTTAAAATTCCATTCTGTCTGTTTATGATAGGTTACTCCTTGTCAGATTTTGAATGAAAATTAGTACATTTTGCTTTAGTTTAAGATATGCCAGAATAAGAGTACAGGGTACTACAAATTTGAATTACCGGCATTGAAAATATTTTGTTTGTTTTGCACAAAGAAGTGAACAAACAATGTAATTTTCATGTTCCAATTTGAATTAATTCACAGCTTGAAGAAAATAGTTTAATTTCTTCATCATATTTCTTAGATTTTTTTATATTAAAATAAAAGTTTATAGTAGATTTCCTTCATCAGGAAAAAAATCCTGCAGAATTGGTTGTCTGTATAGTAAATTGTTGATAAGTGAAGGCAACTAGAGTTTTTTTTTTTTTTTTTTTTTTTACAAAAAAGGGGGGGCGGGAGTAATTAAAAAGAAAGAAGGAAAAGAATCTTACTAGCCTTAGTTTGCATATTAACTGTAGACCAGTAGAGTTAGTATGTCTGATTGTTTGATGTGATAGCTTTTCCTTTTTTTAAAAAGAAACCCTCATTTTTAAATATTTTTCCATTTTCAGCTTGCCCATGTTCTGCAGATTGACTCTGAATTAGTAAAGGTAGGTACATGTATTTACTGCTAAATATGAGAATTGAGGATAATAATGTTACTGATTGTGTTTAGTTGAATTATGATCTAACCTCAGTGTAGGACTTGTTCTTTTGCACATGGTAACCTTATTTATTGCAGAATGCTATATCTATGTACTGCCGTCTTGGGTTTGCTAAGAAAAAAGGAGCAGAAAATATTAATGCCGAAGATCTTCATCCTTCGTGGATAAACATTCAGCCAACCAATAAAAAGTAACTCTGATAAATAAGACTTTAATGTAAAATTTAAATGGAGGAATTACAAGAAAAACTGACATTACAAAAACTTATTTACAGAGCTTATCTGTTTTTAAAAAAATGTTTAATTTACTTGCAAGTACCATTTCATGAAAAAAGTTTTCACACAGACTCCCAGTTAAGATTTACTACCTACACAAATCATAAACATTTGATTTTTTAGAATGACCAAGGACCAGATAATTTTAGACTGGAATGAGACATCAGAAGAGGCATTGCTGGAGGCCAACAAAAACCCGGTATCTCAAGACACAAACAACCAGGCTAACAAGAGTGCTCTGGAGACAGCTATGGGTAAGGCCAGTCAAGGTTTTATTTAACAATCACAGAATTCTAACAGGATTCCAGAAGTAAATGGAGATTGTGGTTACAGAATATGGATATTTTCCAAACATTTAGAATACTAAAGATTGTAGATTTGATGTGCTAGTCATTGAATGTTTTAAATACTGGGAAATTTTGCTGTTGGTTGATTCTGTTACTCGCTCTCAACATTTAGGATAAAAGAGAAATTAGAAATTAGAAACAAAATTTGAAATACCCTTGTAATTTTGAATATTACTCTGAAATTTTAAAAATTCTTTTAAAACTGTATGTGACCTTACCATATTTTAGAGGACACAAGTCCTACCAGTGGTGCTACCAGAAGAATTGCTTTCCTGTTTGACTCAACATTAACAGCATTCCTTATGATGGGGAATCTGTCTCCGGTAAGGCCTTTGGTTGACATTCAGTTTTACATTTTCTGATTCAGAGAATCCAGGTAAAATTTTGAATTGAACGGTAAATTTTGCTGACAAAAAAGCTGACTGTTTTATACACAACTTTGAAATTGAACATGGTATCCTTAATTTTAGGGATTAAAAAGTCATGCTGTGACTATGTTTGAAGTTGGAAAGCTTAGTGATGAATCATTAGATAGCTTCCTAGCTGAACTTGAAAAAGTAAGTAGGTGTTTAACATGCTATGGAGTTGGAATACTTTTATGATCATTATAATTTTGAATGAAGATATGTGTATGGTACTCTTACTTGAATGCATTCTAAATGTGACCCCTTACTAGGTTGGTTCGGAAGCAGAAGGTGAGGCCAGGCGATATTTCGTTCATGCTCTGACATTGCGTGACACGGTCCGCTTTCTTCGATACAACAAAGAGTTAAACATGGACACTGAGAATGGTAACGGCCTGGCAGTGGACTTGATCAGATGTGAGAGTCTGCTTGGTTTGGACGCTGCAACCAGAGCCAGGGTTCTCAACCGGAATTACAGGTACAATGTAACTAGATATATATAACCTATATGTAGCCAATATTTATAGGTACAATATTTCTAGAATATAATCTATGTTACATGTATGTTAAATTAGTGACAATTAAAATTTGTTTTCTTTTATTTATGAATAGTTTACTTGTATCGATGGCACCATTGAGTTATGAGATTCGTCCAGTCAGTAGTTGTGTACCCCAACACATAGGACCAGCCATTCCAGAGGTTTGTCAACCAAAATAGCTCTGAATCACATTGCTTATCTTTGTTTTATACTTTTAATGTAATTTTGTGTGATATTCAGTGACATACTTTGCATATCTGTAACAATTTTGCATATTATGAAAGAAAAAAAAGTTCCACAAAATTAATATGTGAACCTTGTCATTGTATGACCAATGTAGACAATAACTGATAAAACTATAAACACATGTAGCACTTGTACAAATTAATTTTGAACTGTATATTTCAGGTAAACTCTGTGTGGTTTAAGTTGTATACTTATCATATATCTGGCTGTGGTCCACCAAGTCTTTTACTTGTGAAGGGAACTAAATTACGTAGACTTCCAAAAATGTTTTATGTAAGTTGATATCTTTGTAAAGGAAAATCAGCAATCATATTTCGAAATTTATTCTCAAATAACATATCATTTTTCATGGTGATTGTTATCATACATTTTGTTGTTGTTGTGCAGGATTATGACAGATTATTGGTGACAACATGGGGACATGATCCAGGTGTTATAGCAACATCAAACATTCTTCTGACCCTGAATGATGCTCTCACACACTCAGCTGTTCTAGTTCAGGTAACTAAGAAACCTGAGCAACAAAAATGCAGAATGATGCTGTTGCTCATTCAGAAGACTGTGGTTCAGCTGATAAGGCAAAAATCAAATGTTCCCCTAATCATGAAAACCATGAAAAATGTTTTTGCTCATTCTTCTAGCAAACTTACCCTTGATCTCCAACTTTTTAGGTCACCTGAGTCACTCACCAAGAGCCTCCTCCAAAATTTTGAATTTCATGGCCCCTTAGCCAGGGTTCTGGTGTTAGGGTGGGGCTCTATTGATTATATAGTAAAATTGCATTAATTCTTTGAAAATCTTCTTCTCTGCTCCTGGGTATTGTTTAAAGAAATGAAGTACATGATTATGATAAGCAAGGATGCCTCGTCCAAAGTGCTGAAATTCATGGCCCCAGGGTCGGGGCTTCTGGTGAAAGGAGGGGGGGGGGGGGATCTATTGATTATATAGTGAAAATACAGAATTTCTTTGAAAATATTCTTTTCTACTCCTGAGTATTGAGCATTTAAACAAACTGCATAGTTATGATGAACTAGGGTGCTTCTTACAAAATTTTTAAAACTTGTGTTCCCAGGGTCAATGGTTCTGGTGTTTCTTGAGAGGGGGAGGGGGGGCTCTATTGATAATATAGTGAAAATGTGTGGATTCTTTAAAAATCTTCATCTAATTGCATAGTTATGATGATGAGGGTACCTCTTCTTAAGAAGTCATCGATTCTGGCGTTAGGATAGGGCTGTGTTAAAACTGTAGAGAAAATGCATTATTTCTCTGAAATCTTCACTATTCCTGGGCATATCGGAGGCAAACAGAGTAAAAGTTTTAATAAGCAAGGGTATTTTTACCAGATTTTTTAACATCTAAACCATTTGGTCAAGTGTTCTGGTCCTGGGCAGGGCTCTATTAATTTGTATTCTACTGAGTGAAGTAATTCCCCTTTGCCATTCACCTTTGATAATTACATGTATTTTATACTGTAAACCAACTTTTATTCGCGTGCGAGAAATATGTTTTGCTATCTACTTTTACTTGCGAATAGTAATCACCGCGAAAGATTTATTTTGCTTTGTACTTATAGAGAATGCTTCCTGAGTCATGAAAATTAATTGTTGCGGATTGATTTTAAACTGACGTATCGCGAATAAAAGATGACGCGAAATAAAAGTTGGTTTACAGTACTCTATGGATCCTCTAAATTGTTGATTTGTACTCAGGTGACCATTAAGGCCCTTGGGCCTCTTGTTAATTTGATTCCAAAAACATCTACATGTGTGTATTTGTAACATGCAAAGTGATCATGTTGAAAATGGATTTTTGTTACACTATTCCTTATTCGGCTGTTTTTACTGATTATATGATACTCTGTTGACCGTTCTCTTAGAATTTAATTCTTGTTTGATACAGGCACATGGGTGGCAGTCTGAAGGAAAAACAGTCACAGTGGCCTTCCCATTTGAAAAGGAAGTATCAGGTACATGTACATGTATATTAAACAGTTTAATATGAAAAAAAGATCATGATTTATTTCAGAATACCTGATCATGTATGTTTATTTACATTATATCTGTGAATATGTAATACTGTTAGGAGGTTAATTTTTTAAGTTTATATTTTCATGTTTTTCTCTCCACTGACGTGACCACAGTTTGAAGAATTCGGAATTTGTATTAAAGTTAATTCCCTTTGTTTGCTTTATAAACATTGTGTAGCAAGAATGACAACTCAATCTGTATTTAATGTTTCATTCACAATGACTCAATGTCCATCAGCAGGATGTATTCACTACATAAACAATACTTAGGGAGTTTAGAATAACATAAAGCGTTCAAATCATGCTTAATAGGTTGTAGCATGGAAAATAACTTTCAAACCCCCTGGCGGATTTGTTCCGTGATCCGCGGTAATGTTTAAAAAATAAGGAATTTTGTATGTTTTATGCATTTGCCAATAAATTGTGGACAAAATTAAACATTTTTGCAGAGTAAGTTTATAACATTTATAAATAAATAATTAAAATTGAGTAACACATAATGTCTATAAAAACAAGTACACATCAGTGCCCGAGGTTTTGTTTGTTACACACTGATAAATAAAACCAAAGAAATAGATGATATAGCTTCGCTGGTTCCTGATAAATACAGGTCATTATCTGCTGATTGGAATTCAGTTATAACTAAAAAGTAATTTACACAGTGAGTTATTTTCCCCCCATACAGTACATATTCTAGGTAAAATATACATATAAATATCTTACATAGATTATATTTATATCAACTGGGAAAAAGACTAAAACTGAAAAAAAAAAATTGCAGGTGATTTTTCAAGTGGTGCTTACCAGAAACATAGTGCAATACAAACAATTTCTCTAAAGATTGACTTAATAAACACTTGTGGGTATATCACCCTGCTAAACACAGGCAAGGAAAGCCGGACAGTGTGGAAAGACAACCACGAGGAGGATTTTTACGATGTAGATGTGTTTAATGATGAGGAAATAAGTGAACCTTGCAATGGGGTCAAGGACCAGCAGTCAGCTGATGTGTTGGCCATGGAAATTGACATGCTTGAATTAGAAAGTGAGCCAAAAGAGAATTCAATTGCACAGCCATTAAATCGTAATCTAAAATTAGATCTCAGTAAGAAACAAGTGTCATGTGATGTGAGTAAGGAAGAGGATTGGGCGTTACTGGACTGTTATTTTGGCATTCCTTTGTTTGACTCCTATCTCAACAAAGAAATCTGTTCAAAGGTTGTTAACTTTGGCCTGTTTAAACAAGAAGGGTAAGTGCCTTCACATGATTATTGATTGTCAAATATACATATCTGTATATATTTTTACAGTGATTATTAATTCAGTGTTTTTAATCGTATCTTTTTTTCAGCTTACAAGAATTATTGCATTCCAGTAGGAAGCTTTCTCTAAGACTGCTTAATTTTATATCCCAGTATCAGGTACGGTTTTTGTCATAGTTTTGAACTCAATGCTAAAAAGTTTCATAAACATGGCTAAATTAGATTTTTAATAGGAGTGAAACGGTTCACCGCGGTATCGATGCACCGCGGTATTTTTTCTCGGTTTGATACACGGTGCAAAATCTCTAATTTTCGGTTCGGTTCATTTTTCGGTCGGGATCGTTATTCAGTCGGGTTTGGCATAAGGTATAACACGTTACTCAGAATAAATAAGTATAGAAAACGTAAATTTTTGATGACTGATAGCTTGTAAAATAATTTTTGACAGTCAAACGATTTTAATCAATTTCTTCTAGTCAATTTTCAAATAAAATTCGTAAAATATGTGACTAGATTTAGAAAAAGAAAGCATAAAACAACGTAGAATTTGTTTCCTTCTATCAAAATGTATCGTATCGAAAATAACCGAACCGAGACAAAATTATACAATACGTATCGAACCGTGTAGGAGGTGTATCGTTTCACCCCTAATTTTTAATGATATTACACTTTAATTGGATGGAACTTGGTTGCTTATGATGATTAAATGCTACATATTGTTCTGATTTCACAGGACATTCCTACCAATGATACTTTATCTGATCCCTTGTTGCCTAGCGACAATGAACAGACTCCTCCCTTGCCCACAGTTTGTTTACAGTTTTATAAAGGGAAACTAGAGCGATGGAATTGCAAATGAAAATGTGACTGTTTATAGGGAAGACTGTGTTCAATTTACAAATGCGCAAAAATTACCCAGAAATACACTTTTACCATAGGTGACATATCTTTGCTAGCCAAATGCTTCTGATATATTTCTCTACTAATAAGGAGGGAAGCAAATATCAGGAACACTTGGAAAATGCATGTGACAGAGAGAAGAGAAAATCTGTCATTGTTGCATCACTCAGTATAAGAGAATGTGTTGTATTTTGAACGAGAAACGAGAATTTTGAGATATTTTGATGTTGGAATTTTTTTTACTGAGCACAAAGGACATAAGATGACCTTGGTGAAATTTTAACTTCACAGTTAAATAGTTAGGGTTTCAGATGACTGAATATTATGTGTGGGTGAAAAGGTCTTATATATTGTATGGACGTTCCTCTGTAATCTAAAATTGGGGGTTAACCAGTGGGTTTCATAAATAAGTGACCAGTGTCTAACATACCAGTAGGCATTAACTTGGACTGGTTGACTGTTAAAAAAAAGTCAATAGTTCATGACCCCTGGTAACATCTAAATCTTCAAGATCATAGCAGCTAAGTAGTTCTACATAAAACCTTAGATTTTGGAATAATATGCGAACCTAAACATAATGTAGGAAAAGCTAAAATAAATGTAATTGATGCTTTAAATCAAAGTTGGCCACCAAAGTTGTCACTTTGCATCAGACAACAAACTCTATCTTAGGGAAATAAATGTCTATTTTCACATACAATTTCACTTCAGTTCATCTTACCTTGTTAGAAAATTAATTATTTCTGATTTTTTTTTTTAAATCCATAATCTGCCACTTACAATGTAGTGGCAAGCAGTGTGCTCAATAGAGCTACATGTAGATAATAGGTAGCATCTAGTGACAATATTAGCTGCTACAATCTTGAACACAGCCCAGGTAACTTTTACAAGTTGATTTCATGTAAAGCATTATCCAGTGTTTTCAACAATGAATTGTGATGAATTTTTTGTGACAATGGCACTCCCCATTAAGTATATCGCACACATATTCTAGTGTTATAGAATATCTTATTTATTTTTCTTTTATAAGATGAATATCTTGTGTATTCAAATGGAAATGGGGAGTGGTGAATAACATCATTATAATTATTATTTTTTATATCATTTCACTGATACAGTACTTGGTCTATTTAGAACCTCGCTGGGCTTATGTTAACAGAGAACAGGGTTGGGAAGTTTTTGCTATATATAGACATTGTTGAAAATCAAATTGTCATACTTACTACACTTTCCTTTCAGTCTACACACAGGGATCAATAGTTGTAAAATGTGATTATTGGGGGGTTGGTGTAGAAAGTTGGAGAAATTTTACATGTCCAGTTTTTATTGAATATTTAAGTTATGTATTCATTATCATTGTACTTGATATACACCTGCAAGTAAATATGATGTATCATTTATGAGACTGTTGCATTTAATTTATTTTGGTAATTAATGTACACTGTGTATATATTGAAATGTTCTAGTACTATAATAATAAAACAATTGACCAATAGAATGTGTTCTTGTTCCCCCACCCACCCCCACCCCCCTTTAGAATTGAAAAGATGAAACTCAAGGTCACAAAATGATCATTTTAAAAACTCTAAAAGAATTGATTTTCACAAAATATAAAATATACACTGAACTGAAGAGAGAGTTTTTTTTTATACAAGATACAAGATAAAAGATTTTTTTTAGTACAATCTGGGCCCCCGGAGGAGCAAAACGGCTTTACAAACATGAAACAAAAGAAGGAGAAAGATCCAAATGATAAAACAAACGTGATTTGACACTATTAAGCCAAGGCACCGTAAATACAACTGCTAAAAACCCTGTTTTTGTTTTCTTTAAAATATTGAGTGCAGTGAAATGTTTCTGAAAAATCAGTCAAAATTCGAGTTCAAATGCTAGATCAGTGATCCGGATATTTTTCAGTAGCCCTGGAGTCTAATACATGTGCAAAATTTCAGTTCCATATGTTTTATGTTTTTAAAAAAGTACTAGTATATGATTTGCTATAATATTCATACTACATAAATTTATCTGCCAAAACTGTGAAGATATAGGCAACAGATTACCAAAGTTTAGCAACTGATTTACATCAAATAATTTGACACGAGTTCATTAGGAAAACTGAACAAGGGGATACTGCCAAGAATAAGTCAATCCCCCATCTCCCTTTTTATTAGAGTAGAGTACTCACCATTACTATAAGTCATTACGAGCAAATACTAGTAAGTGATACTATTACTTTAATGGTTAGCTATCAGATGCCGAGACAAGCAAATTCAGTGAATTTTGGTCCCCGCTTTTAAGGCAGGGGGTCGTAACATAAAGGGTACTTAAGTCTAAGACCATGCTTATGTAGGACTTAAGTACAGTCTTAAACTTAAAACCGTAACTAGAAACGTGCTAAGATTTGACAATCTTAGCAAAACTTAGGCGGCCGGTAGAGGTGACTTAAGTATGTCTTAACTTTCTTAAACATATATTTAGAAATATTTAAGGTTGACTTTCAATGTTAAAACATTTCCCTATTTATATTATGCATTAAAAAATAATTTTCTCTTTCTCTATGTAATATACTGGTATAAGAATTTTAGTTTTTCGTCGGGGGGGGGGGGGGGAGGGGGGAGGGTGATCACTGATTCCAATATCACTCTCTAAATGACATACATGTAAATGCAAAATATTATTTTTGGGATACGTCTGAAATATTAGTGGGACCTAGGTTATAAACACTAATCATTATAATTAAATTGTATACAGTAATCATGGATTTTTTTTGTTCACTGAAAATGAAAATGTGATAATATAGATTTTAAAAATTGGCTGTGAATTAAAGAAAACTAATAAAGATTGTCTGTAAATTAAATTGAATGTAGAACGCAACAAGCGAGGATTTAGACAGGGTTCACTTCCGTTTGAGAGAGAGAAAGAGAGTTGTTGATAAGTTGGAGATATACGAAAAATAGTTTTCTAAAAATAATAAAAACACACACGCTTCTTTTCTATCCTTCATTAAATTGTAAATAAGTATATCATAAAACGTCTGCAGTCTCTGCTTGCTGATATGGGAGGGAAAAAAATCAACATATAGTATTGTTTTGTACTTTTTTTATTAGAGTTTCAATTTCAAGTACATAGACGTTCGGTTATCGTGCCATGTCTTCGAGAATGATAATTTGAAAGCAAGTCAACATTCGTCAAAACAAAAGAATAACGTTAACAACAAACAGTTAACAAAACATCGCAGTCTCGAGTGATAAACAATATTCACGCATTTACAATGAACTACTAGTGCCGCTTTGTGACCGTGCAATATAATTATTTTTCAAATATTCAGAATAAACAGAATTATATACTTTTAATAAGAAATCTAATCTAACCTAGCTAAAACCGTTAGGTGAGGAGGTCAACTTTATTATATGTGTAATTAAAAACGTAACTAAATCATTTTTACAAATATATATACATTGTATAAATAAATTGAAAAAGAAACTAGGATGATTCATAAAAAATATTTTGAACATAAGCTTGACTTAGCTAAGACCTAGCTAAGTCCGTTTTATGTAACGGTTTAAGACATACTTAAGTAATACTTAGGCAGGCCTTAAGATTGCACCTAAAACATACTTATAACCCTACTTAAGTCAAAAACTTAGCAAGCTTTATGTTACGACCCCCAGCCCTCTAAGTGGTCTCTGGAATTTAGGCGCCAGCTGGCGCCTTATCAAAAAATTTAGTCGCCAATGCAATTTTTAGTCGCCAGGCAATTTTTCTAAGGCACCAACTTTAAAAGTAAATAGAGTATAGGGACCCATGACGTGCCTTAGAAAAAACGACATCTCCATTGCTAAGGATAATATCCTCTTCTTTAAATTTTCTTTTCGCTTTTTTCAAAAAAATTGTTAAAAATGTGAAAAGTTCCGGAATTCGACAATCACAAAGTCAATTTAAAATGGTCGCCAATTTGGCGACTTATGGAAAAAATTTAGGCGCCATGGCGACTAAATTAGTCGCCAATTAGAGCCCTGTAAGGTCTAATTCGTTTTTGGTGCAATGATTTATGGCATATTGGAGCCGTTTTGTCTATGCCGTCTTATTCACCCATCATGCTTAAAGAGGTTTTATATTATTTGATTTTCACTTCTGGTGCAAAAGATATGGCCAAAGTTAAATATTTTGAAAGGCAGGTCAAATTTCAAGGTCATGATACAAAGAATCATATACTAATTTCGAAAAGGTCTATCAAAAATATGTAAAAAATATGAAAGTCTTGCTCTCATCAAATGCATTGATGTGCACATCATTGAAATAACAAGAGCAATAATTTACTGGATGCACGCATTAATTCAGTTGATGAGAGCAATAGTTAAATAAAAGATATATTTAAAAAAAACTGAAGAAACCGTGAGAGAAATTGATCTGCACATAAGTTCAGAGCAATACTTAATTTGTATTAGCTACATTATTTATCAACGACTTTGTTTTAAAAAATCATTTCTTGAATATGGAATTCCATATACGACAGCCAACTGCTTACTTCCAACTGCTCACTGCTTACTTCCAACAAGTTTCAAGTTTTCAAGTTTTTATTTAAGACAAAGACCCCAACTGAGATGTATGAATATAAATGATACAAAATAACATACAAGCATGAATGCATGAATGAGTGGCACTAATGTTAATTACTATATACATATATAGTTCATAATATCAAAGTATAGAAGGCCTCTGCTAGTATTAATTTAATCTATATGTATTACAACATATTTGAAACAGTAGTTGTGTTATTATTAATTTATTACTGACAATGAAATTTTGCAAAATTTGCCAAAAATGACTTTAGCGTCCTTACGATTTAACTGCTCACTGCTTACTGCTCACTGCTTACTTCCAACTGCCACTGCTCATAGATGACACTGCATGCCTGTTTTGTTATCTTTAATATCTTTATAATACGCATACGTATACGTAATTGAATAATACGGAAGCCGGTAGGTGCCAGGTAGAAAAGTATTTTATCTGGCGGCCGCCAAATAATTTTCTGGCGGCCGCCAGATAATTTCTGGCGGCCTCCAGATAACTTATCTGGCGGCCGCCAGATCTTTTTATCTGGCGGCCGCCAGATAAAATATTTTTTCTCCCTGGCACCAACCGGCTTCCGTAGTATAAACCCTATGATAGATTAAAATAATGACAAAAATTGGCGATTTTTAAACGGTGAAGCCGAGGAAGGAATAAATAGGAGGAAAGAGCAGTTCCAACATCCAATTTCCAGATTGTCTTTCATGCAAAAAATTCAATAGCTTTTTTGACGGCCCGCGGGGGGAGATATTCAGTTTTTAATAAGAAAACGGGGCTGATATACGTCAGAAAAAATGGGAGAGAGCAAACTTTCAGTAGGGTCTTGGGTAATATTTGTTGGTATATGCATTTATATCAGAAATACTAAAAAAAAAATAATAATAATAATACAAGGCATTTTACTCCTTGTGAAAACAGTTGATCTTAGGCAAGGAAGCAATTTCACTGGGGGGGGGGGGGGGCAACCCAACATAAATCCTTGACAAGGAATTAAAAAAGGTCACAGGCGTTCTTATTGAGGGAGCACTACTGTATAGTACATATTGAAAATTTAGTGGGGAGGCCCCTCCCCCTCCCCCTTCACCACCACGAATGTTTTTACAGATCTAACATTAGCCATTAAAGGCACATTTAAAAATTCCCAAATACAAGCACTTTTCATTGGGTAAAAAGAAATACTGAAAGATATTCCAAGATATTTTACACTGGGCAAAAGTTACTAGTATGTTATCATAATTTTCAGTTTATATTTCTAGAATAAATATACATACCAACAAATGTTACTCAAGACACTTCTAAAAGTTTGTTCTTTTGTCGTATGTGACATCCACCTCTCCCCACTTAAGACCCCCCCCCCCTCCCCGCCTACATTTTACATATATATAATTCAATATAATTGGCAATTTGGCCATTAAAACTTGTTTGAATGCAAAGAAAAGTTTATCCGTAATGGATTTTTGAACTTGTTATCTCCTTTCATTTGAAATTGGTAATAAAATTACTATTTTCCTGTTTTTAGTCTTTAACCCCCCTCCCCCCGGTAAAAACATAAGTTTTACCAAATTAAAGACTTATATCTCTTTCTTCCCAAAATAAGTAATGTTCTTTAAAAATTCACATAAATATCTACATGAATATGAAAATTCATTAAACTATATATGTGGCAGTTGGCAGTAAGCAGTGGACGATAGCCAACACGTAGATCAATTTTACTTATTTCTACCATACGGTACGCTTTTTGGTCATATATATTCTTGTTCCTCTGCGAGGAATAATTTCACTGAATTTGTAATCCCGTAAATCATATCTATCAGATTTGATAAATCTTGATATACATGTATAATGATGGGTACTGTCACTTTTGTAGCAAATATTGTCAGTGTTGAATACTACCTGCATGTTATAAAATCTTTCTTCTGTGTGAAAAATCACTCTGATTCTATACAAAACGTACTCTGAAGTTGATATTAAAGGAATACTGACAACATTTATGTACATGTAGTCTTCAGAGACCAGGTCTTCCAACAAAATGTTGGGAATTTCTATGGGCATCAACTGTGCTCCTTTCTTAGCCGACTTGTTTTTATAGTCCTATGAAGCAGAGTTTTTTCAAAAACTTCTACATGAGAAGAATAAAACACTTTCTGTGGCCTTCATCTCGACATTCAGATATATTGACGATGTTTTATCAATTAACAATAGTTACTTCTATTCATATGTCGTCTCGATATATACAACGAACTTGAAATGAAAGACACTACAGAACCTGCCGCATCTGTTTCATATTTGGATGTTTTACTGAATATTGACGATAAGGACCAACTAACAACTAAATTATATGACAAACGATGTGACTTCAGCTTTTCCATCGTCAACGTTCCTTATTTATGGAGTAATTTTCCGCTATCTCTTGCTATATGGTGTTTACGTCTCCCAACTTATTCGATACCCAAGAGCATGCTCCGAGTACGATCAATTTTTAAGCCGAGGCAAGCTATTGACAATTAAGTTGATGTTACAGGGATTTCAACAAACTTGTTTACAGTCAGCATTTCAGAAATTCTATGTTCGGTATAATGACCTTGTTAACAAATAAAACCTATCATTGGAACTTATTTGGGCTGATTGGGGTGATTCATACCAACTGTTATATTAAGGAGGCTAGGGGTCAACAAATTAACCATCAGATATAACTTTAATTTTTTAGATATGATATCTTAAGCTGTCAACTATCATTTGGCAAACAAAAATTTCATACATGTTAGTTTTAAAATTTGATCATTTTTGTATATCTTTATATGGAGCTCTTCTTCTAAAGGAGATCAATATAGTCTAAAAATGGCCACAACCACCCAGCCCTCTTAAATTTGATTTCGGAAAGTTCCGTCTACGTGATACATGGGGCTCACGGCGGTTGTGATCGGTCAACAGGGGATGCTTACTCCTCCTAAGTACCTGATCCCACCTCTTGTATTTCCGGGGTCTTATTTTATGCTCTGTTCACAGATTTGTGCTGTTTGTAGATTTTTTTTTAGATCGATCACTGTTCATTATCTTCAACTTTTCATTCTTTTGTGTATGAACTATACGAGAAAGGATGGAAGAAAATTAAATGCTTTTTACGTGTTTATAAAGAAGTTTATAAAGACGTTACATATAAGCAATACAATTAAGGACTTATGAATTAATTACCACACATTTTTTTTGAAAGCAGGATGCTTTTGTATTTTTTCCCCATCTTTGGATGAAAATAAGATCCGATACAATTTCCAGGTAAAATTTAATCAAAATATATGCCCTGTAATTTCACTAATGTACATATTATGTAAGAGACTTCAATTATACCCAGGATACAATTTGACCCGCCTCCAACGTCTGAAAGCCGCGTTTCCTTTGTCGGTCGCATACTACACGTGGTTAATTACCCGGTAACCAGATAACCATCTTACAAAATAAATACATTATTGTGCGATGTAGCATTGAAAGATCTCCTTTTTTGTATACAACTTATTTTGGCTGTATTTGAATGATTCTATACAACACAAATTAGACATGTACACCTAGTCTGCATGCGTTTGTACATTACATTCAGTAAAGAGAAAAATGAAAATTTCTTCCGGCTTCCAGTCTGTTTATTTAACCGATTTCTCAACAGAATAAGGGTTTTGTGACTTTTCTTGTACATATGCTTACAGTTTTATACCATATGCTTAATTAATTTGTTACAAAATTAAACTATTGATTGTATCTTGTAGATATATATGTGAACATACATATACTCTCTACAAGATGTCACAGATTTATGAACCTCTGATCCACTTTTCCGCGAATCGCAATAGTTTTTCCGCGAAAAAAATCCTGCTCGCTCTTTTGCCACAAATCATACCGCTTTCTTGCGATTTTATTTCAAGGTACTTCTTCCATCAACCAAGTAATATATTTATTAACCTTTGTTTACAATATAGGAAGGTGATAAGCAAAATCTTTTTTAAAAATGTAAATCAAGCTTAAATGATCCGCAAAATTGTTTATTTCTAAAATATTTACGGTGCAAAAGTTTAAATCCATTGGATTTAATTTTTTTTTTTTAATCTGAAACTGCCGAGGCAAAAATTGGATGATTTCTCTAGCCCTGGTTAGTGCAACTTGTACATAATATATGGTGTTCTGAATCTTCTCTAGGATTTACATGTACATATTTAAAATATATGGAGTGGTAATACATGTAAAAACCCAGGCAGAGCTTTTGTTTAGGTAGATGATTAAAATGTAATGGTTGCATCGTCTTATATATATTTTTACGCTATTTTTTGTCATAATTGAAAATCCAATTTTTTATTTGTATTTATTTGTTCAACAAAAGAGATTTAAAGTTCGAAGATAGAGCTCTACTGAGAAACTTGAATACATATGGTCTACAAATGATTTATTCCCCATAATTTACTAGTTACTTATGCTTAATTATGCTCCACAGCATAAAAAAAAATAAAGTACATGTATTAGGTTCACCTTCAAACAAGGAAGTTCCTTTGATCACCAATATATTTATTTCAAACTTCTATTCAAAGAAAACCATTGCACATAATTGAACTATTGAGATGATCCCGGTAGCAGTGGAACATGAAAAAAAAAAGAATTGTCAAATACATAGATTTAAACTTGGCACAACATATCATCTCCGAACTTGGGTGCCTTTATTGGCTGTTCAGGACAAGTGTTTCTTTGTACACGGTATGTAAATATTATTTTGCTGCGTTTATTTAAACACCGTGTATCCATTACCATTCATGGTGGCTGTCTTCTGTAAGGAATGTTAAGAGTCGGGATCGGGTTGCAGTAGCTTGATAACGAAGTCGTTCTTGGAGGCACCGTGCAGGAATTCTTCACGACTGATTTTCTCATCCCTATTTATGTCCATGTCAGAGAAGATATCATGTGTGAGCTCCTCTACAGACTTTACGGTGGAGGTCGTCATCTTACAGATAGACTGCAAAGTGGGATGAAACTCAGAATAAAAAAAAATTATCAGTTAAAGTTTAATTTCTAGCAGTTTAATACCTGTACTGATTTTCCATTGCAGAAAATTAATTCCTTATTATATGCTTATGATCCCTAAATTCACTTAAATTAACTATTATCCCCAGAAAGAAAATGTTATTTTCATGGTCTAAGACCTACTTTTGAGACCAATCAGCAACGTTGAGGTTCTAACATAGAATTATTAGCAGTGACGATGCAGGTAGAACTTTGATCCAAAGACAACATTTTTTTTTCGATATGATAAAACACTTAAAGTATATAATTTCTAAAGTTAACTATACATTTAGGCCCTGAACTCTTTCAAAAACTAGGAGTTACAGATTATACGTACTGTTAACACTTAGCAAGAGAGTTGAATGAAAATATCTTAATAACAACTACAGTAGGCCTACTAAAACCTAAACATTCTGAAAGGTTAAATATGATTTTCATGAAAGAGCTCTTTAGTATTATGGTCGCCGTATTATCTCAGACAATTTGTCACCTTTTTTTTTTGGTGGTGGTGGTGGTGGGGGGGGGGGGTAATCTTTCTACAAATGAATAACATAACACAAGCTAACCATTGAGCCCAACCTAAAGTACTGAAAAATCACTTATTTTCTGGGGTCAAATTTCGTGGGTTAAAGAAAAATATTGGTTCGAGACGATTCGAACTTTAAAAAATGTGTATTTGTCTTCAATTTAAATTTTCAAATTTTGTGATTGGGTCTCTTCATAGCACAAAAACTCCACCAAAATTATTTAGATCACAGTACTCCAGGATATTAAATATAAGTTTTAGCTAACATATTTTCATAAGCTTACAATGAGAATACACAACATTCAAGATTAGTTAAGAGTTGGTATGAGCTAGACTATATCAAATGAACCTATCCCGAGACTGTTCCCAGCTAAAAGCTGAACACAAATCGGCATAAATAGGCATACGCCATATTAGATTCACTATCTTCGAGATCAGCACTGGGGTATACCCTTCGCATTCGTTACACCTGACTGTTTTATTGTCACGGGTACCGGCGTGGAATGGACGACACGTGTTCTTGCTGGTTATCTTACATTACCTTTATTTACATTTTAAAGCAGTTGATGTGTATTTTGTTTGTTTGTATACTGCACTGACCTGTGAAACACTTGTATGTTTTTTTCTCTCCTGTCGTGCAAGATTTTTGTCGCTACCGAGTGTTTTACAATAGCTGATGTTATTGTAGCATCAATCTCTTTGCAGAGTTGTTCGTTCCTCTCTCAGACCCGATGGTAGAGAGTGATATAGCATACGTCCGTCTACACAGGTGACAATTGATAACACTGAACAGTGACGAAGTGAACGGCTTAAATAGGGGCCCAGATATAATGACTGAATAAAAGAATATGGCGGACAAATTCCTTTTACGAATCGTGTTCAGCTTTAACCTAGGATACAGTGTACTCCAGGTAATCATGGATAAGAAGGAGATAGCCTATATCACATGAACCTATCCTGAACATATCCCCTGCTTAACCTATCATACATGTACTCAAGGTTACCTAAGGTTAGTATGAAGTAACCTACAGGAGTCTAGCACGATCTTTTGCATCTTACAAGCTGATCGTTTACAGATTATGAAACATGTCGAGTTCAGCTTCACAAACAAATCTACCTTAAATTTCGGACCAGTCTACAAGAAAGCATATCTAGGCAAAGATCAAAACGAGAACCGCGAGTACTAATAGAGCAGTCTTTGTCGGAAACCTACGGTCAATCTCGCATACGCTTATGCGATATTGACCGTGAGTTTCCGACGATGTAGATCATTGTTAATCATCAGAAATAAACAGATGGCTTGCATTTAAAGGGTAAATACGCATGGTGTTTACCGTAATGATCTTGTTCATCTCGTCTTTGGTGATAAACCCATCTCCGTTGATGTCATACACGCGGAAGGCCCAGTCCAATTTTTTGTCCATCTCTTGAGAACTGGACACAAACAGTCCCACCACAAATTCCTGAAAATCCACCATTCCATTCCCGTCTGTGTCGAACGTGCGAAACACGTGCTCTGCGAACTCTCTCGCATCCCCAGAAAAAATTTTATCGTACACTTCAATAAAGTCTTTCCTCGTGAGCTGTGCTTTACCTGGCGTCAAAGACTCCTTAAAATCTTTGTACCACAACTTGATATCTTCGTCTGTTAGGTCTGATCCCAGATGTTTCTGTAGTTCCCCTATGGTCTTTGGATGTAGTTTTGTTCCCTTGTTTCCCATTTCTTATGAGAGTTCAGAGTTTTGTGGCTTATTGAAAACGGAAGGTGTTCCAGATTATGCAATGTGCTCTGCCTTTTATACCGTCTTCAGCACGGTTGGATGATGATGGGCTATCTGATTTTTTTAACAGATAGTTGTGTATACAATTGAGGTACAGGACTGAGGTGAATCAGATGAATACCAAGAGAACAATCACTATACAGTGAAAACAGTGGTAACAAAGATGGCATGTAGGGTCAATCGTTATATATAATAGGGGATTGCAAGCAAACATGCCTTCTGTATTTATAACCGAGTACATCCATGTATATATGTTTGTTAACAGATGTAACCGTCGACTTGTCAAAGAAGGTGATTTAATTCACGTCTTCAGTTTAAAAAACGTGGCTTTTGTTCTGATTTTTTATGCTCCCGTAATCGCAGATTTGGGAACTCATCATATAGTTTTTGGTCTGTCCGTCTGTTTGTCTAGCTGTCTGTTTGTCCACAGAAACTTAAACTTGGCCATAACTTTTAAATGGTGAGTGCTAGGGCTTTCATATTTCACATGTATGTGACAAGATCTTTCTTTTGCTACCAACAATTGACCTTGGAACTTTTACTTACTTTTATAAAACATCAACCTTGGCCATAACTTATGAGTATAAGAGTTAGGGCTTTCATATTTCTCTGGTGTATTTCTTGTAATAAGTCCTTTCTTTGGGTACAAACATTTTTTTACCTCACGACCTTGACCTTAGAGTTTGACCCAATTTTGTAAAACTTTAACCTAGACCATAACTTCTGAAGTTATAACTTTTGAAGTTGGTACTGGAGCTCTCACAATGCACATGTGTATTCCTTGTAACAAGAACTTTCTTGGGTATATCAACATTTTTTACTTTTGACCTTGATTTTGGAGTGTGACCTACTTTAGTAAAACTTGAACTTTGGCCATAACTTTTAAATGGTTGGTGCAAATCCCTTCATTTTTTACGTGTGTATTCCTTATCAAAGACCTGATTTTTTTTTTTACTTTTGACTCTGACCTTGGAGTTTGACCTTTTGTAAAAATTTAATATTGAGCTGCCATACGGGGAAATCAGTGTTTCACAAACACATCTTTGTTTGTTTTGGGCAGGCTAAGTTAAAGAATACATGTACAATCACTAATACGATATATTCATTTGTGTCATATTGAATTGTCCTTGGTTTCTGCGTGTTGTTAAAGTACTCTTTATTTCCATCTATAAATACCTATTTTTGTAAACAGCTAATTTGTAGTTCATAGTTCTAACGTTTCTTTTAGTATCATGGTCATTAAATTTAGCAATAATATATATATATATATATATATATATATATATATATATATATATATATATATATATATATATATATATATATATATATATATATATATATATATATATATATAAAGAAAACACAAAAATCCTACGTAAAGCTTTAGCTCTCATTTAAAATCTTCAGAAGCTTGCAACGATGATCAATAAATAAACCTACATTTCATTGGAGGTGTCTCTTACTCCACTGGACTTTATAGATCTGTATAATGAAAAAAAATATATATTAAGGGGTATAGAGGAAATTAAAATGAATACTTTGAATTCAATTTAATTCAATCCGTCCAGAATCAAAAATCTCCTTTGTAGCTAAATGTTACTGGGTTTTTTTTCAATTTTAGAAAGTAATTATTATCCTCGGATATTTTAGAGTTCTAAGCAATATACTAGTTGTATCCATATCCAAGTTAATCAAATAACAAAGTTGAACTTCGGTATCTTGAATATTGACATCTCGCGTACCATGGATATGTCGAAGTAAATTAGAAGTCCCACTCACTTTAACTTTTAGCATTTTAACTTCGTTATTCCATATCTCTCGTTTTTTCCTGGTCCCGTCGAATATTTTGTAAGGAAATTCTTGTATTAATTATCAAATGTATATCAAAAGTCGAATATTTATTCAGGTATCACTTATCATTAAAAAATCATCATATCAGCAATGAACAAAAGACCTCAGTGATTCATTTTGGTGTGCGTCCTGCGTAAATTACGCACAAATTTTGCTCAGGACGCATTATTTCAATAAATGTGCATCCCATTGGACGCAATAAATTTATAGAAGGACATGTATTATTTTAAATTATTTCGGTATAATCTGATTCAAAACTTGACCGATTGCATCATATCCACGTGCTGAGTGATATGCATGAACGATTTTATCAGGTATAAGGTTGCCAACATCAGGTCAGATTTCACAACTGCAGTTCAAAGCAATTATAAGCAAATATTTGAAAGTTAGATAGCATAGTTCGATTATCACTGATTATGTCTATACCATGGAACGTTTCTGAAGCGAATACCATACCTTTGTATTTAAGCTGTACCTGTATCATTGGGTTTTTTTTTTCTTTTCGTTTTTTCCTTACAAGCTAAGAAGTATAAAATTTAATCATTTTTATTTCTGACTATTTGTCATTTCTTCTTAAACTTTTTTTACTTCATTCTGCTTCTGTGCATTTTATGACTGATACAATGTGCGAGATCGTATATACCAGGGACCTATATACTAGGTTCCTGTATATACTTTCTAAAAATAGAACCAAAGTGCACAGTGGACAATATATTATTTTTATGACACAAAATCATGTACTCTTACTTGAACAATTGATAGTAAAAGTATAAATCATTCACAGCTACAATAAAACGTTTGCACTTTCGTGCAATACCCTTTTTTATTTCACAAGAATTTCCTCTGTAACATCTAATTTACAGTACCCTTGGATTTGGACACATTGATTTTGGCACGGGACTCATTGTTGTCATTAAGAAGGGTCCTTTGGACCCATGATAACCATTTTCAAAATGAATCGCTGAGACCTGCTGTGTTTTTGTTACCTTTCGTGGGAAAAATGCTATTTTAAATTTGATTATACACGTATAATCGGCGCTTTATCTATTTCAGTGTGTAAACTATTATTTTCAAATTTCATACAATACGACCGACTTTAACATAACAAAGACCACATAACCACTTTTGAAAGTTACACCTAAACCAATGTCTTCTTCTTTTTTATGTATACATGACGGATATATTTATGGCACGCCAATTTCACAAAAATTAGCGAAACTTAGTTTCACAGTTGATAAACTAGGTTTATCGACTGTAAACTATAGTTTACAAACCGTGAACTATAGTTAACGATTCGTTAACTATAGTTTTCATCTGTAAAACTATATTTAACGGTTGTTAACTATAGTTTACGAATGCTAATCTAAGTTTATCTGTCTGTAATTAAACGTTAACAATAGATTTTGTTGATAAACATAGATTCACATCTGTAAACTATAATTTACAATCGTGAACTATAGTTAAGAGTTGTTAATCATAGTTTCACAAATCGTGAAACTATATTTATCAGATAAACTAGGTTTTACATTCGTTAACCATAGATTTCGGTTGTAAACTATAGTTAACTGTCATTTATACTCACAAACTATATTTAACAGACGTAAACTATACTTATCGATCGTAAACTATAGTTTTGAGAGCTAAACAATGATTCACATTTGCCAATCATAGTTTATCGTAATAAACTATAATTCACATTCGTAAACTATAGTTAAGAGTTGTTAAATATAGTTTATGAATCTAAACACCTGTTAACTGTTAACGATAGTTTTCAATTCGAAATTTCGCGGCACCAATCGCGAGAAGCAATAATGGGGGTATAGGTTTTATATTAAGGACACGTGTTGGGCATTATCTAAAGCAAAGACCGAGTTATATATAATCAATATTACTTTCTCTATTTAAACAGGATTAATTGTATTTGTTTTAAAATGTCGTGTATATATACATTTCCTATGGGGAAATTTTTAGAAATATGATAAAATTTTAATTTTTTAAAAGACAGAATATAACGAGATTTTTGCTCAAGCAGAGGAGGGTGAAGCGCGTTTTACAATGTGCCAAGCATTTTCCCGCCACATCTCATCACCAAAACAAAGAAACTGAAAGAGAGGAAATGCAGTGGCGGATATAGATAGGGTTGTGGGGGTTTCAACGTCCTCCTTTGAATTTAAGAGAGAGAGAGAATGAGAGAGAAGTCCCAAATATTTGTTGTGTTTGTTCCGTGAAAGGCCACTTTTATTTATGTATGAAGAAAATTCGGTTGTTGAAAAATGAATTCCGCGCCTGCAATGTTACATGTACTGTGTTATGTCTTTATTTACAGATGAATATAAGATATACATGTATTTTATTAATGACAGATCACGCATTTCGGTCTCTATTTTTCTCTTTTAAATCAAAAAAATAAAATTTTAATCAATAATTTTCCAGTCATTTTTCTTTTTATTTCCAACTAGATTTGCTTTAAAATAATAGAACATTTACTTATAACGGCAACAAGAAATATACATGCATATATATTTAACAACAATTGTCGTTACATAGCAAAATCTTATAACGCTGTAACTAGGATTAACCGATCTATAATTTACAAAAAAAACAAACTATTGTTAACTATAGTTTTGATCGTAAATATGGCACGCCAAATTTACAAAAATGAGTAAAACCTAGTTTCACAATTGATAAACTAGGTTTATCGACTGTAAACTATAGTTTACAAATCGTAAACTATAGTTAACGATTCGTTAAGTATAGTTTTCATCTGTAAAACTATATTTAACGGTTGTTAACTATAGTTTACGAATGCTAATCTAAGTTTATCTGTCTGTAATAAGCGTTAACAATAGATTTTGTTGATAAACATAGATTCACGTTTGTAAACTATAGTTTACAATCGTAAACTATAGTTTACAATCGTAAACTATAGTTAACGGTTGTTAATCATAGTTTCACAAATCGTGAACTATATTTATCAGATCGTTAACTATAGTTAACAGTTTGTAAACTATAGTTTACAAATCGTGAAACTGTATTTATCAGAAAATCTATGTTTTGCAATCGCAAATGATTGTTTTCGGTGTTAAGTATAGTTTACGGTTGTGAAACATAGATTATCGCGTTAACTATGGTTTACAGATGTGAAATATAGATTAACGTTGTTAATTATAGTTTACAATTCGTAAACTATAGTTTACAACCGATAAACCTAGTTTATCGATTGTGAAACTATGATTATCTCATTTTTGTGAATTTGGCGTGCCATACGTAAACTATGGTTTAGAGTAGTGAAATCTAGTTTCACAGAAAATTGTGCATCTCCGATACAAAATAAGAGATTCTGTTCCTAAACTGTGTTTCTCAAGTGTAAAACTATGTTTATCGCATTTTTGTGAATTTGGCGCTTTGTATGTCTGTAAAGTATACTTTACAAAGCCTAAACTATAATTTACATTTGTTAAGTATAGTTTAGAGTTGTAAATCATAGTTTACAAATCGTGAAACTATATTTATCAGATAAACTATATTTTGCAGTAGCAAATGATTGTTTTCCGTGTTAATTATAGTTTACGCTTGTGAAACATAGATTATCGTGTAAACTATAGTTTACATATGTGAAATATAGATTATCATCGTTAACTATAGTTTACGGTCTGTAAACTATAGTTTACAGTCGATAAACCTAGTTTATCAACTGTGAAACTATGATTAGCTCATTTTTGTGAATTTGGCGTGCCATATATATTCCATGCGACCGATTTTTCTTGGTGTATGGTCGATTTTTCTAACTACATGTAATAAGCATTGAATTTAACAATTTACGGTTTAATCAGTTACCCTGGATGTACTGATAAAAAAAATAGAAAAAATTTAGTACTGGAGTGAATATTTCTTTTATTTCAGACCAGTTATGAAAATTTTAAACAAACGATAATGGCTACCTGAAAAACATGAAATTATTCTAGTAAAAAAAAAAAATACTGCTATTTACTAAACGCACCAGAATACAGTGTCCCTAAACGCGCCAGAATACAGTGTTTTCAGAAGATAACCACAAACATGTACAGGTCCAATTATGAAATCCAAAACCCCTCCATTATATAATCTAAATCCAGCTGAGAGTGAAATTTGGTATTTTGCATCATATAAAATTTTCTGCTTGGATTATAGCATAAAATTTTTATACTACGCTGGATTAATTCGAAATGGAATGATTTATGACTGCACACGATGGCATACAGTGTAAATGTAATTATTTATTATTAATGCAAGGCCATTTTTTTTCAAGGAAAATCTCAAAGCAAGATAGTAGAACTTGAACAGTTCTTGACTAAAAAAACAAAGAAATGTTGATTGTCTTGTTTAATTTACACAGATTTTTTGATACTAAAACAAAGTCAACAAATATACATTTCTGGAAAAAAATATTTTTCAAACAAACCGATGTCACAAGTTATGTTCTCTGCTGATAACTTATATATGTGGATTTTGTACAATGAATTCAAAAGTATGATTGCCACTTCAAATTCATGTCTGTAGATTTGTAGAAAGAATTCATACTAAGTTGTTCTGGTTTAAATATATATTTACCAACTTAATACGTCAAACTATTGAATAAACTGAACTAAAATAAAAACTGGAAATAGACATAAAATAAGAATGTGACAAAAAGGGAGTGATACCCCCCCCCCCCCCCCTCCAAACAATAGATTTAACTAACCCCTTCTCCTTTTTTGAATAACTTAGAAATTAAGGCATATGTTTTCTCTACTTTAATAACACTCAATTCATTTGAGTTGGAATAAAATATCCACTTTCTTTAAAAACTTATTTATTCCTTTCCAACGACATTTCTAAGTTCACCTGGTTTTTTACTGAGGAAAATAACAGGATATTGTATATGTTTTAGCAATGCTGTCTTCATTTAATATGTTTTTTTATATTAAGAGATATACACTTTAAACTATTCTTCCTAAATTTTCATTGAAAATACATGTCACATTGAAAATAGCTAGACATTTTCATGTCAAAAGTAATTTCTACAACAAACTTTAAACACATGTAACTACAGAGTAACATTGAAGTTTTTGCAAACAAAATTATGAACATCTTATATGAAGACAAAGTAAATATTGTCATGTTAATGATTACTTCTCATTTCCCACATAAAGGCTGGTTGTCATGGAAATAAATAAGCAAAAATAATATTCTTAAAAATAGAATTTACCCTCACAAAACTTTGATTCATTTTGCTGCTCTGAGGTTTGGTAATCAGACATAAAAAGATTTAAAAATACAGGACACTAAATAAGGATACATTAATTTTCTTGGATAAATAATGGTATGTGTGTGAGTGAATGCTATTGCAGCATGGAAATAGATTGAAAGAGTGAGGTATAATGAGCACTTGTTGCCTATAATTTTAAAACCATGATAGTAAACAACTTAAATAAATTTCACAGCTATGAAATGTTTGATGCCAAAAAAATTAATGTCAAAATATCAAATTGCTGAAAATAGTGAAAAAGATAACTGTTGATAAAATATGTATTAACCTTTTGGCTAATATTTTTACAATATATGACACAATTGATGCAAACCATGACTTATCATGAAAAAAATACTTGTATAATGTGCATGCATCAAATAAAGTTTTAATTCTTTTGAACATCATGAAATTTAAGAATATAATTTTGGTGTTGCTTGATGCATGTGCAACCATATTTTTAAGCCAAAATTGGTGTTGAAGTTGTCAGTTTTTCCAAAAATAATTTTTGGGGGGGGGGGGGGTTATCATGCATGTACACAAAAATATTTCAACAGATTTAATTTCAAACTAGTTTGAGGGCAAATAGAGAGTCGTATCAGATCTTGTTCTTTGACTAGTAATGGTGTAAATAAATTTGCATGAATATTAAAAGATGAAAAATTGATTTCTGATACAGAAAAGTTGACTGCACAATACAGTCTGTATATGAAATGCATGACTTATTAATACTAAAAATTCATTCCTTTAGCCAGTTTACAGTCCTCCAACTGACAGGTACACAGTCAATGTAAAAAGGTACTAGATTGTGCTGTAGATGGTTATACAGGGCTGGGGTGATGTTGAAGTTTCAAGTCCCTGCATAGCTGATCAGACACAGAGGCATGACCTGTGTGATGTTAAAGACGATATACTCCTCATTATAAACAACATCACCCCCTCCACTGGCTGACTGAAGTCGACCTGAAGTCTGAAATAAAAGTCATATCATACAAGGGTGTACAATTATTCAGTATGATTTCATTTATCAGAGTGTCCAAATGAACATATCAAATTTACTCTTATGTAAGCATAATAAAAAATAAAAATGTTGCCCTTTTCAAGTTATAATTCAAGTACAAAAATAGGTTGTATCACTCTTCAAAAAGGTAATAGGTCACATATCCGATATCATTGAACCCTTTTAATACTGAAAGAAAAATAAGAAGGACAAAGGGACATTTCTGAGCCGATATCCTCCTCCACTGACTAAGGGTAACATGATAGCACCTATGATATTACCTTTGAAAAGGAGGAATTTGTTATTTGATTCTGTTTCAGATTATGCTAAATACTATTTCTGTCTGGGTTTTTCAATGTATTTTCTATGAAAGGTATTTAGCTCTTGTTCCTGGCAAAAATGTAAATAGATTTCGGAAGAGACCATGAATCATTTGATGATCAGGATAATATAGGTTTTTTCAAGTGTTTTTTTTTTTTGGGGGGGGGGGGGGGGGGCTGTAGGGATTGCTACACCTTGGTGTGCTGTAAACAAACCCTCTTGGTCTATGAATACTTACAATGATAGAATCAAACTGTGAGCTGCTGGGAGATTTCCTGGTTTTGTCCTGTATGTTTACTGTCTCTATGTTACCAAGGCCAACCTCCACCAGGAGAATTTTCCCAAGCTAAAAATAGAACCTGCATTTAAATGCCTATACAAAAACACTGAAAAAATATGTTTGCAGGTAATCTGAAACTAATCATGTGTTATGTTATTCTAGCCCACATTAACATATAAAATCTATTTTCAATGCTGTTTAATTATTAGTCAGAAGTTATAATTTCTTTCTTTGTATTTCTGTTATTGATGAATTACAGTATATTATACAGCTAATAAAATCAATAACACAATACATACAGCAGAAAACTGGGCAGCTTTGGAAGGATACTTGGAGAAATACAACCCTCGACCATATTCACCATAAATGAAATCTGTATATTAAAAAAAAAATAAGGAATAATAATAATAATTTTCTGTATAGATTTTTTTTCCTCACATAAAATGAGTCAATTAAGGATCTCTAGGACTGGCCATAATTGCAAGTTGCATATCAAAGCTCTTCTATCTGGAAAATAGTCACCTGTTTATTTTATAAGCAATTCCATCCAACAAATGCCTTTCAAGATTATTATTGGATTTAAATATATGAACAGGTTTTAAATGCCATTTTTCAAATCAATAACTTTTCACTTGAACTTTGCCTGTTTAGTGTAAATAAGCTGGTGGGTTGCTTTATTTTGATTTCTAAGGCACCAAGGAAGCACATGCTGACCTGACTCTTTGAAGCCATGTTTGAGGATGTCATTGAGTCTCTCTGGGTGTTCCAACCCCCCACAGAAGTACAAGTCCGCTATAAGAGACGGCTCCTTCATCTGCTTTATCTGCTCTCTGTACTTCTCCACATAAGAATCAGATAATGTTGCCTAAAAAGATGTGGAAACATTTTACTTCATATAAGCTTAGAATAAACTTATCTTAAAAACACATGCATTTCCGTGTATGAAAAGGCTATTTCTCAACATTCCTTGGTGCTATTCAGATATGCATTGATAATTTTATACAATTATTGACTTTTGATGAGGTCTACTCGTGAATATGGACCTGGTCATGCAGGTAGTGGTTGACCAAGGCCGAAGGCTGAGTTCAATCAATACCTGACCAGGCTCATATAGTCACGAGTTGACCAAATTTAAAAGTAAACTAGTGGGTATTGTTTTTGTTTATTACAAAAAAAAACCCATGTCTCCCCTTCTTTACCGACAAGGAGCGCAATAATATGATCACTGTCATAAATCATAATGCAGTGCATCTCAGCTGAAATTTATTGATCTGCGTATAAAATTTCAAGTCTTCATGTCAATAGGATCTTCAGTTATTATCTGGTCGTGTTTTTCTTAATTTGACCTTGAATGAAGAAAGTGGTTAGGGTCAAGTATTTTAATTAATGCATTTAGTCTTCATGTTGTCTTCCTTGTTCCAGGTTTGCAATCCTAATGTCAAAGGGTTCTCAAGTTATGACCTGGCCTTTATTTTCATGTAGACTGACCTTGTCTTTGTAAATGGGTCATGGTCAAAAATGTTGGTGGCATGCAGCACTCCCGCATACCACCTTTCTATGTTCCAAATTTAAAGCCTTCATGTTAAAGATTTCATGAGTTGTGGTCTGAATGTCTTTTTTCTTAATTTGACCTTGAATGGAGAAAGGGTCAAGGTAAAATAAAATAGATGCAGTGCGTCTTGAGTCAATGTTTTCTTTCTTTGTTACAAATTTTGATGCAGCGCATCTTGTGTCAATGTCTTCTTTCCTTGTTACAAATTTGAAATCCAAATGTCAAAGGGTTCTCAGATTATGCCCTGGATTATATTTTGATGTAAAAGATTGACCTTGACCTTATCAATGGGTCAAGGTCAAAAATTTTGTTGGCGTGCACCTTTTCTCCATACCACCTCTCCATGTTCCAAGTTTGAAGTCATAATGTCAAAGGGTTCTTAAGTTATGGTCTAGTCGTATTTTCTCAATTTGACCTTGAATGAAGAAAGGAGTCAAGGTCAAATTTTTGGTGCAGTGCATCTTGCCTCAATGTCTTTGTTTTATGTTACAAGTTTGAAATCTTTATGTCAAAGGGTTCTTAGGTTATGGCTGGATTATATTTTGATGTAAAAGATTGACCTTGACTTTATAAATGAGTTAAGGCAGGGTTGTCCCTAAGACCCGGGGGCCGGACAATATCTTTGCCTATAATGATATTATCCCCCGGTTATTCTGATATTCCATCTTAGCCCCCTGTTAGGAGAGGAACCCAAACCCCCTTCTACTTTTTCAAAGTCCCCTGCTATTTCAATTCGTAGGGACAACCCTGTAAGGTCAAAAATTTTGTTTGCATGCACCTTTTCTCCATACCACCTCTCCATGTTCCAAGTTAGAAGTCATAATGTCAAAGGGTTCTTAAGTTATGGTCTAGTCGTGTTTTCTCAATTTGACCTTGAATGAAGAAAGAGGTCAACGTAAATGTTTTGGTGCAAGTGCATCTTGCCTCAATGTCTTCTTTCTTTGTTTCAAGTTTCAAATCCTAATGTCAAAGGGTTCTCAGGTGTATGGCCTGGGTTATATTTTGATGTAAAAGATTGACTTTGACTTTATAAATGGGTCAAGGTCAAAAATTTCGTTTGCATACACCCTTTCTCCATACCACCTTTCCATGTTCCAAGTTTGAAGTCTTAATGTCAAAGAGTCCTTAAGTTATAGTCTAGTCGTGTTTTCTCAATTTGACCTTGAATGTAAAAGGGGTCAAGGTCAAAATTTTTCTGCAGAGCATCTTGCCTCCCTGTCCTCTACAAGTTTGAAACCATAAAGTCAAATGGTTCTCAGGTTATGGCCTCGATTATATTTTGATGTAATTAATTTAATTTTTAGGGATGTCAAATCGGTCAATTTTTGATAATCGGTTACTCGGACGTTTTTCCGATCGAGTACCTGGGTACTCGGTAAAAATGTAAATAAGTTTGTTAATTTTTAATTGTTAATTTGTTAAACCCCAAAGCTGTTTTTATGAATGTATATTAACATGGAGTCGAAGGGAAATGATTTTATTTATCAAATAAACACAAATGACGCAATTAATACATCAAAAATTACAAATGGTTTACAGTTCTTGTTTAGAATCTATATTTAATCAAAAGTTGGACACTCTGTTACGCAGGTTTGTGATGATTAGACTAGCGAATGAGAAGGAACGGACATTGTTTGGATCGCTAGTCTAATATTTTTTCATATGTTGGTTACACTAAACTTACTATGGAAACTGACTTTAAACATTTTTTTGGAATCTTTGCTTATTTTGAAGTGGTTAGCAGAATTTCTATGCATGTCCGATTTCGCTGCCGTATAATAACTAAATAATTTAAAAATGATTTGAAGATAATAGACCATTTTAAACGATGTTCAATGGAAAACAATCATTGAAGCCCTCAAAAAATTAAGGACCACAATAGGTGAGAACAGGTGATTGGTCACTAATTACTGTATATATACCATCGCCATAGGCGATAACGTGTTTTTACATGTGTAGATGACGACACGCTAATTACCGTATATATGCATATTGAAGCTATTTTTTTTTTATAAGTTTTTGATAAAAATATACACTTTAAAGTAAGAAAAAATACACATCCGAGTAACCAAGTACCATTTTTAGTATTTGATACTCGGACGTTCGATCGAGTACCCGGTTAACCGGGTACTCGTTGACATCCCTATTAATTTTACTAATGAAGGTGTATAGTCTCTGCCATTTTTACGTTTATAATGACACATGCTTTAAACATTCAATTTGATTGTTCAATAAAATTCACAGTGAAACAGATTGCACAGTTGTCAGATTAGACAGTTTTCACTGTATGTAATCTGTACAAAGAAGAATATTAACAGACCTTTGAAATAGTGGTTACTTCATAGCTGCTTTTGATTTGGGGATCCATTTTCATTCCCTTTTTGAACTGTTCAGTCACATCATAGAAGAATGCAGCATCTTTCATGTGATCATATGGTTCACCTTGCTTTTTGTTTTTGGTTGTGGGAAATGACATATACTGACTCCCACCTACAACAGGGAAAAAGAAACACTAAATAACTATTTTATGATTTCTCTGTAAACTCATTCATTCTTGTCATTTCACCAGGCAAAGGTAAAATAAAATTTCAAACAATGTTTCATTTGCTTAATAGCTTAGTAGTAACTGAAAATTCTCAAGAAAGCCAACAAATGTTTTATTTTACAGCATGATGTGAAAGTATACTAATTATAAAATATTTGAAAAAATAATGAGAATTTAATTGATTGGCTTGAAATCTGCCCAATAAATTTACATTATTGAAAGCTGAAATAAGTAGATCATTGATTTCATGGTCACCTGAATATATTATACATAGCAACAACTTATAAAAGAAAAAATCTATTGCATCTATCTATCTTAAAATTTCTCACAATCTTATGTTTTTATGTATTTTAATCAAAGATTCCGGGGTATATATAGTTTTTGCCTTGTCTGTCCGTCCGTCTGTTTGTCTGTTTATCTGCAAAAACTTTAACATTGCCCATAACTTTTGATTGGTTGAAACTATGGCTTTCATATTTCACATGTGTATTCCCTTTGACAAAACCTTTCTCTGGGTACCAACATATTTGACCTTAAACTTGACCTTAGAGTTTGACCCACTTTTGCAAAAAATTACTCAACTTTAGCCTTGGCCATTACTTTTGAATGGGCGGTGTTAGGGCTTTCATATTTCACATGTATATTCATTTTGACAAGACCTTTCCATGAGTGTAAATATTTTTGACATTGACCTTAGAGTTTGACCCACTTTTAAAAAAAACTTTAACCTTGGCCTTAACTTTTGAACAGTTATTAACCTTGGCCATAACTTTTGACTGGTTGAAGCTATGGCTTTCATAATTCACATTGTATTTCTTGTGACAAGACCTTCCTCTGGGTACCAACATATTAGACTTTTTGACCTTGACCTTGGAGTTTGACCTTTTTTTGCAAAAAATTAACCAACTTTAACAATGTCTGTAACTTCTGAACGGTGGGTGCTAGGGCTTTCATATTTCACATGTGTATTCATCATGACAAGACCTTTCCATGGGTGTAAAAATTTTTGACCTTTTGACCTTGACCTTAGAGATTGGCCCACTTTTAAAAAACTTTTACTTTGGCCATAACTTCTGAACAGTTAGTACTAGGGCTTTCTATTTTTACAGGTATATCCATTGACACAAGTCCTTTCTTTTGGTACCAATATTTTTTGATCTCTTGAACTTGACCTTGGAATTTGACTTGCATTTGAGAAACTTTAATTTTCGCCATAAGCTGCCATACAGGGACATCAATGTTTCACAAACCTTGTGAATCTTCGATTACGGGGGCATAAAAATTTATTTACAATATACAACACTTTTTTAAAACTCTTAATGTAAGGACTGCAAGTATTTCCATGTAATAAAAATAGGGGTAAATTAGTGGAGCTTGCAATGGACCCCCTTCCCTGGTTTAAATTGTCACTGGCAGGGAAAGATGATTACTTTTTTTTAATTGTCCTGGACTATGAAAGAATATTCAGAAATGTATATATTTAAGTAAATGAGTTTCATGACAAGAACTCCTTATACAATGTTCATGAATTACAAAAATATGCACAGTTTGTCTGATATATATCCTGACATGAAGGAAAAAAATCCCTTTTGATACAGTTCAAATAATTTTCAATACAACCATAACATCATCTTACGCCAGCTCTGACTCCTTTGAAACCTTGCTAACTAAGTAGTTAGAACAAACTTGTAGCTATACACTACACAAGGATGTTTTATTTGCAAATCAATGTGTCAATTTGTAGCATTGTTGTAATGTCCAAAAAAATTCTTCATGCAATAATTCCTATATTAAAATGAACCATAAACATATACATGTACTATTTTTTAGCTACATGTATAAATTTTTATTAAAGCAAAGACCTTACCAACAGTGGTGAATTTACTCTTGGAGATTGGGTCTGATTCAACCAGACACTGAAGTCTCTCACGCTTAATGGCTAAGTCCATGAGATCCACCTCTCTTTGTAGACCAGAAATTAGATCATTAGTATCAATGTCATCTTCATCATCTGGATTAAAAAAACAAACAAATAATTATCACCTGGAAATATTAAAGGTGGAAAGAAAATCAGCTGTTTCTGTGTAATATACAGTACATGTACATGTATAACTATAAGTTTGCAAAGCTAATAGAATCGGCATGTTCATTAAGTTACACTGGTTAGTTATGTAGTAATATAAGCAATATGCTTTATCAAACTTCATCATCCACCACATTTATCATGTTTATAGCAATCAATTTCCTTCAGGACTGGATACAGAACAAAAAAAAGGTAAGTGATCAAACTCTTGTAAATCTAATTTCCTCCTGCTTGTTTTATGCCAAGAACAAAGCTATTTGTCACAAATGAAAAAGGATTCAACCCCAAAAATCAATAATTGGCAAAATCAGATATATTAGGAGCCGCATGCATCAAGCAATGGTATGTAAATTGTTAGGTATTTAAAAAAAGCATATATGTTCAAAGAGTATAATATGAAATAAACAAATTAGCTGGGCATCAGTGAAAGACACCTACCTGCCGGCAAGAATCCGCGAGGAATAACTAAATAGGTAAAATAAGCAAGTACTTCTTACTAAGAGGTTTATAATGAAAATTATCTAAAAATCATCTAAAATGCCATTCAAAAATAATACATGTATATTATCTATGGCTCCTTATATGCAGAAATACCTTAAAAAATTAACTTAAAGTGTAGATAAAAACTAAATATTGCCCATGCTTAAAATCCATAGCGTGCAATATAAATGTAGGCTACATACCTTTCTCTACGTATTTACCCAACACAAATTTGAATAAAAACCTATTGAAAAACCATTTCAATTTTCAAGCCTTTTTCATGTACTGCAGCCCATACTGGTTTATTGCAATGGTATGTTTGAATTCTCCTAATATATTGGTTATTTATTTATTAGACACCATCATATACATTGTATGTGGCAATTCAATAAATAATTAGGTGGAAATTCCAGGATCTATTTTTATTGGATGTGTACTCTTTTAAGCTGTATTTCATACACAAGTCCAGCAACAGTGATAGTCTTACTAATGACCTGCAGGGTTTGAAATATCAGTATCACCATATACAAAATACTAATTATTCTTCCTTCTTCCTCAGTAAAGCAGAAATGACAACAAAAAATTACCAAGAGAATTATCTGTCAAGTGATGGACGTTACAATTATATTGAAAATGTCATTTCAACTATCGTCTAGATCACTCATGAAATGAAAACTGTCAAGAATCATATGAATTTTTTTTAACAAAATCTGATATATATGTTAATTTTCACATCATAAAAAGAATTGCATAAAAAAATGTAATAACCAGATATTTGTCTCTGTATATAGAATGTCTTGTACAAAAAAACATTCAAGAAGTCTGTATTTTCTCTGCAATTTTACTTTCACTTTTTTGTGGCAGAAAAAGAGAATTAAAATATTAACTTATATAATACAGTCAAACCTCGTTATCTCCAACCAAATTGGACCAAGAAAATACTTCAAGATATCCGAGGATTCAAGATAACCAGGGTAAAATACTAAAGGAATAAGCAGTTGGGACTTGCAATTCACTTTGACATATCCATGGTATTCGAGATATCAGTGTTCGAGATACTGAAGTTCAACTGTTATAGTAATAATAATGATAAACAAATTGGACAGGGATATATTAAGACAGTTTTTGTTCCTTAATCACTGTTAATGAACAGTAATTAATTATAACTTCAAAAGTAATCCCCCAAAAGTGATGCATTAAGTAATGAAAATCCCGTCTACCAGTAAACTGTGACTACTAGATTAATTATCAGTGAAATTACTTACTATCATTGATTTTTACATTCTCATAGACACCTGACTTGACTGCTGACAGGCGATGGTCAAGGTATTCTTTTTCTGCAACACAAAAAGAACCTAATCAATACCCTTGATCTGGATTATACCCTTACAGTATTTGCATGGAGGTAATTAGAAACCTTGAAAGTGTCTTATAAAATACCTACATAAATTCAGAGATACTTTAATATCAAATATCTTATTAGAGATACAGATCTACATTTATAAAGGCTGATTGAAGATCATCTTCCTCACAACAAACAAATGTAGGTTAATTAAACACACTGATTTGATCAAAGAAGTAAATCTTCAGTCTTCAAATATAAGAATACATGAATAACCAAGTACTCTTTGAACAAATTCAATTTTGGACAAGAAATTCAAAAAAAAAAAAAAAAAAAAAAAAAGGTCAAAGATCTTGTTAATTAATTTTCTGTCTGAGTAATTTATTTTATCTGATTCATAAATATGTATTTGAAAGGGTTTCAAATACAAAGAAAAAGAAATGAAAGTACAGGTTAAAATATATCACATTACCTATAATAAGTTTTTCTTTCTTAAGCCGTTCATTCTCCAGAATTAGTGTATCTATCAATTGATTCTGTTTCTCATTCTGAAAAAGAAAACATATAAAATGCATGGATTCACTGCTAAGCTCAACGAGACTCTGATATTGATTATGAATAATTACAGTCCTTCTTAATCACTAACCATGCATTTAAGCTGGATGATTTCATGTTTCATCCTCATGACAATGGATACTTGTTGTTGGTACACCTCTGTTGTCTTTTCTTTCCTGAGAATATTGAAATGATTGTCATGAAACAAGTACATTTTCAATTTTAAAAATTCTAAAAAAAAAAAAAAATTAAAAAATAAAATAAATTTACTTTGCTACATATTGCATCCCAGAATCTGCCAGACACCTAATCCATAAGAGAATTTTTGTTGTTTTCATGGTATGGCGAGATCCACGAATTCATGTCATCCACGAAATGTAAAGATTCATATATATAACAACTCAACACTTCTTCATCCATGAAATCAAGTTCCCACTAATCAATATTTTTTCCTCAAACCATGAAAAATTTGACACCACAAAAATATGTGATTTTACAGTATGTTGAATCTCGACCTAGAAAAAACTTCGAAATATCTGAGGGTTCCAGATACTGAAGGTAAAATACCTAAGAAACCTGTGGTTAGGACTTCCAAATCACTTCAACATAACCATGGTATTCGAGATACCAGTATCCGTGTTCGAGATATCGAAGTTCAACTGTAAGTTTCAAAATGCATTGAACAAAATCTTTGATGGGTATGTGTAGTACACTAAATAAATATAATTTATGAATCACCAATATAAATATAATTTATGAATCACCAGCAAATTTTTATTTCATTTATCTAAATCTATCTGTGGACTTTGCACTAACCATTTATTAAACTGCTGCTCCAATTCAAATACCTCTAAACCTGGAATTTTTAGACTGGAAAGCAATGTGTGACCTGCAATGTCAAGAAAAATCTTAAGTGAAACCTTCAATTTTTGCTCTACCACAGCAAACAACCATAATGCTTCATAATTACACATGTATGTAAAGTTTAATGAAAATGGTTTTGTTTATAAGGACAAACTATGACAGATTTTATTAGAATTATTTTTTTTTCCCAAGGCATTACATACTGACCTGAGAAAGCTGGGAGATAGCACATTAGTGTACAGTTTGTAAACTGTTCTGCCAATTCACTGAAATATATCAAAAACTTTTCATTTTTCAAAAAAAAATATGTGTGAATATTTCATATGACAGACCAATTATAGATTAAGCTACATACTATTCTTAAACTATATATTACCTCCATCGGCTGTTGAGGACAATGTCATCAGAAAAGCCAAATTTCTGAAAGAATTCTACAGCACCATTGTCTGCATGGACTACTATAGCATCATAATGCCCAACCACCTCTGGCTCCAAGATTTGCTGAAATTAAACAGAAATTAAACTTTAAGTTCCACCATCAAAATTATTTTCTATAAGCATGATAAGAGAGGAATTAAGGTGCAATACCATGATGATGACCAAATAATCTTTATCTGATAGTTTTTTCATTTGCATATGCATAAACAAAGATGAAGTTTTATTATCATAGGGGAGACAAATCATTATAATAGTGAGCACAGCGAGCTCTTAAAGCAATGCCTGCATGGACGAAGAGAAAATTCGGACTGTACACATTGATCCAAATGAATTTTTTTCCACTGTAACCTCTGAACCTACAATCCTTTGCAATGTGTATCTCGCCACAAACTACATTCTTGCGGTAACTTCAAAAGTTCACCAAAGAATAAACACAGATTGATTTAATGAATATATTGCAGAGAGATATAAGATTTATTAAACATTCTTTGTTAAAAATTTGCATTTTTTAGATTTCGTTATGGAAATGCAAATCCAAATGTCTCTTGCAAATGTCAAATGTGAAGAGGTGGATCTTGGTAAAAAAGTCAAAACGTATCCCGCTCACACCGTCAACATACATGTATTATAAATCTATGGACCTATAGACTCTCGATGACTCCTCCCTCTTCTTAACACTAATCGCAAAAAAATCCAGCACCAGCGTTATAACTCATGTTTTGATTGACACTATCAGGATTAAGTTTGGTGAATGAATTCTATCAATACACATTATAGATATCTATACCACTTAGATACATGCTTAAAATAGAGACACATAAAAAAATGCAGTCTAAATGTTATACCAACCTGTAATAAGTATTTGCCAATGCCAAATTTCCTATATCTTTTTCGAACAGAGAGCAGTGTAAGATGTATTACTCTGTCTTTGTTTCTATAAAAAAATTTAAAGTTCAATGAAAATAAGAAGTAAATAATGTCCTAAGCAGTAGTAAATTCAAACTCTGAACATTTTTCTTCATTTTTCCTCTGAGTTAAACTTTGACCTCAGATAAAAACATGAAATTGATCATTTCTCTGATTGATAGACAGACAGATAGATGAAAGACAAAATATTCCTTGATATTTGAACCTGGTACAAGATGAATTGACTCAGGGGTATGTCAAGAACAGGAATGAATTGTGCTTCCCTTAGATTTATATACATGTATGTTAAATTTTTGAAATATAGTACAAACTTATTGATCAATTTCAATTAGTAATTACTGAATCTGCATGTGCTTGAACATAATTACTGAGACTGTGACTGTGTGCCTGAATAACTTTACTGCTTGAACAGAAATAAGTGATATAAAAGAAATTTGACCATCATTTCAAGACATTAAGTCAAGTAACTTGTTTAGAGATTAAAACTTTACAAACTTACATGTACTTTTTCTCAAATGTGATAGCCCCAATGATTCTATTCTCAATCCCCACCAGATCTTCAGACACAGACTCTGTATTTTTCTGTTGTGTGCGTCTCTCTGCTGCCTTTTTAATAAAGCTGTTTATTCCTTTGGAAAAATCCTCTTCATCACTTTAAAGGTTATACAGAACCAATGGATCAACCATGCACATATTAAACTTAAATTAATACATTGTATCATTAAACTAATGCATACATTTGGGAATTCTAAGACTCTTCTCATACAATTTATTTTTATCTCATCAGAAGGACACTATTTGTTTTTCATCATGAAAACAAGTTTAATTATTTATGTTGATGGAGTTTCACAAACAGTAAAATCAAAACATGGCCTGAAGTAAACAAAATAAAAATTAGTCAAGGGGAGGTAACTCACTCATCTTCCTCTTCGGGCTCTGACTCAGTGTCACTGTACACTGTAGCAAACTTGCTGGGGCTGGCTTCTTCCTCTTCATATTTATCTTCCCCTTCCTCCTCCTTCTTCTTTTGATCTTCTTCTCCTTCCTTTTGGACCAGATTTCTTCTTGTTGTCTTTCTTTTTGTTAAGTCTTCCATAGTTTCTGAAATATGTAGCAGGGAAATTTTAAATTCCTGAGGGAACAGCAGGGATGTTTAGAAGTATTTTGAAATTCCTCTAATTCTAATAGAATTAATTTGAATTGTATTGATGGGTAGAAGTATGACATAAGCTGGGCTTGCACATTTGATGCAATTTAAAACTCCATGAATTTCCAATATTGTAAACATAGATATTTTACAGTGTAAAATTTTGTGATTTTCATGGAACAAAGCCTTTTCATGTCACTGAGAATCATTTTCGTGGATATTAAGAATTTCAATTAACAAAAATTGCTGGTTAATTATTTAGCATGGTTCCTTTTTAAAAACAGTTTATGTGGAGATAAATGTTGTGAAACTTCTCTCATCGCAAAATTTGTAAAAAGAATGAGTAGACTTAAGAGTTCTGAATAAAAAACTGTAAATTGAAGTTTTATAAAGTGTTAATTTCTTTCCATGATATAAATCACCGATATCTTAACTGTGTATTCTTGATACATATTTGAATATAAAACACACTTTTCAAGAAAAACCAAATAAATATGGAAGGCATTGGACCTGAAGATTTTTTGAATATCAATAGATAATCAGGGTCATGCTTTTTTCATCTTCTTCATACAAAGTCAGCACATGTTTGTCGGCTGTTCTTAATATTGAACAAAATAATGTAATATTAAAAGGAGTTGAGCAGGCAAATGTGTGCTCATACTTAATTTTACAAAAAACATGTTCAAAACAGACTTGTTGCTTTTATTATGACTGTGTTAATCTTGATTCCCTGTAGTCCAGCTGTGAATGTTGAGAAAACAATTAGGTATTCTAAAATGTGACCTCGATGTAAATCAAGTCTGAGAACCTGTTTGGTTGCATGGTCTGCCGTTTACAGAATTCTTTTAATCTCATACTGATATTGCTGTAATTGTTGTAAACTGATATCATACACATATTCCAATTTCTATAGAGAGAGTTGCTGACATGGCCCTGATTGATAGCTCAGCCTCCTATTAATATTGATTAGGTGACCTAAAAACAACTGGTAGATGTCAAATTCTGGAGGGTGACACTAATGTATCGTTACTTCAATTTTGATTCATGACACCAAGGCATTGTTTTTTCACAAATGTTCTACCTCATATAATCATGTATGTAGATCTTTTTAAGTCACTCATTCTTTCCTGCGCACAAATATTTTCACGTTTACAGTATCCACAGCTACATAATCAATAAATTCTTCTCTAAATTTCTTGCCATGATGACTTCATGCAATACATTTGTTTGCTGAGTTTTTCTAAAATTTACTGGTAATAACGGATGAAACCTTGGCCTTTGAGCAATGGCATAAGCAATTTCAAAATGCAAAATAAAATTAACATCATTTTCTTTCCAATGTCTAATAATTAATGTTATTAAATAAGAAAAGGAAACATAAATGGTGTCTGTTAAATGAGAGCTGCAGATGGATGTTCACAAAACACATAAGAGCAAACCTTGTATATCTCTCACTAGTACAACTGTCCTTGCCCATTTATCACAGACAGATGAATAGAGAACATCTGGAGTCATGTCAGATAGAGAAACATCATACAGACCAACCACTGCATGCAGCAGCTCTCTGTTGCTGATCTACAGATGGGAAAAAGTACAGAGTGTAAAAAAGTCTATTCAAAGAATGACAAATTGAATTCACTTTATATCAAATTGTCTTTGGTAAAATAATGTATACTGCTAATGTTAGTCTTTGACCAAAGCTATGGGTTCTGTTATTAGTTGACATTCATTTTGACCCCACTCCCAGTGTAAGAAAAAACAAACTTACTCCTTACTTCCCCACCCATCCAACACATATATAAAAATGAAGGGTGTAAATTTAATACCAGATTATTCTTCAATCAATTCATTTATTGACAACACCATCATACATTGGCATGTAGTATAAATGAATACAATAAGCATACATATGATAAATAATAATTGATTCAATATATAATTGTGCATGTGGATTAAAAATTGTGTAAAATTTTCATTAGTTATTTAGTCTTCAAAGACAATGCTCTTTAGATATATTAGATCTTGTTCATTAAGTAGCTAACTGTTAAGTCTGTTTTTGAACATTTGCACCTATCATAATGAAACTGATATATTGACACAAATCTCCATAATTTCAATTAAGCCTGGTCTAATTCCCATATGCAATTGTGAATGCCCAGTTGAAACATGAAGGAATACATTTTAAGCATAAATGTCATGTACCATACCTTATTCTTTTAAATAATATTTATTTATTTTTGAAGGATTTTCTGCTAAATGGCATATATTGAATTCCTATTGTCCTAGCTTTTAAATCCTAACAAAACGCTTAAGGGCATTAATTATAATATCTTAATACTCTGAATACATACAATTTTCCAATATAAACAAACTGTTGACTTTTCAGGCCATAAGTAGGCTACGCGGATTGACCGGTGTCGCATAATTTACGTTCCGGGTAACTTAGCGTTCCGGCCGGAACGCTAAATACCTATAATATTGGTTCCGGGCTATAATAAACGTTCCGGCCCGCGTAAGTTTGGTTCCGGCCATAATAAACGTTCCGGGCATCCAAGAACCCTTTTAAAAACTTTATATATAATTAATATTTACAAACAATTTGGGTTTTTTTTCTTTCTTTTAACGGATTGTACGATGCAGCAGGATTTTAAACGTATATCGCTTTAGAACATGTAGAAGAAGCCCCAATATAGGGTCTTAATACATGTACATGTACCAATACTATAATCCATTCCATGGAATTATATGTAATTATGTTGTTTCTTTGTAAACAAAAGAACGCGAAGGTGTGAAACTTGTTTACATTGACCTACCCAATCATGTTGTTTTATGACACCCTTCCATCCATACAATATGAGGTCATGCGAATCGCTGTGTCATTTCCGAAATTTTAAATGAGTTTTCGGCAAAGGGCAGCCTGATCAGTTGGTAATGCTAATAGATGAATTATATTTACGATTAAAAAAATTATTGGATAATATTTTAATATCTTTATATATATTTTTTCAAACACCCATTGCGTTTTTGTAAAGCCAAGTATATATATAATTAAATCACAATACATGAATGAACATAATAGGAGATGTGTGGGCGAAGGACCTGCAAAAGTGTGAATAGACAGACATTAATTTCAGCGGAAAAATTATAAAGCATTTAATGTGAAGAAAAACAAATTCCTGTTATAATTCAATAAAAAAAAATCGTGGATTTTTTTTTCTCGGTTAAAATTTATTTTTTTAAACAATCAATGTAATGCCAGCAAAATATGACGAACTTTAAAATTTCTAAGTTCCCGACTCTAGCAAAGGTTTCGACGACACAGCAAAAACTATTGAATAAAACTCAACTCATTTTTATTTATACAGGTAAGTGCAGGTATCAGCATTGGTAATAATAACCCTGAAGAGGAAATGTAATACAGATACAGATTTGTATTTTACAATCCTGAGAAATGAATAGTATTGTTAAGTCTGCGCAAAATCCTACCCCCTCCCCCCGCAGGGGGCAGAAAACTTAGCCCGACTGGCTAACGAAGAGGCATAGATATAATTATATTTTACTTAACAATTTGTTGAATGTCCATATGTATTTCAATTTCCGCTTAAATGTCACATTTTTCACTATAAAACGTCCATTTTCCCCCGCTAAAATGTCAAACGCCGAGATTTATATACCATGTATTCAGAACTGTTTTGTCACCTACCTCAATTTTCAAAAGGCATATCTGAATGATATATATAAATAAACGAAGTTTCAAAACAATAATTATTTGGAAAAAAAGAGACTACTCTGTAATTCTGTTAAAACATGTTTTCCGCTATAGAATGCAGTGGAAAATGGAAAATATCCCCCTCCCCCCGTGAAACGAAAAATGTGGCGCGTAGTTTTCGTCAGTTTAAAACTGCACAGCTCCATTTCAAGTGAGTCGAATTAGGCTTTCATCTTATAATCTTGATTATGAGACAGGACGACATAATAAAATACTTAGGGAGAGTGAAATGTGTAGAATGTGTTTAAGTGAACATGGTGGATCTAGAAATATTTCAAAAGGGGGGGGGGGGGTTGACGACCTGCATTTTGAAAAGCTTCTTTAAAAATATGTCAAGAAGTATTACTGACAGAAGTCGTTTAATACAAATTTGTACAATTATTAAGTGCTCACAACGTCCATGATCTCTGTAACTTTGGGACATATATCCATTATGCTTTTAAGTTGAGAGAAAGTTTTTTCGTATATGATATGGTAATTCTCCATGAAATCATGATACAATGTATATGACGATTGTGTAATCTATAAAAACTACCATACAATGCCATAATGTATTACATGTATTTGGTATTGTTTGTTATTGTTGAAATGCGATAAGATATATGTCTAAAGCAATTAATAAATAATAATAAACTTTTTAAAAGACTTAAAATTGAAAGATTATGTGTCAAAGACAGGGTTACATGCTCACATTAAATACTGGAATTGTTTTAGATTAATAGTTAAAAAAAAGTTCAAACGCTTTAACGTAAACACATTAGGTAAAGTGAGAAGTAATAAAAAACAAAATGCGTTTGTGAAACACCGATGCTCCCGTACGGCAGTCTTTTGTGAAGAGTAAAGTTTCTAAAGTGCAAGTTAAACTCTAAGGTCAAGGTCAAGAGATCAAAATGTTGGTTTCCAAAAAAGGACTTGTATCAATGAAAATACCTGTGAAATATGAAAGCCCCAAAACCAACCGTTCAAAAGTCATATATGGCTAAGGTTAGAGTTTTTAAAAAGTGGGTCAAACTCAAAGGCCGGGTACAGATACAGATCAAAATCAATGATACCCAGGGAAAGGACCCGTCACATGAAATATACATGTGAAATATAAAAGCCCTAGCATCAAATGTCAAAAGTTATGGCCAAGGTTAAAGTTAATTTTTTTCAATAGTTCAACCCCAAGGTGAAGGTCAAAATTGTTGGTATTCTAGAGAAAGTCTTGTCACAAGAAATACACCTTCAGCGGGTAATCGTGTTTTTTTAACAAATGTTTCTAGACGAATCAATTTCAACTAATTTACATGAGTATAATATCAGAAATTGTAACCGGGAACATTATTTATGGTTCCGGGCTACTTTATCTTTGTAATAAAGTGGAAAAGAAACAATCTAGGAACAAAAATATTTGAAAATACTCTCAGCAATTGTAACCCGGAACGTTAATTATGACCATAATTTTAGTTCCGGGCTACTTTATCTTTGTAATAAAGTGGAAAAGAAACAACCTAGTAACAAAAATATTTGAAAATACTCTCAGCAATTGTAACCCGGAAAGTTAATTATGACCATAATTTTGGTTCCGGGCTACTTTATCTTCGTAATAAAGTGGAAAAGAAACAACCCAGGAACAAAAATATTTGAAAATACTCTCAGCAATTGTAACCCAGAACGTTAATTATGACCACAATTTTGGTTCCGGACTACTTTAACTTCGTAATAAAGTGAAAAAGAAGCAACATAGTAACAAAAATATTTGAAAATACTCTCAGCAATTGTAACCCGGAACGTTAATTATGACCATAATTTTAGTTCCGGGCTACTTTATCTTTGTAATAAAGTGGAAAAGAAACAACCTAGTTACAAAAATATTTGAAAATACTCTCTGCAATTGTAACCCGGAACGTTAATTATGACCATAATTTTGGTTCCGGGCTACTTTATCTTCGTAATAAAGTGGAAAAGAAACAACCTAGTAACAAAACTATTTGAAAATACTCTCAGCAATTGTAACCCGGAACGTTAATTATGAGCATAATTTTAGTTCCGGGCTACTTTATCTTTGTAATAAAGTGGAAGAGAAACAGCCTAATAACAAAATATGTTTGAAAATACACGGCAATTGTAACCCAGAACGTTAATTATGACTATAATTTTGGCACAGGCACTTGGGGTATGAACCCCCTTTTTCCATTTTTTTTTCTTTTTAAATCTGGGGTCGAGTCACCTTTTACCTATTTTTGTATTCTAATATGCACTATATGTTATCAATAATGTAACTCGTTTGTCTCTATATGCTGTTTTTAAATATACCGTTTTCGACTGATACATAAAAATATGTATCCGTCGAAAACGACCCCAGATTTAAAAAGAAAAAAAAATGGAAAAGGGGGGGGGGGGGGTCCATACTCCAAGTGCCTTTGAATTTTGGTTCCGGGCTACTTTATCTTCGTAATAAAGTAAAAAAAAAAACAGCCTAGTAACAAAAGATGTTTGAAAATACACAGCAATTGTAAACTGGAACGTTAATTATGATCATAATTTTGGTTCCGGGCTACTTTATCTTTTATTTGTAATAAAGTGGAAAAGAAACAACCTAGTAACAAAAATATTTGAAAATACTCTCAGCAATTGTTACCCGGAACGTTAATTATGACCATAATTTTGGTTCCGGACTACTTTAACTTCGTAATAAAGTGGAAAAGAAACAACCTAGTAACAATGATATTTGAAAATACTCTCAGCAATTGTAACCCGGAACGTTAATTATGACCATAATTTTGGTTCCGGGCTACTTTATCTTCGTAATAAAGTGGAAAAGAAACAACCCAGGAACAAAAATATTTGAAAATACTCTCAGCAATTGTAACCCAGAACGTTAATTATGACCACAATTTTGGTTCCGGGCTACTTTATCTTCGTAATAAAGTAAAAAAAAAAACAGCCTAGTAACAAAAGATGTTTGAAAATACACAGCAATTGTAAACTGGAACGTTAATTATGATCATAATTTTGGTTCCGGGCTACTTTATCTTTTATTTGTAATAAAGTGGAAAAGAAACAACCTAGTAACAAAAATATTTGAAAATACTCTCAGCAATTGTTACCCGGAACGTTAATTATGACCATAATTTTGGTTCCGGACTACTTTAACTTCGTAATAAAGTGGAAAAGAAACAACCTAGTAACAATGATATTTGAAAATACTCTCAGCAATTGTAACCCGGAACGTTAATTATGACCATAATTTTAGTTCCGGGCTACTTTATCTTTGTAATAAAGTGAAAAAGAAACAGCCTAGTAACAAAAGATGTTTGAAAATACACAGCAATTGTAACCCGAAACGTTATCTAATTTTTATTCGTATTAAATTAATTAATTTTCCTTCGTATGCGTAATAAAGTGGAAAAGAAACAACCTAGTACATGTAACAAATATGTTTGAAAATACTCTCCGTGGGTAGGACTTGCATCGAAGTTACCAAAAAGTGCATTTCAAGGCCTTTAAAACATAAAAAAAAATCATTTAAAATTTTCTAAAACCTCGATTTAACTAAAATATTTGTCAAGAGCTAATTCAGTTTACCGCACTGCTTTTTTCACAATCAACATTGCTGGTCTTTACTTTTCATATTTCAACCTTGTTTTTTTTTTCTTCCTACGGTCTTTAAAAACAGCAACAACATAATTTTCATTAATTACTTGTGTTTGTTTATTCTAAGGGAATAAACCATATCGGTATGTTTTCATGTTTGTTTCATTGCAGAATAAACCACATATTCATGAAATATCCATTGTTAATTTATCACAAAAACTATATAACTATCTTCATCAGTGAATTATATTTTTTATGTTTGTTTATTTCTAATGGAATATAAATCATATTTTCATGCCAAGTGATAATATCTATGAGGAATGGAAGCCATGTATTCGAGGCTCAACATTGTGGAATTTGCAACACTTGTAATATCATTTAAACAGAGAATGCATCTCTCAGTCGTATACATATACCATTTTGTATTTAATTCTTTACTTTATCAGATTAAAAAATTAAAATCTCCTGATCAAATTTATCTTTGACATTGTGCTTCTTTTTAGGCTTTTGTAATCTCAGTCTAGTTTATCTTCTATCCTCTTTACCCGGGTCTGCGTTTATTTATCGAGAAATTCACACCTGACATGCACTAAATAAACAAAGGGACTTAATTTGTATGCATTAGATAAACAAAGCCTTTCATGCGACCAAATTTTATTCGGTGTATATGTATCAGAAAGCATATTTTACGATCTTTACTTGGGCTATTTATTCATCAGTTGTTCATTTATTTTTAAAAATGGCTGTACAAAAAGGGCATGACGCCTTATAAAAAGAACATTGCGCCACATGAAAATGGCATACCGCTACGCCATGCTTAATCCTCAAGGTAAAAACTACTTCTATGGTTCAGTGTTGAATGAAAACTGGCACATGTGGCAGATAATAATTGAGAGATACCGCGATTCGAAGATTGCAGCCATGGCCGGAACCAAACTTACAGTAAAATCCGGAACCAATATTATGATTTTAAGGTTCCGGCCGGAACGCGAAGTATCCGGAACGTAAATTATGCGACACCGGCGTGACTACATCATGTCATCCGTGACAAAATCTTAGATAGCTTGCTATGAAAATTATCTGCTAAAAATAACATATAGGTTCTTACGCCTGGTATCATTGCATTTCCCCCCTCACATGCCAGGGATGCAAGACTAGGTGCCAGCTGCAGCAATCTTCGAAAATCAACCAAGACCGGGAATGCAGTGACACCATTTCCTTCCTTGTTCTTGAATGTCTGTTTGTCTGACAATTGTGCGCCTGGCACTGAATAATTTTCAACACTTTCGTGGATTGAATTTGAATCCATCATTATCCTTTTAATCAATCCAAGATCCGACGAGTCGAGGCCTGCGTTTTTCTCATCTGCGTTCGCCATTGTGTCAACAATACAGGCCCGCAGTAAATATCTAAGGTGTGTGTAAATGTCAAAACCGAACCAAAAATAATGCGGATATTGTGAAAGACCGCGTTTCCTAATTTCTACGTAGAATAAAGTTAGTGTGGTTAAAAATATTAAATAGACACGGTTGTAAGCGAATAGTGCAAGAGAAAATACATAGTACATGCGCGGATCTAGAGGGGGGGAGGGCCTCCCTAACTTTGCAAATTCCCTAATTTTAGAACATTTTTCGTGGTGATGTTGGTAGGGTCCACGTTTTCGGGGGGGGGGGGGGGGGTCCAAAGTCAATTTTCATTTTCTACCGTATATATTTTTACTAACTCTGCAAATTCCGGGGGGGGGGGGATTAGGGAATTGCAGATCGAGTTAGTAAGTAGATCGGAAGCAAATAAAAATTGACTTTGGACCCCCCCCCCCCAGAAAACGTGGACACCACCACCACGAAATAGGTTCTTTTCACGTTTTGGAAATATATTAAAATACGTTTTTTTTTTACCCCCCCCCCTCCGGGAAAAGAAATTCCTGAATCCGCGCCTGTAGTATATATACAGAGTGGTACAGATTTGAAAATCTCAGAGTTTAATTTTAACCGAGGATGCCTATTTATGCAGTCTCAATAACAAACTTTGATGGCATTTACTCGTGGAATATATTTTATGATATGTAAATGTTAGATACCAATCCAAAGAATTTGGTGAATATAAATTTAAGAATTAATATTACTATAAGCGGTAACTTGGTATGATATATTCGAAACGAAATGATTGATGAAAAACTACATTGTATGTACATATTTCAAACTTTTAAAACAGTGCTTTGGTCTTCAGATTTTTTTTTCTTACTGTATTAGAGAACTATAATTTTATAACATCTTAATTCAGCTTATTATTTGATGATTGAAGTCGATATATAGATATTCTTGTAGTCCTAGGTCGGAATGAACTCTGGTGCACTCTCTATCATCGACTCATATATTAACTCTGCAAGGGAGACTGGGAGATGAGATCCATTTTTTAAATACTAAAAGTAAAGAATTTGTTAAAAGGCAATTGGCTTTTTCAGTGAAAATTTTCATATTAAATACAGTAAATGTTAATGTTCGATTAAAAACAAAAACAGCAAGATGTGTTTGTGAAACACTATGCCCCCGATGGTAACACAATTCTGGAGTGGGACATAGACTACAGTGCAATAGTAATGGCCAATGTTAAAGTTTTTCAAATGTAGGTCAAAGGTCACAATTGAGGTCACATGATAAAAAATTTCTGTACCAATGGAAAGGTCTTGTCATAATGAACACTCATGTCAAATATTAAAGCCTTACCCTTGACAGCGCAATGGTTATAGCTAGGTTAAAGTTGACAACAGACAGACAGACAAACAGACAGACAGGACAAAAACAATATACCCCCGGGATCTTTCGATCCAGGGGCATAAAAACATATACTATATGTGCCTGGAATGCAATGCCTCATATCAAAGCCATGCATGCATTCACAGCTGCAAATAAGAAAAGTATATGCCAACAAATTTACATGTACAACTTTTAGCTTTGATTTTGTTTGAGGAGGTAATAAACATGTACATATGGTCAACACCTCACGTCAGTTTGTTGTATGTCTCAAGGAACTGATAAATACAAAACTTTAGCTTGCGAGATGGAGTATGACAAGGTGAAAAACTATCACCATTTCTTTTTGCGTAATATAATAACGATTTACGAAACTGTCTTACATAATGATATTGAAGAGCCTAAGAGGTCACGAGTCTTAGCGAGAAATTAGAACATGAAATCAGACTATATCAAAATTATTTACGATTTTATGCTGATGGTCAGTTAAATTTATATTGTCTGACAATCCAAAGGATTAACAAAGATCACTGAATTTTTTTTTCCTGATTATTGTGATCATCAGAGGCTCCAAGTAAACAAAAACTAAAATACTCATTTTTTTTTTCTAGAGGAAGAATTCAGAAGAAAAACTTTAAGGTGTATCCAATTGTATAGATACGAAAGCCCATTGAGCTCATTTTCGTAGGTAACAAAAATATATTTTTCGCGTTATAACGCGAAACTTTCGCGTTATAACGCGTAACATTCGCGAATAAACGCGTAACTTTCGCGTTATAACGCGAAAGTTTCGCGAATAAACGCGTAACTTTCGCGAATAAACGGGAAACTTTCGCGTTATAACGCGAAATTATACATATATAGTCATGTTACTCAGGAACCTGTGATCTTGACTGACAGATAAAAAACATGAACGCAGAGAGGGACTTCTATGAATTTATAAATGACATTTCTTCAGAAGATGTAAAAGAGAATTAATGCGAGAAATGGATAGATTAGTGTTGATTTTGCATCTCAAAACCCTACTAATTAATTAAATGAATATTCCTTTAAAGATTTTCTTGTTTTTCACTTGTTGAATCCAAGAAATTCTGTAGACTAATTTTTTTTCTCAGGAAGATCTCCACTCGTTGCATTCTTTGAATAAATTGTCAATGTTTTCGTAAGTAATGGTATGACCAAATGGTGCAGCCTTAAAATACAATGTTGTATTTCTTCAGTGAGTCTATCGGAGATGAAATATTTGATACGAATATTTGTCATCCAATTTTCACATTAGGTTACTCATGTGATGTGACACAATTGTTCCGTGACATACAAATTTACCTCATTGTTGTCAATTTTCTGAGATCTTTTATTTCAAATTCTATACAGAGTGTTCAATCTAATTAAAATTAGACTTGTATTTTCGCTCCTCTACTATACGCTTCTATACTTGTATTGAACAGCATTGAGAAAGACAAAATGCGACGGCAAAAAAGATTTAGAAAGAGGAAAGACACATTCAATGGCGAGAAAACATAAAATTTCAGCTCGTGATAATCCAAGTTCAAAGTAGTCTTTCGTTTTTCACTGTAATGAATAAACTAGATCATTAAAAAGTAAAACAAACTGTAGACTTATGCAAATGTCTCTGTTTTACAGGGAAAGTTTCGCGTTATAACGCGAAAGTTTCGCGTTATAACGCGAAAGTTACGCGTTTATTCGCGAAAGTTACGCGTTTATTCGCGAAAGTTACGCGTTTATTCGCGAAAGTTACGCGTTTATTCGCGAAAGTTACGCGGTTATTCGCGAAAGTTTCGCGTTATAACGCGAAAAATATATTTTTTTTATCTACGAAAATGAGCTCAATAGGCTTTCGTATATAGACTATATAGTATCGAGGAAAATATAAAATTCTTTATTTTGCCAGTAGATTGTCTAATAGATTTTTTAAAAAGTGTTTTAAGTCAAATTTGACACACGGTTGTGAAGTATGGGGTTACGAAAATACAGATATTTTTGAAACTTATGAAATTTGTACTACTAGTACCACAAGTTGTATGGTATATTAATAAACTGGGCGAAATCCATTACGAATTAATGATTGCTTATTGGGCTAAACCTTTGATGGTCCAGGAACATAACCTAACAAACATATGAATAGGTCATTTATGTGGTAATATTTACATTTTTAAATGTCTTTGTCCGAGATAAAACTACGATTTCCGTAACGTGAGTAACTGGCTTTATGAATTAAGAAATAAAGCTACATGTATCTCTTTATTGCCTTCTCGCTATGTACACTGGGCAGGACAAGCAGACTTATAGAATAAAAATAGCTATTTTATCTTTTTTTAATTGAATTAAGGATCAGATATAAATGTGAATATAAGAAATAACTGTCTGGTTTTTGTGTATTCTTCTGCAAATTATTCGCAAAATGCTGACTTGTTGTCACAAATTCCCATATCTCTCCACAGGCACTTGTTTCGAATATGGGGTCTCCCCTTTCTTTTTGGAAAGAAAAAAGAAGGGGGGTGACCCCATTACGAAACAAGTGCCTGTGCATCTCTCTCACGAACAGGATTTCGGGAGTATTCCTTCGTTTAATTTACGACTTTTGATTCTTGCTACTTATAAAACAATTTTTTCCTACTGAAAATAAAAAGTTAACAACAAAATCAGCAGTGGCGGATCCAGGATTCTTGAAAAGCGGGGGAGGGGGAGGCACAACAAGTACATGTACGGAGTCCGGGATAGGGAGCCCAGCGGGCGAATCCCCGAAAGCTCTTAGGTTTTAGGAGCTTTATAGAACAGTTTTTCGACTTAGTTTAGCTATACTTACTATTAATGCAATATTTCACAACAAAATATTGATTTATTAATCTTATGTATACTTTTTGTCAAGGGGGGGGGGGGGGGCTTGCCCCCTCTAAATTCAACAGCGATCAGTACTAGTCAGTTTATGTCTCGTATGTCAGAAATGGCCACTACAAATTTATTTTTTTTTCCAGAATTGTAAATCTGGAGAAAATTTCATGATTCTTAACTTAAATGCTCTTGAATAATTTGATTTGCATCGCAAAGGCACTACCATAATACATGTATCTAAATGGAAGTTTATTATCTTATCTCAGTCTCACTGAACATATAACATTTTTCCGTCATAGATCCTCAAGATTCTTATGAATAGCTCCCTAAGCCTACTTCACTAAGACTGATTAAACTTGTGAAAATAAAAAAAAAAATGAATAAGAAGAAAAATAAAGAGGAATGAACCATAAGCAGTTTTCAATTATAGATATTTTTAAATTCTTAACAGTGAGAAACTATCATAATATATAATAAAGATTTTATACATGATTTATTATTTCTTTTACTTGTTAAATAGCAAACTCATGAACAAATGTCAAAGAAGAGATAAACATTTTATTCACTGCTGACAGAAAAGAGACATAAGTCATAGTAGTCAGTAAAACTGAAGTGGCACTACATTTAATATCTCTTAATACAAAGACAGCAACTATTGATTGTTTATATGGCCTTTCCCTTTCTTCTGGTGTATGATAAGCATTTTAAAAAAAACCCAATAAAATTCAAATAAATACCTTTGTTTAGAAAAAGGGAAAAATTGCTTTTTTCAGTATGCTATTAACCTTTCACATGGCTTAAATAAAACCAAAACAAAAAAAAAAAAACAAAAAACTGCACATTGTTTAAACAAGAAGTCTGTGAGCAAATGCTCACTAGTAATACCCCCGCTCTGATGTGAATATACGGTTACCCTCTCATGTTGACATCGAATTCATACAAAAATGAATCCCACCATCTGGCATGCCTAAACAAAGATTGTGCTAAAATTTCAAGGATCTTCGCTGAGTAGTTGCAGAGAAAACTGTGACAGAAATTTGGTACAGACAGATGCACGGATAAACAGGAAGTTGACGTCAGATTTATACAAAAATGAATCCCACCATATGGCCTGCCTAAACAAAAAGTGTGCTAAAATTTCAAGCATCTGTGATGAGTAGTTGCTGAGAAAACTGCAACGAAAAATTTGTTATGGACATACACAGGGATAAACAGGAAGTTGATATCTAATTCATATAAAAACAAATCCCACCATTTGGCATGCCTAAACAAAGATTGTGCTAAATTTGAAGCATCTTCGCTGAGTAGTTGCTGAGAAATATGCGACGGAAATTTGGTACGGACAGACCCAGAGATAAACAGGAAGTTGACATCGGATTTGAACAAAAATGAATCCGACCATATGGTATGCCTAAACAAAGATTGTGCTAAAATTTCAAGCATCTGTGATGAGTAGTTGCTGAGAAAACTGTGACGAAATTTGTTACGGACAGACACACGGACACACGGACAGACAGAGAAACAGACAGAAACACAAGGGTCAAACAGTATACCCCCTCTCCTTCGGAGCAGGGGTATTAAAATACAAATGTCTGACAGTCATGTTTCCATAGTATTGCTAAATCTGTTTACTAGGACAGAAGGCTTTAAACAATAACTTTTACTTTTTAAAAAATCACATTATGATAACCACCACAGAATGAAAAGTCTGCACTACATGTATTACTAATATAAAATCCGAAACTCTCTTTAATTTAAATATAATCCTGGATAGAAATCTATTATGTAAATTTACTAGCATATATATGTCACTCATCATAATTTACAAAAAATTCCTCGGTCTGTTTTTCAGACATTGAAAAAACAAAAATGATGACTAGATCCCCCCCCCCAATACCAATCAAAAAATGGTCAAGTGTTAATGTTTGGATAAAACTGCAATGTATGAGAATCCTTACTTTGATGAATGACAAATTAAATATTTGTGGCTTTAAAAAATTCAAATCATGGCTGTTAATATAATGAAAATTTAATAAAATACATTTATTGTGCAAAGTGCAACAATGTTAATGTATCAGCAGCAAAATTTCCAATATCCATGATTATTACCAACATCAGGAAAGAAAAATATCCATTTCATTTTCATAATGGATAAATCTAAAAATCACCTTTTTTTTCTTAATCCCTGATAAAAGGGTTTCAAATCGATGACGGGTGACATGGCTAAATCAAATAATAATCATGTACGTTTCCCATAATGTAATTCTTTAGTTTTAAAGTAGTCAGAAAAAAATATTTCTTTTATTGTGAAGAGGTAGGGAGTTGAAGAGCTTATAAGGTAAATATCTAAACATGATACCTTGGAGATTTATTATAAAATGATTGAGTAGGCACCAAAATTATTACCATAGATATGTCAATTAATTAGGAAAAAAAATATAATGTACAGTGTAAGCAGAAAAAAAATTTGACAATGGGATAACCAGGTAGTAGAGGGAACCATCATGTCTGCAGGAACATTATGAAAATAAAAAATAAATAATATAAAGCAATGACTAGATTCAGTTGTCCATATTGATATTAGGCAGTGACATCTGTCAGAGAAGCCAGCAGAAGTCATGATCTGTAATACCTGTATTGTACAGTATAGAAAAAAAGAGAGTCAGAATTAAGTATAGCACTGCTCATGTACACATCTACAGAACAACACAGAAGTGAAGAACACAGTGATTATCACAACAATCAAGAGACATACAGTCAAGTCAGAAAATGCACAGCAATTCAGACAACCTTATCATTTTCTAGACAATATATTCCAGGTACAATTAAATAAACAGTACCACAGTGAAATAACCAAATTCTTCTTTTAAATCCCTCTCATATAATAAAACATTATCTTTTTTATTCTAAATTCTGTCCAATACATTAAAAACATTGCATAACTTCATGTTGTGAGCAATATTTTGAACAACCATGTCTACAACACGTGGAACAGTAACTAATCTCAGTTACATCATGATACCAAAATATAACATAGATTAACTCTATATACATGTGTAAAAGAAAACAGTACAGTTAAACTTCAGGATTAGAACATCAGTTTCTCAAATACCTAAGAATCATTTTAATTCAGAAGGGGAGGGGGGGGGGGGGGGCAATGCTTGTGGTTAATCAAATTTTACTGGTTCCATCCACTGAATCTTATAAATTGCTGGGGTAATAAAAAAAATTACTGGTTCCTGGGGGTGTAATTTCATTGGTAACTTGTAACTTCAGATGATTTAAAGAGCTGATAAGTTAGTAGAGTTACTGTTCATGGGGATGAGGTAAGGGTGATCTACAAAATCCATAAAAATTGGTCCACCATGAACAGTAATGATTCCACAGTACCATGGATATGTTGAAGAGAGTTGGAAGTCCCAACCACCTTTCCTTTATGTATTTCAACCTAAATATTATCGAAATCTCAGATAACTCGAGTTTTATTTTGGCCTCATAAAGTTCAAGATAACAAGTTTTGACTGTATATTCTTTAGGTTTTACTAACTTTGATTCTTTGAAGTCTGATTTTAATATCAGAAAACAGTTTGAACATTAATGGAATTCTGAACTGTAATTTCTACATGTATATAGATATAGCAGAAAACAATAGCTTATTAAATAAGTATTTATTTTTTTAATTCTAAGTAAGTTAAGGTTTCTCAATATCTAATAAATGTAATGGAAAAGTTCAATAGCATCTTCATATTTCTCTGAGGTATTAAAAACACATGTACAAACTATTACTGTTTTTTTATGTGTGGAAAAAAAGTCAAAGGTAATTCTCACTATGAATTTACCAAAAAAAAAAAAAAAAATAAAAATCTAGGTGTTGATTTTTGACAGAGATCAATTTTTTAATACTCTAAAAAAGCAAGTTCAACTCTAGTTCTTTTTTTACTCTTGAAAAAGGTAATGTCATCTCTGTTAGTCTATTTTTAGATACTCTAAAAAAGCAAGGTCATCTCCGTACTGGAGATTCCTAGGTTAGTGAGGGGGAGCTCTACTCCAACGGCTAATTCTAAATAGTCCAATGCCTCTTCTTCATTACTTTGGATAATCAGTACATTTCTAACGCTGGAAAATATGTCTATCAAACTAATGTCCATCATCTGTCATAAATCAGGAAATCGGTTCGGATCTTCACGAAAGTTTGGTGGAATCAAAAACATGGAATCATCAATGTCATCTCGCCATTCAAACGAGGTGAAGGTCACCTTAGCAGTTACCGTGGGGAATACTGGGATTTCTGGGAGAAAAAAAATATTTCAGCTGTAAAAAACATTTTTTCCTTTCACAAGATTTTTATTTTCCCAATGTTAAACCTGCAATTCAATCTTTTCAAAATGATCGATCATTCAACAAACTGCAGAGTATTGTGAACTTAAAACTTGTACCTATTTTCACAGGAAAACCATCAGGTAGTTTGGTTGTCATAAATTCTCGTAATTTCTGAAACTGTTTGAATGGGGCAATTACCTCCAATACATCTAGCAGTCTAAGAAATAAAAAAAAAATGCATAAAAATGTATAATCAGGGATTAATATTTTGTTGCAGGTCCACTCTTAATTAAAAATTGACAGCTTTTCATGTACTGGTATGCAGTAAGTTTCAGATCCAAATACTGTACAGGAGCCTTGAAAATACTGGAATATAGGTGAAAATACTGTATACTGCTCATCAGGTACCCCCAATATTATATAAAGAATGGCAGTGTCTATTTTTTGCTATGGGAAACCCAAAATATAGATAAGATTTATTGATACCAATTTGGGGCCCCTCAGGGCATACAAGTAGAGAATAATACACATAAGAAGAAATATATACATGTCCGATCAAAAGGTAAAATAGGTGCACAATGGCACTATGTAACAAAGACCCTGTATAAGTCTCATTAAATTTTATTCAATGGTATAAGAAGAGTTGTAGAGGATATAGAGAAATAATCTAAAAAAAACTTTTATTCATCTATAAATGTCATAATTTATTAAATGAAATACTCACACTTCAATAGACATTGGAAAGTTCTTGCTCTGAAAATAACAATAGTACAAAATATGACATCAAAAATATATATATATATATTTAGGCCTTCTTTAAACAATTCTTTGGTTCCCTCTCCCAACCGACTGGCTAAAAACAGACAGACTCAAAACATTTTTCAACTTCCAGGAAACAATTACTTTTTTTTTATGTATTCCGGAAAATAATTTTTGAAAATTCAGCATTGATGTTGAAATTTTCTGGGGGAAAATAATTTTGTTACCTACCTACCAACCTATTTTTATCATCCTGAGTCAGGAAGGGCAAACAAACCTTAAAATCTAATTAATATAAGAGAAAATACTAATGATTACCATTGCAACAGTGGCCTTGAATGACTTTGTGCTTCCCTTTGCAATCCACGGTCGCCCAAGACACGGAGGATTTCCTGGGGGCTCCGAGGTGTAATCCTCCCACTTTATATTAGTTTCCTCGGGTGAAGGCAGGGAGGGGCGTCTCTGAAACTATCATCACAAAAGCATAAACAACTATATACTTATACAAAAGTGCATTATATATATATATATACATACAATACACAAAATTCTGAAGAAAACTTGCATAAAATTATGGCATGACAATTTGGGCAGTTATATGGATGGTAAACTACGTACTTATGTCAAAATTAAAGATCAATTTGGTTTTGAAAATTATCTTAATATCATTAAGAATTTTGAGTTGAGAAGATGCCTGACTAGATTTAGAATATCTTCACATCATTTACAAATTGAAGTTGGAAGGTTCCAGGGTATCCCAGCACACATGCGATTATGTTCGAAATGTGATTTAAATGAGGTGGAGGATGAAATACATTTTCTCTTCAAATGCACTAAATTCAAAGATGAATGAGAAATTTTCTTAAAATCTGTCTCAGAATTATGTACCAATTTCCCTAATCTTGATTTTAATGAGAAACTTATATGGCTATTTTCAAATGAAAATGAGTCAATCTTAAGAATACTAAGTCAATTCATATCAAAACACTGTATATGATTTTTAAACAATATTACTGTATATTGCTATATTTTGTTAATTATAATTGTGCTCATTTTGCTTATCTACATTAGACATGAGGAGGAATGCAACCTATTATTCATGTTTTTTATTTGACTAGAATTCATGCATTTCCTAGAGCACCATCCCTTGAGGTCTTCTATAGACTGGCAACCATTAAAACACCTTTATCTTGTAATCTATTTACATTTATACACCCACCATGGTAAATTTTGTTTAAATTTTTTGATTATGTACATTTTCTCAATTTTATGTGATACATACATTATTGAATTTATTTTTATAGTAAAATCTTAAACTGTACTGATTATAAATTGCAGGATTACTTAAAGTTTCCTTTGAAAAAGCATGAAAGATCACAGCTAACAAAATTAAGAATCAGTGCACATTCACTATTCATTGAAACAGGTAGATACTGTAAACCAATAATCCCTAAGGAAAAACGTTTATGCTATGCTTGTAAATTATTGGTTGAAAATGAAAAAAAAATTGTACTTTACTGTCCTGTGCATGACAATCTTCGATTTCAATATTGTGATATTTTTGATGATAAATTATACTGTGGTACTGATCCCATTAAAGAAATTGTAAACCCATGTGATTATAATACTACAAAACGCTTATGTAACTACTTAGATAAATACTTTTTGCAGAGGAAAAAATCCCAAGGATTTCAAAGAATTGTGTAAAATTGTATTGTATACAATTATGTTAGAATATTCCTATATAATTTTTTTATAATTCTTTGCAAGTAATTATGTTATAAAATTCTTCTTCTTTTTTTCTGTTATCTGAAGTTTGATTTGTTATTTTGACTGTATGCCAACATGGTGATGTCAATAAATTGAATTGAATATATTGAAGAACATTGCTACATAGTCTGATTTTAATAATAACGGGTTTTACTCAATGATATTTTAAAATATTTCCCATATGGAGATATTTTGATTTTAGCATGGTTGTCTGTCCGTTTGTCATAAAATCTCGTTCTGAACATAAAAACTAAACTTTTTCCAGTTAAGACCTACCTCACAATCATTCCAGTTAAGACCTACCTCTCAAACATTCCAGTTAAAACCTCACAGTTACTCCCATCAAGACCTACCTCACAATTATTCCAGTTTCCTTTGGTCAAATTCTCCATCATAGCTTTGTTTTTCTGTACATCATCAGGACTTAAATGCTCCCTCCTAAAACAATAATTAAGTTTTCATTTGATTATCTAATTGCATATGCAGTTAAGTTTAAAACCTCATCTCATTACTCATCTAAACATTACACAGTAAATTTAGATTGCAGCTATTCAATACCTTTTTCTGGAATCTAGTATCAAACCATTAACTGCATAGAAATCAGCTTCAAATTCTCCTACCCTCTCCTGAAAATTCAGATAGAAAAAAAAAATTGACTGTTACATATTAAGACAGCAATCAATAATTAATGATGAAAATGGAACATTTTTTTTCATCTTATTTGCTAACAATTCCATTTCACTACAGAACTATAAAAAGTTTAACTAATTAAAGATTTTTTTTTTGCAAGAGTACATGTATACAAAAAAAAAATATTCACTCTAAAATACGTTTTCTTGAAAGCTTCTATACAGAAATGTGAAGTAAATACTATTTATAAATGTTAAGTGTAACAATGATTATTCATATTTAACAGGTTTTATCAACACTTTCACTTGTGCAGATTATTTTTTCTGGCACATTAGTGTTTTTACAATACAAATAAATGTACTCTCTGTTTGTCCTTCAGTATAAATAAATGTACTCTCTACTTGTTCTTCAGTATAAATATGTCTACTCTCTGCTTGTCCTTTAGTGTAAGTTAAGTATACTAACTGTTTTGTCTTCTCTGAACAACCAGCCACTCTGGGCCCTGGAGAAGGTAATTCTCTTGGTAGACATCTGGGCAGCCATGATGTCACTACTCATCAGTATATCCACCTCATCTTCTAGTTCCTGTTCTGACTCCTGCAATCAGCACATACTCTCATTTGCTAAATGTTGTAATGTTTATAAATTAAATATTAAATACACTTGTAACTCTTTAATATACAATTGAATACGTTTCAGTAATAAAGTAAGAGATTTTATTGTACATGTATCTTACAATAAGTAGATAAACAATATTTATAACAGGTACAGAAATTTCCAGCTATGTTTATAAATTTATAATATAACAAATTAAATCCAACAAAATATAGCAGGATTTTTTGAATAACTATTACCATCAAGATTCATCTTAATAATATAAATGTCACCTGTGAACCGATTTTCTGAAATACTTGCCATTTGTTGTCAATGTGGGATTACGTTGTCTCTCACTAGATTTTTCTGATTTACATATTTGATGTCAATGTGAGATTACATTACCATCAGTTTACCCATTTCTTTTCTGATTTCTTCATATAGATGTAATTTGTTTTCATTGCGAGATAACATTACCTGTGATCTAATTTTTTTATATACTGTAAAATCACATATTTTTGTGACCAGTGTCAAATTTTCGAGGTTTGAGGAAAAAATATTGGTTTGTGGGGATCTGATTTCGTGGTTTGAGAGGTATTGAGTTGTTATGTATATGAAATTTTACATTTCGTGGTGGTCTGGTGGACATGAATTCATGGGTCTCTTCATACCTCTTCAAATGAAAATTACCCCCCCCCCCCCTCGAAAATTAGTAATTTCACAGTTATTTGTTGTCGTTTGTCTCAATGTTACTTGTGATCTGATTTTTGATATACTACAAAATCACGTTTTCATAGTGTCAAATTTTCATGGTCTGAGGAAATATTTGGATTCGTGGGAATTTGATTTTGTGGATGAATTGTTGAGTAGTATATATTTGAAAAATGACATTTTGTGGCAGAGATAAATTCATGGGTCTCTTTATACCCTGAAACTGAAAATTTAACCCCCCATGTAATACATGTAAACTGTTAATTGTTGATCAATGTGATGTTACCTGTGATCTGATTTTTTGATATACATGTAATTTGTTGTCCAGAACAGTCAGCCCTTCATTGGATGGGGCATCCCCATCAAAAACAAAAGTTATGTCCCCTCTTTCCCATCTCATGTCATTGAAGTCAACCAAAGTCGTGTCTAGCCTGTTAAGCATGGAGAAAAGATAGTTTTAAAAAATCGCTTAAAAATAATTTCATAAAATAATTAGCATATCATTTCATTGTCAGTTTGATATAGCACATTAATATTAAAACCTAAAATTTTAACTGCATTAATCATCTTGAAATTTCAGGCATGCACTTTGCCTTGACTTAATATTGTTTTACCTTAAACAACTCCCTTTCTTATGGATTTTGCAGACATCAGAAGGAAGTATACGAGAAACTAGTGGCACTGTAAAGAGGTCAAATTATAAAGTATTTATACTCACTAGACACTCAACTGTCAGTATCAACTTCAAAGTTCATCATTATTTAGCCTGCATCAGTTATAAAATTCATTTTTAACAGTGGAAAATATTTATAGATCTACTTAAGATCTTTCAATGATACCAAAGTTTTAATACACTGGATTCAAATATGTGTAGATTTTTATACAGTTGAACTTTATCTCAAACACTAATATGTCGAGTACCATGGATATCACCGAGTCAGCTGGAAGTCCCAGCTACTTTTTCGTCATGAGTATCTTGAATATCCTAATGTTGTTAAGTTTTTTCTTGGTCCCATCCAGTTTGAGATAACAAGGTTTGACAAATTATACTATTACTATTGTTTGTAAACTAAAAGATTAGGTACCCCAGCTTTGAAAATCCCACTTTAGTTCTACATAGAAGTCTCCTATATCCTTTAATGCTTGGATCAAGGCAGGTCTCCTTTCCTCTAACGTCTCTCTGGATTGTTGCTTTAGTTTCTTCAGCAAACACAAAACTAGGCAGAAAAAGCACATTTTACATTCAAAATGTCCAAACATTTTTAAAATTGTTATATTTCTCCAAAGTTCAACACTGACTGAAAGGAGTGATGTTAAAGAAAAATTCATACTTTTTGTTTCTTGTCATTTTTAAAGCAAAAGAGATAGAATGGAAAGCAATTCAAAATTCTTGTGTATGTTACATGTACATGTATATTTTAACGCAGCATTTGTTTTAAATCCGTTCTTGACACTGAACATTATTTTTATCAGAAAATTTAAGACAGTATGTCAGTGTAACTTTGACAAAGCCTTTAACGAATGTAGTAATAAAAGCAAACCTGCTTTTGAAATTTTAAAATACATCCAGGAAAGATATTTACTTGTTTGTCTACTGCCATAACTGATTGACTCTGCTAAGGGTGTCCAACCCTGGAGGTTCTTCATTCTAACAGGTGCCCCATGTGCTAGCAGTAACTGGATACAGTCTGTACAATATATGACATCATTACAAGTCATAATGCAATGTCTCTGTTTCATTTCAACTATTCAATTGAATGATAAGAATATGAAATTCTTCTCTAAACAGTCTGGACGAACTCCAAAAACAGCGTTTCCGGAAGTAAGAAACTGAGACTGAAAAAGACTCCGAAAAAAGAGTCCGCGCATGCGCACACACACAAAAAATGGCGATTTTTCGGCAAAAATGATGGGTCTACAAAAAGTGTCCGTGCAAAGTTTTGGAAAGTATGGCAATTATGACAGTACTCAGAAATGCTAAATAAAAGACTTCGGAAGAGATCGTATTTGTCAGATTTTTGATTTTATTTGCAAAAAGGGAGATATTTACTTTCAAAGTTGACGTTTGAAGTCAGATCAATTACAAAGAAAATAATACGTTTGAGAAGTAAATATGCATAATAAAAGGAATATATATGCAAAATGGGACAATATATATTGTAACTGTTAAAAACTAGACTGAATTTTACATATAAATTAGTATTCCGGTGTTTAATTTGTGTACAACATCTGAATTGAACACGTAAGATCTTACCGTCGTTATTTACCGATTTTTTATCACATAACAACAGATATTATTATGAAAACATTTTTAAAACTATAATCTATCAATATGAAAACTGTAAAAATCACTGTTCTAGAAATTAAGGTCACAACATGTCTTCTAAAAATGAACCTGTGAATATCTCTGCTCCGTGTTGAAAAATACGCATTTTCTGATTAAAATAAATACAAGCTGGGTGTTTTCAAAAACAAATAATAGCATCTTTATTTTAGAAACGACATAAAATTTAAATCAAGGAGACAATAAATCAAATAAGAAAATAATTTTTACCGGCAGTATTGAATTCGATGTCGTATATCCAATTCACTATTATGCAAGAGTTTGAAGCGATAAATAAGTCAATATCCACAAAATGATTTAATAAATGTAATTCTCCATTCAACAAAACTTAAAATAAAGTCAAAATGCACTAAATACAGCCATTATGCAGCCGTACATTTGGAGAAAGCGAACGACAATCCATCGTTTGTTTACATCGGACGCCATTTTGCCGCAATGCATGATGGAGCCAAAGACTTCGTTTTCGGAGTTCACGCCGTTTTTGGAGTTCGTCTAGACTGCTAAAAGGTTTATTAAATTGTTATTATAATTATGTGCAGTAAATAAACGATTTTAATTTTAATAATATTTTAATAATAATTTTAATAATATATCAATGTTTTTCTGTTGTTTTCCCCTCTTAGTTTCCCTTTTAGACAAGTGATAACATAAAACGATATGATATGATATGATGATATATACCTTTTCTTCCCAGCATAACAGCAAGGTGTAGAGCTGTATTTCCTAAAAAAAAATAAATAAATAAATAAATAAAAGAAATATCTGTATTCAACTCACAATTAACAAGGAATACTAATCCGAGATCATAAGTATACATGCTTTTAAAAAAAGTTTGCAAATTTTTCACTTATTTTCAGAAAAAATAATTTCTGTTCCTTCATTCTTGTTCTCTGTTGAATCACTATTTTCGATCGACAACGACTAATCAGTCGACCCTACTTTTCAAGAAAGGTGCTCAAAATTCTATGATATATAAATTAAAAGAAAAATGTATCTTTACCGTGCATATCTTTAAGAGCCACATCATTAACACGTAGTAGCTGTGACAGTTTTCTAATATCGTTGTGAAAGACGCATTCATGCAGTGGATACCCTTCCCAGTCCGCCATTAGTTATTTGCATATTATGCAAAGAGCAAGCTAACTTGAACATTAAGTTATTCGTACTAGCTATTCAAAAACTAATTTAGAAGTAGATAGGCTTCAGTATTTGAACCGTATTTCTTTCAGAGGGATCAGACACAAATTTTTACAAAAACTATATTTTCCAACAACTCATTTAAAAGTTTTATCGATGACTAAATTTAATTTTTAAAAAAATCAGAGTACTGGAAGTACTGCAAAGGATGCGTGATAGAAGTATCCAGTCAACTCGTACACATAGATAGCATGTAGTTGACTGGCATATCAGTGGCTAAAGGAATACATGAGTATATGAAATATTTTTGAAATAAAAAGAGACGAAGGTTTTTTCTTATTAAATGATAAATAACGATAAGGTTTTTTTTTAATCGGGGGAGGGAGAGAGAGAGAGAGAGATTTTGCGATGCTAGGAAAAAGTTTCCAGTGTGGTGACTTGAATCATTTCTCAATTTCTATAGTCACATTACTTTTGTTGTAATAGATCTTTGCTATAGTCGTCACAGACTGTGTATCCAGTAGGCAGGATGCTTGAAATATATATCCCCTACTACCCAAACTCCGTCACCATAAGCGGAAAACACACCGCGTTACTCTCTTAAGAACTTATATTGTTTTTATCACTATTTGAAAAAAAAATGCAGTTACTGGGCTTATATAAAACCACTAAATAGAACGCGCATAACATCCGTGTACAATATGTCAACATTTTAAATAGAAATTTGTTTTCAGTTTAGTTTTTTGTCCCTCCTCCTTAAACTTGTAAACACAGAAAATCAGTTTTTATAAAAGATTAAAATATTATTAAATTTTACTTTTACAAACGTATCAACAACAGAAAATAATGTTAATATAACGTATTTTATATGTAATAACCTCGCGCTAACGTTATTTCCAACGCGTAGTGCATTAGAGCAAATGTAGACAAAAAAAAACAAAATATTTTTAGCCATATGGTAGGTCCTGTTAAACCTTTGACATAGACCATCATAAAAATGGCTGAAATGTGATTCTGATCATGCCTGAGATATCGATGGAATAGCACATAAAAGAAAATGTGCTTGCTGATTTCACATAAAATATGATAGGTAAAATAGATTAAGTGTAACTGTTATTTATTTTTGACGCATTCTTGAACTTGATTGTTATAATTTGTCGGCATTTGCTTGCAGATTTTTAGCATGCCAAAGAAAAAATAACGTCACAATTGCAATCGTTTACAAACAGCGCAGTTTCCTTAAAGTGACGGAGTTAGGGTAGTGACGGAGTAAAGAGTGTTCCCATATACAATTGTTCATAGAATATCAAATTATATTTCATCGACCAACAAAATGAGTCTGCAATATAAACAGAAAGATATCTTTTTCGATTTTTTTTTTCAATTTCCTTTTTTGGTTTATAACGATCAAATATATATACATGTTTTATCAATTTCATCTTATGTACCTTCCAATAAATTTTGTTTATTGCTACAAAGCTTTATTTCCATTAGTTTCAATAAATATGAATCAAAAAACTAAGGAGGGTAAACATAGGATAAGTAAAAACTTTGTCAACCCATCCAAAATAATTGTTCATAATCTCCGTTCACTTAGCTATGTATATGTATACTAGTAGTTCACTCTTCAGACCGTTTTGAATGATTTTCGAACACAAATTTTTTTTTTTCTAATTCTTATGTTCTTCCACCTAGAATTGTTCTAATAGGAAAAAATTGTGTATGTTTATGTGAGTAGGTGTTGTGAAATCTCCATAAATCGTTAAATTTAATCTCTGAAAAATTTACCACAGCATCAAGACCCAGGTTATTGAAACTCGACGTTCTGTTTTCAATATTTGCTGCACATCATTGGTTTGGTTTGGTTTGAACATATTCTATTGGTAAGATGTTAAAACAAAAGGATGGGACACAAGTTCTTAAAACTTGGAATGTCCCCTCCTTTATACAATTAATTACTCAAAATAATGTTAAAAAAATTAACTAACTGGAACAAAACATTAGTATTATTATCTACTTACATAGACTGTGCATGCACAAAAATGATTTGATGTAGTATGTACAAATGAATTTAAAGATATAAATTTAAAAACGACCAGATCTCTTAATAAACAATTGCATATTTGAAAATAATCTTTCATTTTCGGAAATTCTGAACACCATTCACCAAAATCAAAAAGAGACAAACGGTACCAGACACATCTCCATGTAGTACATGTATGTTATAAAAATGGTTGAAGCTTTTCTATTGCTTACTTTAGTAAACGCATATGTTGATGTAATAAAAAAAACCTAAACAATCACGTTAATATATAAAAAAAATTTTCGATTTTCAAAAAATAGTCAATTTAAGATGAATTCAATTTTTTTTCAATTAAATGACCCTTACAAATAAACAGCTTTCATGAAATTATAATGAACACTGCTAATTATTATCACAATTGAAAAAAGAGAAAGAAATTAAACCGTGTGTTGCATTGAATTTTAAAAATCTTATATTTTATTTATCAAAATGTTTCTTTGCATAATTCGTTAAATATTATGGAAATGGTACTCAATGGAACTATGTTTTTGTCTCAAATCAAGTTTTAACGACCAGGATATAAATTAAAACCCCAGTCACATTTTCAAAAACGATTAACCACAGACGGTTTTTGGACAAAATTGGGATTCTTCGGGCGACGGTCAGTAGTTCATCGGCCGTTGTCTTGCAAGATTTTGACCTTTTTTTCTGTTAGCAAAATTATGGAAATTATTTTAAACATACGTACAATTATTTTTATTGTAATAATCTGATTTATCGATATCAGGCGGTTTTTTTTTAACCCGGTCATTCTACTGTGTATCTATTATTAGAAACGTATCATAGTATTGTTCAAAACATTGTTGAAAGCAAATCATATTGAATGGTTTTCTGCGATCTTTCAAAAGCTTTTGACAGAGTATATTGACTGATTGTATGCTGTTTTACGTCCCGTTCGAGAATTTTTCACTCATATAGAGACGTCACCTTATACCGGTGAAGGCCTTCAAATTTAGTCCTTTACTCGGCACTTAGGACCATTGAGCAGTGAGGGTTCTTTATCGTTTTAAGGTCTCATCCTTTCACTTCAAAGTGCCGAGCGCTTGGCAAAGGAACAGTTGTTACCTATTTTATATCGACTTCGGTCAGTCGCGGCCGTGATTCGAAAACACCAAGCGAGCGCTCTAACGACTGACGGCTTGACAGAGTATAGCACAGAGGACTTCTTTTTAAATTACAATCTTACGGTATATCTGGTGACCTTCTCCAGTGGTTTTCTAGTTCTTGTATAATAGGTCACAAAAAATAATGTATAAGGACATATTATCATCAAAACTAGATATTTTTGCAGGTTTACCTCAGGGTTCTGTTTTAGGCCCACTTTCATTTCTGATATATGTAAACGATGTTGCTGTAAAAATGTTATCAATGTATAGACTGTTTGCTGATGATAACTCGCTTCAACAATCTTCATATATTATATTTGATATTGAATATAATTTAAATCATGATTTACATATTTTGGAACTGTAGTCAAATCAGTGTCCTCTGAAATTCAACCCTTCCAAAACAAGTTATTTTTTCAACAAGAAAAATATTTCTGTTATGCCTAAATTACTTTTTAAAGGCGACAGACTGGAGTGTGTTCCAGTTCATCGTCACTTGGGTCTATTGTTGTCACAAAACCTTAGCTGAACAGAATACATTGATAGCATTGAAAACAATGTTTATAAGAAACTTGGGCTTTTGAAAAAAAAAACAACTAAAGTTTAAAATTGGTAGGACGCACCTTTCAAAATTATATGTCACATTTATCAGACCATCGCTCGAATACGCTTCTATTGTTTGGGATGGCTGTTCTAACCATGATGCCGAAAAGCTTGAAAGAGTTCAACTATCTGCAGCTAGAATTGTTAAGACTGCGGAACATTAACTGGCAAAATTGGAAATATGCAGCTTACGTCATTTCCATCTGTCGCAGTCAAACACTTGATGATATACAATGAAATGGGCGGGTACAATTTGACACGGACGTCTGCGAAAACATTGGATTGAAATTGCAATTCGAAATTCTTTTCAATCCACCTGAGCTATTTTTCGCAAAGTTATAATATATGATCGAAACGACAAATAATTTCAGTTCCCAAATGCGTATAGTTTGAAATTAATGTATAACAATTTTCTATTTTGAGGACAAACAAAAGTTATAGAAGATATAGCTATATGTATATTCTTTTAGGGGAAGACCATTTGATTCTAGAAGTCGGGGGGGGGGGGGGGCTGGCAAATTTTGTCGAATCTGATTATTTATGGTTATGTCTCACATGAAAGAATATATTAAATATTTGTAGGATGACAAAAGACATTACTTATTTTCGTCTTCACTGAAAAAAATTTGAAATTCAATTTCAATCCATCTGAGCTGTTTTCAAACCTTAAGTGTGAATGTCAATCTGATTAAAATCAGATCTTTGTTACGCTCCGAAATTCTGATGGTCGCTGTACAGCGACCATCAGAATTTCGGAGCGTAACAAAGATCTGATTTTAATCAGATTGGTGTGAATGTATAATTCAAAAGACAAATAAATTCAATTCCCAAATACATATTGTTTGAAATTCATATTTATATGAGTTTTTAGCCTATAATTTTAAGGACACGTCAAAGTCCTAAGACCGCGGAACATTAACTGGCAAAATAGGAAATATACAGCTTACGTCTTTTCCATCTGTTACAGTCAAAACATTTAATGATAGACAATGAAATGTGCGGGTACAATTCGGCACGGACGTCCGAGAAAACATTGGATTGAAATTCTAGTTTGAAATTCATTTTCAATCCACCTGAGCTGTTTTCAAACGTAGAGTGTGAATATATGATCCAAAAGACAAATCATTTCGATTCCCAAATACATGTTGTTTGAAATTCATATTTATCATTGATCATTGTTTATATGAGTTTTTAGCCTATGATTTTAAGGACACGTAAGTCATAGAAGACAGAGATTATTTTTTTTCATGGAAAGGCTATTTGATTCTAGAAGTTGGGGGGGGGGGGGTAAAATTGTCGAGTCAGAGCATGCCCTCACTTGACAAAATATATTTATTTCTAGGATGACAAGAGGTATTTTCTTTAGTTTTGTCTTCACTGAAAAATGTTTGACAATCAAAAACAGGGAGGGGTTGTCCAAACTAAAAAAAACTTTCTTTTTTATTTCCAAGATCGTTCAGCCCCCCTCCCTCCCCAACACATGCATGTACATGTACATACCTAACAGAAATAAAATATTTGTCCCTTTATATTTCTTTAAAAACACTGTACAAAAATTCTGATTTATATATTTAAACTTCAAAATATTCCGAAATTGAAATTATTTGTCTCCTGGGTCAATCATTAAGACACTGCCTTCTAGCTTAGATGAAGCGGATTGAAAATGAATTTCAAACTAGAATTTCAATCCAATGTTTTCTTGGACGTCCGTGTCGAACTGTACCCGCCCATTTCATTGTCTATAGTTAAATGCTTTGATTGTAACAGATGGAAATGACGTAAGCTGCATATTTCCAATTTTGCCAGTTAATGTTCCGTGGTCTTATAGGTTTTCCAGTCTTTGTGTCTAGAGAAATACTTTATTCTGAAACTGGCTTGGAAACTTTAAAATTTAGGCGCTATGTCGCAAAAATGGCTACTATGTACAAAATTGATAATTGTTGTGTACCTGAATACTTGAGTGATATTGTCCCACACAAGCGTGAAAACATATCAAAATACAATACTCGTAATAAAGAACAATTCACCGGCTGTTCCAAGGTGCAGATTAGAATTATTCAAAAAGTCCTTTATATCCGATGCTGTAAAACAGTGGAATTTATTAAAGATAGAAACGAGAGAAGCCATCTCACTCAAAGCATTTCGCAAAACTTAACTACAGAAGTAAAAAATGCACCAATTTATTTTTCATTTGGTAAACGTTATAAATACAAATATAATCCATACTAAACTCAGACACGATTGTAGACTTAACTATGATCTACACAAACGAAATATTATTAACAGTCCTTTATGTTTATGTGAGAAGTATGAAGATGTTTATCATTTCTTTTTTGCGTGCAAGAATTATCCAAACGCTAGGAATAATCTTAATTTTTAACCGCCAATTTATACTTGACGAATTGGTCATATTGACACAAATTTGTTATTATGGGGTGATGTAAATTTGCCTTTACAGACTAATATAAATATTTTTGCTGCTGTGCATAAATTTATTGATGAAACCTGTAGATTTTGATTGCTATGATATTGAACAGAATTTTCACTTGTATCACTTGTTAAATTTATTTTTCTATGTACTATTAATATTTCTATTGTATTTAAGGAGAGGAACCAGTAAGTTGCAAGAACTTGTTTCTGATCCTTTTGATTCATTCAATAAAATACAAGTATGTTCAAAACAAAACCTCTTTTTTCGTCAGCCGACCAATTTTATGTCCGTCGGGTCCAGTTACAATTTCTTCTACGTCAGTGGCCGATATCTCAATTGAAGTAGTCATGGAATAGTCCATCAACCAATCCTCGAACTTCTTCGATCCGACCATCGGCAGACAGTCTATTAAGTCGGTTGTCGGTCGATTGACATTTAGGTATTGGGTTTTTGTAAATGTTGGCCGACGGTGAAAATCAAACTGCGACTGAGCGCCCGATGATCGGGGGACAGTTGACCGACTTATAAATATTTAAACCTTAATTAAAGTAATCGGTGTTCCTAGGAATTAATGTGACTACTCCGCGTCGCCAGATACCGTACATGTACATGTAGTGTCGGTCGATCATGTTTTTTTTTTTTTTTTTTTGTTTTTTTTTTCTCCAGCCAACGATACGAGAAAAAATTGTCGCTCAAAATTATGCTTTATAAGGTTACAATCGACCAAATACGTATATGTATTAAGAAAGATTCATTTTATAAAGCTTACACCAAAAGCAAACATAAATCGGACAATTTTAATCAGAAAAGTTCACTTGACCCTTTTGCTTAGTTAAGTTAAAAAAAGTCTTTATTATCTGCAGGTATATCAATTTTTATGAAGCTTATCTGATAGAAATACAATGTGCTCTGTTTTATATATATATATATATATATATTGCATTCTATGTACAAAAAGAATTATTTGGTCTCCTCAAGAAGCCGTTTGAGCCACTGTTTGAGGTAAGCTTCTCTAGCAGGATTGGGTTTGTTTTCCTTGGACCTAAGTCCCCCTTTTCTAGGACGTCGGGTTCTTGAAGCTTGTGTCGTTGCCTCAGTAGTGGCCTCGGTAGGAGCTGCTGTGGTGGGGGCCGCTGTAGCAACATCATCATCATCATCTGTTGTCACATCTACGGTTCCAGGGTAACTGGAGCAGACAGTGGAGTCCACGTTTCGCTGGTCGACATTGCTACATAGATATCCGTATTCTGTCAGATCTGTGTGGCAAAGAGACGAGACTGGCTTACATGTATAGAAGATAATCACACGATTTTTCAAATGTTGAAAAACTGATCATAGGGGAAAACTAGTGAACGATGCATGCTAAGTCAAATATTTAAAAAAAAGAAAAGAATTTTTTTTTTACTTTAAGCTAAGATGGAAAAATTTTGACTTTCATATGTTTATTTACACAGGCCGGTAACATACTATGCTTGATTTTATGTGATCACTGTTTTGTATAATGATCAAGTAAAAATTAACCCCTGTGTGTAAATAGATGCACATTGATACTGCGATATGCTGAAGTTTTTTCACCTGTTCCAACACTTTTATCACAAGTATAAGACACTCTCTGTGAGTTATCTCTGGCACCAGCTCCCCAAAAGCACCCCAGGACGTAAGGAAAATCAGAGGTCAAATGGTATCGGTACTTTCCGTCCACCATGCGACCATGACAAATGTCAAGGTCATCTGAAGTCAGTGGCTCCGTTCCCTTGTCGGAAGCACGAGGACCGTAAATTGGAAACCCATCTAGGGCAACACCTTCAAGAAACATAGCATGAATTTTCATCAGTAGGGCTTAATTCCACTTCCAGGTAATTACATGCCTTACCCCCTTTTACAATTAGTCGTCTTGAATTACTATAGTAAGCTGGAATTTGGGAAAATGTTCTAAAAAAGATTTAAACAAGAAATAACAGTTACTTGGCTAATGAAATATCCAAATAAAGTGTAGATCTAAAACTTGCCATTGTTTAACTAATAAGTACTGAAAAATAGCTTAACCTGATACTTCAACTGTAAAGTACTAGTATAGGTCAAGTGCAGCATCCATATACTCCAATTACTTTGCAATATTTTTCATTGCAAAGACTGTAATCACCTCGGAATGAACCTCGATTAGATTTTAAACCTTATTTCTCACCTGTTAAGAAAAGATCACACAGAGCAACCGGAGTATCATTTCTGATATGATCACGGCACCAAATGTAGCCGTCGAGGGAGAAAAATGGGAAGAACCAGACCGGAATTCGAATCAAATGATTTTTTTTTTCTAACTTCAGAATTTAAATGATTCAATAAAAAGTATTCAAAACAAATTCTCACTAATACTAAGTATTACAGTGTATACAAGGTTGGTCAATCGTCATTGTCAGACGGTTCATGTACATGTATATGAGTTCAAGTCATTGCAGAGAATGACTTTTAATATCACATCATGCACTGCTGTTCTTGAGGAGATGTTTAATAATTTTTTTTATATATTCCCATGTAAAACTTTGATCCCATATTGCCCCCGGGCCCATGATTTGAACAATCTTGAATTTACACCATGTCAGGAAGCTTTCATACAAGTTTCATTTTTTGTATGTTACATCCCGTTTGAGAATTTTTCATTCATATAGAGACGTCGCCATATACTGGTGAAGGGCTTCAAATGTAGACCTTTACTCGGCACTCAGGACCATTGAGCAGTGAGGGTTCTTTATCGTGCCAACGCCTACCGTGACACGGGACCTCGGTTTTTAAGGTCTCACCCGAAAGACCCGCAACTTTCACTTCAAAATGCCGAGCGCTTGGCGAAGGAACAGTTGCTACCTATTTTTATCGACTTAGGTCAGTCGCGGCCGTGATTCGAACACGCGACCTTCCGACCACGGAGCGAGCGCTCTACCGACTGATTTTGCCCTTTGGTTCTTGAGAAGATTTTTATGACACCTACCCTATTTTTCCTCTTCTTGATTATCTCCCTTTCAAAATGTTGTTGCCCTTTCTTTGAATAAACTTGAATCCACTCAAGTATACTCTATGCTTAGTTTAATTAAAACTGGCCCAGTGGTTTTGGAGAAGATGAAATTGTGAAAAGTTTACGATGACAATAACAACGACGACAAACAACGGACCCCGGACACTCTGTGAAAGTGAACCATAACATTCACAAAACGCAGCAAACTTACACATGTATTCTCGCACCATACCAATATGTATACTTTATATACCTTTGCATTTTGAAATATTATGTCATATATACTTAAAAAGGCCAATTGAATAAGTAGAATTATTTACCAATGAACTGATCATACTCTGCAGTGTAGGTATCTCCACAGTTATATGACTCTGGTGACTGATGGTAGTGGTAAACACCATTGGAGTCCGAGTGACCGTTACATCGGTCAAATTTCTCCGCATCGTCGCCCTCCACTGCATGTAGGAAAAAAAAATGCAATTGAATCATTAGAACTGCGCTCATTGACTGGTTTGATGAACATTTTTACAACCCTGTAAGATGTGTTATAGGATACTATCTTAACTCTGGTTGATTTGAACCCTACTTTAATTTTCTAAGAGCAACAATCAAATCTTAAAGATTTTGATTATAAAAAATACTTTCCAGCATTTGAACGATTCAATGCAGCTTAAAGCTAAATATTGTTATTTTAAAAAAAATATCTCAGGCACATTAAATCACCAGCATTTAGATCAGCACTGGTTAGAGGGTTATAGATGGCTACACCAGTCTTTGTGATTGCAATTGTTCCCTTTGGTAAACTCCCGGGAGTGCAGGCAAACTCTACTTCCTTGTCAAACGTGAACCGGAAGTTTTGGGAAGATGCCGTGTGCGGATTCACTTGTTGCATTTCATGGTCAGGAATCCCATTTGATTCGACGACAAAACTGAATTAGAGATGTTAGAATGCATTATAAGATGTGTCATTACATAAGATTTATCTAGTAAGCCAAGGATGGCAAGAATAATGCACTTATCTCCGCTTGTGACATGCCGAATCAAATGCACACAAGAATAGTAGAAAGTATAGATTTTCTCACACACATATGGAAACAGAATTTTTCATACATACTGACCGACAATTAAACTACTTGGCCGGTAGAGAGCAAACAAATTAAATATTTAAGTCGGTCCGATATAAAGATTTTAAAATTCGTGACACATACAGGTACTATTCACCACGAGAGATGTGTCTTCAAAACGTCTAGGGTCCTGCACGAGTCTTCTCGTGGTCCTGTGTCCCACGTCCACGAATGGACACAGGACCTGCATTCGCGGATCTAGAGGGGGGAGGGGAGGGGGGACCCCTTGGAATTTGCAGAGTTATTAAAAGTATATACTGAAGCAAATAGGAAATGACTTTGGACCCCCTATAAAACGTGGACCCCACCACCACCACCACGAAATAGGATGTTTTCACGCTTGGGAAATGGATTTCACGGGGGGGGGGGGTGTTTTTAATTTTTATTATTTATTTTCTTTTCTTTTATTTTTGCTTGTCAAGAAATTTTCCGGGTTTAATACGTTTGGGAAAGGAATTTGTTTTTTGTTTGTTTGTTTTGTTTTTGATTTGCTTGTCAAGAAATTTGTGGATTGGAATTTTTTTGACTAGGGTGGAAGCCCCCTCCCCCCTGGAAAAAATTCCTTAATCTGCGCCTGCAGGAACCCTGACATTGTGAGGATACGAGAGGTGTTAAGACAGCGAATTTTACGACTGACTGATTTAATTTTATTTTCAGTTTATTTTTTGATTATACATGTAATTAACTTTCAAGTTCTCTACCAAATTCTTGTCTCGCTTCCACCCCCTTGTCCATCGCCCAGGCCCCAGGGTGGTTAAGAATCCATGATTGGAAATACATTTTTAGAATTCAGAATAAAATTGGACAATTTATGAGTTGAAAAACGCACTTATCTTATTAAAAAATCAGTTGACTTTTATATATAGCCAAAATATTGTCGCCGTGGTTTATGAGGGCTCTGAAGGTAGGCTGAAATCCTTTTCTGGGGGAATACACCGAGGGGGGGGGGGGAGTCGGCTGTGAGGAAATTTTACTTTACAACATAAAAGATATTAATTTTTGAGCATTTTTGTAGTCAATACCAAATTAGGTCAAGAATAATGAAAATATCCTCAGGCAGCCCACTGAGTTGTAAATTTATGAAATGAAGCCTCTTTTGAGAAAAATGGGGGAACACAAAGATTATGTTTAATTTTATTAAAATAAAACGTAATTTTGTGTTCCCCCATTTTTCTCAAAACAGGCTTCATTCCGTAAATTTGAATAAATATTTATACACATGCATAAATAACTTAAGAGCTTGGTTATTTTACAACTCAGTGGGCTGCCATTGTTATTGCAAACGGTCGACGTAAATCATGTGAATTCGCGGTATTTATTGAATAATTAGAAAGATATTTTTCTTTTCCTCCCTTGAACATATATAATAAGCATAATTGTCACCCCATAGAGAGACAGAAATGATAGTTAAGCATATATATATATATATATATATATATATATATATATATATATATATATATATATATATATATATATATATATATATATATATATATATATATATATATATCAAAGTATACTTAGAGCAAAGTATTAATTTCTTATTTCTCTTTTCAAAATGTGCTGATGGACTTTTTTTTAAATTTTCAGTATTCATATATACATTGTCGTTATAGGTACTCATGTGCGGATCTAGAGGAATTTGCCGAGTTATGTATATGTAAATGTATATTCTCAAGCAACTAAAAGTGACCTTGGACCTCCCTAGAAAACGCAAACCCCTGTTAAGTTCGTATGAAAAGTCATACTTATGAAGCGTAAGAGGTTAGCGGCTAACCCCCCCCCCCCCCACACACACACACACGCAGTTGTTTCACATTTGGGAAAGGAGCTTACATGTAGGTTTTTGTGGGTTTTTTTTTAAATTTTTATTTTATTTATTTATTTTTTTTTTTTTTGCTTGTCGAGAAATTTCTTGGTTGGATTTTTTTTTGACTGGGGTACCCCCCCCCCCCCCCTTGGAAAAAAATTTCTGGATCCGCGCCGAGTACTTATATATTAAAACTGAGTAAGCCGTATATTTTTGTATTTTACATTCACATGTATAATGTAGTACGAAATTTGAAATTGCTTTCATTTTACTGAGTGTTTGAATCAGTGATGGATGAAGAAATCCAATAAGAGTAAGTTCTTACTAGTCAGTATAATCAGTGATCGTAACTGTCCCTCTGTTCTCCTGGTTGTTATAGAACTGTGCCCTCTCCTCCGCTGACAGACCCTCAGTAGCCCCCCTTACGGAGGCTTGTAGGGTCAACAAAAAAACGACTGAGAATACTACAAAACAGACCATCTGAAATTTAAAAAAAATATATCATTTAAAAAAAGGGGGAAAAACAGGACAAGATCAGGCAATTGACACCCCCCCCATCCCCTTTCAAATGATGAAAACTTTTATAGACTGAAGAAAAAGACTGAATAATTTTAACTCTGCATCTGAAATCTTTAAAAGAATAAAAGTACTAGATATTTTGAAAATATAACAGGAAAATGGAATTACATAAAACATATATAATTTTTCAGGTATCTGTACAGATATGAATTATCAAGTACACAAGTAAAAAAAAATGAAATGGTGTGTTTTAATTAAAATTTGAAACAAGATATATATATATATCACTCTGTCCAATAATTGTAAAAACAAAATCACAACTTTGCAATATGCCTCTCCCAAAAAACCATAAAGGGCCTAAAAAACCACCATTTTTCTTATACCTTTTTAATATTATATCAACAACTTGAATAAATCATTTATAAAATTCTGACATTATAGTAGACTAAAAAAGGGATATACGCATCTGCTTACCGTGAATGGGTACCTGTCGAAATAACAATATATAGCTCACATATCTTTATTAACTTGATTTTATAAGCTTGATCACATGACTTGCCTGCCTTGCCTTATTCGGACTAAAAAAAAAAACAACAACAAACAAACAAACACGAAAACCAGTTTTATCACATCTAGAAACGTCAGAACAATTCGTTCCAGGTTTCACTTCTTGTTGATTTTAATTCAGTTGTAATTTAGAATGCTCGGTCAAGTGGACATATCCTGAGGCTGTTACTCTAATACATGTACTGACAATAAAAATCAATCGAAGGAAAATTCATAAAGAAGAAAAATCAGAACTTTATGAAATTGATCTTGATGAACAGAAAAATAAAATTGAAGATCCCTAAAACTGGAAGGAAAAAGAAGGAAAGAAAGTACATGCTTTTAGTAAGCAAACCTTTTATTAGGAATACAATCAAAAGATGTCTTAGAGAAAAAAAAATGTTTTAAAAAATTCAATGTACAGTCTCGGGGTGCACACGAGGGGGGGGGGGTCCTATCCAAAATTTTACATGCTTATTTTAAAGGTTGAAAACCAATTGCTTTGAAATTATTTCAAAGCAATTGGCTTTCAACTTTTAAACTAACCATGCAAAATTGTGATTATACAGGATTTGGTAGTTTACTTGAAGTGCTATTTGTTTTTCGAGGTGACGTAAGTCAGCCTCGTTAGCTGCTGACCAGCTTCAATGGCGCCCTCCTCTGATCACTACCATTTGCAATTTCTTAATTATCTTCACTCTCTGGGACAATTCACTACTTTTGATGTTAACACATGATACCTTAGAAAGCAAGGATCAAATCAGAGGTAAGTTACTAATATGTAAACAATATCACTTGCAAGATTGATTGGAAATATTAAAACGTTATTTTTTACCAAAAATATTAAAACGTTAATTTTTATCAGTTCACTAAGAAAAATAGTCCTCAGTTTATACATGCATTGAAATCAGAATTTCGGTTACAAAATGAGATCAAAAATGTATTTAATGTAATTTTCAAGCAACAAGTAGTGTTTTCATGGATTTACAAGTACTAAATACAAGTTCCTTCGTGGGAATAAAAAATCCTTACGTTGAGATTTGTACTCAGAAGCAAAAGTTTTTAGTAGGAGTAATCTACAGGCCTCCCAATTCAAATTCTGAATATTGGGATAAGTTTTTAAGCTATAGATACCGAAATGTCAATATAGAATACACCATAAAGCAAAAGGTACAGATAATCCTCGTCACAGGCAAAAATTTAGAGAAATTCGTAACGAAGTAGTAAACTTAGTACGAAAATCTCGCAATGATTATAAAATAAAACTGGCCTCTCAACTTATAGATAAGACTATTCCCCCAGGCAAATGGTGGCGTATAGCGAAATCTGTCTCAAGACTTAGAAAACAGAATACCTCCCCTCCTCCTCTGAAAACTAGTGATGGTCGAATACTTATTCATCCTATTGATAAAGCTGAAGAATTTAATACTTATTTTGTAAACATCTCACGTATTAACACTGAGCCAGATCTTCCTGAACACGGACCCGGTCCACCAATTAATTGCTTTGATGATTTTGAAATTACTGAACAGGATGTTCTTGATCAACTAGAAATCTTAGATACCTCAAAACCACCAAGGCCAGTCGGATTATCTCCAAGAATCCTAAAAGAAATACGATTCTCTATTTATGAACCACTAACAAGACTCTTCAACATGTCACTCAGTAAGAAATGTCTACCTTATATATGGAAACAAGCACATGTTTCTCCAATCTTTAAAAACAAAGGAAGCCCCGAAAATACTAACAATTATAGGCCTATTTCTCTTACTAGCTCTGTCTGCAAAGTCATGGAAAAATACTTTTCAAGTATATGTTTAATTATATAAAAGACTACGAATTATTATCAAAAAACCAATCAGGATTTCAACCTGGTGACTCTACAGTAAA